AAATCAAGGTAATTGGTAATATATGTTCGAATGGGCCATGGAATGAGGTCGTAGGAACCATACTGTGAAATATCGCTCGCAAAAATATCTGTAAATTACACGGAAAAAATGTTAATTGGAACAAATGTTAATAAAAAAATTCTAGACGCAAAAATAAGTTCTTAACTTGTACCTGTGGATGCATCTGTACGACCACCTGAAGATGAGGGCCGCTTCTTACTTGAGTCGCTAGTCACTATGGTCGACTTTCCTTGAGTGTCGTCCCTGTAATCTCACACATTAGGTGTTGCTTTTATCTTTGATTTAGCCCCCTTCGGCCGCCCCTTCCGTCTCTTGACCTCCTCGAGTTGTTTGAATCCACACTGGTCTGAATGCATAATATCATGGAGACCCCTATTTACTGTGCGTCGTACTGCCTTAGGACACTCGTTCAACTCTTCCATCAACTGTCTGGTATAAAGGACATCGTCATCCACATCGCTCGAACCACCAATAGCAGCCTGTTCACAGATATTCAGGGTCGCCTAGAATGGGTGAATATGCTTAAGAGTAATCGATGTGCCGGCATCTGCAGTCTTTTTGAGGGTGCACGCACATGGAATTCGACAAGTCCAGTAAACCACATGATCACATCTGTCATTCGCTTCTTCTTTCCATTCTTGCGCCTTCGACCACTCAGTGTTCAGTTTTTTCAAACATGTATGTGAAACTTGACATTTCAAGCGGTTCAGTGGAAAACCCCAATAATGGGTGCCAATTTTCTGTCTCAAGTATTCCAGTTTGTACCTGAATGTATGATTATATTTTTTGTAACCATTTACTGTAAAACATTTTAGGGAAAATGCCAAAAATACTAAAAAAATACTAAATATATAATAAATAGAACATAATGGAGTAGAAGTTACAGTATTTCAGTTAGCTGAGTCTGAATTTCGAAGTGCACCTTAGCCCAAAGTGTATCCAGCGACGCAGTAGATATTTCCAGCCAAGTTTTTAACTGTTTGTGCGCGTTCTCCACTCTACCTGTAGTAGTGTTGCCCATATGAAACACAGCATTCGTCCACACCTTGACAAATTTGTAATCAACCACTAACTATGTGTTATGGATATAATTAAGAACTCTCGGAAAATTGTGCCAATGACGGTTTATTACGGTAACAGCTTTATTGTAGTTATCTTGATTCTTAGCTTCCACAACATCTTTCCACAACCCATATGCAAAACCATTTACAACCTTGGCGTCAAACTTCAATTCCTTGTTGAGATGTCGCTTTACATTCTCATAAACATGCCAAACACACGACAAGTGGCATGAATCTGGAAAAACCCAACTCAGAGGTGCCATCAACCCCGGTTCCCGATCAGTAACAATAATAGCCGGAGACAGATGACCAGGAAGCAAATCCCTAAACTGTCTCAAAGCCCAACAATAACTTTCACCAGTCTCGTCACTCAAGAGGGCGCATGCAATCAAGAAGTTCTGGTTGCACGGTGTCATCCCAATAAACTCAACCAATGGCAATTTGTACTTGTTAGTCTTGTATGTAGAGTCTATCCCGACAACCCAGAAATAAGTGCATAATAAATTGACAGAATCAGGATGTGCAAATAAAACACGAGTCAGCACACCTATCTCCTGATTGAAATATGTTATAATGATGTAACGATGATGCTTCGCCACCGATAGTATCTTCGTCGCGACATCCATGGCACTCGAGTCACCCAAGACCGGGAACCCCTGACTACGCAATTTCTTCCTGTAATTGTAGACTTGCCATCTGTTAACCTTTTTATCTGGAAATTTCCTCTCAATCGCTGCCATTATTTGACACGGTCTGCACCCATCTTTAGACATATCCTGTATAACATGTTTCACTCCATCGCTAAGGCCTCTCGTGGGATGATCTTCGTCAAACAGGGAATGCTTATGCATTCCAAACTAACCAGGATACACACGAATGTGCCACTTTCCACCAACTGAGTGCACATATACCTTAAATTTATAGCCAGTGATTTGTTTCTTCGAATCCGTTGAGACATATTTTTCACCGTCTTCAAGTGACCCCTTGACCTTTCCAACTTTACAACATCTCATCAAAACACCATTCTTTCTCTTGCCAAAAATTATATTTATTATCATACCATTTGCTAATCCCATGCCTTTAACCCAATCAACTGCATCATCTTTTTCTGCAAATTCTTCATCTGTAGCAAACACTACACTGTAATCTTCACCATTGCCACCAAAATCTTCGAACGAATCCTGCAAATTAAACATAAAATTACAAAAAAACAATGTTGCACTATAATAAACTAAATTATACATAATTTACAATTATTTAAAAAATCAAATAATATATATAAATTTTAATAAATAATTAAAAAAATAAAATTACATTAAAGAAAATTATTATAAAAAAACATATATTTAACTAACAAAAAAAGATTAAATTAATTTTCCCTATAACTAAACTTAAATTACTATAATTAATTATATTCGCATATAAAATTAAAAATATAATTCCTAATTAAATAAACCAAACAATATTAAATTTAACTAATTACTAAATTAATTGTTAACATAACTAATCTAATTAAAAACTAAAATAACTTACTAAGCAAATAATCAACTAAGAATCCTGCAAATTAAACATAAAATTACAAAAGAAATTATATTGCACTACAATAAACTAAATTAAACATAATTTACAATTATTTAAAAAATAAATAATATATATACAATTTTAATAAATAATTAAAAAATACAATTACATTAAACAAATTTCTTATAAAAAAACATATATTTAACTAATCAAAAAAATATAACTCAACTTAAATTACTATAATTTATTATATTTGCATATAAAATTAAAAATATAATTTCCAATTAAATAAACCAAACAAAATGAATTTTAACTAATTACTAAATTAATTGTTAACATAACTAATTCAAAAAAACTAATCTAATTAAAAACTAAACAAATAATCAACTAAGAATCATAAAATAATATAATGAAAAAAAAAGATATAAAAAATTGAAATAAAAAAACATAATTAAACGTAAATAAAAAATAAAAAAAACCAGAACGGGCAAGATACCCGTTCCGGCTTGGTTCAAACCAGGCACTATACCCGTCCCGGTTGAACCAAGGACGGGCAAGAAACTCGTTCAAGCCTCGAACCGGACGCGTGGCTCGCTCGTCCGGGCGAAAAGGCGGACGCGTGTCTCGCTCGTTCGGGCAACTAGGCGGACGCGTTTCTTGCGCGTCCTTAGTTCAACCGGGACACGTATATTGCCGTCCGAACCGGTATACACGTTTTTCTTAAAACTTGAACGGGTATATTGCTCGTTCTTGGTTCAACCGAAACGCGTATATTGCTCGGTTCGGTCCGATTTTTTGATTTTTTTATTTTACCTCTGAGTCACTCATTTCTTTCTTTCTCTACTTTGGACAAAATGACAGGGGCAAAATGAGAATTTTTAAAAATTGGTGGCTTCAAGTATTAAAATAGTTGGTTGCAAAAATCCATCGCCTTTATTTAGATCTTTATATTTTATGTACTTAACAATTATATACGCCGTTTTATAGACCGTAATGTAACTAAAATGTCTAATTTATATGTTTAAAGAATATTTACACTTAAAGTATTTGTTATTTTCTAATGTGTCTAAAGTAATGAATATTATCTGTATTCAGAGAGATGAATTTCATAGTAAATTATTTCGGCGTCATGGGAACCAACGTCCAAAGGGAGTTCTAATGTTCTGCTTCTTATTTTTGGTTGTTGAGTCGCGGCTGGAGCAAGTGTAGTTAGTGAAATTTTCTTGTTAATTGTTTTATTTTGAATTTAGGCTTTTGCCTCCTTTTATTGTTCTGATGTTCTGTTTCTCATTTTTTGGTGTTGAGTCGCGGCTGGAGCAAGTGTAGTTAGTGAAATTTTCTTGTTAATTGTTTTATTTTGAATTTAGGCTTTTACCTTCTTTATTATATAAAAAAAATTTAAAATCATAATTAATCTCAAGAGGAGGTCGTGAATTTAAACTCTTACTTCAACAAGAGTGAGGAGAAGTTCTTACTTTGCCATTAGTACCTCTATACTCTATAGGCCTTGGGTTATATTGGAATTACATTTAACCCACTGAAACGTGGTCAAATTACGACCCCGGCCTCAACGTTTAAGCCTGCCTATTAAACGGTGGATATAAGTGGGTTTGTCAAATACTCCCGGGACTTCTCATGTAGTTTTTGAATACCACGAGGGGGTTTTTATGCATTATTAAACCCCGGAAAAAATCAGGAAGGACCGGACGACTCTTCCAGGCGAGGACTCCGCAGTTTCTGCTGCCAGGTAAGTCGTTTCCAATGCTCCCATTATATACTCTTTTTTTTTTTTTTTAAGGATTTATTTTCTCGCGACCTTTTTATTTCATTTCATTCAGTTCTCCTCTCCAGAAGTGCTCATGAAACTTCAGATGCTTTGAACTTATTATTCATATTTGATGTAATTAACATGGCTTATATGCCACCCGTCTCCAAGTAGATACATCTTCTCTACATATAATGGCTGGGTAATTTTCTTCTCCGGTCCAAACTCCAAACTATATCCATTGTCACATCATTGTTTTCAGGAAAAGAATTTACAAAAAAAAGAAAAAAAAAAGAAAAATAAAATCCATGGCTGAACCGGAATCTGCTAAGCAGAGGGTGTGGGGATGTCACGTTGTAAGACTGGAAAAGTGTAATCTCGTGGCCTGTGATTCTAAATCTTTGACTTACAATTAAATACTACTTCCGTCCCACAAAAATAGTCCACATGAAATTTTCAAATTTGTACTACAAAACAGTATAAAATTTAAAACTCAACGTGGACTATTTTTATGGGACGGAAGGAGTACTGCCTTGTCCCAGAAAAATAGTCCCTACTGAGTATAAATCTCAAAGTCACTGTGGACTATTGAGTATATCCCCATTTGATGGTTTCATTGATAATTAACGAGTAGGTGAAAACATGGTTGGGGGTGTTGTTGTTTCAGTGGTTAGCGGGAGCGTCCCGCAGAGCCTCTTATTTTGTCCTCAACATCTTCAATCTCAGGTAAACATTTCCTCAATATATTTCTTTGTTATCTGAATTGTGCATTGGGAACAAAGATCTTCCTTTCGTTGTTATGGCTTTGGCTTTGCTAAATTGCAGTTGGCAACTAGGATCGTTGCAGGCAAAAGACCGGCTAAGAAACTGCATTTTACTCTCTCCCGCTCCTCACACCTTCGCTTTTCCAAAGTCCAAACATCTCCTAGGTAAGGTCACTTTTCCAATTTTCTTATATTACTATAATGTACTAGTTTTTGGGAAAAAAAAAGAAGAAAAAAGAAAACAATTGCTCAATTTATGTGATGTAGCTTGCCAAAAATAGACCTCAAAAGTATTACATTGTACGTTGATTATTGGACAGTGAGAGTACTACTTTGAAACAATTTATGATTTGCTCCTCTTCGGTTGAGCCAAAGTTTTAATTACAGCTGCAGGAACCTAGTTCTTATTAATGTTTTTGTGTGTTGCACTCTTTTGTCGTGTGATGGTGTTTTTCGTTTCATATGTCACTTCCTTTAGGAATTTTACCGAAATTACTGTATTTATTTTGAGCAAATTTATGGATGCTCACCATTAATTATGTGAAATCACTTCAAAATACGTTAAAATATTAGATGCTAGACATTAAAATAGACAAACCAGGAGACCTCCTTTAAGATCTTGAGCCTTTCTTGAACGAATTCTTATTGCTAGTAGTGGAAGACTATTCCTTTGTATATAGCATTTTCATCAATTACTGAATGATGAGGTCTCTGATGAGACAAACTGAGATTTTTACTTGAATTAGACTGCTAAAACTGATAAATGGCATTCAGACAAACTTCTTTGCACACAATGGATGTTGATTTGGAAGCAAATCTGGAGGATGCAGAAAAGCTTAAGAGGGGGATAGCAGAATTCTATGATGAATCTTCAGGAATATGGGAGGACATATGGGGGGAGCACATGCATCATGGTTTCTATGGCCCCAATTCCACTGTCTCCTTGTCTGATCACCGGGTTGCTCAGATTCGCATGATTGAGGAAGCTCTCCACTTTGCTTCTGTTTCAGGTAATACAAACAATATTGTTCCGATTCCGCTTTACATTACAGACCATACCTTTTTTCTTTTTGGATGCAATTGAGTTTTCATTCCAAGTGAGAGAAATTCGAGTACAACCTCAGTCAGCAGAGTTCAAACAATATTTCTACACAAGATTTCTAAAGATGCGGTGAGCGGGAATACAAACCATACGTATTGATGTAAAGGATTTTTTGCTGTTCTTACATACCGAGGGTCAAGCTAGTAGGAGTGAATTTTTGTAGAGAAATCTTCTTTTTCTGCTCTGGTTGGTTGAAGTCTCTGGTATTGAATTTAATGTGCATGAATTTCTGGTGATAAACTTGCAGAAGATTTGTCAATGAAACCAACAAGCATAGTTGATGTTGGATGTGGAATAGGAGGAAGTTCTCGATATCTAGCTAGGAAGTATGGTGCTCAATGTATAGGCATCACTTTAAGTCCTATACAAGCGCAAAGAGCTCAATCACTCGCTGCTGCTCAAGGATTACAAGACAAGGTATTATTGCAAACCCCAATTTTTTTTATTGGTCTTGGTTTTCATATCCCTAATGAAATATTTGCCAAGAAATTGATTGGATTAATTTTTTTCCCCCTTGATTTTCATATATGACATAATGGAGTTTTTTCATGTTTCAAGCCATTGAGTTGTTTTCAAGTTCAGCTTCGCTTGTAATGGACTTCACTTTTGTAGGGAAAGCTGATCCAACACAAATACCACCCATCGTGATGTAGTTGTGCTGTGGTATCTCTCTTATCCAATTTTTCCCTGAAATGTGGCAGGTGTCTTTTCAAGTTGCAGATGCACTAAATCAGCCATTTCCAGATGGGAAATTTGATTTGGTGTGGTCCATGGAGAGTGGAGAACACATGCCAGACAAAACAAAGGTCTGTAGCTCTCCGTGGGATACTTTGGCTTTCTTTTATCTTCGTTGGCTCTTTCCTGGTTATTCAGTTTTCATTCTGATGGTAAACCTTATTCTCCAAACGAGTAGTTTGTTCAAGAGTTAGCTCGCGTGGCGGCTCCTGGTGCTACCTTGATAATCGTCACGTGGTGCCATAGGAATCTTTTGTCCTCTGAACAGTCTTTGCTTCCGGCTGAGCAAAATCTGTTGAAAAGGATTTGTGATGCATATTATCTTCCAGCATGGTGTTCCTCTGATGACTATGTAAGAATATTGCAGTCCCTCTCTTTACAGGTAATTGCCTCACCACGTGTAAATTATTCTTTGGATTGGTTCCAGTTTGTTTACAGTAAGGGAGATCCTTAGGAACAATGGTAGAAAAGTGAACTTCTACTTTGAAATGATTTATGGAATGATATAGCATGGACAAGTTGCCAATAATTCCGAAGGAATAAAAGATTGATGGTTTCCATGTTTTTCTTTTGGTATTTTATTCTCCATAAGTCAATCATTAATATCTTGTCGGAGAACTGATACAGGGGCAAGTTGTTATGCGCCTCCTTTAGTTAATATCTTCGTGATCTTAGTTATTAACCTGGAAGCTCCCACCTAACAGTTAAGCTATAAATGTCAGGATATCAAGACTGCGGATTGGTCGGACTATGTTGCCCCATTTTGGCCAGCGGTGATAAGTTCCGCAATGTCGTGGAAGGGAATCACATCACTGCTACGGAGTGGTAAGTTCTGACTCGAGCCAGAGTTGAGAAATCTTCAATAAGATTAGCTTTTCTTTGATTTGGTATGAAAGCATTCTTTTGGTCATTGTTTTCCATTTTTCTTGGCATTTTCATGAGAACAGGATGGAAGACTATAAGAGGAGCTTTAGTAATGCCATTGATGATTGAAGGATACAAGACAGGTCTGATCAAATTTGCTATTATCACATGTAAGAAGCCATCCTGATTAATCTGAGAGCAGACAAGACATTGTTGGTAGTCCTTTGAACTGGAACATAACTTATTGGCACATTGAGTTTGGAATTATCAATATAATTTTTTTTTCTTCTTTTCTTTTCTACCTTTTAAGTTGAAGGTCGGTATGTTATTGTTTTCTCCCATCTTGTAGGGGCATGGTATTAGAAGTCAGCTATATATTCATGAATTACTTATGTTCGGTAGTTGGAAATCTTGTGTTAAAGAAGGCATACATCTGTCATAGTTGCTAGTCATTATTTTTGTGTGGTCATGTGGTATGGGCGACGCTAAGGTTGATTATTTATTTGTTGTGTTGGGGTCCTTGGGGACAGCAATATTAATCTAAAGGGCATTACTTTTTGAAGTTCAGAAATTACTCACCAGCAGTTTGTTTTTGACAATTTTATCCCTAAACTCTTTCTATTCCTCCTTTCTTCTTCTCATTCCTCGTTTCTTCTTCTTCTTTCTATTTTTCTCCTTCTTTAACTTCATCTTCTTCTTTTTTTTTTGTTTTAATAAAATTTTAAATCTAGATTTATTAAAAATCGAAGTTTAAAAAATGGCGAAACAAAACACACAACGGGAAAGAGCACCATTGATACCGATAAATTTTTTTGCCCCCAAATCCTATTTTAAAAAAAATTAAAAAAAAAATTGGCTGCCCAGGTTGGCCTACCTGACCGGTAGTTAGCCCGGGAATCTTGGCCCGGTGAGAAATCCGGCCAAGGGTAGAAGATTTCAATCGTGACCGGCCGGATTTCTCACCGGCCAAGGTTCCCGAGCGGACTGCCGGTTGGGTCGGTCAGCCTGGGCAGACAATTTTTTTTTCAAATTTTTTTGTGGTTATTTTTTTTATTTTTTTGTTGTAATTTTGTTGTTATAATTAATTTAGTTAAATTTATTTATAATTAATGTAATTAGTTGTTATATTATTATTTGATTAATTTAGTTAAATTTATATATAATTAATGTAATTAGTTGTTGAATGTTGTATTATTATTTTTTATATGTCATTTAATTTTTTTTGTGCTTTAGTAACATGTTTAATTTAATTTATTAGGTATAATTTGTTTAATTTAATAATTAGTGTAGATTAGGTATGTGGTATATATTTGTTTAATTTAATTAAATTTATAGTTGTATGTGGTATTTGTCTTTCATAATTAATTATTGTTTACGTAAATGAATTAGTTATTTTGTTATGTATATTGTATTTTTTAAAATTTGATATATTTTATTTACAGGATTATGGTGGTGACGGTGTTGATTACAGTCATCATTTTGATACTAACATAAGATTCACAACTATTGAAGGCGCTGTACTATGGGCGAAAAAAACTGCGATATTTCTTAATTTTACCGTGGTTAAGGCGCCGAAGACAGATGAGACTAAGAAATTATTACGATGTTCAAAGGGTGTTCCCCCTAGAGATACAAAGAATCGGGTGCGAGAAACAAAGGCACAGTATTGTGGATGCTCGTTTTGGCTTCTAGCCCAAATTCGCCTAGGCGAATCTACTTTTGGGATTCGTTCATGGCCCGGTCGTAATGGTACGCATAACCACCCGTTTGGCAGCTTCGAGGAGGGACAGATGCAGATGAGCGACCTTAGTGATAAATCGGAGGCGATTGTTGACGAGTTGACTGACATTAATGTAAAACCGTCTGCAATGCTGCGGGTGGTTCAACAAAAATTCCGGACGAGCATGTTGTGATCAAACAGATATACAACTACAAAAGTAGGATGCTGGTGGAAAGGAGAAAGGGTAAAACGTTGGTGGATCACTTCTTTGACATTACTCAGCAACACAAGCATGTGATTACCACGACTAATAAAAAAGATGTATTGAGTCATATTTTCTGTGCACATCCAGTATCTGTAGAGTTGATCCGAGCATACCCGTGGTATATTGGCATAGATACTACTTATAGAATAAACATGTATAATATGCTACTGTTACAAATTATTGGGATGACTCCAACCAACAAGAATTTTCTGATTGGATACGTAATTATGAAGCATGAGAAGAAAGAGAGTTATACTTGGGCATGTCAGTAGTTTCGGGATATGATTGGATGAGAGGTGCACCCGTATGCCATAGTGACAGATAGGGAGTTAAGGCTGGCAGAACCAATCAGTTTGATATTTTTAGATTCCGCACATCTTTTGTGCGTGTGACACATCAACAAATGTGTTTTTGAAAACGCACGGCGGCATTTTGGAAAGAAATTCGCGAACTGGTGGAAGAAGGAGATGTTCGATCCGATACTTGAAGCTCCTACTGAGTACCTTCATGAAATGGTTGTGATTAATATTTCATACTATAGGCACCCAAATGCAAAAAGTTACAGAGAGTTGGTGCATTATGTGAAGACCACTTAGCTAGTTCACAAGGAGAACTGGGCTCGTGCGTGGACAAGTGGGGTCACACATCTTGGAAACACAAGTAATTGTAGGGTGGAGAGCGCCCATAACTTTAATGAAGAGGTTTCTTGACTCGGCTACCAGTCACTTAGTTACAATATGGACCAGAATCCATGCATCAATCGAGTATCAGTTAACTGAGATCAAGTACGTAATTCGTTCGTTGTTTAATTTTGTTTTTAATACTTAATTACCAATGTTCTTATATTAACAGTAAGGAATTTAAAATGTAGGTTCCATCTAATCGAATCAGAACGCCGTTCGAGAAGAGAGCACCTTCAATTTTCCTATGACCGTCTTGTTAGACGTGTCTCACATTACTGTTTGGACATTCTTCAAAGTGAGTATATTATCATGCAGCAATTGGGTGAGGATGATGTTTGTGGTTGTGTGTTGAGAACGACCCATGAAATCTCCTGTGCATGTGAGTTTAAACAGAAAAGGGAATTACAGGTGCCCATTACAGTTGCCGACCTCCACCCTTTTTGGAGTAGACTTAATTTTACAAGTGCGACACCTGATTCGGCCACAAGTGATGATGCTCAACCTTTTGTGTCAAAAGAGCATACGATTTTTACAGAGCTTTCCCTTAAGGCATTCAACAAGATGCCTGAATTTTTGAGCCGCGTTAATGAGTTTCTGCACCATGAACTGGAAGAAGAGGAACACCATGGGCATATGAGTTTCGAGGAACAAGAGCAACACCATGATCAGATGAGTTTCGAGGAACCTGCAGTGAAGACAAGTGTTAAAGGGCGCCCAAAAGCGAATATCCCGCATAAATGGTGTTATTGGGAGAAGTATACTGTTGGTTCAGGGAGATCGCACATGAGCACATCCTCGCCTACATATGATGATAGTCGTAAGAATGTTTTGAATTTATATATTTTTTTATGTCACATTTTATTTTTAAACATTTTGTTTCGGCAATGTACATAACGTGAATATTATTTTTTTTAGGTGAGCAAAGAGGATGGAGGACGGATTTTCATTCATATCAGTATCGGCAATCTATTCCATTTTTTATGGTTCCTTTCGTTCGGGGGTACCTTGATGTGAGGGGAGATGGGAACTGTGGGTTCCGATGTGTGGCAGGGTATATTCGAAATTTAGAAGAGGATTGGCCATTGGTCCGAACAACTATTATTCAAGATCTTATTAAATGGCCGGATTTATCTGATCCTTCGTATTACTATAATAGGGAACAAAACATACGACGGTTAAGGTGATTGGTAGGTGGATACTTTCCGTCACATTATATGGAATGCACACAAGAGTTGTACGCAATTGCTACTATCTGGAATGCTGTAATTTTTCTGTTCGGTCTCGGGAATACATTAGACGTGGATCTGGGTTTTTATTATTTGACAGTGTTGCCCCTTACTGACCGAGGAGACGCCAGAAGACCAACTTGTGAGATTGTTCTTGTTCACCTCGACTGTGTAGATCATTACATTTGTGTTGATTTCGGTAGTGATTTTCCTGTACCTCCTGTACATCATTATTGGTTTGGGTGGCGTAACAACAATATTGTAGGCTGGGAAGGTGAGTACCACTCTAGGATGACAGAGTGGAATAGATTATCTAGATCTAGTTAGTAGTTGCATAACATTTATTTAAATTGTTAAAACTAGTTATTTAAATTTCATATGTTCCATTGCAAATTAAAACACATAACATAACATTTTGAAATTGGGAAGAAATCTAAGAAGTAACATATAGAAATCCAAGAAGTAATACATAACATAACATTCTGAAATGGGGAAGAAATCCAAGAAGTAACACATAACATCTTAATAAAATATACATCAATCTCTCTGGCTCAATCGGAATTCATCATGAAATTGAGTAAACAATGCCTCATGCTTTACTCTCTCTGCATCAATTTTGCGGATTATCTCAAGTGCGTTTCTATGAATTTCGGACAATCGGTTGACCCACTGTAAAATAAAAATAAAAAATAAAAAAATTACACAATTAATAATATATTGTATAAACATTTCAAGAAATGGTTATACAATAAAGACTTACGTGAGATGTGATTCTAACTCCACCTATAGTAGTGGCATCTAAAACCAAGAAAGAATGCGAATGCTTCAAGTATCACCGGAGGTAATTAGGAGCGCATGCGGTCTTATCATGATCACTCCGGTCAAAATACTCTAGATCCAGCCCAGTACTGAATGGGAATTGCATCCAAGCATCAAACGCCTCAGTGGGCCTCCATGAAACCTTGTAGGCGTGGTGATTACCACTACGATTTGCACTCAGGGGATGAGGAATGGGTGGAGGGATGACCTGGATGTATCCAATTTGGCGCAATACTCAACTAGGCAAGTATAACTCAATAATATCTTGGTACTGTATCCAGCCACTGTATATGGTCTTTAGATCATCGAGAACAGGATCGGGGTCATAAGGCAACTATTCAACCTAGACAAAAGATACAAGATACGTTAATAACATTATTTTGCATAACTATTATTAATTAAAAGTGCGAAAAGTGACGTACTTGATCGAGTGTCAGCTTGTCGATCTGACTGCAAAGGTGCATCAGACGATCTGGACTGTTATCAGGATTTGGGACATTCTACCATCCAGCTCGGGGTCGGTCAGGAGCCTCAAAGGGATCGCTCTGAGGTGGTGTGAAAGATGGAAAGTACATATATATCCACGCCTGAAATAGTGTGTAGCAACCAGACATTGAGGCATTTTTCAATCTAGTGGACACGCCTAGCTGACGGTAGATATAGGCTAGAGTAGCAGACCCCCAAGAAATATTACCACAGGTGACTAGGCCATCAATAAACTCAGAAAGAATCGCCGCTCTGATCCGAGTCTCACTTCTGTCGGTATACAACGTATTCCCTAACATGACCCATAACTAGGCGGTCACCTGATCTAAAGCAAGCGCTACCGCTCGGCATGTCTTCGTAACAAGGCCCGACTGAACCCCTCCATCGTGGATTAGTTTATTAGTCTGTAGTGTCTAGCTAGTCATTCTCAGCGCCCTCATGACCAAAGTCTTACAATCGACAGTCCCAGGTGGTGATGTAATCAATCTACCTTCAACGGGAATACTCAATATATGTCGCAAATCGTGTAACATGATGGTCATCTCCCCAAAAAGCATGTGAAACGTGTTATCCGGCTGCCACCTCTCTACAAATGCTGTAATCAATGCCTTAGCAATGTTGGTGTGCATGATGTCCACAATGTGGGATAGCCCTGTAATTGCCAACAAGATCTGAGCCTCAGTCGACATAGAATCCTTCTATTCTTTCAACAACTTGAAGTACGTGACTCTTGTATCCATCTCCAAGGAGGGTTTGTACGACTTATCCGTCAAGCGATGGGCCACATGACCAAGAAACTGGGAATAACAGAACCGTCATGAGGGCCACCAACAACTGGTCTCGTGACAACCCAAGGCTGGACATTATTCACTGAAATTAACGTAAACAAATCATTCAATTTTTTTCGATAAAATATTTGAAAAAACTTAACTATTAAAATATAAAATATAAACTCTATACACTAATTTCTTACCTGCTGATGATGATACAGATGCAGATGCAGTTGCAGATGCAGATGTAGCTCCAAGTCATCTAACCCTAAGACGAATAACATTGCTTCGTCTAGCTAGAGGTGAATGTGGAGGTGAATGCAGAGGTGAGTCACCTCTGAAATCATTAAACTCTTCCGAATCGATATCTTCAGTCGGAACATCATCATTGTCACTCACATTCTGTAAGTCCAAACTGGCATGATCAAATACATCGTAAAGTCTCACACGACTACCGACCTGATCCATCTACGACTCACCCTTTGACTTACGCTCAGTTGGACTCCCACGACGATATGAGGAAGAAATAACTCGACCATGCATGTGCCGTGTAACCCGACCCTAGCAACAATAAAGAATCAGGTACATCTGGCCTTTTCTTTTTTCTCCTTTGAACCTACATTAATGAATATATATAACTACTCCACTACAATAATCAAAATAGAAATTAAAATAAATTTAATTAAATAAATTATACTTAATTAATTTATCCTTTTAATCTACATTAAATATTATATATAAATATTCCATTACAATAGTTATTCAAATAGAAATTAAAATAAAATTAATTAAATTAATTATACCTAATTAATTTGTCCATTTAACCTACATTAAATATTATATATACCTATTTCATTAAAATAAAGATTCAAATATAAATTAAAATAAATTTAATTAAATTAATTATACATATTACATTTATATATTTTTAATGGAATATAATTAAATAAATTACAAAGCTAATTAAATTTCTCCCATTCATTATAAATTAAGACAAATCTAATTGCATTAATAATAACTAATAACACAACATTCAACAACTAATTAAATTAATTATAAATAATTTAACTAAAATAATTATAAAAAAATTACAACAAAAAAAATTAAAAAAAGAACTGCCTGGGCTGGCCGACCCGAACGGTGGCCAGCCCGGGAACCTTGGTCGGATTTCTCACCGGCCAAGGGATGTGGATTGGCCTGGTCAAGGACCGGCCAATCCTTGAAGAGTGACCGGCACCACCGTTTGGGTCGGTCAGTCTGGGCAGCAGCCCTTTCTTTTTATTTTTTTTTAAAAAAAGAATTTGGAAAGAAAAAATAATTACGGGCATCGATGATGAGCTTTCACGTTGTTCCCTGCCGCGTTCTACCATTTTTTTGGTGTCCGATTATTAGTAGATCTAGATTTGAAGAAGAAGAAGAGAGGAGGAAGGAGAAGAAGAAAGAATAAAAGAGAAAGAAGAAGAAGAAAGGGAAAAGGAGAAGGAAGGAGAAAGAAAATAGTTTAGAGGCAAAATTGTAAAAAAGGAACTGCAGGTGAGTAATTTCTGAACTGCGAAAGTAATTCAGATTCATATAAAATAAATATGCTTGGTGATTTTGGCGCCCAAAACCTATTTAAATTTTTGCGTTGATTACAGTAAATTTTTAGAGAATTGAATGACAGTTTAGTGATTAGGTTGCTGTGCTTCTTGATAATAGACAATTCCCATCAGGAGTTGTAAGAAGAGTTTTACTCACTTAAAAAGTACACTGGAGTGAATTTTTTAAAAATAAAAAAACCTTGCTTATCTCTCGTACGGGGGAATAAAAGGTGATGTAGTTCTTTTCCTCACTCATACTTGATTAATGATGGTTATCAAAATTGGTGCAAGTTTTTGTGACAACGAGAATGTGGTGTATAACTGTATATTACTTGCGGGGAGAAAAAAATATACACAAAGGTACCAGAGTACTATGACATTAACATGGAGAAAATTGTACGTATTGACTGTGATTTCGTGTGCATGCGGAAGATGCGGCAGGGATGGATCTCTTCATGTATTCTTCTCCAAAACTGAGAGTGCGGGGGTCAGATAGTTATTTGCTTTATCCGGTAAATGTGCAACCTACCATTAATAATATAAGATTAAGAAGTTAAAATCCATGAATTGAGTCAAGTAAATTAATAAAGGGAAGCCTAATTTAAAAAGATTCTTTACCAATTCGTAGAGTTGTTTGCCAGGCTCAGCCACATACTCGTAACAGACCTTTTTTTTTTTTTTTTTTTTCCGTTCATTCAATAGCCAAAAACATCATTAGTAGGTCCGTTATGTTAAAAGTAAGGAAACATTTATGATCAGTACTGCTAACTCACTAAATACGAGATGGAATTTTGGGTTCAGGAGGTTTACTCACATCAAAGCTCTTGTTCCTGGCAGTTGAGTCATGCAATGCTTTGACACAGATATCGCCACGTCTGCACAGCTTATCCCCTGCGGCACAACAACAATCAAATGAGATGCCATTGTAATGGACATAAGCCTTAAAATAAACCAGTCTAGTTCAAGATTGAAAATATGCAACCAGACACTGCTAACTTGGCAACATATATTACATACTGCTGTCAGGTATATTATTATCTTCCGCCATAGTTAAAACTGATAATTCTTCCAGCAAACATTATGGTAAGGAGGATCGAGTTGGAAAAAATCAAGGATCAAGTCCTTCCCCTTCATTAGGGATCCGGATTTCTTTACATAACTGGGTTTAATTGAAGGCGATAGTGACAGCTACCAGAATAAGTGTCTCTTCAGTTAGGTCCTAACAATAAACTCACATGGCTGTGGGACCAGCAGCTTTGTGAGCGTGCACAGTGAAAACGTCACACTTTGAGACAGAAAATATACACCTTAAGAATGCTAGGAGTACAAGAAAGAAACCATAAGAATGATTATAAAGCAAATATCAAACTGATTAAAGTCGGAAAGCAATGCTGGTGGTGCTTGGGGTAGGATTACAGTGAACAAAGAGCTAAAAATAGGGTGCCTAAAAAAGAGTAAAAACACTCAGATAGTAGCACGGTGCCTTCTCTCCCACCCACACAGATTGAAGGTTGGGTTGGTTGTAGTTGTCATAAAATGGGAAGGGGAATGATTGGGCTCCATACTTACCTCGACGGGGTCAATGGGTGATCAAGGAGGGCCAAAGTCTAGGTTTGGCGACCTCCATTGCACTTCGTGCCCCTACCAAATTCCAAGTTCAAAAAGGTTGATGCCATTTACTTCCTAACATCCACATCGGTTAATATTTGGCCCTAAATATGTGGCCCAAATGAAATTATTTCGGGAATTAGCGAGTTTGGCTGAAGCCAAAGTGTTCCATTTAACTGTTTTCTCATCCATCATCCATGATCCAACCTAGAGCTTGGAAAAATAAAAAATAAAAAAATAGAAATGTAAAACTACGAAGATCTAAGGTTTAGTGTTTACCTGAGATATCCGGTTTCCCTGGTCAAATATAAGAGCACGCTGCCCTCCGGGTTCTTCCTGCAACAATTGACATTTATACTGTTATAATTTTGACTTACTGTAACGAGAGTTCAAAATTGCCACAGTAACAAAAGAAAACTAAGGTCATAGTTATTACAACATCATCAATGATTTGCAACTCAATTCTACTAAACATGCATGTTCTCATGCTGTCTCTATGTGTGGAGAAACTCACAAAATCAATCCCCTCATGTCTTATAGACACAGTAAAACTTAGCCACTTGATGAACCTTCAACCCTCCCCCTCAATTTGTATACCCGCCTAATTCCAGGTCAATTGACATGTGAAATTGAATTCAATTTCTCTCACCCACTCTGAAGTGAAACAACGGCAGAACTTGTATGTGGATGACTGGTGGAGTTTATTTTCTATGTTAGGAATGCTGCTTCAAGTGACTAAAATGATCCAAAACTCAGACCTTAGTTAAAAGTTTACCATCAAAGGACCTGGACGGACTATTGTATACCCGAGGCCGGATTTTCTCAGTGAATCTTCACCAGCCTATAAGAAATTTCAGCAGCAAAGAGTCAGCTGATACACCAAATGGTAAACCAAAGCCACAACAAGAAGCACATAAAATGAGCAGACAGACCAGACCTTCTTAGCTCTCAAGACTTGCTCCCTCCGGTTAGGTTCTATTCCTGATCCAGTACATGAAACTAAAACAAAATCTGTCTCTTGTCCAGTCTGAAAGCATCAATTTTCATATGAAAAGGTAAAGGTTAGTTTCATTCGATTGATTTACTTCTGCCGAGAGACTGAATGACATAATTAAGGCACTAATACGGCAAATTAATGACGACGATCTATGTTTGCTGATTAAAGACATGATACCAACAGAGACGTGCTTGCAACAAAGTCTAAGTAACAGAAGATTCAACTGTTTCCGTGATGTACATCAAACTAACCCAACTGGAAAGTGCTGTTGCAACCGGAAATGGCGTCTACCGACTACCGTTGCAAGGTAAAAAATGGAAAACTTTCAAACAGCTAACATAACCACTTACAGGCAAAGCTTTAACATACTCCATAATCAGTTTAAAACTTCGCAAGTCTTGCTTCACTCCAGCAGGTCCCTCAATAGGTCTCTGAGTCAAAAATAAAAACCAATAGAGATTGAAACAGATTTGTCTCACTCTGCTCTAATTCAATTATGTTGCATTTTCTTTTTCTTATTTTACCTTTGACAAGAATAGTTTTCCTTTAACCATTTTCCACCATATAGCTTGTCTTTTAATCCATTAAAGAAGAAAGGAACTAGGAAGTCTTCACCAACCTGTCTTCTTGGTTCAAACCGTATGGTCAAGGTATGCACAAGAAAAGGATCCAACGGGGGATCATTAGGTTTTACTGGCCGAAAAGTTGAAAATGGCACTCTCACCTGTTTATATTCAGTGTCAATGTGACTACATATAGTATTTACTCTTGATAATGACATTTTAGCATATGAAGGGAATAAAAGGCAGAAGAAGATTATAATCTCACCCGGCAGAAACCAACTTTTGTGCTGATTCTTGCAAAATACATATTGCTTTTAGATGCGTCAGCAGATGAACCAGTTTCTAGGATTAAAACATAAGAGCGCCCATTCCCACCAACTGATAGAACAAGACCTTCATATCTAGACAAGACAACAGTATGACGGAGCACACTAAGCAATCTGCAATAGGAAAAAACCCTAAAAAAATGAGGACATGCATAAGCATAAAATATTTGTCAATGTACCTGTCAAGAGTCGAACCCAAAGGAAGTGAAATTTTCTTCGACAACTCAATGTAGCCACCTCGCGTGAAAACATAACCTTTTCGGGACAGAAGCAAGCACCATGAATTAGATAAATGAGAAGAAGAAGAAAAGAGAATAAAATAAAATTCTCCTCCATCCTTGTAAGTTCATTTTTGTCGAGCACATTTAGGCTCATTCACCAGATTTCATCTTTTTTACTGTCAGGCACCTTATTCAAGAGCTACATTCCAATGACAAAGTTTGAGGTCAAAGTAGGCTAAGCACAAGCTGAATATGTAAATAGTACAATCTGAATGGACTTTAAGGTAGATATGAGTTTTATTACTTGATTCAAGCTACATTACCTGAGAAAATTGCTTCCCCATTTTCAGTGAACTCGAATTTTGCATCCATCCCACCATCATATTTAGAAGCAACGACATCCTCGAAATATGTCCCCTGACGAACTTCCCACCCATGCAGCGACTCAGCAGATTTAAATTTCGCAATTAGAAGTTTGCTTTTGCTGCTTTTTCCAGCTCGCAGTTGAGCTAATTCATTATTGTAGTCCTATATTATGCAGAAAAACAGAACATCTTTTGTGTAAGATCTTTTGTAATAAATTTTGCATTCCAACAGAAGAGACATGCAAACTGCCGAAATAGAAGTATCAACTGGGCAAGCGGCATTTTGTGTAAGATCATAACCTTACAAATACATTGCACATCGAATTTGATAATTTATAATATCCGATAGCAAAAGACAAAATGCAACAAGTATGCTACACTAAAACATTCAAAAGTAAAAGGAATTTTAGAATGGACACACCTGAAATGCTTTGGCAACATTGCAAACTCCTTGATTATCGACTCTGTTAAGATCCCCAGTGATTGAGGAACGAGCCGTGGCACAGTAAATAATTTTGTTGCAACCTTCAACAGCAGGTTTTAGACTGGAAAAATCGCCAACATCCCCCATGACAATTCCCACAGAAGTAGGGAGCATGTTTACCACTTCCTCACTGGGTTTTCTAACCAAAGCCTGGGGAAAAATATGCATAAATACATTTCTTTTTTCCACTAAAAATAAGCAACCGAATGAGAGAGTGATTATAAGTGAAAAACATGGAAGAAAGAGGGGGTCGGGGTTGACCTTGACAGTGTAACCTCTCAACATGAGCTTGCGGACAACAATGCGACCCACACGGCTGGTGGCGCCAATGACAAGTACAGTGGTGTTCTGAGCACCGGGGATGGCAAACTCACACAACGGACCGCTCTCTCCAATAATGGAAGCATCATCATTGGCAAGGGTAGTTCTGGAGATCTGTCCCAAGCCAGAGAACTTACGCCAGACCTCATCAAACATTTGGCGGGACCGCCGGCCTAATCCGACGGGGTTGACGTCATCTAGCCTCTTCATGACTGAGTCTGTGACAGATTTCTGGGAGTCGGTAGCAACAGCAGCAGCGGCAGTTGATAGATTCTCTTCCACTTTGGTTTCGGCGGTAGGCATGGTTTTTTTGAACTTGTTCTTGTTCTTCTTCTTCTTCTTCATCTTAGTCTTGGTAATGTTGTTGTTGTTATTGTTGGGGTTGTAATTGTCCTGATCATCGTCGTCGTCGTCGTCGTCGTCACTGGTGACGTTACCAGAAGGCTGCTGGGGAGAAAGATTTCGGCAGAGAAGCAAGGGACGAGTGGGAGTAGGGCGAGTGGAAGTGACAATGTTGCGATTGGGATTAGGATTGGGAGTAAAAGGATGATGACGAACAGAAAGGAGGGTAGTGGTGAGTTGAGAAGTGTTAGTCTGCAGAGGTGGGAAACTATGCATAGCCATAGCAGCAGCAGCAAAGGAATTCTTAATCGTCACAAAACCTGACCAAATTATTTGAACCAGCTACGTTCACCGAATTTAGCCTACTTGTGAGATTAAACCCGAAATCAAAATCCCCCCCTCTTTCGGTGAGAAAGATTGAATTTTGATCATTAATGTAACTAATAACTCTAGGAATTATGAACAGTAATAACAAATTAATGCCATGGTTGGTACAACAAGTGGAAGTTGCCAGATAACAACAGAAAAACACAAATAGAAAAAAAAAATGATAAATGCGAGAAAGTAGATAGGAATGGGAAACATAGAAATAAGGGTATATAACTCACCTTTTGATATAAAATCTGGAACTCGCGAGTTCCCAGTAGCGGTGGCAAACTTTGAAGTTTGTGGGAGTCGGAAAAGTGAAAAGGAAGGGAATTTTTTCACCAAACTGGAGGAAGAGGAGGAGGACAGATCAGGAATGACATCGTGGACTCTTATGTGGCGCGCATCATTTCTTTTTTTTTTTATATATATTTTTTCCATTTTGTGGCGGGCAACTGATTTGGTATTATTGTATGGTTATATCCAAAATTTTGAGGTGGACAGCACTACACATCCGCTTTGTTTTAGTATGGCCCAAAACACCTTTGGGCCTCTCTAATCATTAATCCAATCCAAGTTTAACGAGTCGGGTTTTGCCGAGAACCAATTAGTACTGAATTAGAGGGAGGACGACGACGACGACTAAGACTGCCCCCTTTGGTTTGGGTTATTTCGGCCGCCGGCCCTCTCTCTCTCCTCCTCCTCCCTCCCTTCCTCCTGGGGTAAGTTGGAAGAACTCCTCCACCAAGAAATATTTGAAACCAACAATTCACTCTGTTCTCCAGCACTGCTGATTTGTACCCATCCAAGAGACAAAGGTCAAGTACAGCTTATTTTTTCTACCTCTCTCTTATGTTTTGCTTCGCTTCCTGTTGTTTTGGCATTCACCATGTCATTTCCCTCCTCTATTATTATGTGTTTCATCTGAATTCTCGTTGCATCATTTTTTTCTCTCTCTTCTTTTTTTTTTTTCCAAGTATCCAATCATCATTTAGTAGTTTTTTTTTTTTTTTAGCTTGATTTACAAATACTGATTCTCCACCCACCCTGTTTAATTTATAATAGTTTACTCTGTTTCAATAAGTCATGTTGTTTAGCCTCTGAATCACTAGCATTATTACTGATGTTTTTTGTTGCTACAGTAGGTTGGACGACGTGTATAGATACTGCAATTTGTTTAGGTCCCCCTTTTGTTTGTGATGGTCCAGTTGAATGCATCGCTGTTACCAGGTGGATATGCTCTTTCAAGTGATGTCTGAGTTTCATGTATACTACGGTTTCAATTTTTGTACTAGTCATTGAAATACCGGGGTAAGGCTGCATACCTCATGTTGCTGTTGTTGTTGTGATTGACTTCCTTTTAACCTGGCTGGGAATGGAGAATGAGATTATCGATTTTGACATTGGTTTGGGAGGTTCCGGAGTTGGTGTTGAGGATGACCCCCTTGATATTGACCACGTTGATGATGACGAGGATGACCCACTTGTAGGTACTTCTCCTTCTAATGCAGTCACAGTTGCTCATCGACGTGGCACTGTTTCTGCGGAAATTTACCTCCCTGAAGGAGATCTTGATCTTGAACCTTATGAGGGAATGGAGTTCGAGTCTGAGGAGGCTGCTAAGGCTTTCTACAACTCGTACGCCAGGCGGGTTGGCTTCAGCACTAGGGTCAGCTCCTCTCGTCGCTCCAGGAAGGACGGGGCCATCATACAGAGGTCGTTTGTCTGTGCTAAAGAAGGGTTCCGCAACTTAAATGAGAAGCGCACCAAGGACAGAGAAATCAAGCGGCCCCGCATCATTACTCGTGTGGGGTGCAAGGCCTCGTTATCTGTCAAGATACAAGATTCCGGCAAGTGGTTGGTGTCTAATTTTGTCAGGGAGCACAACCATGAGCTGGTTCCCCCAGACCAGGTTCACTTCCTTCGTTCCCATCGCCAAATCTCTGGCCCTGCCAAGACCTTAATAGACACCTTGCAGGCTGCTGGTATGGGCCCTCGCAGGATAATGTCCGCCCTCATCAAAGAGTATGGTGGTATTAGTAAGGTTGGATTTACGGAGGTGGATTGTAGGAATTACATGCGAAATAACCGTCAAAGAAGTCTCGAGGGAGATATTCAACTGCTTCTGGATTATCTGAGACAAATGCAAGATGAAAATCCTGCTTTCTTTAATGCAATTCAAGGCAGTGAGGATGATCAGTATACTGGCAATGTCTTCTGGGCTGATCCGAAGGCAAGATCAAACTACACTTACTTCGGCGATACTGTCACCTTTGATACAACGTACAGGTCTAACAGGTACAGATTACCCTTTGCCCCATTTACTGGAGTAAACCATCACGGGCAGCCGATTTTGTTTGGTTGTGCTTTCTTAATTAATGAGTCAGAGTCATCCTTTGTGTGGCTCTTTAAAACCTGGCTTGCGGCTATGAACAGCCACCATCCTGTGTCCATCACCACTGACCATGACACAGTGATTCAGTCTGCTGTGATGCAGGTTTTCCCAAATACCCGCCACCGTTTTTGCAAGTGGCATATATTCAAAAAATGCCAGGAAAAGTTATCCCATATCTTTCTTAGACATCCAAATTTTGAAGCAGACTTCCATAAATGTGTGAATTTGACAGAGTCTGTAGAGGAATTTGAGTCCTGTTGGTTCTCCCTTGTTGATAAATATGAACTTAAAGATCATGATTGGCTACAGGCAATTTATAGTGCTCGTAGTCAATGGGTCCCGGTCTACCTGCGGGATACATTTTTTGCGGAGATGTCTATAACGCAGCGTAGCGATAGCATGAACTCGTTTTTCGATGGCTATATAAATGCATCAACTAGTCTGAACCAGTTCTTTAAGTTGTATGAAAAAGCAGTGGAGAGTCGAAATGAGAAAGAAGTTAAAGCAGATTATGAAACAGTGAATGCTTTGCCAACTTTAAGGACCCCATCTCCTATGGAAAAACAAGCATCTGAACTTTACACAAGAAAGCTATTCATGAGATTTCAAGAGGAATTAGTAGGAACTCTGACTTTCATGGCATCTAAAAGGCAGGATGATGGTGAGATCACCACCTACCAAGTTGCAAAATATGGAGAAGATTACAAAGCTTACTTTGTTAAGTTCAATGTTCTGGAGATGCAAGCTACTTGTAGCTGCCGCATGTTTGAGTTCTCTGGCCTTCTTTGCAGACATGTATTGAGCGTCTTTAGGGTAACAAACGTTCTTACTCTTCCGCCTTATTATGTAATGAAGCGATGGACTCGAAATGCCAAGAGCAATGTCATATTAGAAGAACATGCTAATGATGCATTTAATAGTTACTTGGAATCTCATATGGTTCGATATAATACTTTACGACACGAGGCCTTTAAATTTGTCGATGAAGGTGCCGAGTCTGTTGAGTCCTACAATGCTGCTATAGCTGCTCTTGAAGAAGCATATCAGAAAGTTTCCTTAGAAAGCAAGAAAGAAGGGAGGATTTATGCTGGTAATAGGGATCAGTTCCGTAGGAATGACATCCATGCAAGTTGTACATCGCATCAGGATTATAATAAAGGAAGCTTTTGTTCTGAGGTTGGCCATTAACTTCTTCCATTTACCTCTTCACTTTCCTGCTTCAAAGAATGGAGTGCTCTTTATTATGTTTCTTCTTGTGATTTGTGTTGTCTAGAATTGAATTTTGAATCTCTGAGTTCATGATAATGATCTTAAGCGTGCAAATTTAAATACCCGGTTGAGTTTTGTTGGTTTAGGCTTCTTTGTATTATATATGCAATACTGAATTTAGGTATTTTCAGGATTTTAATCTGGGATTTGTGGGCCAGGTAGTCGATGAAATCCTGCTTTAGGTCTCTCTTCCATGTATGAAATATATCACTGTTGGAATCATTTATTGATTGGATATTTCTAATGACCTGAAAACATTGAGATGTGGCGCTTTTGGAAAGATACTTGTTTAACTACTGTCCGAACCTTTTATGTGGCTCTTTCTTTTGAGGCATTCTTCCTTTATTCTCCTTTTTATGTGGCTCGCTCTTTTGCGGCATTCTTCCTTTATTCTGTGAGATTTAACCGTCATTGTCACATGTGCTTGCACAATTTCTATTATCCTCTGATTTTTTGCCATATAGTATTCCCTGTTGTGTCACCTAGATGGCCATATTTTTCCGTCCAATAAGAGCGTTTTTCGGAACGATCTATCAAATCGAAGCCCAAAAGGGAGCTCAATCCCACTTGCTTTACTGTAGCATTAGGGCCTGCCGAGAAAATGTGATGAATGAGTACATTAATGTTGTCCTAGATCCAATCAAACATGCCCAAAGGCCAAAACCCGCTGATCTGTCCACTTGCCACCATTTGTGTTTCAGTAAACTTCTTTATTGCTTCTTCTCCTTTGTAATTTTGTTACTAATCATATGCTTTGATTGGTTGTTTGATCTACGTTCCCATGTTACTTATGCCAAGGCCTTTTTCCTTGTTGTTGCAAGTAAATTGAGTTGCTCCAGGTTAGGTTGGCCTCTTTTTTTCCCTTGCCGGCTGACCATTTTAGTCATGTGCTTTCAGTTTTCGTATATTTTATGTGTGTTTTATAGTATCTAAAGCACATGTTATAGTTTTGGATTGTCACGATTTCCTGCTACTTTTTTTCAACTGCGCCATGTGTTCAGTTAGGCGTGCATGCATTAGTACTTTTTTCAATGTCATACCCCTATATCTTTTTTATTATCTAAAATGTGAATTTTTGTTGTTGCCTTGATGAATTTCTATTCCCATGAGCCTTTCTTTTATCTTTGTCCTGCAGCGCACATGTCTTATTTTATTATCTAATAGTCCCTCTATTCCAAAATTATTGTAAGTTTGAAATTTCACTTTTAGGTCAATTTGTACTAAAAATGAAAATCGAAATTGGACAATAATTTCAGAACAAAAGGACAATGTGAAATTTTGTAGTTGCCTTGATGAATTTCTATTCCCGTTAGCCTTTCTTTATTCTTCATTCTGTCCTGCAGTGTATATGTCTTATTTGATCATCTAATATGTGAATTTTTTGTTGTTGCCTTGATGAATTTTTATTCCTATTAGCCGCATTTTGTCCTACAGCATACATTTCTTATTTGATTGGTGCTGTCCTTGTGACTTTTTAAATACACAATGATTTAACTTATATATGGTGGACTGAAATAATGCATTTGATAAATTTTGTAGGAAGATATTGACATGAAGATCCAAGAAATTGAGAATGAGCTGGAACATGCTAAGCGAAGATGCGAAGCATACCGTGCGAATATAGTGTCGGTTTTGAAGGATGTAGAAGAGCATAAGCAGATGCTATCAATTAAAGTTGAGAATGTGAAACTCGGCATGAGGGATAGTGTTTAGTTAGTTTTTCTTATTGGCTGTCCTGCCTTTGTAAATATGCTTAAGAATTGGAGTATAAGTATTTGGGGTAGAAAAGAAGAGAGCTTAATTCTAAAGCTAGGTAGATGAGGAAAATAGATAAGCCTTCTCTTTCTGTGGCTGTAAATTTATCAAGTTTTATAGCTGAAGTCTTGGGTAACTTGTTGGTTGTGTGGAAGGTTGGATACACAATATGTGAGTCTCTCGCTTAGCGCCTTAGTCCCAATTTGCCTCATGGTTGGTAACGTGTTGTTGGTTGGTAATAAGTCTTAGTATCAACCGTCACTTGGGTCAGAATTGGGAAATTGTGCTGTGAAGTGGGGAGGATCGGAGTTGGGAAATTGTGCTATGAGACTCTTGCAGTGGGGTGGGGTGGGGTGGGCGTGCTTCGCGTGGTATCTCAGAAGGCGTTAATAAGCTGGAAAAAGGTGTTTTGGTAGCTGGAGGAGAAGCAGGAAACTGTCAGAACAAAACTTAGTCTGAAGTCACAGTTGAATTGACCAGAGGATCTAAAATGAAAAGAGAGTAAGTACCCGAAAGTACAAGGAATGGGATCAAAATGTTCCACGCCCACGCTAACAGAGGGGTGAGATGATCTATGAAATGTCCACGAGAATGCACGTTGGAGGATATTAAGAAAGAACTATTGAATATCTTTGTGACTTTCTATCTATCTTACTGTGGTTGGGATGCTGATAAGGGATGTTTATTAGGCGATTTGTCTTCGCATTTGACCAAGCGTTGACAAATCACCTTCACCTCGTTACAGAGATTATAAGATGATGAAAGCGTTGAACCAATTGCACTTTTTTAAATTTGCTGGACCAACCCAAACGATATGAACACTCTTTAAGAAGTACTATGAAGCACTTTCTTTTGTTCTATCTTCTTCTATATGATAATAAATGTTTCGGAATTCCGATGTCATAAATTCCATCCGGGAGTGTGCAATTTAGGACAAGCAGGGGAGTGCAGAGGAATAGCGAGCGAGATGTGAGACTTATTTGGGATTCCGACCAGCCGCAGTAAATGGTCAATTTGTCAAGGTTGGTGTTTTTGAGGATGAGATGAAACATGCACTGCCTAAGGATTCCCTAGTCGAGCAACTCGAGCAAAGGGCCCGGACAATAATCCTGCATTTTATGAACAGTTTCATGGTTCCTACCAAGAGTCAAAACATTGTCAATCTACACCCGGGTCGCGGATTTGGAGCAGTGTAGTTGATACAGTTGAGGATCGGCTCTGCTAGCTTGTTTGTACTCTGGCCTGTGCGAGGCAATCCAATATACCATGCACGATATCACTGGCTGTGTATATTTGCTACAGGTACGTATTAGTTTCTATTAGGTGTTATAATTGTTTTTGTTTTCGACATTATAATTGAAGTGTTAATATTATTATTGAAATTTACTAGGTATGGACGTATGAGCGGATCGAGAGAATCGAGACATATAGAGTAGCACTAGATTATATACTGGATGAGACCGCTCCATTAGCTCAACGGTGCGTATTTTCATTTCAGAATAACTCAATGTTTATTCTATTTGTTTCTTTTTTAATTTTTTTACTAATTAAAATGGAACCCCTTCGTTTTTGTTCATTAAGGTGGGAATGTTCGTACACCTACGGAGACGTCCCAAGGAGTGGCTTGGCACCTTTTAGAGATAAATTAACAAGCCCGCGTCTTGGAGATGTAAGTATCTAATTTGATATTTTTATTCATTTTGAACTTTTTTCTTCCGGTTAGACCATTTAAATAAATTCATTTTGTGCAGTTTCTGTGGTAACCATATGCAAGCGTCCTTCCTAAACTCCCTGATTTCTGTAAACAAGGCCAAGCCATTTGGACGACTAGATGTTGGATGTTCTGTTAGGCTGTTAGGGAATCCCACGAGTCGTCAGGGTTGTGAGAATATTTGGATACATACCGAGTAATCCATGTGTCCCTATGATTAAAGATCGCGTAGCATTTCTTCTTGATCACACCCACAGTATGTCTGGCCTACCTAGCAACAATTGGGTAGATCATCATTCTGCAGTACGTCCTCAGTGGAGAAAGAGGGAAAAGTACGTTTCAAAAGATTTTGAGGTTAGATTCCCTGGCCAAACATATGAGGGGTACTATGAATGGTTCATGATGAATACAGTCAAACTTATATCCAATTCCAATAATTATGAAGCTAAAGGATATGAAACTTCTTTGAGCCGAGTGAAATTATATGTGAGTTCATTCTATATTTTTGGTTTTTTATTTCTTATATTTTCCTTTTATTTTTTTTATCTTTTTATGATTTTTGTATTTTACTCTTTTAATTAACGTTCCGATTTCTTTTCAGGGTGAAGATTGAACAACATTCGCGTGAGTTCCGAGCAGTTTAGAGATGATAGAGATAAGAAAAATCTTCTAGACAATTGACTCGAGGAGTATTTGAATGAAATCATTGATCAAACACATATTGCTTTAACCCTGAGCCCAAATGATGAGATTGACATGGACGATACCCAAATCTTAGTTTGACGAACCATCTCTGCCCTCACAACTTGCGCCGGGTAAAAAAGTGAAACCGTGACCGAGAGAGAAGATTGGAGGAGGAAGAAAGGGAAAAATAGTGATTTCCCCTCGATCATCGCAAGAACAAAGTGAAGGTGGCAGTTCAAGTAATCAACAACGAGAGCGCGAGGCAACTTTTTGTAGAGGCTCGCACATTCAGGTCGATACTCAATTTGAAGACATTGGTGGACCTGAGCCTCAATTTGAAGACATTGGTGGAGACTCGCAACTACAGTCGGGAGTCCTATTTCTTACCATGGGAGTCTCAAACCCAACCTCAACCCCAACCGCGTCAACAACGAGGTTCAATACTCACGTATCTTCGGAGGGAAGACAGGAACCGCCAAGCGCCAAATAAATATACTCCGAGTGCGCCTAGGAAAGAAAACGGGAAAAATTGAGCCCGTTGATTTTTTTTTTTTACATTGAAAGTAGTTTTAGGATTGATTTTGGATTGAAACTTGTTATGTTTCGTTGTTAATCTAATGAAGTTTATTATTTTATTGCCATTAGATTTCAGTTATTTTATGTTTCATTGTTGTTGGTGCTGTAAACAAGTTTTGGACTGGTTAGTTTTAGTCCAATTTTTTCTTCCAGTTCTGACAAAGATCCGGATTTCGTAAATTCGAAGTCCTGCATTTTGTAAAGGACTTGGATTTTGCAAATAAAACTCGATGCCTATCTGGGAGTTTCAGTTTCTTAGAGAAACAGACGGGACCCGGATTTCGTAAATGCGAAGTCCTGCATTTTGTAAAGGACTCGAATTTTGCAAATCCGACTCAATGCCTATCTAGGAGTTCAGTTTCTCAGAGAAACAGACGAGATTCGGATCACCTAAATCCAAATTTATACAACTTCGGATTTCCTTCATCCGTATTTAACCAAAGAGGAGATCCGGATTTACAGAATCCGTTCTAACCCTTATTTGGATTCCTGTAATCCGAGTTTAGACAAAAAAAATTATTTTCCAACACTTATCATTTTTTCATCCCACCGGAAATTAATGTTTCATTAGTGAATTCGGATTCGGAAAGTCCGTATTTTTATTAATTACATAAAATCCTTTCATTAACTTAATATCTGATTAACATTACACAAGTCCGGATTTCAGAAAACCGATTGTACCGGGAATCGGATTTCAGTAATCCGACTGTTACGTTGATTCGGATTTTTGAAATCCGTGACATGTAGTTTTGTCCACATAATTTCTAGTAAGTTTTTTTTTTTGTTCAGGTTTTTAATGTGCAAATATATTTAAAGAAAAAACTCCCACATACACATTATCATATGACTAAAATGTTCAAAAATGGTTCTTTATATTTGGGCCTACTTGAATTTACGTCCCTAACATTAACATTTCAATATCGTAGTCCCAAACATTATGTTTTCAAACTTTTTTAGTCCCATTTCACTATTTCCGCTCGTTGGCATGCCGGGTATTTTTGTCTTTCAATTTAATTTGAATTTTTATTAAAATTTAAATCATAATTTGATTTTTAAAATATTTTTAATGTAAATTAAATTGAAAAACAAAAATACACGAGATTCCGGCATGTCAGCGGCCGAAAATAGTTAAATGAGACCAAAAAAGTGTGAAAACATAATATATGAGACTACGATATTAAAATGTTAATTATAGAAACGTAAATTCAAGTAGGCCCAAACGTAAGGGACCATTTGAACATTTTAGTCTTATCATAATTCCACAAATAAAAAATGTCTGATGTTGATGTCCACTGATTATTAGTGTTGTTAAGCTTTGCCCTAAAGTTTCAGAGCGTTTCAAATTCGCTGCTTATATCTTTGCTAGAACCACAAGCTTGACTGCTTGATTGGCCTCGTGTGAATCAAATTGATATATACATAAGGTTGTTTTGAATCTGTTGAGTAACTTTTTTGGGCTTGCCCTATTCAGTGATGGTTCAGCAGGGTCAGTCGTAATTTGTTTTTTCTACGGTTGAACTTTCTTCTCTTTAACAGAGCTGAAGTGCTGAACTATATTTGACGCCACATCCTCTGTAGAGACCCCGGCTTTGGGAGACTCAAATTTGTAATATCCCTGGTATCATTACTTGGCAAAGCACGACAAGCATCTGCGGCCCAGGGTTCCTGACCACTATATAATTTGCCCTTTATATCACGCATGTAACATCTCTAACTATGTAGAAAATACAATGACCTATAAATATATACATCTATAAATATTTACAGAAAAAAAGAACTGTACAACCATGTCCATTTCAAAGGAGAAGGGACCATGCAACAGATTCACCTGTTTTTTGCGTCCTGGGGCTCATCATCAGACACCTCTTCCTGCACCGTTCAGATTACTCTTATGTAAAATGTGCGTCCTGCTCCATCCTTGTTCTTTCCCTTTCTTGATTGTACACAAAACCACCTGCAAGATTTCATCTGCATCTTCTTTACACGCAAACTCTAAATCAGTCACAAATATAGGGAGATGGCTTGATGAATTTTTCCACCGCTTTCCCTTTGGACTAGTAGCACTTTCTTTGTGTTCTTGACGAAAGTGAGATGATGACAACGATGGTCTCAAGAAGGCATCAGCGCTGTTTCCTATTATGTGGACCACATTTGCCTCCACATTGGCGTGGATTACACTATCCATTCCAATCTCTACTTCTATCGCCCAATCGGGGTTGGCCGGGACCCCTTGAAACTCGGGCTTACCTAAATATATCAAACAAGGGCAACTAACCACCAGGATGAATCCCCTCGTGAGGATAACAAATTTACCACCAGCTCTTAGTGCTTTGGACATGATTAACACCTCGTCTCTTAAATTTCCACCACTATTGTTTTCGGGATAATCCCTCAGCACAGCTGTTCCTACGGCTTCTTCCCAAGAATATGGCTTCAGGGGAATTCCACCCGCTAAAGGCCTCGGAAGGCGTACCCTTAGACGCTGTGAACCAATATAATGCGGCAGCTTGCTTCGATTGCGGATGCTTTGGGCTGTTTTTCCAGTAACCTCAAGGATACTCGCAGCTGGCTTTGCCACAAGTCCAGTTACTCCCAGAGCAATGCCTATACGCAAGTACGTACACAAATGAGGATGGATTATACCAGAAAACCACTCATGAACCCTCAACCCTCAAGGAGGAAGTCAAATTATAGCCAATTTGACAGTGCAGTTATTAGTAATACCTGAGAGAACTCCTGGAAGACCGTGCTTTTCTGCACCTTGAACTGGTGACTGGAGAAGTCCAGTGAGTCCCTGCAACACAGCTACATATAATAAGGTCTTCTAATTGGAGAATGTGAATAACGTAGGGGTGTAAACGGAGCCACTCGCAAGCTACTCCCGATCTATCTTGGTTGAAACTTGGTTGAAACTCGAAGTTGACCGAACAAAAAAACGAGCCGAATTCGAGCTCAGACAATAATGTTTGGTAGCTCTTCAAGCCAAACGAGCCAAACGACTTTATCTTCAATCTTCCCTGTTCAACTTACCCATTATCTTCTATTTTATCCGATTTTGTACTCCCTTTCTCAGTAAAAACGGATCCATTCACTCCCTCACCAAAATCATAAGAATCAATTGGTTTCTTCTCTTCCCTCCCCAAATATATTTGTTCCCCGGCTCCCTATTTCCAAAGTTTATTAGTAGTTCTAGAATACAGGTATGGTATTTTCATATATAAAACCCGAAACCACAAAGCCAAGCAACTTAAATGGATAAAAATCAACGCATTGTTTATAACCCTTAAGCATAGAAATATCAAGCATCAATTGGATAACTATAAAAATTATCAAAGAGCCTCTTTGTTTCTTCCTTTCTTCTTTCTTTCTCTTCCCGAAAAAGTGAATGTAGAATGTGATTAGAGTTATCGATCAGATTTATAAATGGAGGGGTTTGATTCTCGGGTTGACGGTCATGATGGAGCTTCTAATTTGTGCAATTTATGCGTTAATCGAAAAGCCTCAATCAATATTTTTTTCCCAATGGAATCGAGCTTGCTGAACAGAACTCAAGCGCATTACAAACTGACTGAGCCTTGAGCTCAAAATTTCTGGCTCGATCGAGCTCAACTCGCACTCAGTATAAAACTCAGTTCGGGCTCGGTTCATGTGCACCCCCTAGAATAAGGAGAATTTACAGTAAACTAATTCCGAAAGTTATCAGTTCCAGCAGAGAATAAGATAAGATTAAGACAAGGAAATCTAATTTCTGGCATAATAACTACAAGCATAAACTGGCTCTTAAAGTCGTAACTACCAACTTTCATGATATTTACCCAGTCTCGGGATAACAAGCATGGAATTTCTCAAGTGGTAACATGCTTCATAAAGCAATTAGAGCGATCACCTTTTCTTCTTCCCCCTTTGGGTTAATTAAGGGATCAATATAATTTGACCTTGGGAGATCATTCTTCTGAACTATGTTCCTCTTGCAGCAACTTAATTATCCATTTCATAATGCAGTAAAGTCAAAGAGTTAACGCTCCAAACCAGAATTTTTTTAAGCAAGAACAAATGGGAAAGGGACAAATAAAAAAAAAAAAAAAAGAAACTGTGAATATCTAAATTTAGCACCTTATTTTCTATCAACAACAATAACAAGAAGCTTTTTTCCCACTAGGTGGGCTCGGCTTTATGGATCAATACATATTTAGATACGGGAAAATTTAAATAAGGGAGATCAAATAAGGGAAAATTTAAATTGTTGAGCCATTATATCTAATTAAAAGGGTAGAAAGAAGCCTACCTCCAAGAATTCATTTATCACGCCCTTGCTATTAGACGATAATCCCTTTTGCTGCTTTTCCATTTGCCCCACAGTTTGGTCATCTAAGGTAAAAGCAACAATGCCCTAAATTGCACACAAATAGTACAATAAGCATGGATATCCACCGAAATTCACAAGCTCAATAGATATAAAGAGGGGCCACCTTATGTGCTGCTCGGCTAAATTGAGTCGCAGCGTCACTAATGGCAAAGATTGTATTACTCAGTAGACTGGTAGTGCCTTGTGCCACGCCCGTCAGAAGTCCTGAAGGACTCTGTTGGAAACAGCCCATGTCAATATGGATCCCAATACTATCAATAGTGTTCCCAAAAAAAAAAAGGAATTGCATGAATGAACATACTCGGAGAATACTCCGGACAGGTACCGACAAAAAATCTTTTATGCCATGGCTCATGCTCCTCATAAATCCCATTGGATTGCCAATAAGCCCTGCAGAGCCAAAAATCTACAAAAGAGCATCACCGATTAGCTAGGATCACGAACAACGATGTAGTAAAATCATAAATGAGTCTAAGTGGTCAAACACAAAGTTACATGAGAACTAAAGACTGTGATGTATCCTACTCCTTCCATTGAGATTATTATAACTAAGAAACCCATGAAAGATATCCAATGATTTTCTTCATACATGATTAATGAGATATACATATGCACTAGTTTGCTAGCTCAGCGATCAGCTGAGATAGGCAACTCATGTCAGCTCTCCTATTTTCCCCAAACTAGCAAAACAATAAACAAATCAAGCACAAAGAGCAAAACATCACAGAACAGTCAAAGAAATAGTTTTACAAATCCAAATATCATATTAAGGCTGTAATTTCAATAGGAAACAAGTTCAAAGTAGTTACAAAATAGTGGAGGACTGGTTATCAACATGTTCATTGTATTTAATTAGTGTACTTATTTTATTAGTAGGGAGTTATTTTTCAGTTAAATGTTCAGAACTATAATAGATTCTAAATCAGTTTCTAGGGGAAGAATTTAGAAAATTAGTCTTGCACTTCCCTCCATAGGCACAGCGTTATTTATATTGAAGTAATGTGTCAGATTCTCCAATTTATCTTCGATAGATACTTCTTTATTTTATCATAGCAGTTTCTATCACCTTTTTGTCGTATTTCTTGTTCTGCATTGACATCATGGTGTAAGAGAAAATAATTATGGAACTCACATAGCATGAATAAAATAATATGAAACAAATGTTGCACCTGGTTACTTTCCAGCATATTTTGCCTTAGTCCTCATGGTTAGCAAACAGTAACAGGCAAAAATTTCATAAATTTTGGGGGCAACAAGAGCAGATAGAACGTTTAAGGTTAATGACCGAATATTTACGATGAAATGCAAGAGAAGATGAGTGGCAACATTTTTAGTGAAATTTACAAAATAACATACAACAAACAACAACAAGAAAAACAACAAGAAGCTTTTGTCCCACTATGTGGGGTCGGCTATATGGATCATATGTTGTCATCATGCAAGATCAATACACCAATTCACACAAGGAAAAAGAAAGAAGAGAACCAAACTCTTTCCTATTCAAGCTTTAATGAATCTACCCACTCAAAATGGATTCCATCAGTTGCAGAAACATGTCACTCAAAAAAAGTACCTTGTACATTTCATGTAGTGACTGCTTGGTGTAGTGCCTGATAAGGATCTCCTGGATGGATTCCCAACTAGCCAGCTGATGAGAAAGAACCAACTCCTTAAGATGAATTTGCGCCCCCTCAACATCAGCCAGAGCCATAAAACCTCTCTGTATTTAGCATCATATAACACAAAAGCTAGTGAACAATAGTGAGCAGAAAAGCAAACTCCAGTGATGAATGAAGTTACTATTAGTATACTTTCTGGCTCAAGAACCACTCACATGAATGAGGGATTCTCCCAACGTAAGGACACCATTCCGAAGCATCCACGGACTGCTGGAAAAGCTGGATGAGGAAATCATCAAGGAGGTGAACATTTGCGGGAAAAGAACAGCCAAAAACAAGGGAAAACACAAGAAACACGCAAAGAGAAACCTCAAGGTCATCTTAATTGGTGCTATGTCAAGCAGTTCGATATATGTCTTATTCTGCTTCCTCGCTAGAAGGTAGATTTGCTGCCACGGAGCTCCAATAGGAACTATTGGGGGTAGGACTGAGCTTGAACGTTCATTGTAAAGACCAGAAAACTGGGCCCCCTTGACATTTTCCGGGTCAGACACCGAAGGATAGTGTACAGAAAAATCAACTTGCTTCAGCACTCTTGTGTGGAGTCTCGATGATGTCATTCTGAAGAACTTGAACAGGCTCAATATTAACTCTTGCTCAAGTTCAAGATGAAAATCTGTAACTCTGAAACCAGAGAACAATAAGTATCAAGTGCCTGTATAACTTCATAAGGAGGTTAGGCACTTTTGAGAAAGCTAATACAAACCTCAAATTAATATATTCATATGAAACCAAGGACATATTTTTCGTTCTCCACTTTGCAACAGATAACGATATCACAGGTTCATGCATGCCCTCGGAATCAATTTGTATAGCGCTAGCAATCTTTTCCTGAATATGCTTATTGCAATTGTCAAATGACAAAATGACAGGGTATGGAGTGCTAGACAACTGATTATCAATTTGCAAAAACGAGATATGGAGGCTAAACTTCTGCTGATCAACACTCTGAATCAGATCAAACCTTGAACACTTCGCGCATGCAAAGAGCATTTCCTACAACAGAAAGGAAAAACAAAAATGTAATCAGTTATCAGAGTGAGAACTGCAGCATGGACAAAGACATGCCAACTTTTAGACATATAACTATACCTCGTTGTAGGAGTTCATAAAAGAGATTCCAAGAAACGGAAGGTCTACTGATATTTGTTCGTTGAAATGAACAACAGTTTCACGTTTTTGTGCACTCTTTCCCATAAAGTTTAGCCGAGTGTCCAAATTTGAAAAATCATTTAAAACATGGTAACTTGAATCAATGATGCTGAGGACCTGCAACAGAAGATAATAAAACATCTTAGCATTAAAAACACTGATAAAAATCGTAAGCCCCGAAATTTCAATGCGTAGCTTACATACCTTAATTGCACCTTCAGAATGTACAGAAACAAGTAAAGTTCTTTGAGATTTCTGAAAAGGGAAAAAATTGTCACAATATGAGAGAAAGAAGCTCGACAGAGTTAAAGAGTGATCAAGTAATATAATACAGCAGGCTATTGAATAAGTACCTCTGGAGTTGCAGGTAAATACACCGGTGAGGGATCCTTGACATCATCAAGAGTATACAACCCTATCACACGGTCACCGAGCACCTGATAAGTCAGACACATTGCAAGACAATCCATTAACATAAATATTATTATTTATTACATATAGAGTCTAGAGAAATCAAATGAATAACACTACTAAGGGAAAATTTCCCTAAAAGGGAATTTTTATTTTTTATTTTTTATAGTTAAACAGCACCAGAGGATTTTAAAATACTTAAAAAGTGTGTAGTTTTCTATAATTCCTGTTAAGGACATAAACTGTTTCTATAAATCACTTTTGCAATGACTTCTCTTCCCTTTTAATTCAACCCCATTCCCCTCCAAATTAAGATTTGACAAATGCAAAATTTATTGCTTTAAACGAGGTAATTCAACAGCAATTGCCAATGAAGCGGCTGAAATTCTCCATGGTTTAGCCTCAACCTTCCACTGTACTCTATTCCAATCTGGGTTAACTAATTGCAGACACATGATCATTCACAATACATCATCCCTGGAATGGTGCTGATTTTGCTTTGAAAAGCAACTGATCATGTGGTTTTGGTGATCAGTACTCGTCAATGACAATGGGCCTTTATGCAGAGGGTGAGTGGTACTTGTGTGTTACATCTTTTATCGATGTTTCCATTTTCTTCCATAACGCGATCATAAATATTTAAAACTCTGTTTTAATCAAGATCACCAATTTTAACCTCTACTGTATTATTACTACTACCACTCCTAAACGGCATTCCACATATTGTGTTTTAACCCTACTTATTGTAGAACATCTAGATTCTAGCATCTGCCTCCAAATTTCTAATTTGGCATTTACCGTCTCCCAGGTCTTATATATTAACACTACTCATCTGCAAACAATATGCATTCAGGGATATCTGTACGAAAATGCTTAGACTTTTTATCATTACTAACACAAGAAATGAGCTTAATGCCAACCCCTGATGCAAACCTATAGTGGTTGGGAATTCACCCAATAGTAACACGTTGCATTATTAATTATCTTTTATAGTTTTGATATAACTTACTCCCACTCCCCTCCTTACTAACACCCACCACATATAACTTTACTAACTCCATGCTGTAGATTTCCAAGGTCAATGAAGACAAATCCAATGGTTTTTCTCATTAAAATGTTCACACATCTTATTACAAGTATAACTTCCATTGTTGGCCTTCCTTGCTACTAAATTGGTTTGTAACCTAGTATTTATTACTTTTTCAACAATTCCATTTTATGAACATTCGTTTTACACCCCTATAAGCACAACTTTGTATATCTTCTTTATTGTTATACAAAGGTATTAATGTACTTTGTATTAGTTAGGCAATTTCTTAAATGTTAAACAGCTTATTCAATCCCAAATTTGTCAAGACATCTCTACTCTATTGGGGGACCTATAGTTTTACCATTTTTTTCATTTCTTGCATGGCTGTTTATAGTTTATACCTCTTTGGATTTTACTATAATATCCGCAATTTTTATAATCTCACTTTGCTTTAATTCACCTAGTGATATTTCCCTAATAATAATTTATTATTACATCAACTAAAACATGTCCATTTTCATCTTCTATGCATTTAATTTTTGTAGATCTTCCTTCCCCTTATTTTTGCAATTATACACACGTCATTTTCTTCCCTCTTTAGTATCTTATTGTTTGAGAAAGTTAAGGCTCGAAACATATAACTTACTAGTCTAATTGTACTTCCTGTGCGTTACTATTAACTTTTTATTCAATCTTGTTCAAGTTTCAATTTTGGCAAATATTTAACTTCTTTTTCTAATATGCTAAAGTATTAAATATTGTTTTAATCCCAAGGATAAAAGTTTTGAAAGATTTATACTTACCTTAAGAAGAGGATTGATATACAAGCATTAAAAATTCAGAGTGACTTGACTAATGAAACAAAACGAACACTTCAATAATTGACAACATGATAAGGGACTATCTATTTATACTTATGCCACACCGATCACTATTTTATTTGCCTTAATAAGAATAATAATAATAACAGACAAAAACTCTATTTTAGTCTGCTATTTTCCACTATTTTTGGACCCAAATAGTTTGACTAAAACAACTTACAGATGAACAAATAGTTGACTACTACAGCATACTGATTCACTATGTTCTGAAAGATCAAAACTGGAATGCGAGAGAGTAAAAAGAGCAATTGCTTTGGCTGAGGACCAAAAATAATAAAAATTAAAAAAAAATCATAATACTATTAATAACAAAAAGAACAAAGGAAAGAAACTCATCTTACCTCAACTGTTAGCCTATGAGGGAAGCAGGGTTCATCCCATGCATAAGGGTGGGAGGTGTATGGGTGAACCATAGTTTCAAACGTTTCACATCTTTGTTGGTAAATCCGTAGTCTCTGTCATGAAGTGAAGAAGGCACATAATCTATAACATATTTTAGAACTAACATGTGTAATAACTAACTGTGCAGAAATCAAATGAATACCCAATCCAGATACCGAGACATTCGAACGCATTTTTTTTAAAAAAAGGGTTGCAGAATCACAAATCTGACATACTCGGATTCTTGCAAAAGTACTCGATGAAAGAAAAATAGTATTTACGCTTACGTAGAAAACTTTCAAGAACTCGAATTGGAACTGAAGATCTTAGGATAAAGATCGTTTGGTACATTTGCGGAGGACGGACTTGAGAATTGGGGGGTTTAGATTGAAAAAAAATACTCCCTCCATTCCAAAATAAGTGTCGTTTTAGCAAAATGGAGAAATTTCAAAATAAGTGTCGTTCTCACATTTCAATGCACTTTTTGTCCAAAGTTTCCAGAATTACCCTCGAAAGAATTAATATTATTGGTGGACATTTTTTTAGTGGGGTTGGTTGAGGATATTCAAGTAATTTTATTACCCTATTTAAGAGTTTCTTAAACTATGTGCAAAGTGTAGAATGACACTTATTTTGGAATGGAGGGAATAATTTATATAAGATGACATCAGTTTTCTGGAAGGGAATAAAGTTTAAACTGAAAGCTTTCAAAATTTTCGAGGGAAATTTCAGTTACTTCCCAAATATTGGGGGTTATGTAAGCATGTAAGGTGACTGAAGTTCATACTTTGAAACGGAATTTACACATTTTTTAATTCTAAATAATGTCATTCCACACAAGCTTCACATGTAACAGGATCCAAATGTCATCACCTGCTAGAATCGCAAGTTTGACAATGGATCAGGAAATCAAGAACGCCAAGTCATTAAATGTCGCGACTATTCCAAATGCCTTACAGCTACTACAGCTTGACATAAAATAAAATTTGGCAAAGATATATATAAAACAGTAACAAACCTCCGTCGAGAAGTTGTCAATTCTGTATGGCATGAAGCCTGTATCATCATCAGATAAGAGTATCAAGTTTGTCCCTGAATTTCCATGAGAATTTCCAACAACTGTTTCATCTTCAATGGAAACGTCAGCACTCTGCACTTCCACACGCATCATATTTACGGTACTAGTAATGTAATTCCACATTTTCAGTTGAGTATCACCCAGATGCTCCGGTGAAAAGCATCCTGACCACTGCCATCCTGGTTCATCAAACCGTATGCAAACTAGCAACTCCCTGAAATATAAAGGCGGAAAGTTGATGGTAGTTTTATCTTTGCAAGGATACTAGAAAGACAAACAATGAGCAGCTAGAAACATATAGCAAATTGCTAGCTTAATTCTAACTTTTATCCCATCTAACCATTCTTGAAATCCAGAAAGCAGAAAAATCCGTAGTGATTTTAAATTGGCTGAACTAGAAATAGCTTTGAATTTTATGTTCCATTCAACATGTTTGGTTTCAAATTTTAGCCTTCTCCGGAGTGCAAGCCCCTGTCCCAGCTCCTATTTGTCACACTTTCAAACGTTATCATATCTAAATACAAATATAACAAGCTTGAAAACGCACAACTAGAAAAGAGAAGGCAAAGGAAGATAAATAAATATTTAAAAAAGAAAAATTTAACTAGGACATTTGCTTGCCTTTGACTTACTGTATACTGTGTAGTAAAATCATGGACGAACATCATGAGAAATTTAAGGTGGTAAATGTTCAGAAAAAAGGAAGAAAAGAGAGGTGGTGATGTTCTGGTCAGCAAAATAAAAAGATAACTTTGATGTAAGTATTGCCCTTAATTACAAGGGGATAGAACTCAAATTAAAGAAGACTTAAAAGTTCCCCAACAAGTACTTACTTGGTTATGTCCGTGCACTTGATATGACAATGTTGTCCAGCTTTTAGAAGAAAAACTTCCTCAGTTCCTTTCTGCTTGTAAAACAAGGCCCTGCTGCAGGCATTACTGATAACGTATCTGCACATTTTCGCAGGGGATATGCTGGTCAAATAACATGAAATTCAAGCATAACTAGCAACCAAGAAACAAAGAAACACTAATTTCAAATTTACTCAAAAATTCATTCCATGTGATGCTACGCCCAACTACCTTGGCTGAAAAGTGATAATCTTTGTCCTTCCAGAAAATGGAGCTGCAACAGCAGTAACAGAGACAAGATACCCAGCATTTCTTCCACCCTGAGGAACCACAACACTAGTCGAGCCAGTTGGTGGAACCAGTAAAAACGGATTTGACCACGAAGAACTAGGGATGCTTCTATAATCGGTACCAGAAGGACATCTACTCAACCTAACCGTAATTTCACCAGATGGAGAAGTTGGACAAGGTGAATACATGCATGCATTTTCAATCTTTTGGCCAACGGTGACAAAATCAGAAGATAATTTTGATTGTCTGTGAGAAAGGGACCCATCATTTAGTGTTGATGATCTTCCAAGATGTGATTCAGGTGTTTCATCATTAAAGTGTAATGATTTTGACGGCCCTCCTGGAATCAAAAATTTACTGTAGAGCTCATCTTTGTGAGACTTTGAAGAAGTTCTGTTTCTTGTTAAACCTGCAGTCTGAGCATCAATTGGAGCTTTCTGAAAATCACGAACTGAGAACAGAAGACTCAGACCATCCTTACTCCCAACAATTTGGTCATGCTCATCCAAATGATAACATGATGTAGCAATGCAACTATGCCCTTTGATCTCATCCATGGAGTTTGTTAAAATAAGTGGAAAACCGATGCAATTGTATACCAAAAACGGAATGGAAATACAAATTTCACGGGCCCCTGAGAATGCATCCATTACTTTTTCCATGTTGACAGATAGATGACCTGTAAAAAAATCATTTTTCCTTAAGGTATTCGTTATCAGAAGAGAAAACATATATATGAGAAAAACAGTTGTAGGACAAAGCTGTTATACCATCTGGCAACTCAGAATCAAAGGTGAGAGTTTCAGATAGAGAGAAGCTAGTTCCACTGAACTTAGCCATTGCACTGAAGGTTTCCGCACGGGGAAATTTGAGAATCGATGGTTTGAAGTGCCGAATGCTAAATGTCAACGTCAAATCATGTGAAGAATCAATGTGAAAGAAAGACGATTCCACCTGGAAGTATCATTCCAAATCACATATCGCACACGGAATCATCAAGTTCATTAAAATTATGAAACAAAATAACCTGACACATGCTTCATACCTTGGACAGTAAGGCATTAAGAGTTACACCTCCATTTTCAATTGCCACTGAAACTGCCTCGGGAAGATAATTTCTCAACAATAAAGGGGTACTTAAAGTCACGAGGTGCATGAATCGTTGTTTTGATGTCTCCATGTCATGAGATAGTTCATTTGAACTTTTGATTGGTGGTCTGAAACCATCATCATCAGAACTTTTCTTGATCCAACCGGTCATGGGCAAACATCTATCCTCCACTGATATGCAGCAGCGGAATGGATCACTGCTCGGATGAGATGGATAGCAAACAAACGAACGCGGAAGATTAATCCTATTTTCCTGAGAAATAATGTTTGAAACATTATATGCTTCACTCCAGAGGTAGGTATCACCAAGAGGTCGCCATCTCATACGACCTGCTTCAGCCAAATGTAAAGGTAGTGGAAACTCCTTCCCCGGATATATGGGGTCTAAAATCTGAAGCGAGAGAGACCAAAAAGAAATTAATTGGAAAAAGCTACATAAAAATGTCAAATGTACAAACAAGCATTTTCCCAACTATCAACACCTTTGGAGCCACGCCAAATGGAATATCAAAGCGCACTTCGAGAGGCATAGAAGTTGCATTTGCAAAGACAACCTGCAAGATAAAGTCGGAACTGACTTAGAAAAAATAAATGTATCATGCGGATGGAAAAAATGTAAGCTTTGGGTAGACCGTTGAATACAATCGCAGCAACTTAGTGTAGCGTTGGACTGATACATCAATCACCACAGGAAGGACGAAGCCATTCTTTCTATCTATCCCATCTCCTTCATTTCTTCTAAAGTCACCAATATCAGGTTTTGTACTTGGTAATGATAGGTCTGCCTCAAAGTACCTAACACCAACGAGATCCATGGATATAGGGGGTGAAGGTAAGGATGTTCCTTCTAACTGGATACTAATAAATCTATGTGCAGCCCCAACCATTTGCTTGCCATCGAAATTGTTGGATAACTGAATAGATCTATCTCGGAAAAGCTGCTTCTTTGGGGATTCATCAATATATATTGGCATGGATGAGCCTGCTGGAAGATAATTGCCACTACTCCAAACCAATGTATTCTGATCATCATTGTCGTCGGGTTTCTCATTACAAACACGAAAAATTAGTGGCACAGAAGTTAAATTTTGCAGTATATAAGGAGCGTATCTGCTGGTATCAAGGTGCTCGTTAATATGAGAATCAAAAAAGTTTGCGCCACTTGAATGAGCAGATATTTCTGAAAAAGCCCAGACGTCCTTCACCATTTCTGTTGCTCTGGAAACAACCTTAAGGAGAAAAAAATATATATAAGATGCCAGTAAAACAACCCAAACTTACCTGACAAAACAGAAGGCTAACTTCTTAATATATAATTAAATGAGAGCTACTTTGACGAGCAACTACTCAACTAACATTATATCAATCTAATGACATCATTTATCAAGATTATTCCATTATAACAATTACTAAGCCTTCATCTCACAGTGTGGGATTGGCTATATGCTCAAAAAGAGATGCTACACAAAAAGATTATCCATAAAGAAAAGGACTATTATCTCATACAACTTGCATCGCTTAATTCCTCAAAATATTAAGTTCCAGCTTCTATTTAAAACAACAAGACCCTAGAATGCTAGAGACATAACTTAATCAAGACCCCATCCAGCAGGCTTTGATCGAACGAAATTAGAGTATGCTTTTGATCAGCACCTGAAGTTTTTGTTTCAAAAATACCTCGATCAATGACTCGGTAATGTTCAGGTTCAGTTGCTTTGCTGATTTGAGATGAATATGGGTCATGATAGTACTACTCAGGACAGAACTCTTGTCATACTTTCTGGATATGCTTAATAAAAATTCCCAAGGCTCCACAAAGGGCTCCCACAAGACCTGCAGGCAAATACGAAGTGCACAATTTGAAACACCAATAAAGGCTATAAGCAAATTAAGAGAATTTGATTCATGTACCAACCTTGTCAATATTATTATAATTTACCAGAAGATCACCACCTACTGATCCCTCCATTTCGCAATCGGTTATATTACTGTGTACAAGCATGTTTGTAATCAAAATCTCGACAAGTGGTCCACACGAGCTCCACTGCAGAAGTCATAAAATAAAGTAAGATACACTTATAAAACACATCATACTTAATTAACTTGTACAAATTGTCTAATCACAGTGGTTAGCCTTTCATGTCAATATCCCAATCTTATAATGTTCTTTTGCTAATAGAACCATATAACTTGCATCTGCATGCAAGTCTGTCCCGGAAATTCGTACTTACTTTTTGCAGAATTTAGATAGATTTCAAAGACGCATAACTATATCAACATAACCATTACCAAGAATCAAGATAAGAACACAGCAAGAACAAAGTGTACCCAACTTCAGAAGACAGGAAAAAAATGCTGAAATATATGGTAAGACACAATAGCTAGATTTTTATGATTACAATACGGAGAGGAAAGAGAGAAATCAATTAAAAAGTATATTTTCCAGAATATCATATTTTCTTCACCTTTCCATCATTCAACAGTACGGAAAGTTTCCTCAGCTGCACGTTGATACTAAAACTGCTGAACATTGGTGGAGAAGGTTCAGATTCCGGGACTTCAAATAACATAGTGCGGAAGAAGTAAAACAAGTCATCTGAAAGCCAAACATCAAGCTCCTCAACATGAATATCCATATCCAATTCTACTTGAGCGGCCCTCATAACCTGGCGATTCAAGGCTGCAGCTTCCACATTGACCAGAACCAGTTCAAATATTGACCACGTTCTCTGACTATTGTTCTTGCAGAGATTCACCACTCCCCCAACTTTTTCCAGTTTGATTTTTACTGTAAGTTTCTCGCCATCACTAAGAACCTCACTGCATTTACTTTCCAATGTAAGAGCAATGAAGCCATGCTGATTACTGCACATAATGTCAGAGGATGCATTTTGATGCCTGCGGATTGGGATCTGTGATTCTTCAAGAATGCTAAATATATCTCCACTTACTAAAAGGGGAATGTAGGCTGTTGCACCAAATCCTTCCAGCTTAGCAGAAAAATCTGCTCTACTGCTACGGTGTTCTGGAAGAACAAAGCTTGATGTAACTGAAGATCGAGTCATACCCACAATTTCAACGGCATCGAGGGTTTCTGTTAATGCACCTACTGTTGACATCTTCAGAGGTTGTGGTTTGTATTTCTCAAATAAGACAATGATCTCTCTCCAGTCAAACATATGCATCCAAATATTGACATGAGGAAGAGATACTGAAAGCCTGTTTCCTTCTTGATCAGATGCAAAAAGATTCATCTTCGAAGATGATGAGCTATGTTTGAAAGATGGGAACTCAACGAGCACAACAGAATTGAGTAACGAAAAAAGGGTTAGATGAGAGAGCGAAAAATCCAAAATGAACAGTCTAGCATAGGGTAATGACACCAAGCATAAGAACTGTGTTTCTACTTCCGCAACAAGCTCAGAATTGGTGTATTCTCCCTCTCCAGAATGCAATCTAATAGAAATCGACTGAGCAAAAAGGCTTATTTCAGTAGCTGTTGTGGCAGAATCTTCATACGCAAGAACAGCTTTTTCCCTCATTTTTTTCTTAGACTGAAGAAACTCTAAAAGATCAGATATAAACAATTTAGATTCTACATCCACCAGAGAAAGTTCATTCACAATATCCAACAAAGCCTCATACCCAGCAACTGACCATATTTCTGTAACCAAATCAAAAGTAAAAGTAATAAATAAATAAATTGCATGATGGATGGATATTTCAAGAAGATCCAAGAGAAAAAGAAACATTAAGTTCAGGCATACCCCTGACATCAAGCTGGCAATTGAGGACCATCCCCACGATGTATATTGGAAATGAAGATTGTAAACTAGAAGACTCAGCCAAAGGAAATCTCACCCATATATCGGCACTGAGCGGTGAAACTAAGGAAAAACTCTGGTGGCCTGGAAGTTGACCCAATTTCAAGGAACCAGACACGCCATCTTCCATCAGAACTAATGACAACGACAAATCTCGTCCAAATAAGTTCAAAGAATCATTTCTAGTTGAAATTTTATCAGGTGTAACCGGGCATTCAGGTGGGATTCCCTTGAAAACCAAATCAAAGTCACAATTTCCAACAAAACAGCCAAGGAAATGTCGAATATCAAGCTTCAACAACTGATCTCCATCTCCCATCACAGGAACAAACAAGCTAGAATCCACTATCTCAAACTTATAAGTGGTAGAGTTGTTAACTTCCAAATCCATAGAACTCTTGGCTGAGCAGCTGCTCCAGTCAGTTGAAGAAAAATAACCAATCATCACAGCCAGAAATTCTGGAGGTAGAGTACAGGATACATGTTGGGCACTGAAACTTAATTCCAAAGAACCACCGGGTTCTTTCCTCGCACGAATGTTAAAAATTGGAGAAAGAGTAGGCATTGATGGACCCCAAAGAAAGCCACTAATCGTTCGAGTCCACCAAGACGAAGAAACAACTAACCCTTCAGTAGAACATAGGATGTCAAAGCGACCATCAATGATCGAACCTGATGATTTAGCAGTGACAACAGACATACTTCCAATTAAACAAGCTGAATCGTGGAAGTGTACTTTAACATTGTTGAGGTCCATTTCCATGTCAAACACTTCACGACTATAAGAACTCTTCCATAAAGGATCGCCATTGTCAGATCTTTTAAAATGGCCATAATAACATTTGGATCCCTTAGTAGAGAAACACTTAGGACTTTCAATCTTCTGGGATCCAAATTTATGAGTTTCCCTCCAATGAGTAACGGAATCAACAAGCACATTCTCAAAAGCAACTATAGGACCTGAGTTGCGGATTGTAATGAAAGGAAAACAATCCAACGGAATACCTACCCCTTCAGATGATCCCGCTTCAACAAAATTCGAAAATCCAAACTTCTGAATACTGAAATAAGGTCTAGCGATCAAATTCTTATCATTCACTGCACTGGTATCTTCATCAGAAATTGAAGTTCCAGATTCCAATATGCCATTTATGAATCGAGCCAGAAGCACAACTATGAAGGGATAGTAGTGAATGTCAATATTAGTCAAACATATAACACCCTTGCTGTAGCATGGCTCCAAACCACTACAAGATTCAAAATGCAACAGCAAGCACCTACTTCCCCTAAAATGAGATGTTGTGGAGTCCTTAACTTTAGCGGTAGCTCCGAAGTCTTTCACGCCTGGACTTGAAGATTCATCAGTAAGCTTACTTTCAGAAGAGCATAACACATATTCTGTTTCTTCATGTTTCTTTGAATAGGCAACAACACGTAATACCTCCGTAGAAATCCAGCAATCCAGCAAGTCTTCTTGGTCAAAACTGAGAGAAACATTCCATAAAACTCATTTTCTACGAGCAACGACTTTCATGAGAAAAGATGAAGCACAAAAAAGAGGTCACAGCATGCAACGAGCACATTTGAGCACTATGGGGAAAACAGCCAACCAGTTAGCATTATTTATAAGTTGTAAATCCAGTAAAACAATGTATCATAGATATCATCCCAATCACTTTCACTCAATCCCACACTCAAAGATGATCATAGCTAAACATTTACAACTTTGCAGGCATACATAATATTGATCATAATCATACGATTAATCACAGAAACCACCTAGGAAAGAAAAAGGAAGAAGATTAAGAGGTAAACAGCGTACCTAACATTGACGGCCTGAAGACAAAGCTTAACACCATAACCATTCTCAACGTCATTTTCAAGGTTGACATTGAAAAGAACAGAATCAATAGTCGCAGTTAGAGACCACCAAAGATGCTCAGAAGTTGCTGGCCTATTTGACTTGCCATTAAGTGCATTGGCTGACTTAAGGTCTTGATGATCTGATTCCAGATGCAACTTATTTAAATATTTGACAAGACCATTAATGCTGCAAAGAATAGATGGTGAAAAATGCAGGAGAAGGGATGGAATGCTGAAACGGACCTGAAAATAAAAGAACCAACCAACAATGTCAATATAGTTCCAAGCTCTCATTGGATGTAATCTTGATGAAATAAGAATATTGTATACCACAATACAACTACTAGTTTTAAACAATCGAGGAAGGTAAAACCTAAACAACCAGAAATAAATGCACAGTCGTATACACACATATGTACATGTTGCTGAAAGCACATCTAAAACAACTCTCCACAGCAAAACACAAATGTTTTGAGATAAACTTACAACCAATGCTTTTAATATTGACTCATCTACAACATTGCAAGACTCCAATTGAATAGAACAGCTGAGTTTCTCGAGAATTGGGATGGCTTCAGTTGAATGAAAGCTGGATAACCGGACCTGAAAGCAGTAATTAATCTTGACTATCAAAATGCTTCATACTAATCCTACGAGCACAAATATCATCCTGAATAAAAAAATAAAAAATAAAGAATAAAAAAACGTTTCATAGAAGCTGAATGGAAGAGAAGAGGATCGGCGTACTGACCTCAAAATCAATCATATTAATCTCATATTGAGTGTATAAATCTTCCAGTTGAAAATCCAGAACCAAGCCAGCAGTGGTTCTGGATCGCAAGTAGTAACTAAGATGATTGTATGAACCATCTTGCACATCACTTGCAAATGAACCCATTTTGTTGGAATGAAATCTGAATCTTCCAAATTCAATCACCTATAAATTTCAAAGATGGAAATTTCATAAACAACCAAGGAAGATGGTTGGATGCACAAACAATAAATAAATTCATAACCTGAAGGGGCCAGGGGCCTGTATCAACAGCATTTTTTGTTTTAGTTTTCACTTGGGGTTTACTTTTTGTAAAAAGTAAAAAGGTTTAATATGAAAAGATTAGTTTTAAAAATCATAGTGTGTCTCGGTAATTGGGTTCAAATGGAAAAATGAAAAGCGGCTTGCCAAAGAGGCCCCACAACTCATATATTTAGCAGTTCATATATAATGAAAAGCCCAATCTCGTAAATAACGGTTTTGTAGAGCAATTAAGTAGTAGTATGCAATGTTCATGAGAACTTGATGGAACATCAATGACTTAATAATTCGGTGTCTTTTCCTAGGTGAATTATTGATGGGGATAAATGGTTGAAGAGTACTAAGTTTTATATAAGGAGGGGTTCTAAAGCTCTTATCTGGAATCATCTGGATGAGCAAGAACCTTCCTGGGAGCTTGAATAAGATGCTGAAAGTATTTTAAGTTATTTTCCGTATTTAATTTTCAGTATTTTAAAATAAGGGTAAGTCATTAATTTTTTATTATTGCAGGATTTTCTGGAAATTCCAGGTTTCTGGAAATTAGTTTTAGTTTCCAATTTAGTTTCTAAGTATTATTTAGGGAATAAGGGAGAAGGTTCTAGAATTTCAAATCAGACTCCTAGTAGGTGTTGGTTTTAAGTCTTTTAGGCCTATAAATAAGGCTGTACTCCTTCCAGGAAGATTTAGACGTTGATTAACAAAATTTCGTGCAAGAAGCTTTGCTTTGCAATAGTTGTGCGATACAGCTTCAAACCCTGAGGTGTGACGCCAAAGGTGACTAAGAGTGATTCTTAGTTTGTTACTTTTTAGTTTTCCGCTGCAATACTACTGCTATTAGCTATTTATTCCTGCAATTTTCCTGCTGTCTATATGAGGTTTTTACCTACGATCTGTGTTAAGACTACACCCACGCTGTGCTGCGTCAATTGTATAGCAAATAAAACACACAAGGCATTAAGTTGACAAAACAAACAGAAGAAAGAGAAACTGAATATGTGATGCTTTCCTCATCCATAATTTGTTACTCGATCCAAATGATAATTTAAGCTGAAAAGTACCTCTTCCACTGTTACTATAGAGAAACATATTATATGTAATAATAAGTTACGACAACTTACACAATTTATAGGAATATAATTGATCATACCATTTTACGCTCTTCAAGGTTATCAATCATCCATGGAACTGTAAGCACAAAACTGGCAAGGCTGACATCCCACATTATCCTCTTCCGATTTGACAAAATATAACTGCCGAGGAAAAAGAGCAGTTAACAAAACTACATTGACACTCTTCATCAACAATTATTTAATAAGTCAATTCATATTCAAAAAACGAAGCTAGCTGAGCTGATATAACATAAAGTACCTAGTCTAAAGATCAACTTACTCAATCTTACATCGAAGTCTCGTTTGTAAATCAGCAATATCATTCACTGATAATAGAACCTGTACAGGGATAAAAAGACAATGATTTTCACACATTAGAATGCCAGATGCTTTGGATAAGAATGTAACCAAATGAAAGAATGTGAATAAAATTCTGAACAGCTATGCAACAAATAAAAAGTATCTACCAAATGAGATGATAATGTGGAACAGCAATGAAAATATCAACCAGAAGATATGCATGCAACAGAAACATTAAAAAATAAATAAAAAATTAAAGAATGGTTAAAGAGAACAAAACTGACTCTTTCATGCAGGAACTTCAATCTGTCAAAGATTCGATAATACTCCACAACATTCTTTAGAAATTCGGAATCAAATGTCACCTCCGTAGGTTGTAAAAAGACCTGCAAAAGATTTCTCAATATCTGGGGGAAAAAAGCTATATATAAAGAAAAAAGTAGGAGAATTATATGTTACCTTTATAGATGAGCTGAATTCAGAAATTGACGGCAGAACCTCAAGTTCAATGGTCAAAGAAGGCTGAATTCCTACTCCATTTTCTCCATTTTCTGAAGACTGCATAGAGTCATTGTTAAGGAACTATGGTCACAGACAACTAAAACTTCAGTTTTCGAAGTTCACTTTCGATCAGTTGGAAAATAATTAAATGTGTGGGTTATTATCAACAGGGCAATACAAAACACTGAACAAAGGGATTGGTGATAGAAGTGACGATGTGGCTTCAAATACTCCAACTCGTCACTAGTTAATTCTCATGAAAAAAAAAACAAAAAATAAAAGTTTGAACCCCCGCGCCCCAACAGCACCAAATCAATAGATTTTTGAGCCAACAAAGCAATTCAGACTCCTTTTATGCCAGAAACCACCCACCGATTTCTGCCATCCCACCGTTCTTGCAAATCGCCACCCCCATCTCCTCCGAACCCAAAGCCACCACCTTTGGTACTGCTAACCGCATTCAAGTGTATCAGTCCATTAACAAAACTTTTACCATTGTTCTGCACAACACACAACATACCATCTTCGGATAGATAAATGAAAATAAGACGGTTCTCAAGATGGTCAATTTTCTTTTTTCTTTTTTTTCTTTTTTTGAATTCCCAATATTCCACCTGAGAATGCCAAAGGCATTCTGACACCGGCCCTAAACTGTTAGCAACCCATGTAAAAAAGATCTTTACACATCACATTTAGCAAATACAAATCAGAAGCAGGGCCAGTTCATACAAGCGGCTGGTCTAAAAAAGGTAAAACATAATGTTCCTTAAGGTCGAAGATCAATAAAGTTGGCCCAAAATATAATATATCACACCTAATTATATCACATGAAAAAGTATTTATGCCCTTCTCAAACGCATTATATAAAGGAGACATTGACGCCATAAATAGTCCCAAAGTGAAACCCATATCATTCATCATTTTCTGGTCTCTTTCAGGGCCAAGTTCTGCACAAGCATTAAGGGGTTCCAACCCGCAAAAAAGGATGACTAATCTGCTAAGGCATGAAGATCCCTCGTGGACATAAATGGCGAATCTTACACCTTGATTTCATGAACACTTACAAATAACTAATATAATTTACAGGAAACAAATCAGAACAGCAAGTTGATATATTAGCCAGAAAGATGCACACCTTTCTTGTACACAGAATAACTTGATTGTTCGATGGATTAACCAACTGTGCGGCGGCAACTGAAGCGATCACTCGTGTAGATCCTTCCCAAATCTTAAACTCAAACGAAATGGCATCAAGCATCAAACGAGTAATTGCACAACCCAATCTCCTAAAAATTGAAAGACACTTACGGCTCAGAAATGAGCAAAGAAACAAATCCAATGAAATTTAAAGAGACCCAAATAATGATCCCAATCAAAGAGAAAACAAGCAAGGAAAAAAGTGCATTTTGATCACAACAATGAAACAAGTACATTCTTAACACAGCCCGCATAGGTTCATGCTCTGATGATTAAAAGTAGATTCCCATCACAAGGGATATCCTAGGCTTCGATTAACAAAAATTGAAGAGAACCACACATGATACCAAGAAGGAAAACCACTACTCAAAAGTTAATTTACTGACAGATAGCCGAAAATGCAAAATGCTGGTGAAATTGAAGATAATGAAATATAATGCAATATGTACTTCACATAGAATTTCCTAGTGAAGATGATGAATACGAAACTGTCATACCTGCTATTCACCAAGAAAAGGGTCAACTAATTCCTGTTCTCATACTGCCTTAGGTTAAATAGAAATGCTGATGCGGCCCTAAGAAACAAGCAAGTACAACAATAACATCCCAATTTAGGAAGGCCTTCTGCCTCTGGGTGTCATAAATAATATCTTGTTTGTATCATGCCCAAGAGCAATGTAACTAGTTAAAGCAATTTAACTACAGAAACGCTGCACAGGAAAGTCTCTGTCTCCTGCTCGAAAGCATTCTTCTAACCAGCAATAACTTATCAACTTCAAAATTTAGAAAAGTTTACAGAATTTCAGACTGAAATTTCAGTTTTCCTGACTATTCCACGTCCATTATCCATACTCCAAAATCTGTAAGACACTAAACAATTTTGCCCGAATATTCCAAATTCCAACCAACCAAAATGTCCTCAATAAACATTGCAAGTGTTCAGTAATGCTTCAAATTCAGTGGGCCAATGAAAAGAAAGGCTATTTGGTAATCCAATAACCAACCATATAGCATAAAAATAAAAAACAGGGCAGCCGGATCTGCTGCTACATGAAAAAAGAAAGCCACATATATAACAATGAAAAGCAAACATACATGCTCAGTACAGTAAAAGAAAGTTGTTGTATGCTGATCTTTATTGATGACAATAGAATTTCATCAGCCGGGGCTGAAGCATCTCCATTTGAGACAGACATGGGCCAAAACTTTGTGGCCTCATATATATCCTGTCAAAAGAAGACAAACAGGTAAAACTACAAAAAGTTCTAGAAGTGAGTACAGCTACAAAATCATTCTTTTTCAGTTCAAGGACCAAAAAGACAGCCCAATCCAACCTTGATCACTTCATCTGAAATAACACCAGAAAATTGACTAGAATCATCAGTCCCTCCAGCACCTAGCATGCCTCGTGACAGCCAGTTTAACCATCCTCGAGGCTTGCTAGAAGGGCGCTGCTCATCACCCAAAGACATATCAACTATGGCACCACTGTTTCCACGGTTAGACGGTGGAGTCATTAGTAGGTCCTACAACATGAGCAAATGACCAATACATCAAATAATATTTGTATTTCAGAAGAGCTGAAAAAAACCATCCGGCGTGCTATAAGAACTAGAGCTGCCAAAACAACCACGGACATACAAACCAAAGCAGAAGAAATTGCTTGGGTAAAACTTTGAAAAAAGAATAACTTCACGAAAAGGAAAAAAAAAAAACCAAAACCCACCTTTATTTCACGTTCAGCAACAGATCTGTAAGTTAAAATGTCATCTATATCAGAAAGCCTCTCCATTCTCTCCAATGCTTGAAGAATATCTTCATCAATCACCTAAATAATATTAAGAATGAGAAGCTAATACACAGAGTAACTGAGAGAGGGGTAAAGTATCTTCTTCACAACAAACAAGAGATATTTTAGAGCTGGCTTAAAATTGGTTAATAATCATCTTTCAGATTGGACCAGATAAAATCAAATCAAAAAAACTCCATCAACCGGAAAAATAGATAGCTGACACTATGCAACACAGCAACTCACTTTCATTAAATTTTATGCTATTTTGCTTTGGTTATGTGGCAGAGAGAACGAGGGAAATGACAAGATGTTTGAAATAAACACAAATTCACCAATTCCACACTGACAAGTAAAAAGTGACGACATACCTATTGAGCTTGGCAGGAAAGTCCGAAAATGAATTCAGGAATCAATCACATGCAAATCAAAACTTCCACAAAGGGGAAAAGACAAACATACAGAACTTTGACAGAACAACAAGGAAAAAATCAGATGTATTATTTCTCAGTCCAACAAGTTTAATGGATCTTCTTCCATGACGGAACAGGACAATAGTACAAAATCACAGAAACATGAAGCCAAATGAGTAGAATTGTCCAGCCTTCGTTGTCATTATCAATTCCCAGTGTGTGCAGAAAGGTTCCCACTTCATGGGGGTATGGGGAGAGGGACGTTTGCATGCACCTTACCTTGCTTTTTGCAAAGAGATTTGAGGAGTTGTCTAGCCGGAATGAGGAAAAAATTAAAAAATAATAATTAAGAAAAAAAAAAGAGAAATTCACTGAAAATCTACTTAGGATATGTATTATCTTGTGAGCGCAACATGACGTGGCTCAGATGAACCTATTAATTACTAAAAGAACACAAAGGCAACATATAACCCTTGGTTGTTGTCAATGGCATTTTTTTAATTATTATTTTGAAAGAATTTTCAATGGACAATTTAGATTTTACCAAGCTAACAAAGCTTCACTTTTGACCAAGATGCCAAGAAAAGAAAATTGATTAACAGAGATCCATATGAACTTCCATTCCATGTCAGTTAATCTCAATAATCTGAATTTAGCCATTTTTCCCATTAATTCTAATGGTGCTAAAGCCTTCCATGGGAAGAGGAGATGGACTTCTTTCAATCCTTGGCATGTTCAATCTTTCATGTCCGTTCCATTAACAGTAAAAACAAACAAAAGAAAAACAATACTTTGGCTTTCCTTAACCCTAAAAAAAGATGAAAACCCCTATTAAATTCAAACTCTTGCTTTGTTACTTATAGAGTATTTACCCATAAGAACCATGAGGGACAACAAAAATAAGCTAAAAACCAACCATGCCAAAATTACCTTGGAGATATAAAACAAAGAATCAAAATTTACCACGATAATGGACATTGCACACACCTGATCCTTTTGAAGACATTTTAACTTGGTTTTATACAGCCTCACATACTTCCGTCGTTCATCTCTGCATTAGAAGTGGAAAAGTTCAGATAATCAAACTTAACGAAGATAAAACTAAATACAGTACTACTTTGCATAACATCCAAGCCAACGGCATTATTTAATAAAATTTACAGGTAAAAAGGAAACAAGCAAGAAATTGTGAAACAATCCACCAGTGTCCAACAACAAGAAAACTTATTTTCCCAAAAATCGTGGTAAACTTACATACGCTCTCCAAAGTACTTCCACGAAGTTCTCTTCAACCTCTTTCTCACATCAGCAAGCACTGATTTTTGAGCATAGTGCCACCAAGCTATTTGCCAACCTTTGAGCTTTTTGGGCAAAGGACTCCACCATGGACGATAACGACCATACCTACAATTTCAAAGGCTAGATAAAATTCACAGTTGCCGGACAATTTAAAATTTACACAAGTTGAGTACAGCAGTACAGCAAGTATCAATCAAAAAAGACTGTTGCACAAGTTATGAACAACTCATAGGGAGGCACACATCTCAAAATAATTAACAACTTATAACTAACAAAAGAGGAGGAAAAATATTTGGAGAATTTTGAGAGCTCGTACAAGCCCAAATATGGTTCCACCTCAAAACCAATTGGCAAGGGGAGCAGCACATGAGACTTCTATGTGGGTCAGTTTGGCGATTTCCATTTTGGGACAAGTATTTTTCACTAGTTTTTTACTTTGAAAGAGATTTTAAAACCCTACTCTCAAGCCCAACGGATGGACAAGGACCCAATTTCAAGTTAGTCAAACTCCTGGTCAGTATAATCAGATAAACTGTTGTGTTCCCATGCGGTTCCACTTTCAAAACCAATTGGTAATGCTGGGATTAGCACAAGAGACTTACATAATGGTCAATTGGGCATACAATTTCCGATGTGGGGCAAATGTCTTTCACTAGCTTTTTATTATGGAAGAGATTTTGAGTTTGATAACAGAGATAATGTTGCAAAAATGAAAAGCATGTTAAGGGACTCACATCTCCCTTAATCGGCATGTAGGCAGATAGTCACAAAGGATCAGAATCTTTTGCATCTGAACTTCATCCAGAGAGGCAACCTTAGAAAATAAAACGAAATGTTATTATTAGACATAATAATGGAAAAATCTCGAAGTTGAAAAGACAGTAAAAGTTTACTACAAACCAGATTATCAAACTCGACATTGACATAATATTGAGGAGCATCATTTGCCAGCTTTCCTGATCTATTCACCTACAAAGAGAAGCAAAATTAAGAGAACCGAGAGGTCATGGCTGTACAAGGCGCAGGGTAAACAATCATTCAAGCACTGGCAACATGAAATCCATAAACTCTAACAAAGTAACCCGAGATACAATCTCTGTAGTTATTCACACATTTAATAAGCTGGATAACATGGACATGAGAAGGAAATTAAAAACATGACTGCAGGATAAACATGCACTCACACTAAACACCAGAAACTAATTAAAGTATATATGGTACACAACAAAAGAACTATCAGAGATATAAAGGAAAAAATGGACCAAAAGGAACTGTAGGAGCTAGTTATAGATCTCGTTCTACCTTACTCACATCTCCTACAGTTCAATAATTTGCTTGCAATTTAAAATTAGCCCCAGATCCAGTCTAGAAAAGTAATCTTGAGGTAAAAAAATTATGTCTTGTTTTAAAAAAAAAAAAAATCTACGCATATTGAGTGGACAATTCTTTCCCCAGAAATACAATTATCGATAGTAAAAAGAAGGAACCGTATCAGTTAATGTATCCGTATGAGGAAATCATTATGTATGATACACCTCAAAAATGAAAAACCTTGCGATCTTTCAAAAGCTAACCAACACAGTGATTATGTTAAGCAATAATTCTGCAATCGGCCGATATAAAATTTTCAAACAAGTTTCCAGTCCATGAGCTGGGAAACTTGTACCAACATTTTGTCCTTGCAAAAGTGTCTACCACATAGAGTTTTCTTTACTTAAAGAAATAACCAAGTAGAGATAAAGTTTCAGCCAATGCAAGGGGGAAATTACATTTCAAAATAAAAACTCAAAAGCACCGGTGACAAAAATTAATGAATCACAACTGAGATTAAGCCACCAGAAAATACTCAGTCAAATCAGATGCATACCGAAAGAGATACCAAAACATCCAGCGGGCGTAACAGGTGAACATTTTCATCACCCTCTAGTCTTGCACTGTTCTCAATACTTGCCAAATCATCAGTTTCTTCCAAGGTTCTACAGTACAACTCTAATCCTTGTACTTCAATAAGTTTATTGACTTGGCCCCCTCTCACTTTTCCACCAGCAATTCTTTAACAAAAAAAAAGGAGAAAGAAGGGAGGGAAAAAACATTTCATAAAAATCAGCAACAGAATTTATAGAGAGAATGCCAAAGTAAATTTAAGAATCAATTGCACCCCAAGTACTCATCTAGTGGGCGGCCCATCCTCCACTTAATGCATCTACATTTATTCTATCTAGTCTAAGTGTGTCTACAAATTCATTTAAATAATCTGATTTCTACTCCCCTTATTGTCAATCAACAAGATAGAAAGAAACAGTATGCAAATCAAAAACATACCCAACAAGATTTTGTCGGCTGATAGTAAGACTAGAAAACCTCAGACCAAATACAGTCATTGCCTGGAAATCATAACACCAAGAAGAGGAAAGGAAGATAAATTAATTGAAAAGATTTAGCAATATAGTTGAATCAGGGAAACACTGCTCCAAAGTAATAAGGTAGCAAGAACTACTTAAAAGCACAATCACACTACAAAATATAATCTTCCAAGGCAACATCAAATCCGCAGAAAACAATCCCATTGATAATTCATTATTTTATGTTACCGATCAGAAAAGACAAGGTCAACCAAAACAAAAGGCCGACTAAAGGAGTAGACATCGTTCTGTTTTATCAAATAAGTTGTATATTTGAAAACAACCAAACAATCTTTGGACATGTTTTTATGTTCTTTATATAATGGATATTAAATATATACAACTTTTAGATGTGTTTAAATCATGTTCACCAGTTTCAACATTTACCCTATCATTACTCCTACGATTACTAAAGTGACATTCAATATATTCTGTTTTAGGCCTATTTATCGCAAAATCTTTAGATCCTAACGCCTCTAACTTGACATTTACTCCCCCTCATTTATCTCATCTATAAACACTATCTCACCAGCAAACAGCAGACGTTCAAGGATATCTATTTGCAAATACTTAGTAATTTCATAAAATTACTAGACAAAACGATATGGACTCGTCATTAACCCCTGATGCAGACCAACAGCGATTGGCAACTCAATTAATATCCTACAGGGTCTCAGTTGCCACGTTATATCTCTATTAACATTTTACATGCTTTTTTAAGGTCAATAAAGACTATATGGAAATTCCCTTTTTTTCCCAATATAATGTTCTTGTATTGATGACTATTAATCTATGTTGAGTCATGATACACTCACCCGGTGTTATTTTTCAATCTTTACAAAAATTTCTGTCAATTTTCTTAGTTAGAAACTAATCAATTTGTGATTTCTTAGAGCCGCTCTTAAATGTAGTTTTTAAGTGATCATCCCTCTTTTTAAACGAGGTTATATATGGCAATCATTTTTTGGTAGTGTATGTAACATTTTGTTCAAAAGAGGTATGACAAAGTAATACTCTTAGGGAACCACACAAGAAAAATGGATATAAAACTATGTTAATTAGCAAACATTCAATATAAACCATCCTGTGTATATATGGCAATCAATTTTTGGTAGTGTATGTAACATTTTGTTCAAAAGAGGTATGACAAAGTAATACTCTTAGGGAACCACACAAGAAAAATGGATATAAAACTATGTTAATTAGCAAACATTCAATATAAACCATCCTGTGTATCCCTAGACCAATTGTGAAGAACAGTACAGAGAATGGATAAGCAATACAAACTAATATGATAAAAATTATACCGAAGAAGTAAGCGTGTCATGATAAAGGATGTGGACGTTCCTGATAGACACTTGTATGCCGTCAAGAATCTGTATAAATGAAGGAGGAAATTCGGTTTCAGAAGATATGGACCCAAAACAGTTTGTATAGCCAAAAAGTATCTAGTTATACTGCAGAGTCCAAAATAAATAAATAAAAGTCACAAAAGAGAGAGAGGCTTCAGTGTGGTTTAACCTAACAAAACGGCTTATGCTCATGACACTGCCGGCATTGTGTAGTATTACAGACTGGAGTAAAAATACAAATGCAAATAGATTATTGTCTGTTCTTTTATTTTCATTATTTTGCAGTACCAGCTCACAAAGAAAACCCACAAAAACTAAAACGACAAGACGTCCTAGGTAATCTATAGGAGAAACGCATAAACTTTGCTGCAAAGATAGGCTTTAATGCTTCGTTCTGTAATTAACTCTGTGATCAATAATACCAAACTCAAAGAATTGGTATTTAGAAACAGGTACCCATTCAATACTTTGAAACCTCTGAAGCAAAAAATAAAAATTACCTTGGCTGTAATGTACGAGATAAATGATTGTCCAGTGTTACTATCTGCACAAAAATAATTTATGTTGAGAACACGAAAAACACGGAAGAAGTTGATTTTTGATAATATCCCACAAAGTTCAACCTTGGCCTAGTATAAACCGGCCATACATTTCTCAATACAACAAAAGAAAGCCCACTATTACTTACCGCATAGCCATACTTATCAATACTAATAATCAGAGGAAGCCCATTATTGCTTACCGCATACACGTCTTGACAATTTTGCAAGCTCCGCTGCAGCAAGCTTAGCTTTTTTTGCGGCATATTCTCTCCTGTTAATTGCATCCTCAGTCCACTGCCAAGAGATAAGGCCACCAAGTTCATAAAAAATTGAAAACTGGACAACCCCTTCGTCAAAAACACAAACGACATATTCATCAAAAGAAAAAGTTCAACTACCTCCTTGTCCTCACGCTGACGAGCTGAAATGAACACATCCTCCAAAACTATTATGATTGGGTCCCATCCTAGCTTTTTCCATGGGATTTTAATACTTAACTTTCCAACTCTTCCTACATCACAAGATATTTTGGACACGTACCAATTTCAAATTGTATTATAATAAAGAAAAGGTGTACCATTTGAAAATTGTGTAGAAGCCCATAGATGAGTCAAACGCACACCAGAGATGCAAAGAGCATACCTAAAGTTTGAAGCAAGTGCAGCAAAGAGCAACTAAAGAATACCCAATATATTGATACTCAACTAAAAATCAAATAAAAATCACAAAAAAATGATTATGGGCCCAATCACTGCGAGATTGCATTCCAAAATTATCAATACAACATAAAACTTTTAAATCACTTATGTCTGCGTGCACAAGGAAAGCCTCAGCAAAGTTCCCGTGAAACTCCACATTAAACAATGCCAATTTCTCAGGGGAAACCTAACGTAAACAAGATCAGTAATCCAAAATAAAGACAGCATAGCTTATGGCCAGTTAAATGCAAACGAGATCTAAAGTTATCACTTCCCCTGGACAAAGCTAAGTTCTGATATTCTGCAGGAATGCAAGTCGGACACTTGTTAGGAGTTTCCTAAACGGCAAACAAAAAAGAATAAAAAACTCAGATGGTCTGGATAATGTTTGTCTTTCTATTTCCCATTACTACACTGAAATTTTCCGAGAAATTCAGTATCCAATTTCCTACATCGGCAGGTGAATCAGTAATATGGAAGCAAGTTATGGAAGGAAAAATAAAGAGAGAGACAGAGAGAGAGAGAGACAGAGAGAGACACACACACTCTTTCTTTAACCCCATAGGTAGTTATTCAAAGAGCTGCAGCAGGAAAATAAGGAAATGACAAAATAGTTTACCATTTTGTAGAGCAAAAGGCAACTGCAGATAATCAAAAGCCTCAAGAATGAGCTCAACATTTTCCAAATAAACTTCTTCTGCAAGCCAAGCCAAAAAAATAATAACAAAAATGATAACAAACCGTCAGACAATATAGAATTCAAAATTTGATTTAGAATAAGGGAAGGGAAACCAAAAAAAAAAAAAAACAGTACTCTACAACCTATCCCGAAATCAGGCTCCTATGATAGATAATAAACCTATTTAAGAGATATCCATGGCCATTATGCATAAATGTTGTCAAAAAAACCCTGGTTTTTTGTTCTTCTGAACTGTGGGGCACTCATAGTCATTATTGTAACAATTAATGAACAGCAATTTTCTAGAGATATCAAATGAAACGCTGAGAAGTCTAAAGTACCTGGTGGGACATTGAATAGATAACTTGCGAACTCTTAACGATCAAAATTAAATAATAAGAGTATTGTTATAAAACTAAACCGAGTGGGAAAAAAAAAAGGGATACAAACACCGAGAGAGGAACAAAGAAAAGAAAGTACTGAAAACTTGAAATCGGTTAGAAAAATAAAATTTGAAAGGGATAAACTGAAGCTATAGTGATGATAATAGTAATAGAATGATGTTCACAAACAAGGGAAAACAGGATACGAACCGCTCCAAATGGTGATCTTGAGCTGCTCCCTCTGAAAGTCCTTGATGTATCGTCCCAGATACCCAAGTATCAATTTCTGTACTAACCCTTCAAACATTATTTACTCTTCATTCCATACACCCTAAAATCCCAGAAAAAAAAAAAAGAAAAGAAAAGGAAAAAAGACGATTGAATATTGAATTGCAGGCGGTGTCGTGTTTACGCTCTCTCAGTATAAGACTATCTCTGTTTTTTTTTTATATACACATAATAACCCGTCGGAATCGTAAGCGGAAGAAGAATCATGGACTGTAAACAGAGTGTCAGTGTACTATCTATCTGATGATTTCCAGCCGAAGGAAGACCCAAAAAAACCAAAAACAAAAGAAGAAAAATCGATTTCCGGCGTCAAATTGAGGAGCGACTGCCTTTGGCAAAGGGGATTTCTTTTTTATATTTTTTCGCCAAAAAGGGAAAGAATACGAAACAGATTGTGGTTATTTTACCAAAATAACCCTATTTCATATTCCCATTAATGTCTCTATTCCAAAGGGTGCTTCGGCCAAAAAAATTTAAAAGAATAGATGTGGACAAAAAAAAAAATTTTGACATTAGTACTTGTTCCGGATTTGGCAAATCCGAGAATTTAATTAAACGAGTTTTCAGATTTGCTAAATTCGAAACATTTAAATATAATAAAAAATTATATATTTTCTTTATTTCGCAAAATATAAAAAATAGGGTCAAAAGGCGAACAGTGACCTCGAATTTGACAAATCCAAAAGCCTTTAAAGTTAATATTCCAAAAAATGCAACAAAAATGGTGCACAAATTCAAAAATTGAAACAGTGAACTCGGATTTGTCAAATCTGAGTTCTAGGGTTTAGGGTTACCTTTCGGATTTGCCAAATTTGAGGGCATCCTTTCGGTTTAGGGGTAATCCGTCCTTATGGATAACATTATTGGATGTATTAAATCGGATCGGATAAGGTGACGGACATTCGGATTTGCCAAATCCGAGAGCCCCACATGAATAGTGACTGTCGGATTTGCCAAATCGGAAACAAACGTGCTATAAAAAGAAAAAGTTGCAGCTTCTCTTCATATCGGGTTTTTCAACTCGTGAGGGTTAGTGAAGGTTGTGGCCGGAGTCTTTCAGGCTTTTGGACGCACATTACCGCTAAATGCAACAAGAATCCTTATTCTAACGAGGTTAGTCATTAAATCAATATTATTTAATTGTTTTATTGTGTATTAATATTATTTGAAGATGGAAGATTGTTACGACTTAAGTTTGATGATTATGAATGTAATATGATAATGTAGATGTTGCTGAGTTTATATGTTATGATTGTTGTTATTTTAAGGTTAATTTACTGATTTTGGATAAATTTTGTTTGTATGGAAATTTGATAGGGTTTAGGGATTATTATTTTGATTATGTTGAATTATGATTAACAGGCCAATAACGATTAAAATGTCCGCGCACGAGTCATACATACTTAATTTGTTTCATAGAAATAAGTATGTGACATAGAATGGTGTAGTGAACACATTTGAGAACAAGCCGGACGACACTCTTGTTATTGATAGTAGGTTGTCATATGATGAGTTGCTTGGTTTAATTTGTGTTGCGTTCGGTTGGCATCTTGAAATAGCTAAGAAACTCCACATTTTGTTATCTTTGCGACTTACGGTGTAAGGCGCACCATGAAAAAAAAAAAAGAGAATGATTCACATGTTGGGATCATCTACCACCTCGAGCCAATGATAAGTGTGGATTTGTACATAGAAATGGAGGATATCACTAACCAAGAAGATGGGAACAATCATTACGGTGGATCTTTCTTTGCACAAGATGATCACATGGATGAGGGTGAACAAGATAGTCCAAGGCAAGAACAAGCAAGTAATTCATAGTTTCATGAAGAAGAGGTCGAAGTTTATTTACAAAAGATGATCACGTGGATGAGAATGATTTTGACCACGTAGTTCGAAGCGAAAGTTCAGAAGCACGTGATCCCTCTTCGAGTAGTGATGATGAGGAAAGTGATGATGAAGAATTGGTGAATGAAAAAAGGGAACTAAATCCATTTCCCCGGCGCCATGTGTATAAGGAAATGGGTGAATGAAATGCCTCGAGTGTTCACAAGGATGATCTTAGTATAAAAATATGCGATGAGACTCCCGAAGAGATGGTCATTAAAGTTTGTTTCAAGTCCCAGAGAGAAGCGAAACATGCCGTGAAGTCCCAAAGGGAGTTAAAGGTTATTACGAGTAACTCTTCGACGTGGGCGGTTCGATGTAGGACATTAGATCCCCCTCCCTCTCTCTCTCTCTCCCCCAAAATTGCAAACCTATATGTAAATGAAGGATCTGCATGTCACTAGGGAAGCACAGGTTGCATCAAATAGTGAAATGGCAGTCCGCACACAATTGCATGAGGGTGGTTAATAATAATGACAACCGTTATGTGGACTCGACGTTTATTTCTAGACTAATCATGAGAAAAGTTACTAACAACATAGATTACACGGTAAAATCGATGCAAAAAGATGTGAAGAAGTTGGTAAAAGTTGATGTCCCTTACAAAAAGGCGTGGAACGGGAGAAGGAAAGCCATAGAGGCGGTTTATGGCAATTGGTCCTCCAATTTTGAAGATCTTCCTAGGTAAATTTTAATTTTGATAAATGTCAATTAATTTGTTTTAGTTTTTACTTGTATTGGCATATATTAACTCAGGCAAACTTAATGTGTAGGTATATTGAAGCATTTAAGAGTACTAATACCGAAACTGAATAGGAATAGAAGGGGGGAGAAGAAGGTTGGAATATGAGAAGTAGGACTTTTAAATAGTATTTTGGTCATTTGCACTAGTGGTTGCCTCTTTCCTTAAATGTCCGCCGGTGATTTCTGTTGATGGAACACACCTACGTGGGGATACAAGGGTAAGTTGCTAGTTGTTGTAGTGTATACTGCAAACAAACACATTTTAGCAGTTGCATTCGTCGTGGTTGATGAAGAGACCACTGAAAGTTGGACATTTTTCATGACACGCTTGAGATATCATGTTGTGGGTGACACCGTGATTTCCGACCGGAACGCTGGGCTTTTGAGGGCAATATCGAAAATACTAGAATAGAGCAATTTAGGTGATGGGGTCCACATGTATTGCCTCCGGCACGTTCGGAGCAATCTAGTGTCGAATTATAAGAGTGCGAGAGTGAAGCGGTTATGCCAAAATATGGGGAAGACGCTTAATTTGGAAAAATTAAAGCGATTGGGGCTAGAGCTCTCCGAATTCAAACCTGAAGCATGGGAGTATTTTCGTGACATAGGGGGTGTAATTGGACTCGTTTGAAAGCCGGACGTCATCGTTGGGGCGTCACAACTACCAACACTTCTGAGAGTTATAACAATACCCTAAAAGGGATCTAGTTTTTTCCCATTAAAGCTATGATAGATGCTACATTCTGTAAAGCCGTGATATTTTATCGAGCCGAATTGTTATTGGTGACGAATTGTGATACACTCATCCCCCGGAGCTATGGAAAGTCTATGAGGATAAGAACAACAAAGCCGCCACCTGTGATGCTGAACCATTCGACGGCGACGATGATAGTTGGGAGGTGGTAACTCCGACACGGCCTAGTGGGAGGGGCGGGACGGTGTATACGGTCACCTATAACGCCAAAAAGTGTTCGTGCAAAAAATCGCAAGAGTACCGGACGCCGTGTACGCACGCACTTGTCGTCGCACGTAAAAAAGGTGATCGACATATTTCCCTATACAACAAGTGTTGGAGGCGTCAAACATGGATCAAACAATTCGAATATAATGGTTTTTCACTAGTGCCTGATGAGCGACAGTGGCCTATAGTTGACTGGAAACTCTATCCGAATTACGAGAAGTTCGTGCAAAATGGTGGTCGGGGCCAAGACCAAAGAAAGCGACGCAAGGTGCAAATGGATTACCGTGCTCGGCGAACAAGTGGTGCTTGTTAGAGATGCGGAGGAGCTCACGATCCTAATTCGTGTCAACACTCATATCCCCAAGTAGATAGAACACCTTTGGTGGGTGAATAGGAGCGTCAAAGTGATTAGTTTGTTGTTGTATTTTGTAGAACACCTTATTATGTAGTGTTTATCTCTTAGATTGGACGTTAAATTCGTATCTTGTTTGATGTTTGTATTGAACTATTATCATAGAGTATAGTGTGGTGGAAGTTGTTGGATGTTTACAGGTTTTAGGAATTGGTGAAACAAATTTCACCGTTTTAAAAATTGGGTAACATTCGGATTTGCTAAATCCGAAACTTATCATTTCGTATACGACTTGGATTTGGCAAATCTGAGTCTGTCATGTTTCTCTGTTTTTTTTTTATGGCAAGAAGACTCGAATTTGCCAAATCCGATATCAGAGAAACGGGCGCTCTTGGATTTGGCAAATCCGAGAGTTTTCCTAATAGTGACTTTTGGATTTAGCAAATTCGAGTATTCTTGCCATCAAAAAATCAGAGAAACGGGGTAGACTCGGATTTGTCAAATCCGAGAGGTTTTACAAAGATAGACTCTCGGATTTGCCAAATCCGAATCAATCGGGGGTATAAATATAGTTGACCTTTTTCCCCCAATTCATTTTCGGCCTCCTCCCGCTTTTTTACCCTAACTCCACTGCGACACCACCTCCTTCACCACTCCATCCGCCCCCGTCAGCCGTTCCCAGTCATCCGCCGTCGTTCCCCCATTATCGCCGGCCTCCCTGTGCCTTCCTCCACCACCGCGCCGGCCTCCCCTGTGGCCTCCACCACCGATTCCTCCACCACTGATTCCTCCTTGCCGCCGCGATTCCTCCACCCCTGCGCCGTCGCATCGTCCTACCCCCTCTCTACCGCCGTTTCTTCTGCTAAGGTAATAACCTAAACTCATCAATTGTCCTAATTTCATTTTGTCCTAATTTTTTTCCCAAATTAATTTTGCCCTAATTTAATTGTTACTATTTTTTTGTAATTTTTGCTCTCTAATTGTTGCCTACTTAGTATTTTTTTAATTATTATTATGTATTCATTTTATTGATTTGTGGGTGGTTATTTTTTTTTCTCCCTAATATGTTAGAGTTTGTAAATCCCAGAGTATGTATATATAGTAGATATAGTGTTATTTATTGCGTTTTTTTGTTGGAATTGTTTAAATTGTTGGAACTAAACGGGCTTTTTATATTTTAATTGTGTTTGTTGAGTTTAGGATGTAATTTGTTTGTTTAAATAGTGTTGTTAAAGAGGTATAGTCTATATAGTGTTGTTTATGCATATATAGTGTTGTTTAAGTGATTTTTTTGTTGCTTTTTTTGTTTTTTTTTTTAATTGTTTTATGCATATATATTGGCAATCAGGCTCGCGGAAAACAGACTTGTCCCTACGAGTAGTTTTTCTAGTTACCCTCTCTGGCTCCCAGGAGACATGATCACGACCTCCCACCTCAACCTCTCCTAGGTTGGTGGCTTCAAATGGTGTTACCATAATATTTTGCACAAGCAGAAGTGTAACTCGAACGAGGCTCTGCTAACCAACTGTCACAGGCTAACTATTTTATAAGTTAAACCGTGCGCCACTAGCACTCTAGACGTCTAATGAAGAATCTAGCTCAACCTGCCCCTTAAAACTCTCAAAATTCTTGAAAAGAATTAAGTTGGAAAGTTGAAGGTTTAAAGAAAAGGAGGAGGAAAGAATGAGGACTCAAAGAGTTGAGAGAACTTGTGAACTAAAATTCAATACCTTGAATTCTTCATGCTTTACAAAAGGGGGCATGGGGTATTTATACTTGCCTACTCAAGCCCCTAGAATTCTAAATAATTCTACATAAACTATTAAAAATTCTAAATCTAGATAATTCCTACAACTTCCTCCATAATTCCATAATGTTCTAGAAATCTCCATAACATTCCGGATAATACCACATGATTCTACCTAGTTCCTCAAATATTCTACAAAACTCTAAAAAGTTTTGGGACGTTCTAGAATTTTTCGATTATTAGGCTTGACCCAATACTTCCAAATGGTCCCAAGTCCACCAGAGTTATTGGGTCAAATTTACTTAATATTTGGGTCGTGTCACTCCTACAAGGACGTCCCAAGGTCTAGTCTACCAAGTTCTAGAGATCGATTGACCGCCTTAAAAGCCAGTGATATAAGCATGAATCAATTTTTATTTTATTATTATTTTTTTGACCACCATTCTTATGTGAATTAATGCGCTAATTCCCAATTTTTTTTTAAAATTTTTTTTGGCAACCCTACGAGGATCTCCTCCCTACCCTCTCTGATTGTTGTAAACAGGAAAGTGCCATTTGGATGGCAAGGACGTGGATGTTCTACAGGACTATATGAGAACCCCACAAAATTGACAGGATTGTGAGACAGTTTGGCTATATTCAAGCTGTTCTCCGATGGCCTATGATTGCCAATATCTAAGAGAATCAGAATGCTCACGAGCACATGTCTGGGTTTACTGAGAAAAATTGGGTGGATCACCATAGTAAACTACGTTCCCATTGGAATAGAAGACACCGAAACATTCCTAAGAATTTGGAGGAAGGAGAGCCCGGTCAAATTAATGAGAAGTACGAAGCGTGGGTCAACAAATGTTCGGTGAAATTGATAAGCGATCCGAGCCACTACTTATCAGCCGGATATGAGTCTTCCTCGAGTCGGATGAAAGTCTATGTAACTGTGTATTTGTAATTAATATATGTATGGAAGTACATTTTACTCTATTCAACTAATTTTGAATTATACTTCTTTAGTTAACGCATCATTTGATTTCTAGGGCGAAGTGCTGAACAATGTCTGTATGAGGGCCATATTATTACGAGAAGAACGTCGTAAAGCCTATAACCTAGACGAAGAGCTCGAAAATGTGCTCTACTATTTCATGAACATAATCCACACTTCTTTAACTCTCGGAAAAGACGATGAGATGGAAATTGAGGATTCTCAAATCCTTTTGAATTATGAACCGTGTCGCCCCTCACAAGGTCCGCGCGGTGAAACAATGAATCCGTGGCCAAGAGAGAAAATTGGAGGAGGAAGAAAGTAAAGGAATTCTTTCAGGCCATCACAATCGCAGGATCACGCGGAAGGTTCGGGTCAACACGAGCAAGAGAACCCAGGAGGAGAGAATGTGGAAGGAGGGAAGGAAATGGGAGGAGACAATGTGAGAAGAGAGGACGATGTTGGTTTTTCGAGAGAATCTTACACCCCACATGAAAAAGAGGTACCTCTCATCATTACTCTCGGAGGAGAATCGCAAGTCCTAAACGTGGAGCTCATTCTTACAATCGGTCCAGAGCCGCAGGAACAAAGGGTTCGCAAATCCGACAGGACGCGCAACCCACCGGTTAGAGCTCATTCGAACACTTAGATTTTTCTTGCAAAATGTAAATTATTTTTTTATAGAAAATATTCGGATTTATCAAATCCGAAACTTGATTAATTTTACTTAATTATTTAGTAAAATTTTATTAATATCAGGTTAGAAAACTTTCAGATTACCCAAATCCAAGTTAAGTGTCTCATAGATTTGCGAAATCTGACTGTTTGTTGCTCTCGGATTTGGCAAATCCGGGACAGCTACTTTTGTCCACCTTTTTTCTATTTAAATTATTTTTGTCCTGGTCCTTCCCTTAATAATTTTTTCAGTAAAAAACACCTATTACAAACACCAAAATTTGGCAAAGGTAATGGAGCTGCAATTTTGTTGTGCTATTATTTCAATACAAAATTGATTTTACTTTACAAATTATTCTCTCCGTCCTAAAATCATTGTTCACAGTTTAAATTTTTATATTTAGTTTAGAAAATTCAAACTAAATAATAGTTTAGGAACAGAAGAAATATTTTTTTCTAAAATAATATTAATATAATAATACCACTCGGTAGGTGTAGTAATATGTTTCTCATATCTTAATATATTAGAAACAAAAACCACATTTAAGAGAAAGCACTACCATTTGCCACGTGGCATTTCCACATCATATTTTTAAATTAAATTTTTATTTCCACATCTCCTAGACTTAAAAGGCAAATGCAGTCCAAATTCACCTCCACCTCCTATTTTCGCCAAAAAAAAACCACGGGTTCATAAAAAATCCAAATACTCATCCCCATTTCCACGACAATCGACTCCCTAATCAACCCCTTTTCTACAATTAAAAAAAGAATAAATACCTCATCAATCATCAATTGAGAATATGTAGTGAAATATACTCATTTCCTATTGGCATGTTCAATATTTTCATTAGTGATGATTAACTACATCCTAATCGGATAAAATTTCAACTTCAAAAAATATTTTCTTTACCTCTCTATATAAACACGAAAGAAAAAAAAATTCTCATTGATCTTACTTCGGCCGTTGTGATGATGGCATTACAGGTATTAAAATTTAAATGATTTTATTTCCACAGATCATTGGTTTGGCTTTTATTATTTTTTGTTTTTCCCGTTCAATAATAGTGTTATTACTATTATTTTTATGCGTCCATCCGTTACAGCTACCGTAGCCGTTGTCATGTAATATAATGTGATTTCTTATTTGGTTAGTTAGCCTACAATTTTTGTATGATTTTAGTTATGTTTGGATTGAATTGATTAATTGGATTTTTATTACAAAGTGTGGTTTTTTAAAATATTTTTTTTTATGTTTCATTCAATTGGAGTGGTTTTCTTTTTTTAATTATGGAGTCTCAGGTTTTTTTTCGTGTATGGCCAGCTATGAAGTGTGTTTTTTCTTTGTTTAATTGCTTTTAATTTTGTTTCATACTTCCAGTTGACCAATTGTTATTATTATTATTATTATTATTATTATTATTATTATTATTATTATTATTATTATTATTATTATTTGCAAATGAAGCGCGCCTTTTTTTTTTGTGTTCGGGTTTCAAAATATACTTTTTTGGATTTGGTTTTTGGAATTTTTTTTAGTTCTTCATCATATAAATAGTTTAGGTTGCTTCTTCTAACTAATTTATGGGGAAGCCTTTTATGAATTTGAGGTAGAGAGGGAAGGAATGATGCTTCTACGTTTATTTGTGTTTTTATACATCATTTTACCTACAGAAAAAAAAATCTCAAATTTTAATGGACTATCTTTTACTTTTTTTTTTTTATATTTGCCATGGTGAAGTGAGTTCTTTTTTGCTCTATCTTGAAACCAATGCAAATTTACATTATTTTCATTCTCATATTTGTGATCAACCAATTTCAACAATTAACCAGTTTCAACTTTTGGAAGAAATAGTTCTAACAATTAAGCGTATACATGTTGGAGGAAACTAACTACAAAGCTATTATAAATTTTCAAAACTGAGTATACATTTGGCACAACCAATGGAGAACAACAATAAATTATCTTACTGATATTTAAACTTATTATGATATTTTTATATTTTGTCTAGCATTTACTTCAAGACATATATTTGATCAAATTTATTTATATTTAAAAAGTAACACTTATAAAACATTTCTAAAATCTTCAAACATTTCTAAAACGTACCGGGCCAAATACAATTAATTTTTATGCCAAATACAAACATCACACTTATAAAATATTTCTAAATTCTTCAAATATTTCTAAAATATATCGGGCCAAATACAAAATATTTTTTTTTTCGAATACAAACATTTCTAAAATCTACAGATATAATGGGCCAGGGTCGCGCAATTCACTAGTCTGTTACATACAGCATATCATCATCACAGATTCATCTCACAATATTAATTCTTAAAAGGGAAAAAAGAAAATACAGATACTAACAGATTGGCTTTTTCATTTTTTGGTAACCCTTTATTAGATATATTTGTAACATTTTGTGTTGCAACTTTTTAAAGTTAAAAAAATTTAATAATCAATGAATGAACTTAAGGGAAATTTTGGTTAAAAGGCGGTAGAAGAAGTCAAATTGATAAAAAGAGTATGATCATAAAATATTTTTTATTAAAGACAGTAAATTATTTGTCAAAAATAATAAAATAATAAAAAATAATTTAAATTAACAATAACATCCTTATAATTTATTACACAAACAAATAATAATAATAATAAAACAAAAGCCAAATCCAATCCTCAATTTCCTCATTCTTCCTCATCTACCGGAATTGAAATCAAATCTCTATTACCCAAATAATAAAACGAAAATGTCCCTTATAGTCGGTGATTTTGATTTCCGTTTAATCAATAATGAATCCAGGAATAGATCGGCGTCGAACTCCGATCTCTTTTCTGCTTTGTCGTCTCACTGAAACCTCTTTGCTACGCAATCCCAATTCAGGGAACCTCTGTTCCATCAAGGAAATCAAGTCCCGTTTTGATCCTAAAAACAGAAAATTAAAGAATCCCTCAAGAGTTTTGTCTCCATTCTCAATGACAATTCTTATGAAAAATTCAAGAGGTCAATTAGGATCACTTTGCTTCCATTTGTCTACAACAATTCTTGAGTCCCGATGTCCTTAGTGTTTAGCTCCTCAAGCCATCTTTTGATGATCTTAAAAGTTGTTTTCCAGCTAATATCATACACAATGAGTGCCCCAACAGCACCTCTGTAATAAGCAGAGATAACAACCCTGAATCAAGTTAGATACCCCTCTCCTTCTTCTACATCCATTTACTCGGCTTTGTTGGCTAAATGTGAAATGGGTATTTGGCTTTTGGTTCATGGTAAACGGAGAGTAATTAAAGTGGTGGCGAGGGTTTTGAGAGATTTGAATGGGAGGAAATTAAATTCAACTTTCTTGAAACTTAGTATTTGGTGGTACTATTTCGAAGATAGATCTGTCGAGAAAATGATTTAGGTTTCCATTTCATTTTGTTTTAAGAAATTATAAGGGTGTTATTGGTAATTTAAAGTATTTTTTATTTTGTTATTTTTGACAAATAATTTACCGTTCTAAATAAAGAATATTTTATGGTCATACCCCTTTTATCAATTTGACCTCTTCTACCGTTCTTTAACCAAATTTTCCCTTAAAATTTTCAAACCAAAAAATAATACTAGTAATGATAATAAAATGAAAGAACCCTTCTTAAAAGAAATGTAACAAAAATCCGGGGCCTCGCATGTCAGTTGATTACACATAAATTAGTTTCGGGAATAATAAAAATAATAATTAAAAAATAGAAAACCTAGCGGGATGTAAAAATGGCAAAGAGTAAACAGAAGAGGATTAACCACGGAAACAGTATTTATAAGATTAAAAATAAATAAATCTCCCCTCCATAAAAATATATATTTAAAAAAAGTAACCATTATTACAAAACAGACCACCAATTTACCATTACAAATGATTCTCGGGGAACATACTTTTTACAGCAAGAATTTCCCTATAAATAATAGGAGTAACTAGATGCGTCTTCATACCATATATTTATAGATATATCTTGATATACAAAGTGCAGAAAATCTTTCCTTATTCTGAGAAGCCGAAAGGTATAAAATTGGATAAAAACAAATGAATAATTGGAACTCTGAAAACCCAACGATTATAATGGCCCCTGCTCTAGGCTGCTAGTGCAACTCATCTTGCAGGCAGGCTCAAATGAGATTGATGGTAAAGGAGACATAAGGATGTGCATCGGCATCTGCCCCAATACCTGCCACCCCTCCTTCGTCTTCAGTTTTCCAGTATGTGCTGTTAGTTGCATATCAGAATAAGAACATCATCTTCCATCAGTTGCATTTCATGAGCTCATAATGCATCAATACAATCGACTCAAGACAATGAAAACATTGTCTTATAGTTATTCACCTTGGGAAACAACCGTATCAAAACCAAATGAACTTCTCAAACTTAAATGGGGAAACGATGGGGATACTAAATATGGTTGATGTTATTCCACCTCAAATATTAACACCACCTCAAATATTAACTTTCAGTAATTACATTAATTTTGTCTAGACATAATGAAAGTTTCTCCAAAAAGTATAATTAAAGCTAATTTTTGTTCAAAAAATGAACAATACAACTGCCAAGCCTTATCCTACTGTGCATGGAAGTAGATTAATTGTTTTGCACGACACTTGCATCAAAAGTGTAAACAAAAGTAAAACATAGTATCCCAAAGGAAATGAAGCTTCAAAGAGTAAGGTCTGAAAAGGAAATGAGCACCTGTTCGAACTCTCACACAAGCCCTCTAATATAGAGCGTACTTTCTTTTCGCTTTTCACTGAGGGCGACAAGACAACAGACTGAAATAGAAATTGCAAATAGTTAATTTACCAAAACTTTCAAATTCAAAACTCGGGCGAAAAATTGAACTCAAAATTGATGGATCCGGAGAAAAATAGTACATCATATAGAAAACTTATTTACCAAAAAAGATGGCGGAAGACCATATCTCAAAATGCTTTCAGCAAATACACGTATTGCACAGAAATGCATCCAAGAGCTGAAAACCTGCAAGACATGCAAATCAAAATAAAACCTTGAGCCAGCAAAAAATATCCAATGAAGCCAGAACCACTAGCAACGAAAATGCATATACAGATGACCATGTAGTAAATTCTTTGTTCTCAGGCAGCTGTGAATTTTAACAGAACAAGATCAAATCCAGATTCCTAAAATGTGGCAGTATTCAGCTCTTAAAGTGAAATAAGATATCTTTGGAAATTGATAGCTGGTTAAGTAAATAACAGGTGAAAAAACATATGAAGGGGATAAACTAGTTCAATCTGTGCTACTTAAACAAATATGGTGGCATAAGACCAGTTTGACTGAGCAAGTCTAATCAACATCATTGTCTTCCAATAGAGGAAAGTACCTCTCCATAACTAGTATAACACCACTGTAACAAAGAGCTTCTGAATCTTTCCTGGTCTTGCAACAATTTTTCCAACTCCTGTTTCCTGCTGTCTTGAGTTTCTGAATTATATTCGAAGTCGCGGATCTGACCAATTTTACAATGAACATTCAGTAGAAAAACCCTTACAACATCCATCTATTAGAGCTAGAGACTCCATGGTAACAGTTATGTAAGATTGTAATACTTACTTGAAAACCTCTTTCACGCGCTTTTGTTCTGAAATTATCAGCATCGCGACTAAAGAGCACGACAGAATAAAGAGCATATTCATTGTCTTCATATAGTTTCTTCGAGGATCTAGGGACCTATAACAATTAAGTCACCATGTTAGGGAGAAAGGAAGCTACGTTACATTATCCTTTTCATCCAAAAGGGAAAGAAAACATGTGCAATGTATGCAACAGGAAGCAGAACATAAGTGGCAGCCTTAGAGATGAAAATCAAGTATGGAGGTTCCAAATTTCAATACAAAAAATTGACGAACGGGTTCTTACAACGTATGAAGTGAGTGTTTCATAACTTGCAAGCCAATCTTTTTGAGAATATTTAGGGACAACTGCAAGAAGAGTTGTCAAGTGTTCAGATGTCACAATGTCCTGTGGCTTCACCAAATTGGACAGATCACGAACTGCTAAACTGTAAGAGGTGAAGTTTCGAATCAGTAAATTGAAGTTGGTACATGAGCGTGCAATATGTGCAGCAGTTGACAAGACAAAACAACACCTAATCATCCGTATTGGAAATAGTGAAAACAAGTTACTGGAATTGATCATGGGTACAAAAATTCAGTATATACCTTCCAGCCTGCTTTCTGTTGATGGCATTAAGTTGACTGCGCACGTTGTTGTACTCAGCAACACGAACCTATTGAATGAAACCAAAAATGAATTTCTGCGCCATGTGTTTGTGTAAACAAGTAGTATACACACGAGAAAGTCAGGACAGACAAAGAAAACACACCGTCTAGAGCTTTCAAACCATCAATCAGTAGCATATATCTATGAAACACATAATACACCAACTGAAACAACAACAACAAAAAAAGAACCCCACTAACTGAGGGTTTGACCGAGAGTAGAGACACAATATATCACATATAAGAACTTCAAACATAGATAACCGAAAAAGTCTTATTTGAGATCATACTAGGACTCGAGAGCAAAATTACCAATTCAATAGCTCCTACTAGCTAAGAGCACAAACAGCTTCTGTGCAAATTAAAAATTAAAAGACCAGTGAATATCATCGAACAATGTCCTTGCAATCATCAAATGAATAACATGTTAAATAGATGAGAATTATGCCGATCATTACAAAAAAATGAAAGAATAAACTAAACAGAGCATACCCCTAATAAGCATAATAATTGCCTTGAGACTTAAAGAGGAAGGCCACAGATAGCAAACCAACACAAAAAAAAAAAAAAAACCACGAATTTTTGGTTTAATGATTTCAAACTGAGAGCTTCAGAACCATTTGGAAGCAGATAAACACTTTGTCACGAGTTTAAATTGATAGAAGACACCTCCTTCAGGTTTAGCATCAAGATTCAATCTTTACATTTATCTATAACCAAATTCCTAAAATAAATAAATAAATAAAGAAAATAAAAGAAAACACACCAAAAGAGAGCCACTTCATTTTGAATTAGAATTCAATCTTTGTAATTCAACCATAATCAGAGATACTTATAAAGGCCAATGTAGAAACATCTTTTACCGTTGACACCAACATTGCATATAAATTAAAACCAACAAATGTTTTACTGTCAAATCCAACATTGCACAATCAACTAATACCAATTGTTACCTTGAGGTCATCCTCAATCTTGGATACTTGGGTATGAACGCCATCCACAATTTCCCTCAATGGTGACATTGTTGGGTACTTAGCCTCATCCCACACAAATCTACCAGTGAAATCACAAGTAATAACTGTCAGACACCCTAATACGGATAGTCTCATTACCTGCGGTCAACTCAATTCTACATTTTACAAACAATAAGTTTACATTCCCAATTCACCTTCTCACAGTTTTGCTACAAATTCCAGCAGGAAGAAATCACTTGCATCATCTTAAGATATACAGTATCTACAACTTTACATTTACGACTAAAGCCGTTATTTTAAAAATGAAAATAAAAAATAAAAAATAAAAACTATTCATACGGAGCACATTAAAGCGAAAAGACAAAACAAAAATTGTAATTTGTAAAGGTACCTAGTAAGATAGGAATCAACAGGAACCCCATCAACAGTGAGAGAGCTACTAAGGACGCCAGAAACCCTCTCGAGTTCCTCAATCTGACGACGTATCTTGTGAGATACCCCTTCAATAAAGCTGTTTGACTGCCCAAATTCGCATTCAAGTCAGAGCAGAAAAAAGGAAAAAAAATAAAATAAATATATATATATATATATATATATATATACACACACACATAAACATACTAATTAAACAAATCAAAGAATTTACCTTCAAAAGATCATCACTGAGTGCTAAGAGCGAATCCAGAGTCCCAACACGAAGATTTGGAATGTTAAACTATAAAATAAACAATCGATACTTCATTATCAATTCATGGCCATAATTCTTGTTACATCCCAAATAAATAATTAATTAACTGGGCGATGAAGCATAAACATAAATACCCAATAAGCAAAATGCAAACTAATACAGCAAAAATCACAGTAATGCACAATAATTACAAACAGGTAAACAAAATTGAAACAAGAAACTAAACCTGAAAAAATAACGATGAAAAATATTTATTAAAAAAAAATAGAAGAACAAAGGAGTGAATTTCGGGGGGCGGGACAGACTCTGTAGAGAGGGGTATCAAAGGAGTGGCGGGAGATAGATTCTTGAAGACGACTCCATGACGAAGAAGCTGAGTTGCTGGATTGAACTGGGAGGGATACTATCCAATAGCGTGTCGCCATTATTCAAATTCGCCCGGTTTGATTCGAATCAAATAAAAAGGCGGAGGAACACGACGGCGTTGGTGGCGGAACCAGATCAGATCCGATCTGACTTCAGATTATCTCTCTTGGCTCCTCCAAATATTAATGTAATAAATAAATAAGGAGGGGTTCCGATTAGAATGAAGATTAAAAGTTGGGAGATGTTAATAATCCCAACTTCTCAAGTGAATTGCCTCAGCTGACTTTATGTGGCAACCACGTTTTTAACTTTTACAAGGGTATCCATTCTATAAAAGACAAGGGTAATAACAATTTGGATAAAGAAAAAAATTAATAACGAGGGCTATAATTTTGAATAATTTACATTAAGGGCAATAATTAAGAAAAACCTTTTGACATCAATTTATATACTTCCAATCATTTAATTTATTTTTTTTGTAAGCCTAATTAATATAAAAATACTAAAGTAATAAAGTGGCTAATGACAAAAAAAAAAAATACACTAAAGATACAAAATTTTTTATATTTTTAAATTTAAAATTTATACTAATACGAAATGATGGTTTATTCAATAAACACTTCCATTATCCAAGCAACTTGGTAACAAATGCAGTTACTCTGCTCAGAGATTTTAAGTCAGCAAATTACCAGCCTGAAAATTGGTCTGCTGCCTCGCGTTCTAAGCATTTGTTTCCTCCACAAAATTTGCAAACGTATATATTTTTTGATGGAGCTGTCTCGCGTATTCGGAATTATATTGGTATAGGTGTTTATATATGTGATTAGCATAGAAGATTTGTGGCTGCAAAAGATTGTTGATGAAAGGTTTTTGTTCTCTTGAATTAACTGAATTCATGACGTTAAAGATGCACTTTTATTGATGAAAGATATTAATCTCAACCATGCTACCATTATGGAGGATTCTTCAATATCCATCTTAGGGGTTATAGGAGAAGTTGATTTATCATCAATTTATCTTCCTGTGTTGTTAGAGATTAAACAACTACTATTAGATCTATCTTTCAATGCATTATATTTGATTCTACATCCGAAAAATGAAGTAGTACATGTCATAGCTACTTATGTCAAATCTTATGTAACAGATGATATAATTTGGTTTTCTCCACCAAGTTACTTATATCATTCAGGGCTGGTTGATTTCCAGCAAATTTAATATATAATCTTTTTCTCAAAAATACGAAATGTGGGAGTAATTTAAGTGACTCTAGTAAAATATATATATGTTGTATGACTCGTTTAAGTACAAGTTTTTTGGGGAAAAGAAAATTCGTCTAATGTCAAAGCCAAAAAATCCATTTGGAAAAAAGTTAGCATTATACGGAAAAAAAATCTCCTATCAAAATTTTAAGAATTATTAACCTTTATTTTTTAAAGTCAACATCATTATATGTTTTTTCATCATTTAATATATTACTTTTTACATATTGATACTAAAATATTATCATCATGAAAGATTTAACTTATATGTTAAAAAATCAAATGAGAAAAAATGAGAACATTTTATTTCAAGAATTAGAATCATGTTTGTATTGTTGAATTATTTTGCCCCTAGTACAAATTATTCAAGAGTGCTGCCCTCTTTATTAATTATTTAATGTCTGCTGCCCCTAATCTAAATTTTTCCAAGAATATATATATATATATTGAACTTACAAATTAACGTAATAATTTAAAAGGTGGGCTTGCATCTCTAAAGAAAAGTAGAATAAAATACCAAGTGTTTTTTACCATAATTTTTTTTTAACAAATTAAACATTAAATGAACAGAAAGATGAGGTATCATGTAACATCTTGTCCCACATTGTTACCTGACAAAGTGAATGACCTGTATATAAGTCTCAACTTTATAAAAAAACTAACAACTTGGGTTAATTATTTTGGGCTAGCGAGGACGAAAACCTGAAAGTTGTTGGGTCAGTTTATGAGGTTGAGATGTTACAAATAGTATCAAAGCCAGGTTGCTGAGCCGCCTCTAGAGTCCTATTATGGGGGAAGATTAAGCAACATTCTTGCTTGTTAGACTTTGCGAGAACGCAAAGATCCAAAGGAAGTGGGCTGTAACATCATGTCCCACATTACTACCTGACAAAGTGAATGACATATATATAATTCTCAACCTCATAAATTACTAACAATTTGGGTTAACCATTTTGGGCTAACCAGGACAAAAGCCTGAAAGTTGTTGGGCCAGTCTATGAGGGTGGTATGTTACATATCAACTCCACAATTAATATTTTTCCCTCACACTAGAGTGATTTTGGGACTTAGTTGTCTAAAATATAGAGTTATGAACTTCAACGATGGTGATTAAGTCAAGCAAATTTGATTTAACGACTTAATATATTACAATCACATTTGTAAATTTGTAAAAAAACAAAATTCACTCTTCATATAAAAAATTCATAATATTCCATCACAAAAATCATTCGATTTAATTAATATATTTTTTACTTCAAATAAAAGATTTCAAAAGGCTTAAAATTAGAAAAAATTCTTGAAGTTTTTAAATGAATTTTTTTGGATATTTAATAATTTTTTTAAAATTTATTTTATTATTAAGTTGATTTAATGCAGGGGTGGGGGCGGCCGGGCATCGGCATAAATATGAATAAGGGTGTTGCTATTCGTAATTCAGAAATTACTCATTTACAATTCGTTTTAGATAATTTTATCCCTAAACTCTTTCTTTTTCTCCAACATACACTACTTACATTAATTATAAATAAATTTAACTAAATTAATTGAACAATAACACAAAATATAAAACTAAAGTAATTATAGAAAAAATAATGATAACAAAAAAATAATATAAAAATAACACAAAAAATTGGAAAAAAAGAAAAGGTAAGAATTTAATTGAAAAGACAACACAAAGAATTTATTAGGTATAATTAATTTAATTGAAAAGGTGGCCGGCCAGGTTGGCCAGTGAGTAAACCGGCCAAAAAAAATTCAATTTTTTTAATAATTTTTTTTGTGTAATTTTCATTATTTTTTTAATATCTACTTTAGTTTTATTTTTTGTGTTATATTTACTGATTTAATAATATTTTTAATTTATTTGAATTTATTAGGTATAATTAATTTAATTGAATAATTAATATAGATTAAATGGAGAAATTAGGTATAATAAATTTTTTTATTATTATAATTTATTTATTATATTCAAATAAAGAATGCATTAGATATTATATTAATATTATATGATAAATATATTTTGAGTAGATTTTTGTAATTAGGTATGTGGTATTTAGTTAGTATTTATTTGTAGGCTTTAATAATTATTATTTACGTAAATAAATTAGTTATTTTTGTTATATTTTGAGTAAATTAGTTACAACTAAATAACACAACATACACTAATTATATTAATTATAAATAAATTTAACTAAATTAATTGAATAATAACACAAAATGTAGAACTAAAGTAATTATACAAAAAAATAATGATAACAAAAAAATAATATAAAAATAACACAAAAAATTGAAAAAAAAAGAAGATATTGTCCATCCTTCTTCGTGGACACTTCTTCGTGGTTGGCCGGTGAGTAAACCGTTCAACCTTCAAAAGGTGGCCGACCATCCTGAGCAAAAAAAAGAAATTTTAATTTTTTAATTTTTTTTTGTGTAATTGTTATTATTTTTTTATATTACTTTAGTTTTATTTTATGTGTTATATTTATTGATTTAATAACATTTTTAATTTAATTGAATTCATTAGATATAATTAATTTAATTGAATAATTAGTATAAATTAGATAGAGAAATTAGATATTATATTAAAATTATATGATAAATATATTTTGAGTAGGTTTTTATAATTAAGTAAGGGTTTAGAAGCAAAATTGTCCCAAATAAACTGTAAGTGCGAAAAGCAATTCAACTAGTGTAAATTATAAACCATTACAATCCGCACGGTTATAAACCAGTTAATTATAACTAAATCAAATCGTTTATGAATCATGGTAAAGATTAACAAAATTAGGAATGTTTTGGGCTTCTTTTTATGCCTCGAAGTGACAGTTTTTGAGGTTGTCATTTGAGTGGGAAAATAATTAACGTGCACGTGCCCTCAATTGAGGGATGCTTTCAATAGGTATAAAAAAATTGAACTGGGAGGGATGCTTTCAATAAAATCCATGATTTAAAATACATGCGATTTACCTGTGTAATATCCTTGGATTTTGACGTGTTAGGTTACATGTTAGTGTTACAAATTTAATAGCAATAGAGATAAAATATAAGAATATTAAACCAATACCAAACCAAATAAATATATAAAAGACATAAAATGACAAGAAAAATAACGGAAAAAGGGACATGAAGTAGAATGTCCTAAAGGTGACACACGTATCCCTCTTGATCATGTTTACATATTATGTGTACTCATGCATCATCCAAAAAGGAGAGTTTTGAGGAGCAATCAATCATTGTGCCTTCATTAAAGAGTGAATAGAAAAAAAATACTCTCTCTGTCCCAAAATTATTGTTCAGTTTGAGATTTTCCTTTTAGTATAATTTGAACTAAAAATAAAAATTAAAACTGGACAATAATTATGGGACGGAGGGAGTATAAGAATTAGCAATAGATTGATCAATCATCTTCGTTGTAATTAATACTCAATTCCACCGCCTCATTTTGGAGTCATTTTGAAGCTTAAAAAAAAGCCACTGCGTCAGGAAATATTCCAAAGCTTAAATATTAAAGAAACACCACGGCTTCAAGTTTGTGTCTTTTTGAAGCTTAGAACAAAAACTAACCCTGTGTTGCCTAACTCTCCAAGTCCTGAACACCACCAATATGACCCTATGACTAATTAATTACTTATTCAGCTTGGAAACAAAGCAGAGCTAGGATATAGATTATTAAACACATCTTTTCTTTCTTTCAGAAGCCCACGGCCAAGAAGTTAACTAGCTACTTCCTCAACCGTTCTCATCAATCACTAACCATATATATACCAATATTTTAGAAATAGAATCTCTTGAAATAGAATGAATAGAATAGTGTTGGAGACGAATTGGATAGTGTTAGGATGTGAGGAATCAAAAAAACAAAAAAAAAAGAAGAAGAGAAAACAAATGGAAGAGCTCGTGAGCTCTGCTGCCGTGGAATTCCATCAAAAGTGAGTTATTTTACCGCGTTAACTTTAATGAAGTTACACACACCAATTTACATATGGTTGCTTGTAATTAAAGATTTTAAAGTTGGAAATGGAATTATGTGGTTCGTGGGTGCATAGCCCCGCTTATTAGCATGAACGGAAAACGACTCAATTAGGATCATAAGGTTCTTACATAACAACATGGGATGGGATTTATTGCCTGCGATCCGTTTGATTTCAAGTAGATGAAAGCTTTGAGGTTTTAAACTTTAGCCAATGTTTAAATAATACCCTGGGAGCCCATTTATGTGGTGTAACAATATAACTCCTTGCAAATTAAAGAACCATAGGAGTCGTCGTTCTGTTTGTTAACCCATTACATGTCAAGGTATAAGGAATAGCTAAGCGAGTCAATACTTTTCGTCACGGAAGAGAATAATAAGTCAAGTCATTTTTTGTGGCTTTGAGTTCTTGTGTCCGAAGGTACTCCGAGTTTTATTAGGACCGCTCAAGTCCGCATTAAGTTTGGGCACCATGTTTTGATAACTAGATAATGATTAAGGTAGGAGTAAAAGTTGATGATGTAAAGGACTCCGCCCAATTTCATTTGAACATTACCCCGTAGGCTAGTTAATTAATTAAATAGGTTCTAGTACTAGTTTTTCATAAATAAATCGATGCTAGCTAATTACATAGCAACCACTTGGAGGTGGTGTCATGATGTAGTCTAAACGTTCTTCTTCATTTGATTAATGGTAGTGTGACCTTGATGAAATGTTGATTGCAGAATGTGAGTACAAAATCGTCCACAGTTCTAACCAATAAAGATGAGTTATTCTCACTCTTTTCTAGAAGTTATTTCAAAACTAGGAGTATGAGAATATATGTCGAAAATACATTACACACATGAGCACATTATAAATGTTATTTAAATATCTTAAATGCATATCGTTGAATGATCCGAAGGTGTACTTAATCGCCCTGGGTACGTGTTTTAAGTGAAATCCTTGATGTGATTGAATGATATTGGTGACTGATTACATGATTGTCTTTGTTGAATGTGTTGCTTCTGGCGGTGTACTTTATCACCCCAAAGTAACTATTGTTGTCATTGATTGATTGTTATCCAATAATGTGTGATTGTTGTTTCGGTGGACTCTCTACACCTGGAATCTGGGCCCTGCCTTTGTTAGGCGAATCCTTGTGGGCCGGTATCGGCCTTGGTCGCCATGTTAGTTTACTTAGACTTATCGTGTTGTCCGGATGAACGCGGAACTCACGAGTATTCAATGGTGGCCACGAGGTGTTGAAGAGGAATTATTATTGACATTGAATCGTTATCGTTATCGTATTGTTGAAAATCTGGCTCGAAACCTGTCTCCGTGCTACATAGATTCTTTGGCAGTCCTAAGCTCATTGGCAGTCATTGCTAAGGTTTCTCGGTATCCATCCCATTGTTAATTGCTTAATGTGAACTTGTTAATTTTTGATTGATTATATGAAAAATTATCTTTCTTTCGAATATTGTTTTATGGAAATAATTTTATTTAAAAGTATCGCAATAGTATAATGAGAATTTCACTGAGCTCGACGTTCGCCCCTTTTATATTTATTCCCCCTACCTCACTCCCAAGTCTAGTATGGGTGCAGATAAGTTGAAGGAAAACGTTTTGTCGAAAAAGTCCGTCTGCAAGAGATGCTGTCATTGATAGATTTGTAATATGAAATAGATTTTAGTGAATATGTAACTTGATATTTGGAATTAGCAGTTGAAAGTGATTTTATTTAATAAAATTTATTGAACTAATTTAGAATTTATACTCAAAGGTAAATAAAAGCAACGCACATTGGACGAGAGCCCGGTAGACGGCTCAACTCGTCTGAGCATGGCGTATAATAATAGGAAGGTGAGTTAGGTCGTTACAGGCCGGCCAAGCGTCTAATTCAGACCTAAAGCAAAAACCTCCAGTATCCCAACCCTTGCGCATCTCTATCCACGAAATTGGCAGAGTTTGTATAATCACCATTCAGGTTTTATAATGGACAAAATGGACTTGTCTTAAAAATGCTGCAGGCTAGAATCCACAAGTAGGAGATCTACAGATTGAAGTAATGATGACAATAAAGGTAAAGTTTTGCAGGATGACATTGACACAAAATATACAACACGCTACATCAACTAAAACAACATTTGCCAGCCGCATATGCATTTGCATGGTAGGATTCCATTTGCGGCACCATATACATATATCTCTGCATTATGGGAGTTAAATTTAAGAAAAAGGGGACGTAAAAGGTACGCATGCAATGTATCCAAAATGAATTCTGCACTTGAGGATGAATCTCCAAAATTTGACCTGATCAGAGGATGGTCTAGGTGATGATAATGAATTCCGTACTTCATCATCTTCAATGGGCTAGTTTCTTCAAGTGCTGCAGTAGCTTTGCTTTGATCCATTGCCGGTCATATGGGAGATAAGCTTGAACTGAATGGTCATAGCTGCGAATACAGGAAACAACTTGTTGGTCATATTGGAATCAATAAAAAATTCAGACGAATAGAATTTGCCTAGCCAGCGATACAATACTGAGCCTTTCTTTCAAAATCTATTTGACTGACAATATATCCACACAAGAAAAGAACTAGAGGAGTTGCAAAGTGGACAGTCTAAATAACAAAGACATACACAGCCAAAAAGAATGTCCAGACAAGATTGGAGTATAGAGAGAGACATACACCAGGGCACTCATGTCTGCCAACCCATCAATGAAATTGTAAAGATCTGAAATGTCATAATTAATATTCCTGATTGTTGGGTTTAGGTCTTTGAGTTTCCTTTCATACAGTCCACAAATTCCTGCAGTCAGAACAATACGGTCATTTATTTCAAACAATAAGGAAACATGAATAACAAGACATGACTGCCAGGTAATCAATATACCTACTAACCACAAGGTAATGAACATTAAACATCTAATCAGGAGAACACCTCATACACTTTCCAGATTTCACCAGGAATCTAAAAAGCAAGAGTTCAATAGCTCCACACCATCTACTTCACTAAAACAGAATATTTCACTGGTATGGTCTTATTGCAATTTACTTAATTCACCTATTGCATAAAAAAGAATATTTATATAGTAAGTGACCTGATATAGTCTCTGAAACACAGTAAAGATATGGACTTTTTAAATTAAGGACAACATAGCTCAAGTACATTGGAAGCGGACTAGAAAAACCCAAACATACTAATGTCTTCACAAAATCAATGACTGCATACCATCCATTGCCTGACTTATGGAGTTATAATCCATAAAGGTACGAGTTGCTCGGCTCTGTGAAGTCTGCATAAGAACAATTGTATGCCTGTTCCCTGACTATGTACAAGGAGAAGATATGTATGGGGATCAGAACACTAAGTTTAACACGTAAATTAACAGCTAAAGCAGACACAATAAAAAAGTATCACAACATATTTTCTAAAGCATGTTACACTACAAGTTATGTTGCGTTTTGCTACCTCTCTCCAGTAAATATATCATTTAAACCTGTGCCTTACAAGTCAGGCGATCAGTTTTGCAATATTTTCAAGTTAGGAAACAAAAATTGGATCTTGTAGCGAGAAATGATATGATATCAAAACAAAACCCACGAGAGTATTCTGGGCACTTCATCACTCAAAAAAAGTAAGCTCTTTCTCCAGTCAAAGTAAGATAGAGTAAGATTTCCCAGACATTAAATGGGCGCAGAATCAACAAAAGAGAGTCTTTTCCCCCCACACAAGTTCTATCAATAGATCATATACCATGGATATTAACCAACATCAGACCCCAAATGCCAGCTTCTGTCATGCAAATTGCAAAGATATACGATCGATGAGTGCCACAATAGTGACAACATACAAAACTTTGTTACTGAACACCACAATAGGCAGGTCACACAAGTAAAAATATAAAAAGTCAAAATGTTTGCGGAGTCCTTTCCTCCAATAACAACCAATGAAAACGGACAATCAAACCAATGTAATCTATCATGCCGTTGTGATGGCAAGTGGCAATGGAGGGTACCAAACTTTTTGGAAACGAGCCTCGCACAACAATCACGGGTACTAATTTATCACAGAAAAAAGGACTCTACAAAACATCCAAAACTTTCATTTCATCACGCAATCATGAACTCAACTCCCATCAAAATTTGAGAATCTTCATATAGAAAGGTAATTCACACATTTATTAAAAAAATAAGATCAACCAGAAAAATGCCACTTCAATACTTTTGGACCCTGCAGTTGAGGCCAATCAAATGCGAAAATCCAAATGTTGTTTCTAAAGGATTACAAAAGTTCCATCGTGAAGATTTTTTTCTCCCCTTTAAATAAAAAACAACATCAGTCTAAAATTGAGCGCACAAAAACACCAACCGATACCCAACCTATGAGAATCGATGCATAAGACGAACAGGCATATCAAACCCTAATTTAAGAACTTTATATGATATACGTTACTTGAAAAAAAAAAACTAGACAAAAAAAATTTTTCGAACAAAACTTACAAACTTAAAAACAAATTTAACCCCAAAAAAAAAAAAAAAATCAGAGACAAGCCAAATAAGGCACTTCCAAACACACTTGCATGATCAACAAAAATACGGGGACTGAAAAAACCTCGGAACACCCAAACAAGAACACACACACACACACAAAAAGACGATGCAGGATACGAAGAAAGTAAATCCAAAAGATTGGTAAAGTACCATAATTAGTTCAAAACGGAGAAGCTCTGGAAACCACTGCCCACACCACCGGTAGAGCGAAACTGTTACTGAACCGTGTGTAGGTGAGAGAGAAAACAAGGAGCAAGGGCAGGAGAGGACTTAAAATTGGGAAAAATAAATGGACTAATAGAGATAAGGCCTAAACTCAAATATATGGGCCGGCCCAAGTTCATATTTTCCTTTCAGCCATTTTTTTATTTTATGGTTTTGATTGAATGAAGATGATGGGGATGGAGGAGGAATGTCCGTCCGGCACGTGGCAGTACCAGAACTGCAGATCCTTTTGCTGGTTCGGAATTCGGATTTTTACAATGGCTGAGTTCCCTACAGTTAAGGTTCAGTTGCATGCAATTTCTAATCCCACTTTACAAAAGACTCTCTCTTTTTTGTTGTTCAGGCATGGTGTAGGATGAGGTGTTGAGATGTTTTGGGTTGTCAATATCAAGTCTTTGACACTCCGTTGTAATAATTTCAGGTGATGCCACTCTTTTCCTTTCCAATTCCACCTTCCCCTCCACGCTGGGGGAATCCCAGGCTTGATCATTTTCCATGCTAGGAATTTTGGGATTTCCTCTCTTTTTCGACGGCAACAGTATTAATTCTTCAAATCATATAACTGTTCTAAGTGTATGACTTAGGTTTCATGAAACCCACATTGATTTTTGAGTGTTTGGAGTCGTGAGTTATAAATTTTGCGGTAATATGCCAATTGACTTTATGAAGCCCCTTGGATTTGTAGCTTTTAGGTGTTTGCTCATTGATGTCAGGACTGGACAGTATTTTTGTATTCTTCAAAAAAATAAATAAAACAAAATTGTAGTGTTGAAGTATATGAGTTGGGACTTGGGTGTCCACTAATCCACATTAGTTTTGCTTGCGAGTTAGTTTCATGCTTTTGTTTCACACATGCGGCGATTAATGTAAACTGTGATGAACCAGGCTGAAATTCATGTTATCGACTATTCTAACTGAAATTGTTTTATTTTAGTAACTTTAATTGGTAGTTTGGACTTTCCAGTTGAGAATGATCCCAATTGTGGTGTACTATCTCCTTCCAACAACCTTTTTCCCTGTTTGGCTAACTAAATTCCAGCCCTTAGGATCCTCCTCTGAATAAATTTTTAGAGAACGCCTACTCCTGTTTGCCGGGTGATGAGGAATAGTGGGTTAATGGGAGACGCTTTTATTTGTCCAAAATGCAATCAATTCATAATAATTTGGCGTTGGCAAACTTCAATAGTTAATGACTGATTTGATTCAAGTATTGCTACATTTGGACTTTCTACATACTATGCTTGATTCATCTTTGATGATTGGTCTGTTGACTGATACTTTTGCTGTCATTTAGGCAGGCCCTAGAGTTAAATGCAATATTTTAAGAAATGAAGCTGAGATATCCTGAAAGTTTAAATTCTATCTACGTGCATGGTTTGCGATCCTGTTTGGACGGGCATTATTCCTCATCGTCCTCCGCCGTGGAAAGATCTTATAGGAAACGTAACCTGGCAACATCTAGCAGGCTTTGTCATGCTCGAGCATTTAGCTTGTCATCTAACTCAAACAGGAAGAATAATAATAATGATATCACTAGCCCGGATGATCCCACGGCACTTGATGCTTACAAACAGTCCAGCGATAACCCCCAGAATCTCGATGAGGACAGCAGTGTTGACGGAGTTTCAAGAGATGCTGCATTTGACCTCATTGAGGTAAAGGTTGAGAAAACTGGAAAAAACCGACGAAGGATCAAATCCAGTATTTCAATGAAGGCAAGCCTCCAGAGAGTCTGGAACATCTTGACAGACTATGAGAGATTGGCGGACTTCATTCCCGGCCTTGCTGTAAGTCAGCTGCTCGAGAAGAAAGACAAATTTGCTCGTTTGTTTCAGGTCCTCTTCTTCCCCTCCGTTTGAATGTCATCCCTTGCCTGCACACTGGTGAATGAGTTTATTCAATATCCATATCCATTAGTTCTTGCTTGTCATTACAGATTGGTCAGCAAGAGTTGGCATTTGGATTAAAATTTGAAGCGAAAGGCGTAATTGAATGTTATGAAGGTGATCTTGAGCAGTTCTCTTGTAGTCAAATGCGCGACATCGATTTTAAGATGATCAAAGGTGACTTCCAACTCTTTGAAGGAACCTGGTCCATTGAGCAGGTGATTTTGCACTTTCTTCCATCACATGAATGTCCTTTGCTACATCTTATCAAATAAGCGCTTTTGCCCCCAGAAATTTCATGAGCTTTTCATTAGTTCTTTTTAGTTCCTCACATTAGACTACGTAGAATTCTAGCCCCTTGCACTCTCAAAAAGTGATTTTTGCCTTTTGTCAGACTAAAATTTTTTGTTCAGTTGCAATGCTGGATATTGGGTTGCTTTGATGAAATGCAATTCTATATTAGCCTCAAAATGAGTACTAATATTGTCTTTGTTGGATCGGAAGGTGAAGACACGAAGAGAATCTCTATCCAACTTCAGCAATAGTCCTGCTGGTAGTGCAATTCTAGGCCAAGATCGGACTACAACTCTCTCGTACGTTGTGGATGTGGAGCCTAAAATTTGGCTGCCAGTGCATCTTGTTGAAGGGAGGCTCTGCAGAGAGATCAAAATGAATCTCCTGAGCATAAAAAGAGTCGCTGAAGAAGAAGATACCCTATTTTGATTAAAATGTGCAAAGGTCTCCTGTCTCCCCAACATTCCTCGTTTGGGAATTACCTTTCTTTCTGGGTATACTGGAATTTTGTTGCATGATCTGTAAGCAAATTTTCCACTGTAGGCAAGCGTAATTAATTCATATTTGCTAGTGGCAGGCTATTAATAATTTGACTTGAGCTTTTTGAAACTCGCTGTGGCGGAGCTAAGAGCTAAGTTATTAGGTCTTCCCAGAACTAGGGGCAATACCTTCTGCGCTTACTCTTGTAAGTGTTAGATGATGACAACAAACTTGTACCTTTGTACTTTTCCACATATATACATACACGTGTGGTTATAGCAAATATGGCTTCTTTTTAGTACAAATTTTAAAACTCAATGTAGACTATTTTTTTTTTTTTTGGGACAGTTAGCATTATTGTTGTTTGTTATTACTAATAGCTTGGTTTGTGCATTTCAACTCTGTAAAGACAGAGCCTTAAAGTTATTGAACCTGTCAAGCTGTCAACTCTGGATGTCACATTTGCAATTCTGCATTATGTAGTTTCTCTTATTCTCTGTGAAAGTGATTTTAAAAAAGAATAAAAAAGAATAAAAAATTGCATGTTGGATTACTGTGATGATTTTTCCATTTAGTTGAAGAATGGTCCCCGTCTTTGTGGAGAATTGGGGTTTGCTAGAGAAGGAATATGCAGTCGATGAAAAAAAGGAACCACAAAGCCAGAGAGAGTCTACCACTTGATTGGATGACCACAACAGAGCATGAGAACATTATTGATATTCCTTCCTGCGAGCCAGTAGTCTTCCTGTTTATTAGGATCCATTTACTATTGTTAATCTTATCCAGAATCCCGAAAAGATTTTGTCTTTAGTTGCCTAATGAAACTAGTTAGTCAATACCATGTGTTATTATGGAACCCATAAATTAAGGCCAAACTCTGGAAGCATCTATCTTTTGACGTATTTTCATTCATCATCTATTTTATCCGTATCCTACAAGCCACAGCATTCCATACTACTTTATATGACGTCCAACAGTGCTATATCAATTGAATTGTGGTTTGCCAATATTTTCCCAAATCAATGAAGTTGGTCATCATGATGAACAAGTCGTTGCTGTTGCTTTTGCTTCTTCTTCTTGTTGTTGTTTTGGTGTCAGTTGCTGATAGTAAGGGTGTCCACCACCATGCATATTCAGCCAGAAGGCTTGTGGAAGATAACAGAAGGAATATGCTGGCAAATGGTCTCGCCTCGACTCCTCCCATGGGGTCAGTTTTACTACTCCTCTTCATTATACTGTAGTTTATTTTTATGTTTCAAAACTGAAAAGTATCAGGCCATTTGTTTTTTGTTGTTTTGTTTTGCTTTTACATTTCTTCATCACGGTATGTAAAATCTGTATCTTTGGTTTTTCTTGAAATGTAGTTTTCCAGTTGTCACCAGCACTTTACCTTTCTTTTTCCTACTATAACTTCTTGCGTTTCTCTAATAGTTTCCTTTATGCATCATTTTGTGTTGGTTTTGTTTTCCTCCTCATTTCTTTATTTTCTTCATTTCTTTTTTGTTTTTGTTTTTATTTTATATCTTCTTGAGCGAACTTCAATGATTGGAAAGTCATGTATATCCTTTCATCTGTCGATGTTTGGCTCCACATCTAGATTGGTGATTTCGTTTTTCCCCTTTTCTAAAGTGCGTTCATCCATCCTTCTTGGTCATGTTGACACTTTTTTGTTAATGCGTCTTCGGATATGGAGGGCTTCAAAAGAGTGAAATGTATGTACCAGTTCTGTTTTTCCACATCGATTGTTTAGTCTTGTCAAATTCATATCTGTATCAGTTATTGAGGAGGTTGATTCTTTGTTTTTTCACGCTGAAATATAATTGTTTAGGCATCCCATCCTAAAAGGTTTATGGATGTGTAGACACCAAAAACAGAACTTCAAAATTCCTTTGTTCAAGGTTCGACCAACAGAACTTCAGCTGGCGGAAGTGAACAAGTTTACATAGGACAGACTAATAGCTGCTCTATTTGCCAACAGAAACCAAAACATGAAAAAGATTATGGGAAAAGGAAAAAGAAAATTGGCCTTATTTGCTTGATTGTTTTCTTTATTACAGGTGGAACAGCTGGAATCATTTTGGGTGCGGGGTTAATGAAACTATCATCAAAGAAACAGGTCCTTTTATTGCTGTTACTAATAGCTCGAATAACATTAGCACTTCCCTGACAAGAAACTTTGGCTTAAGTTCTTTTATACCTGCAAATTGAGAGAATTATATATTTATATGTCACCTTCTTTTAGAATTTACATTTTGCAACTACTGCTTTCTCTGTGAAAAGCATTTGTTTTTTTGGGTGATAATGGCATTTGATTTCCCCTTCCTTTTCTCATTGTGTAAGCTTCCCTTTACTTTTGGCGTTGCAGCCGATGCAATTGTTTCAACCGGACTCTCAAAGCTTGGTTATCATTATGTCAACATAGGTACATTATTCCATTACTAACTCGAGTTTTCTTTATTATTTTGCCATTACCTGTGTAGAATAAGGTATACTGTAAAAAGCATAGTTTAGCTAGCAAGAGAAGTTGAACTAAATTAAGCAAGATTGTTTCTTCGTTCAGATGATTGCTGGGCCGAAATTGCTCGTGACGACAAGGTTCTACTTCTTGTTCCATTTTTAGTTTCTATGACATTGTTGTCATGAGGACTTGTACTGATTATTATTATACTGATCAGGGAAATCTAGTTCCTCACAAGGTTAAGTTTCCTTCTGGGATAAAAGCTCTTGCAGATTATGTACATAGCAAGGGCCTAAAGCTGGGTATCTACTCAGATGCAGGGTAATGATACAACCATCATCTTGACATCATGATCATGCTCCCCTTCTTTCTATGATTTCTCTTTCCTACTAATGACGTCCTCCTTCTGTTTGCAGCTATTATACTTGTGCCAAGAAAATGCCTGGTTCTCTTGGTCACGAGGAACAAGATGCAAAGACCTTTGCCTCTTGGGTATGTAACTAAAATGAGTACTTACAAAAATCAGTTGTAACTTGCAATCAAGAGATCTCTTGAACTTGTGTGTATTAAACTATCTGCAGGGTATCGATTATCTTAAATATGATAACTGTAACACTGATGGCTCAAAGCCAACTGTGAGGTATGTGAAATGCGCTCACACCAAAAGGTTTTTTGAAGATCAATGCTTTCTCTGTGTAACTTGATTGGTGTTGATTCTTACGTGCTTGTTTTGTCATTTGGGAATTCACTGCATAGGTATCCTGTGATGACAAAAGCCCTGATGAAAGCTGGACGTCCTATATATTTCTCCCTATGTGAATGGTATTGTGATCCTGCTCTTGTTCACATCCTGTTCACCTTTCTACTTTATATGTCCATTGACAATTTTGGATCCCGCTATGTTCCAGGGGAGATATGCACCCTGCACTTTGGGGTATGAAAGTAGGCAATAGCTGGAGGACTACAAATGATATATCCGATAACTGGGAAAGGTATACATACAGATGTTCAGCCCTTTATAATTAGCTCCGTGTCTTCGTGGTGCAGTTTTAATTAATAAGAAGTCCTTTTGCTTCCTTAAATGCAGCATGGTATCAAGAGCTGATCAGAATGAGGTTTATGCCGAGTACGCAAGACCTGGAGGCTGGAACGGTTCGTTTGTTTTTCTCTTTATCTGTGGAGCATTTGCATTTGGGGGTTATGACTGAATTCTAAGTGTTTTTTCTTTTTTTTGGCATTAGGCATCCATTAAGTAGTATTCAAAGATTTTCAATAGCATCTTGGTCCAAACTGAACAATGAGTGGAAATGTGAAAACTGATTCAGTTTTGACTGTGACTTTGAGATTTGGTTGTGTTAAATCTGACAAATGAAATCATTAGGCAGATCCTGACATGCTTGAAGTTGGAAATGGAGGAATGAACAAAAGCGAGTATATCGTCCATTTCAGCATTTGGGCTGTTTCAAAGGTATGTGAACTAAGTTCCAAAGTTGCTTCTTCTTCTTGGGTTTCTGATGTATTCAAATTTCAAAGCTTCTGCTCATGTCTCTTCTTACAATTTTATGTTAAAAATGTGCAGGCACCCTTACTCATTGGTTGTGACGTCAGAAACGCTTCCAAAGATACCATGGAAATCCTTGGGAACACAGAGGTCATTGCAGTAAATCAAGGTCCTGTGCTGCCACTTAGTATTATTTTCTAAATTCATGCCCACACTGTGTTCATCAGTAAAGCAACATACTCTCCTGTCATTCTTTTTACAAATAGCAAGAATATGACAACTGAAAATCAGTGCTTCTGTTTCATTCCAAAAACAGATAAGCTTGGTGTTCAAGCAAAAAAAGTGCGAATGCTGGGTGACTTAGAAGTAAGTAATGTCATCTTTTTTCACCGATTTCGGATCATCATGTTCATTGTCATCACTTTGAGATTTAATGATAAAGAAAGTAGATTAACTGTATGGGAGAAGAGTGTGAATTATGTAGCATAGATAAAGAGATGGGCTATCAAATAGCAGTCTTTGTAAACTGCAACATGGTAACGGATAGTTGCGACTTTTCATTTATGCAACGACCAAATCACTCTGTGCTGTTTTTCCTCCTAACACTGAAACCTTGATGGTCAGGTGTGGGCAGGGCCGCTGTCGGATTACAGAGTTGTTGTGCTGCTTGCAAACCGGAGTCCGGTGAAGGACACCATAACGGCACACTGGGATGATATTGGCCTTCCAGCAGATAGTGCTGTAACAGTGAGAGACCTTTGGGAGCACAAGACATTGGAGACGAAATTTGTGAATAATCTGACTGCCACAATAGATTCCCATTCATGCAAGATGTATATCTTGAAGCCATGATAATAATGCGGTTATGTTGCGTGCTGCTTTTAGAGGGCTTCAATTTGGACATCCATTCTGATTATTTAGGAAAATAGTGGTGGTTGACGACATGGTATTTTTATGTAAAGAACTAAACCAAGCCCTTTGGCAAGTAGTCTTTTAATTAGTAACGAAATGTATTGATAAATAAATAAATAAAAAAAAGAAGAAAAACTCTCAACATGGTTCATTAAATTTGTGCCTTACAAAATAAAATAAAATAAAATATTTTGACTTTTCTCTCTACCTATTCTCTTACACCTTAGCTGCCTCTCTCTAAAAATTTCTCTTTCCCTATCTTCTTTCATTGGTTGTTGGGGGAATTTTAATTTTTTTTTTATTTTTGGTTTTTATATCATTTAATAAGTGAGATTTATGCCCAACTATTGTTTCTTCAGCAAATTATGTATATTAAGAGAGTAAGATTTTTTCAGTGTTCATGGTATTTTCGCTACTATTGTTACAATGTTCTTAGCAGATTATTTCTATTGAGAGAGTAAAATTTTTTCACTGTCCGTAGTATTTTCGCTATTATTGTTGCAATGTTCGTAGTTCGTTATTTTATCCGATTTGAGAAAATTTAGTCATTGTAGATCTATTCGATAAATATAATATGTGGTGTTTTCATAAAATGATTAGAGATATGCTTTTTTATCAAATTGATTATCTAATATGTGATATATTCATCCATTGATTTATTGTGTAGACCTAGATAGGTTTATCAATGAGAAACACAATGTAATAGAATTGATTCAACAATAGTAATGGAGATTGTGTTTTTGTTTCGATTGTATTTTTAGATTATTAATCGTTGCTAAACGATTTCCAGTAAAATATAATTTTTACTTAGGGATTAAAAGATAAAACGAGATTAAGAAATTCCAACGGCTTTCTACCATACAATAAGTTTGCCACGTTAGTTTGTCTCCTACTCTATGGAAAATCACAGCAAATGAAAACGGAAACAGAAAAAGGTAAAGGCTTAAAACATCAATTACTTCAATCTCACTTTACACACCTTTCTTTCCATTTTTTCTTTGCATAAATTTGGAGATGATGTTTACAATGGAAATTAGCAAGTTGTATGGCCCCATAAAAAAGCTTTGGAAAAATCAACCCTTTGCATTCCATATTCTCTGTTACTTGAAAAAAGCCATCTTCCATTTAGGGCAATTCACTTTCAGTTACATACCAACACCCGACGGCAGAGCTTACATCTCTTTGATAATATGAACAGCAGAATACAAGCTTTTTATGTATATCTGTCCAATACAAGATTACAAATTACACTAAGCAACACAATTGGGTTCCCCCACTTAGCCTATAACTAGGGATCGCTGGATTAGCAGTGTTGATTATGTGTTAGGAAAAGAAAGCAGATCTCATGATTCCACCAGGTTTGATGATTCCCAGTATCTGTTCAAGCAGCCGAAAGAAATCAAGCAGGTTGTGGTTCATACCTCAGAAATGACGGTTTAGTTTAAATGAATAAATTAGTTCGTCAATTCCCTCGACTTTGGTAGACAGACCATTGTATAGGGCTTCAAGCTCGGACAAACCACGTGAACAAGAACATCACTGCGACTTGAGAGCTCTGATGTTAGCTATCTCAACCAATATTTGCAACTAAACTAGTTTCAATTAACTATAGTTCCTCATGAAACGTCTTGAAGTGCTAGGTTTAGCTCGTGCGCCGACTTGGCAACTGAACCGCCTCTTCTGGAAGGAGAGGCAAGACAGGAAATGAGCTACCAAAATTCACAAGGCTGTTACTGAATTGCCGAGTAACTGAGACGAATGCATACCTGCATAGGCTAGGCAAGCTACGTTTCACTTTCTCAAGCTCGATAAAGCAAATGTTGCAGCGCTCCAACCTGTTTCACCAAATAAGTAATAAAAACCTTGCAATTTATTACAATAGCTAAAGTGACACATTTGGGTTGTACATGTTTAAGCATTCAAACAGACCTTTGCTCTGCCACAATATCCACTCCTACAGATGAAGATGCAGATAGTGAAGAATAAATTAGTGACCCAAACAATCTGACCAGCTTCAAAAGCATATCCAGTGAGATGTTCTGATGTCTGCAAAAACAAACAAAAATAGTGGCATGTTAAAAGAACAGGACAACAACATCTGCCCATCGGCGGAGGAGAAAAGAAACTTTTGCCTCCTGTTATCAAAGTTCAACGACAGTCCAGTATGAGAGGATCAAACAATAAGAGAAGACAGACACCTCCTCAAAAGTCCTTTACCTATCCATGTTACTCTCAAGAAGCACATTCAGAAGTGGCAGGAGACTCGTGCAGATATCTAGCGTCACAATATCAATTTTTTCCGTCATAAGGCTCATCATATCAGCAATCACCTGCATAAAGCACCAACATTTCAATAATAGTGGAAATCACCATTCTAAATCAGCCATGCTGCCAGGGGTACAAGAGTGAGAAAATCATCACTTACACCATGATCCCCCAATTTCTCCATCGTACTAAGGGCACCTTTAATATCATGCCTTTGCCAGTGACTACGGATCATCTGGTAAAAAGTAACAGAATTTCAAACAGATTCTAAAGAATCACGCAAGGAAAGAAAAGAAAATCAAGTGTGGCTATCTCCTGTATATAATTAAAAAAAATGAAGAAGATATGCTTGGCTTTGGCTGTCAAGGGTTAAAATGTATTACCCTGGGCCCCAAATTTCATATGATACATGATTTAAAAAATCTAGTCTGACACAAGATGAAATTTTAGGCAAGTGCATGATGGTAGGTAACGCTAAAATGACAATCACCTGTAATTTAACAAAACGGGAGTGCATTGATCCAAGAAATTGATCATGATTTTTCATCAAGGCATCAATAACATCCTCCTCACTAGTACACACGGCTTCCTCCTTTTCAGCATATACAGGCTGGCTCCTCTAAAGCACAATTTTCAAAATGAACCAAGAGAAGAGACAACGAGTAAGGGTATAATGACAGAGAGCAGAATGCACTTGTACAGCATATAAACCAAAAGGATGCATAGAACAACAAATTTGAGAAGAGTAAAATCAGAAATTCTAATAACACTATGCAGACAACGACGTAGTTGATCAGGCAGAGTCCTCCAAAAGGGTAGGAATGAACTTTTCAGCATCAAAGTTATATGAAATCATGGAATTGATTTAAGATGTCAAAATGTAGCAAAACAAAGAATGTAATAGGAATTCACAGTCCTATTACAATTACCTCGCCTGGTAACTTTTAAAACATCTCTAAAACAATGGTTGATCAAGTGATGAGTTTTAGCACCATGAAGTGAAGTCATTCTTATATCACGAATAAAGGACAGCAAAGCAAAAGCGAAAGTTACCATGCTTGGTGGCTGTGTCTTTGGAACATGTATTGTCACGGGAATATCACTGGAAGCAAGACCATCATTAAAGGAAATTCTATCTTTCCTCTCCCAATTGGCAACGATCGAACGCGTTCTTCCTATATATTTTTTTCAAAAAGTTAACAAGTCTCCAGCAAGTCTTGCAACAGAACTACCCAAAACTGATACGCACCTGCTCTTTTACCATCAGTCACACTTGATTCTCTGTTGACATTTGATACACGAATTTCATCTGCCACAACAAGCAAATACTGGCTTTCAGTCTTTCATAGTGCAAATAGGAAGCCAGAAACAGATTACATAAAAAAATTGCCTAAAACAAAATTTATATACCTCCTCTTTTACCATCAACCACATTTGATTCTCTACTAATACTATTTGGGATACGAGTCTCATCTGCCATAAGTAAGAAAAAGTTGACATCACTGACAAATGCTAATGTCAACGTTGATGCATAGCTTTCAAGTCAATCTCTAGCAGCTAGTAAGTCCTAGATCTGTCAAACTAATTTTTGTCATTCTTTTCCCTTTACTGCGAGAAACAATCAGCAAGATATCTTACCTACAGCAATGCTGTTCCTTTCAGCAACTGTACCCAATTCAGTAACCTTTGGAACCTCAATTTCAGGCCGTGACGGACCAATTGACCTCTCTGAATCATCTCTATTATTTGAAGAAATGCGAGAATCAGATCCTTTTGATTGCAACGACAAGGGCATAGTTCTTCCGATTATTCCTTCTTTCCTTGATTCCGCAGCATGATCGAACCTCAAGCTATTTCGTGGTACAACAATGGGTATCACATCAGATCGTTGGAAAATTGATGCATTTGTGACGGACTGGACTTTCACTGGATTTTTCTTAGTCGTCGATGTATTCATAACTACTGCTGAACTGACGGGGGCAACTTTTGGCCCATTACTAAGGTTTACTCTCTGAGGAGTACCAGGTACACTTCCAGCGGCTTCATTCACCAAATTTAGCGACACCAATAAAAAAAAAACAAAAAACCAGCTGAAGTTAGAAAATCTAGTATTTACCAAATAGAAACAAAACAAAATGCTCAACCAGGAAGGGAAGGAGAAACAAGTGAATAAGCTTATCTGAAACAACCATTTAAAATATTAGAAAACAAAAATTAAACTTTTAAAAAAGAAACATACAGGAGAAAGATTTAGATTCTTTACTAAGGTCTGAGTTTTGTGAAGTAGAGAGTCTGCTGGAAGATTTAATTTCTCGGACAGGGTCTGAATTCTGTGAAATGGACAACCTGCCCAAACTGGCCTTGACCACATCTTCACTTGGCACAGACAAATTACCGCTCATATTGGTTTTGGATTCTGATTGCCCATTTAACCGAGTTGTGCTTCCCATGGCATAAGGCTCAATGCGCTGAGAAAAATATTCAACATTAGGGAACTAACATAAACTAATGAGTTCTAAAAATAAAACCAATAAAGACTCATACACAGAGGGAAAGTTATGCGATATCCATTCAGTCAAACTAACCCTTACCGAGATATCTACAACCCATACACCAACACAACTCTGGTTATAAGAACATCCAAGAAGCTTCCCTTCATGAATATTAAGATCGGACAATTTAGACCACCCGACATCTACTGTATCGTGACATAGGATGGGTTCCCATGAGTATACCTACGAGACAAGGCAACAATGAGATGAATCTTACCGTAACCTTTTCCCATTATACACAACAGCCAACTGAAAGCAAAAGTCTACCTTCAAGCTCTCGTGCAAACCACAGAGAAGAGTTTTACCATCAGGATTAAATGTCATGCAACGCACTCCAGTGGTCTGCATTATGATAAAACCAATCATTAAGTGATTTTAACTAGGATTAAGAGTATTGCTAAGAAATGAGAAGTGAACCAGAAAAGAATATTTTTCAGAATGTATAGAGATAAAACAGTTGGGAGAAAACAATGACTACCTCAGGTCCAGAAGACCCTATCAGTTCAAAAGTCTCCAGGTCCCAAAATTTCACAGTTTTATCTGATGAACCTGTTAAGAAAATTCCAGAATGCTGTAAAGTGAAATATAACAATGAACAGAACCAAAGAAATGCATTTCACTACAACATAAAGTGTTTGTAGTCGAAGATGTTTTCTTATTATTTAAGTTCCGGCCGTGAAAACAGAACGATGTTATTTAAATAAAGAAATACTCAGTTAACCTGCAACTAGCATCCTAGATTCCTAAAATCTTAGCACCTCACCTGTTGCCAGCAAAAACTCATGAGGATGAAAATCAATGCACTGAATCTGTCCATCATGGCACTTAAAATCGTGCAAAAGCTTCCCGGCAGTTAAATCCCATAGCTGTAACAATAGCAATTATATGATGAACACACAGCGAAGATAGACCCAAAGAGGGGCACATATACAATCAAAACTCCCTGTGCATGTTCTCCAAGCAGGAGTTTGCAGACAGGAGGCCAACCTACTAAAAGATAACAAATGCTAATATGCAAAAAGCAGCAAGGCACGGTTACAAAAGCACAAGGGGGAGAGCACTTTGGTAAGTCACAAGACTAATACATACCACCAGGGACTAACTGAACCACGATAATTAATTTTAAGCAACATTTAAATACAAAAATAACAAAGATCGTGCAATGGCAGGGAACATATACATATTAATATCAAGTTGAAGCCAAGAGGATGGTAAAGCATCCATTCTGATGCAGTTGATAAATGCAAATTTTTTCTCATCAATAAATGTTCACCCAAGGAAGTGAATACGAATGGCAGGAGGCGTGAAGAAAAGTAAAAAAGATAAAACCTTGACAGTATTGTCCTCTCCGCCAGAGACAACCCAACGGCCATCCGGTGTAAACCTTATAGCATTGACTCCTCGAGTGTGACCCTTGTAAGTGTGGATACAACCTTTCCTTCTGATATCCCAAATTTTCAAATTCGTGTCCAGTGAGCCAGATGCAAAGAACTCTCCAAAAGGATGGAAGTCCAAAGAGATGCAATTTGAACGATGACCCGTCAAAGTACGGACAACTGAACCAAATAAACAAATGAATAAACAAGCAAACAGAAACTCCATTCCGGATAAAGGAAGGGGCCATATTATGTGACTCAATAAGAGAAAAAGCTACATTGTGAGACTAAAATGAGGGGAGAAAGTGGACATACTCTTGGCTTCTTCTAGATCCCAAAGCTTGATGGTACCACTAGCAGCTCCGGCAGCTACCAAAACTTCAGAAGAATCAAAGCCAACTGAATCGATCCCACTGGAGTGACCCGACAAGCTCTAGACAATAAACCAAGAAATCAACTTTGAACATAAATATCAACCATCTTAGTAGAATTATAATTGGTCTTTTATTCATGAGCATAGCAATTTGTAAGACATAAATATCAAGCATCTTTAGGGAAAAAAAAAAAAAAGGAAAAGAGAAATCAAAGTAAAAAAGGTCAGGTTTAGCACAACTAAAAGCCCTATGTGCAAATGATTTGAGATGAACTAAGAAGGCAAAAGGAGGAGAAGAAAATAGGGTTGAGAGACACTGACCAAAATGGCATTGGGCTTGCCAATGGCCCAGAGATTAACTTTGTGATCTTCTCCACCAGTGACCAGTACCCTTGATGACTTCCTCCCAATCTTCAGACAGTTGACACTCTCTGAATGTGCTACAAATTCCTCTATTTTTTGATTTTTCGAATTTTCAGAGTCAAGGATTCACAAACTTCCATATTTGAAAATTTGAAGGGAAAAATAAATGGAAAATACAAATTCAACAACCTTTTTTACATTACTAAGATCTGAGAGGAGGAAGCAATATTCAAAAAGGCAAATCTACAGGCGAACCATGAATCTCAAATAACGGACAGAAATGAAGCAACAACATTACGAAAAGAGAAACAAAAAAAAAAAGAGAAGGATACGTAACTTATAAGCACGTTTGGTGGTAGTCATGGAAACAAAAAGAGAAGAATCCCAAATGCCGATGATAATACGATTTGAATTCGTATAGCGAGGGGCAAAGCCCTAGCGGGGAGTGTGACGACGGCGGAGGAGGAGGCAGCGGCCGCCGGCAGAAGAAGAAGAAGAAGTTGAAGTAGTAAGAACTAGATCTCGTGGGCAGCAGGGGCGGGGAACATCATGAATCACTCGCCGACTCCATTAAAATTGATGATGATGCTCTTCTTATTCATCTCCATATCAAACCCAGTTGGAACATTTCAAAAATTCCAATGCAGTTTTACTAAGTACTAGTAGTATATAAGAAATGTAGAAGAAGAGTAAATAATAATCATCGGTAATCCTCCAGTGCTGCTAAACAATGGGGGAAAAATGAGATTAAATCAACCAAATCGGGAAGGGGAAGGGATTTGAAAATGACATTAAAACTCTTTTTTTTTCTCAGTAAATATTCAAACTTCCAATTTACAGAGACAGTTTTATAATGTGTATTCTGATTGATTCCTTCTTGACGGTAATGAAAGACAGATTTTTAAAGTAAAAGAGAGAGTTGGTGGATTGGATTTTTGTGTGTTTTGAGTTTGAAATCATACGTCCGTCCATTTATTACTACTACTCTACTACATTGGTTTTTCTTTCTTTTTCTTTTTTCCTTCTTTAATTAGTACTAATAGTAATCATTAATTTAAGGGGGGGCCGAGGGGCCAACCAACTGAAGGTGGGGGAGTGATGTTGTAAAATTGCTTTCATTTTTTTTTTTATTTCATCCTCAGTTGAGAAGAATATTTAGACGAGTAACAATATGGATAGTGATTAATTATAGTGAAATTATATAGTGAGTAATGAAAATACAAATACATCACATTTACTAAATATTACTTATTCATTAAGGGTACAAATATAATTTTATGAGAAAAATATAATTTCAACGATTAAATAACTAAAAAATAGGAAGCCATAATTACTTCACATTTTGTGCCAATCTTATACATATTAGAGTATTACTGATTTTATGAATACGAAAACCATCCTGCAAATTACCCAGATACCTCATAAACCCAGCATAAATAAATTAATTAATAAATTATTTACTCCATCCGTCCCATAATTATTGTCCAGTTTGAATTTTCATTTTTAGTTCAAATTGTACTAAAATTGAAATATTAAACTAAACAATAATTTTAAGACAGAAAGAGTATATCATTATTCATTGTAACTAAGAATGTATGACATCCAACAAATTAAAGTTTAATCTATTTAAGTAGGGGCGGAGGCACATATTGGTGGGGCAATTGCCCCATCTGTTTTTTTTATTAAAAAAAAAAAAGTAAGCACCCCTTGAAATTTTAGGGTTTTTTCTTTTTTTTTTCAAAAAAAAAATTTGTTTCACCTAAATTAACTATATTAAGAGGCAAGTATATTAAATAAGAAAGATTAAAAATCTAGTCCCATCACTTATTAGGGCTTAGTTCCGCCCTTGTATTTAAGCAACACTGTAAATTGATGAAGGCAAATTATATCATGGACCATATTTCATCTTGCAATATGAGCCAAAAAGGGGTGTGTTGTTCACTCTCCTAACAAGCAACTGATATTCTTTTTTCTTTTTTTTGATAATTATCTTAAATGTTAGTTTTATCAAAAAAGGGAGGCAAATTATTTTCTTTTTTCTTTCTTTTTTTTGGCACGTCGATCAATGTATGAATATTGCTACAGATTAATAAATTTAAACATCTAAGAAACTTGTAAACATAAGTAAAATAAAAAGAAATGCATAAGGAACTTGTACAATTAATAATCATGTATGAACACAACGTTGTTAATGTATGAACGCAAGGGGAAAAATAAATATGCAACATCAATCTGACATTTCAATAATATATGAACATTAACGAAATAATATATGAAAATTTTCACAAAAACGTATAAATATGAGACTATCGATTAACATTTAGAATAAAAACTGAGAAAACCTTAAAAGATCAAAAGCAAAAAGCAATTACATTCATCATTAAACAAAGATACCATTTTCTCAAGTATCAAAACAAACTGTAGGCTTTGATAATTATTCTTTTTAATAAAAAAAAAGGCCTTAATTAATAAATCTATTAGTCAAAGTTTTATGAAAATATGTACATATCAACTCTAAATAACACCATTACAAAAGCATCAGACGTAAAACCATTTCTTATATCCTAGGGGCAATAATCAATTACAGTAAATAAAAAAAATCTAAGAAATTGTAATTAACGGTTGAACACATGAATCAAAAAGCATTCAGACTAAAGAAAAAAAAAAGAGAGAAAAGGAAAAAATTTCTAATGTATTTACAATTTCAGCAATAAGGAGGTCTTTTATTCTCCCGAACCAAGAAATTAATTTCAGCAAATACACCCTTGTGAAAGGCAAAAATCATGAATAAAAAGAGGCAAAAAATCATTAACAAAAAGTGATCATAGTATGAACATTATTCACCAAATATATAAACTTTAAGATATCAATTTAAAGATTGGCATCATGATAGAAATTCATTAAAATAAAATTATGAACAAAATCTAATCATATTATTAATATTTTAGTTAGCATGCATTAACTTCAAACTATCAATTGAAGTTGGGTGTCAAGATTGAACATCCAATTAAAATTAAAACAAAAAAGAAAAAGTAAAAGAAAAAAAAAAGTGTGTACAAGTGTATGAAATATTAAACCACAATACTATTTTCCAAAAAATGCCACAAATACAAATAGATCCTACTTGATGCAATAAAAACGGAAAAAAGAGAGAACATCTTCTTGTTTTCTTTCATTATTTTTGCATAATAACATTAAAAAAAAGTGATTGAGGCAATGACAATGTCATTAAGTATGAACTTCAAAAATATCAATTCAAAGATTGTATAAATAATCACTCAAACCATTAGGGAAAAACATTCATCGCCAACCGAAGATAGATTCATGAGAAAATAACTGCTACTAGCTTGTAGCCAAGAATTGAAACAATAATGGGAAAAAAAACATTTGTTTCTTCTATTCTCAATTGATTGATTTGACGATGACAGCAAAGGTGATTCTTGATGGTGATAAATTCTAGTGTTTCTTTTCAGCAATGGAGTTTTTTTTTTTTGTTTTTTTTTTGTTGAGATGAGATAGATTCTCCGATAGGAGAGAGCAGGGTGGAAGATGAGAAAGGTTAAATATTTGATCTTTTGATGGATATATATATATATATATTAATTACTATAAAAAATAAAGTTAGAATTAGAGAAAATACTCTCTTTAAAATCTTATCTCAATTCTCTATTTTATTTCTTAAAATATAAGAATAAGAAACGCGTACCTACACACTTAGTTCACATTGCAAGATGAACCATGGTCTACTATATAAGAATTGATAAATGAAAACCTTAAAAAAAATCAAATGTCTCGTGAATATAATCAAAAGAATTTTCTTTTAAAAGAAAATACTTTATGATAACAACAGGAGAAAGTAATCGACATTTCAAACATTCGATGCTAAACCTCTTCCTAATTAATCAATAATCTTTTCTTCATAGTTTTCACGCTAGTGTTTCATCAAAACCACCAGAAAAACAATTTCAAATAGGTAGTAGATCTACCGTGTTGTTTGGATTGTAGTTGGTTTTTTTTTTTTTTTCAAGGAACCCCGTTTTACTTTTTGGTAGGTAATTTTTTTTAAAAAAAAAATTTGAAAGGCAAAATAATAGAAGAGAGTGGCTTTCGTGTCGTGTGGCTTAATAGAAAGAAAACTTTGGAAAAGCCCAAAGCATAACAGCACAAAGCAAGTAAAAATATAGAGAAAAAGACGGGTATTTGGAAGTTGGGACGTATCTCTAAATTGTAATGCCAGTTAAAAAAAAGAATGCAGGGAGACCAGATCAAATCCAAATGCAATATTAGTAGTACATTACTACTGCATTTTCCCCCCTTCAAACTGGGAGTACTAGCAAACCTTAATATAAGTGTTACACCTTATTCCCATCTTTAGCTTAATACCACCAGATAAACCCTAATCATAAGAATAATAGATTAAAAAAAAACAGGGAATGTGTTCTACCACTGTTACAAAATCACTTCACCAAGCAAATCTTGATGACAGAAGCAGCCCCAATACGGTGTAGCGCAACCACGGCATCGCCAGGCTGGCACATCCCTTTTTTCGTTGCAGATTTCAACGCGGCTTCCAAGATCACCTCAGTCGATTCTGAATCCGTGGCCTTGGCAGAACCTTCTGCAAGAATCGGAATCAGGCCACGATATATCAAGCTGTGCCTAGCTGGGGTTTCGTCGCTGATGTTCCAGTCGAAGGAGTCAGTTGTTAGTACCGGGACGACCACAGACAAAATCGGGACAGCCGGTCTGTACTTGGCAACTAACTTGGCCGTAGTCCCACCACGGGTCAGCACGACAATGAGTTTTGCTTTTGCCTTGTTAGCTGTACGCACAGCCGAGGATGCAAGACTCTCCAATGGACTCATTGGCAATGGGGCTGACCTTATCATTTCCTTAAAAATGGCACCATAGTCCAGAGAGGATTCAGCCTCAATACAAATGCGGGCCATGATTTTCACTGCAAGCTCAGGGTAAGCCCCAGCTGCGCTCTCTCCACTTAACATCACGCAATCTGTGCCATCTAGGACGGCATTGGCCACATCGGTGGCCTCAGCACGAGTAGGTCTTGGGGACTTGATCATCGATTCCAGCATTTGAGTAGCCGTCACCACAGGTTTCCCAACAAGGTTACACTTGTATATCATCATCTTCTGTGCCAGGAAGATTTTCTCCACCGGAATTTCCATACCAAGATCACCCCTAGCAACCATGAATGCATCCGTCTCACGTAGGATTTCGTCAAAGTTGATTACACCTTCTTGATTCTCCACCTTCAAGTTAAAACCAAAACCCCCAAGAAACGAAAAACAAATTACATTTGTAATGAGGGAAAAGATAAATAACGAACTGATCTTCCAACTGACCTCCGCGAAATGACAGAATAGAAACCAGGGAACCATCTCTTGCTGTGTTCTATGATATATATGGGAAAATAGAATAAATAAAAATCAGTGTACCTTTGACATCAACTGTATACGCTTCGCGTGGGGACCAAGGAGTTTCCGGACGTTTACAAGATCAGAGCCCTTCCGCACGAATGATAGGGCAATCATATCAATATTATTAGGGACACCCCATTCAAGGATATCTTCCTTATCCTTATCAGTAAGGGTCGGGAGATCCACCACAACACCGGGAAGATTAACATTCTTCCTCTCTCCTAACATGGCAGTGTTCTCACAACGACATTGCACAGTTCCAGCCTTTGGATTGCACGACAGGACAGTAAGGGTGACAGTACCATCAGAACACAAGATAACATTTCCAGGCTTCAAGTCCGTAGCCAACTTCTTGTAGCTCATAGAAATGGTTTCTTCATCTCCTTTTATGTTGTAATCTGTGGTCACTGTAATTTCACGTCCTTCCTTGAGCTGAATTGGTTTCGCATCCTTCAGAAAACCAGTTCTAATCTCAGGTCCCTGTATCAAACAAGGCACAACTTTATTAAATGATAAAAGAATACGTAAACAGAAAATGAGGACTGTAAGGATTTTAAAGCATAGCCACAGAAAAGTAAAAAATGATAGTTCTAGTAGAACAATCCAAGCGAAGTGGTCAATCCTCACAAGGTAGGAATCAACGAGACAACAGTTTGAACAGCCTTGTCAAAAAAAATTTCCGGTTGGTGTTTTGATGGATTTATGTCATATAAATACTAGATTCAAGAAGAAGAATTACTGGTGGTATGATTTCAAGAGACCTCGAAAAAAGAAAAGGCAAATACAGTAACTAGATGCAGACACCTAAAACAAGAATAGAAGGTCAAACAGGAGAACTTCGCTTTCTGGCTCTTTCTGAACCATTTTTTCCTGTACAAAAAGCTTGTGGCTATATTTAAGCATATGAGTCCAGAATTACTTTGAAATATAAGAAGGCAAGTTATTAAGAAGACTAATTTCCTAAATAAATAACAAGAAGCAGGAAGATATTACGCATTATCCCACATGAAAAAGTAAAGAACGAATTTGAAGCAATGGACCTTGGTATCGAGCATGACGGCACAAAGGATCTGAGTGTTATGCATCGCGATTCGGAGATTATTCAAGGTCTCCTGGTGATACTCATGAGTCCCATGAGAAAAATTGAACCTGGCAACATTCATTCCAGCTCTCAGAAGCTTCTCCAACATGGGCACAGATCGAGAGGCAGGTCCAATAGTGCAGACAATCTTGGTCTTGGGGACACGTCCATCATTTGGTAGCTCTTTCAAGATCCCCTCAATGTCTATATTAGCCATAGTATCTGATTGGATTCAGATTCACAAGAAACAGACATCAGTAACAAGTATATCCCCCCACCACCACAACAAGCACTAAGCCTTCATCTCATAGTGTCAGGTCGGCCATATGAATCACAATTTCCTAAACAACCCATCAAGAAGGACATCAACTAAAACCTACCATAAAGAAGGAGCTACATCGTAAAAGTATCATACATTCATGTCATCGAAGTTAAAACTCACTGCATAGCAGACGAAAAATTATACTTCGAAGCACAGGTCTGAGCCAATAATTCTTGAATTCTGGTAATACACAGAGGAATAGGATTATAGAGCATGATGAGAAGCTAACCATTTATCTGTCCTTTCTTTCTCGATGACCAGTAAAGAGATTTAAGCTTGACAAGAAGGAAACCCGGCGAAGATAACATATACAACCCTAATTTTTATTTTTTACTTTTTTTTTTTTTAAAAAAAAAGAATTCATTTTTCAACACTTAAACAGGATTGGGAAGGCGGAATGCTCAGGATGATGATAAATCCAGCTCAAATGAGATTTAATTGTCATAACAATTCCTAATCGTAACTCGAAACAGCCAGAAAGAAACAAAATATAGTATACCACCAAAAAAGACCAAGGAAAATAGCAAAGATTCAAACTTTAAACACTATAATGACTTGCAAAATTTTCAGAGATTGAGATCAGATCACAACAAAACATTAGAAAAGGGCAAAAAGAATGAACATCAAAATGGGTTCTCTTTGGTAGTACCCTTTATTTATTTCCACCTTGTTGGAGAAATAACAAGTAAAAATATGAATAGTTTACTAACCTTATGCTTGCGGGTTTGTGGTTGAAGAAAGGAAGGAAAGGGTTTAAGGGAATGAGAAAGTAATTGAGTAGTAGAGAGAATTGGGGAAGAAGAAAAGTGGGAAGGGGAAAACAGTGGGGAAGTTGGTTTCTTTCTTACAGCAAAAGACAGAGAGAGAGACAGAGAGAGAAATATTTTAAGGGCTGCTTTCGCTGTCAGTGGCACACAATTATTACTACTACCGGCTTCAGTCCTCCTGCTGTGCTGCGTGCTCAAATGAAAAAAAATCAACCGCAGCTTTCCCAAAAAATAATTCCAAATCACATGAAAATTGGAAAATTCTTTCCTTTCTCACAGTTTTAGTTAATGTTTGTCTTAAAACCAGTCAAAGTCCCCGTCTTTGAATTTTCTTCTTTTTCTTTTTTTTTTCTCGGTGGGTTTCTAGAGGAAGAAGGTTATGAACGAATATTCCAAAACGCTGTTGATGAAAATCCAACAGAGTGATCGGCTGATGCCCAAAATTTTAACCACGAGCTCTTTCCCTTTTAGCACCACAGATTTGGTGAAAACTAGGGGTAGTTTGGGAAACAAAAAAGAGTCAGTTAAGCAGCGCACCCCACCCCCAGACAGATTAGTGATCCGCCTCCATATAAATTAATAATAATAATTACAGTGGGCGACAAACATTAACATTAACAAGCAATGTTTGTCCCTAAACCAGCAGCAATTGCCAGCCTGCCTTAAATTGTTACTAGTGGAGTATTTTGTTAAGACCTACATACCTAACATTTGTTTGGTTTGTGTTTGTTTTGTTTTTTTAGTGTGTGTTTTTAGGAGTTTTTTGTATTAAGAATATAAAAAAATGTATTGAAAATGTAAAAAGGTATGCTGGGATGAGACAGTTATTATTATTTAATTCCGAAAAAATCAACTAAAAAAAGAAAACAAACAAGTTTTTCTTTGAAATGGTGGTTTACTTAATGTTAGAATAACTATAGAAGTACCCTTATCATAACAAGAAACAAATAAAAGAAAAGTTTATGACACAGTCAGGTGGTCATTCATCATGTTTTTCCCAAATACACCGTCTTAATAAAGTTTATAATACTCTCAATGATACATACAAAGGTTTGAAACAAATTTTACTTTTAATTTTGGTTGTATGGTTAGAAACACGATTTGGTGTAGACTTTTCACCGACAATCTAATATTTAAAAATTTTTAGATATTTGTTTCTTCATTGTAACAAAAAAGAGAAATTTATAGTGACTCCTTTTGCATCTATCTTCCTAGGTCTTTTCTCCACATCTCAAAACAAACTTCAATGTTTTTGACCAAAATGAGTAAATACTGTTTCCTCCGTCCCAAAAAAATCAAAATATACAATTTTCTTATTCTAGTCAACTCAATCAATGTACAATTTTATTTTAGTTTAAAATTTTCCAACTCTACCCCTATCATATCTTAAACGTAGCTCGCTCACAATTAAACCCCCAGAAATTTTTTCCACTTTTTTTCTCGCCGGTGGTCAGATCATAGCCGCCGCCACTACCCAATCAAGCCATCAAGAATATCACAATCAATTACCAACCCACCACCAATCAACGTTTTTGCCTTTTGGACATCAATATAGTTGATTGTGCCAACTGATTTGCATCGCCATCGGAGTGGGAATTAGTCAAGGTAGACTAGAGCAGCTTTAATGGAGTCCAAAACCATCAGATGCGATGCGACGATGGGAGCTCTCGATTCTGGTTATGATGATTGCGTGAATTGGAGATGCCTTGACTTGAAAAAATAAAGGAGATGGCACTCTGGCGAAGTTGGGAAGAAGTTTCTGTATGAGATTAGGTCTTGAAATTGAAGATTAAACATGACAATAGTTCTGAAGGCGGTGGCGGAAGGTGGCGGGGAAGATCGGGAGATAAAGGTGAAAGAGAACCTGATGGTTGGTAAGGTGGAGTTGATTTGTGTGGTAATTGATAGAGGGTTAATTAGTTTAAATGTCAGGGATGTTATAGTCATTTTTATTGTTTTTTATTTTGACTTTTTAAAACTGGATTATTTTTTTTAAATTTTTTTTTTATTAAACTAGACAATTTTTGTGAGACGGACGAAAAGTATCATTTTCATAAAACACAATATATAAACAAGAATTGCATCACAAGAATAATATAGGAAAAGGTTTTTTGACTTTATGTTTCTAAAACATAGATTATTCTTAACCCAGATCATTTACCACTGCCTCTATAATCTTTCCCACAAGCACAAACACCACAAGCACAAACAATTTGATTTCAAGGGAAAAGAACACTTGTTTGGACGTCCACTCATTTTATTTTTTAACTTATTTTACCTCTTAAACACAAAACGCAATGGAAAAAAAAACATCATCCAAACAACTTTCTAACTTACATTTTAAATTCCAACTTAAAACACTTTTTGTTAGTGTAATGACCATTTTAGAACTATAAATAATTCAGTGACAAATTTGACAGAATTCTGTTGTTGAGTGATTATTTTTAGAAAAGTTCTTTTTTACAGTGACTATAATTGATACTCCCTCCGTCCCATAATTATTGTCCAATTTGAGTTTTCATTTCTAGCTCAAATTATACTAAAAGTGAAATCTCAAACTGGACAATAATTTTAAGACAGAGAGAATAGTATTTAATTGTTTAGTGATGACTCATGTAGTTCAAAAGATTTTTTTCAAAACTAACATCCAAACAACTTTTTGCTCAAAATACCATCCAAACAACAATTTCATTTCCCATTTAGTTTTTAACTTAAAAACATTTTTCACTTTTAAGTGACAATGAAATGTAAGATGACGTCCAAACAATGTATTTTAGGCACAGGGCATACAGCTTTCAAATCCAGAATCCTCTCCCCACCCCCACAAACACCATACACGCGCACAACAAGATGGCTACATCACAAATAAATTATATTAATGTAGAGTATTTTCAAGCTCCAGGCTAGAGTGACCCAACTCTACTAGTTAAGAACTTAAGATCGCAAACTAGTCATCTAAATTCAAGATAGCTATTCTTCCAAAGAAAAGACATATTCACAGCCCTAAATCCCAGTTCACAATCATACACGAGTTCCTACTTGCAACAACTGCAACAGGATACACCATGATGGTTCTTTCTGGAGTAACCTCTCGCCGCATCAGTTTGATAGCAGTCATACCCTCTTTGGTGGGACATATGGCACTCGTTCATCTTCGCAAAGATTCTGCAAACAATGTGGAAATTTTAGATAAGCAGGATAATACCTAGAATCGACAGATTCAAGCGGCAAATATCTGCAACGTATCTACAGGAAACTGCTGTTTTCCAGTTTCATTAGGAGAGTTGAAAATGCTAGTCAGGAAGGTGCATAAGAAAAACTAAGACGTAAAAGTAAATAAATTACAAAAAGAAAAGTAAAGGAAAGCAGACTCCATCTAGCTTCTAGCTTTGTTTTTCATTAGGAGAGTTAAAAAACTAAGACGTAAAGCCTAGCATTATCTCCATCTAGCTTTGTGTCTTTATACAAAGTGTTGTTTTTCCATATCCACGAGATCAAACATCAGACAGGTACAAGTAAGAGAGTGACTTTTAAGCTAAAACTGAGCCATGAGATTCTGCTGCCAAATGAACAGAAAATAAGGGAGACAATGACAGAATTTGTCATAAAATCATTTGCAAATGCTTAAAAGTTAAAAACCTGGAGGTCTTCTGGAAGAGCTTCTGAGACTGCAAGAGTGTAACAACCAGGGACATTTTTACCTGCAGTCAAATTAAGAATCATATCACTTAAGGATTGATGAGTGCTCCAATCTCACAAGTACAGAAGATTAAAAAAAGTTCTGAAGTATAACAAAGTGGAAGTGAAAATTTAAGTTTTCAGCCAAAAAAAGTATGAGGTAGCAACAACCAACCCAAGAAAGGTAAAGTAAGAAAGAAAGGCTTCTTGGAGGCGCAGAACAGTTAGAAGGTATTCCCAGGGTAACAGGCACATAGACTTATCTCCAGCATAAAAATCTAAACTTTGACACAGACATAAAAACAGAACAACTGAGAAACTCAACCCCAAACTGGTAACAGTGGAAATACTGGCATCAACAATCAAATACAACTGTTGACCACTTCAAATTGTTCAATTATTTATTTTCCCAAAAGTGAACCAATCCGGGTCCAATAGCTAAATTCATATTCATCATTTAAGGAACAGATAACAAAAAAAAATAAAATAAATTGGTGGATGCTATCAAGACAATGGGTAATTTAAACCAAACAAAAATGAGGCTTTTTCCCATACATAAAGAAGAATGAGGGTGTAAAGCAAAGAGAAGGGGTCATACTTATCCTAAGCCAGCGAGCAGCCCAGCTCCGAGAAGGGTCCATCACCGAGATAATGCTATCACCAAAACGTACTCCAAATTTAGAGATAATACAATACTAACAAAGCTCCAAATAAAACAATGATGAAGATGAAAAAAGAAAAACAAAATTGTAAGAGCGAGCGGGGGTACTCACCCAGTAAAATTAGGAGTGGTGCAGTCAGCAACGCGCTCATTATCTTCATCCATCTTGAAGAAAGGGCAGTTCTCGCATCCCGATTCCCTAAACTGCAATCCATCATCCAAAAAAGAAAAAAAAACAACAATTTTAAGAAATGAATGAATGAAGAAAACCCTAGTTTGATAATTGAGATGCTAGAGGAGTCAGTTGGGTAACTCTGCCTGATCGTAGGTCTTGATGAGACGGCAACGAAGGCAAGCTCGGAGCTCGTGACCGAAGCTAGTCGGAATTTGGGCAGCCTGCGCCGCCGGTCCACCGCCCGCGCTCCCCATCTCTTTCCTTCCTTTTGGCTTTACAGCTGCTGCTGAGTCAAGTCTTCCGACGAGTCACTCTTAACTCGGTTGCTGCTTCTATATATGTTTCTGAAGAATGAGATTGTACAGCTGCATTGATATTTTCGCTCCATCTCATTATTGAGCCTTTTACCGGCCCAGGCCCAACTACATAGGTCCATTATTGGAAACAAGAACAAAAACCCACAGTCTCTGATGTTGCTCTGCAATGATGCACATTATCACTCCGTCCATAATTATTGTCCAATTTGAGTTTTTATTTTTAATTTAAATTGTGCTAAAAATAAATTGTCCAGTTTGAATTTTTATTTTTAATTTAAATTGTAATAAAAATAAAATCTCAAACTGGACAATAATTTTAAGATAAACAGAATACTATTTTTCATTATTATGCTTGCATAAAAATAAAGTTTGAAATAACATTAGTCTATTTATGAATTATTATTATATTATTACTCTTTAAATTATTAGAAAAAAAGAAACATTATTTATTAACACAACAAGTACAAGTGATGAGATGAAACAGATATCAGGTATATCTATTAGTTAAAATGATCGTAAGGAGAAAAGAAACAGCATCTTAAAAAAAAAAAAAAATTCTCTCTACTCTTTTCGATTTCCTTATAGATGTTTAACAATTTTCAAATTTTTTTACAATTAAAAATGTGTCTCAATAGCCCTTTTCGACTAAAAGGGCCAACAAGAGGTTGCCCAAGTGATAATGAACATGGCATCAAAACCTGAAGTTCCAAAAGGTTCCAGGTTCAAACCCCGGTAACAATATCTTTGTGTGTTGAGTTGTACAGGTTATCTTGTACCCGTCGCCAGGAAGGCTTTCCGAATACTAGATCGCCAGATCGAGGCGTGCGCGCGTGGAATCTCCCCTTAGTAGTACTAACCCTTCCCCATAGGCTTCACCCCACATGTAATAGACTAGGTACTTGTAATTATGTATAAAAAAAAAGATACATGAGTTAATTTTTATTTTTTTAAAAAAAATAACAATGACACCTAAAAACTTGTAAGGTGAGTCTCAGAAAGCTCCTGATGGAAAACATTCCCATAAGCCTATCTTATGCTTGAGATGTGGTGGAGCTGCACTTCGCCCTCTCTCTCTCACCATTCACCATTGTCTTCACAAACAGCTCCCCTGCTCGGTATGATGATCTCACCTGCCACCACAAATTCAAAAAACCAGTCATTACATTGTTTTGGCTTACATCGTTAAGCTACAACGGCCTGTCACCAGATTTAGACAATGCATCTTCTTCACATTTGAACCAACTGAGATTCTTCAATGTTCTACTACATTTAGCCACACGGAGATTGAATGTTTTACTCCCATACTCACTGTCTCCTTAAGTCACACAAAGAATTGAATGTTTTACTCCCATACTCACTGTCTCCTTAAGTCACACAATGACTTTCCGCTCCTCGTACACAAAAATATCAAGCATGACTTAACTTACCAGTGGTCCACTAGCAACGTATCTGAAACCAATTGACTCTCCATACTCTTTCCAGAACGTAAACTTTTCAGGGCTAACGTATTCCTTGACAGTAAGATGTAATGGAGTCGGCTGCAAAAGAGCAAGAATGGAAAATTATAGTTTAGGCCGTTCCCATCTCTAAATTTCTAGCTACACCAACAATTATATCAAAGCCAATGGATATGTATATCACTTCCAAAGTGCCTTGCTTGAAAAATCTAGAGAAATGGGCCTCACCTGTAAATACTGTCCAAGTGTGAGGATATCAACATCAATCGCCCGCAAATCTGCCATGGCTTCCTTCAACTCATCATCCGTTTCGCCAAGTCCCAGCATAATTGAAGATTTGGTTATCATTCCTTCCTTACTCAGCTTCGCATGTTTCAGAACTGACAAACTTTGTTCGTAGCTGCCACAAATGAAATTTAGGGTTCAAAAATTATCAGCAAGTTTGGTGCATATGAAAACCATAGTATGTCTTTAACTTCCATACAGGTTTATCTTAATGCACCTCTTTTTTCTTTTCTTTTTTCTCATTGGTAAATCACATGACATCGGTACAATCTCTTTTAAACATAGCTTCTTAATCTTTAATAAGATGAATAAACACTTTCAACTGGTTACCAACGTCATACTAGTTAGTTATATTTCAATACTCAGGTGAAGAAAAATTTCTTCTTGGAAGATATGAAAACAACTTACCCAGCCCTTGGATCTCTAACAATTCGCTGGAGTCGTTTCACAGTCTCAATGTTGTGGGCAAAAACATCCAATCCCGAGTGAACTAGAGCAGAAACGGCATCAAGGTCACCCCGGAAATCAGAAGTTAAACACTCCACCATTATATCAGGCTTCAGTTCCTGCACTGGATTGAACAGACATATAAGCAAATCTTCTCGCATTAAATGATCTACATGCGTAGACTAGATACATCAAATGAACAAAAGACGGAAGGTACAAATGATAAAGAAGGAGTCAAGACCTTCATGGCTTTCACTGTTTCAGCAAAGTGAGCACTTCCACCATCAGGTAAATCATCACGATCCACGCTCGTGAGCACAATATAATCCACTCTGCTAGAAGGAAATGTGAACATATTAAATCACTCATAAATTCAGAGCTACAATAGGTATCAAAAGCCAAATGAAATGGCCATCTAGTTTGCACTGAACGAAATTAACCATCCTCTTGTTCTGTTATCTAATATTGTATGAAGATTTTTACTTATCCTCATGAATGATTTTGATCTTGAGAACAATACACCAAAATTAGCAATCAACGAGACATAATAAGCTCAATTTTCAACCTACACCATGTTAGATGTCAACGAAGTCAAGCAATGTTATCCATGTATACATGCACACCAGATCAACAAAAAAGTATTTACTTGAAAACCAATCTAAACACTTCCACTTTTCTATCAACAGGAAATCCATTCTACATCCTAGAAGCCCAGATGGCCAGAAGATAAAAGTTATCCATTCTGTGAAAAAAGCCTAAACTGCAATCTCTAAGCTGGCTTTCACATGAAAAAATTATCAAAGGAACAAAGAAACCCAACATTTGAAGAATTTAACAGGATGCATTAGCTATGATTAGATAATATTTTGGAGATTGGCACAAGGATAGTTCTACAGCAAAGAAACAGCAATGGTCCAAGAGGGCATTGTTTGGAGGTTAATCTTTTCCAACCAAAACTAGAATTTAATACAATCCATAAGTCTATGATTCGATTATCCTTTGGGAATTCTCACAAGGTCAAGGATAGCTCTACAACAGCGAAACGACAATGGTCCAAGAGGCACTGGTTGGAGCTTACTTTTTCTTCGACCACAACTAGGATTCCAAAGGAAATACCTTTTGAAACTACTACTATAAACCAGGAAAAATTAAAAATAATACCTAATTACCATACAAAACTCAAAACAAAAAAGAAAAAACTCAAAAATCAATTTAAGCTTGATTCAATCAATAAGAAGGAAAAAAAAATCAATTATAGGAGGAAACTGAAACTGAAGCTAAAATAATTATACCCCCAGCTGGCAATGGCCAATGCAGTGTTGATAGGCTCCATGGGATCAGGAGGAGGAGGATTCCTACTGGTCTTGACAGCACAAAACCTGCAACCCCGAGTACAAGTGTCACCAAGCAACATAATGGTGGCAGTAGCAATCCCATCTCCACCTCCATTCCAACACTCCCCAATATTAGGGCACTGGGCTTCCTCACAAACTGTGTTTAGTTTCAACCTTGACAATGAATCCTTCACCTCATCAAACTTTTTCCCCTGCGGGGCTTTCTGCCTCAGCCACTCTGGTTTTTTCACATCTGGGTCCCTCCCTGTAAAGGGTCCCAATCTTATTGACGATTGGGGAGTATTGGGTTGTTTCAGAGTAGGAAGTGAGGGAGAAGCATCTGAGACTGGTGATGATGATGATGCAACAACAATAAAGTTGGGATTTTTATGAATGTGATGAAGATGAGGAGGGAAATTATGAATAAAGAAAGGATTTTTAGTACTCGGATGGGGAAAGTGAGGAGACGGGGTGGGGGATTTTGAGACGGATGGTAGAATCATGTCTTGTTACTTCTGCTCAGGGTTTGATTTTGAGAGGAGAAGTTGTAAAAGTGCAAAGAGAAAATTTGGTTTCAACAATTGGAAAGAAGAAGGGATTTTGACAGGAAGAAAAGAACAGAACAAGGGGACTTGGGAGTGATTGAACGAATCAAAATTAAAAGGTAAAAAATGTGACGAAGTAGCAGAAGCGGAGGAGCAATATGCATAGAAATCTCCGTCTGCATTCGTGTTCATGTTGTGGAGTCACCCAAAAATACTTTCTTTTTTCTTCGGTTTCGGTTAGGTTCGTTGGAAGTAGGTTTTTGAGGGGCTGTAATTAACAAATTTAATTTTAAACCATCAAAAATAGTAATAAAGGGTAAACTCCTTTTCTTTTTCACTTTTCTGTCCCAAACCCTTACTTAATTGCGATTAACTACCCAAGGGCTTGAGTCACACTTGTAAATAATACTTCATCACTTGAAAATTCAACTCGGAGCTTCTTGATTTTCCGTCCTCAAGCAATATTGTTCACAGCTTCTGCGGCCATTGTTTAGTCACCTTCGCTGGCAAAAAGGGTTCATCTTTCTTTAATGGGGCAAGTTCAGAGCCAACAAACAGTGGAGGAGAAGAGGGACACAGAGGACACCACCCAGCCCCGACCACCATCATCCGATACGACCAATCAGGATTCTTCTCTTGACTCCCTCATTGAAGGTTATTTTCCTGTCCTGGGTTTTTCTTCGTTCCATCACTTATCACAAGTAAATGGCTGATCTTGAATTTTGTACGCATTATTCCGTCCTCAATTTTTGGTAAAGGAGTTGCTGTCTTTGTTGATAATGATTTTTAAGGGGATGAAGGATCACTTGCTAGTTATTTTTTTGCAGAAAAATGCTCCATTGATCAATTACTAATAAAATTTTAATACTTGGAATTGTTGTGGTAACTTTCTTCACGTGATTTAGTACTCAGTAAACATTGTTCGTCTTTTTTTCGTTTTTTTTTTTTTTTTTCCCGTTTAATAATGAAGATTTCTATGAAGAACCTTACTTTCTTGCACCATATGATTGAGGGGTGAATGAACAAAGCAAGTTATACTTCTGAAAGTTCGGCATGTCTGAACTCTTGATATAATGTTTGATCTTGATATTGTGAATTAACTTTCTTCACCTAGTCTAGAAAACAAAAAACTTGTTTCTCATTTCTACGAGTAAGTTGTTGTCTTTTTGCATCATAAGCTGAGTCTGCTAAATATTCTCTGTCATTTCACATAATGCTTTAGGGGATAAGTGATTTCATGTTGTGATGCATGTTAAATATTGCAGAAGCTGCGGCATTTGGTGAAGAGGATGAGGATTTGGTAAGGCAAAAATTCAAATTCACTGACTTCCCCCTTGGAAAATCATAGTACCATCTTGTTTTTGTTTTAAAGATTTTCGTATCTTAATCGTTTGTGATTGAAACTGATCGTGTCTTATTAATTCTATATAGTCTCTGGAGGAAAAAGCAAAGAGAGCACTGGAATGCCCTTGCATTGCTCATTTGAGAAGTGGCCCTTGCGGTTCTCAGTTCTCTGATGCTTTCCTTTGTTTCCTCAAGAGCACTGCTCCAGAGAAGGTAGTGTGTGCTCTTCCATGTGTCCATATATCTTAACTATGTCCATCTCTTTTAACTCTGCATTCTTTTTAAACATTTTAAATCTCGTGTGATGTGTATGTTTACTCTGTTCTGAACTTCATTTCTTCCACAATATCAATAAACTCAGTTTAGATTCATTGATTATGTAGTCATGCTGTTTTCCATACTACTAGCATTATATCACGAGAAATTTTGGATTTTGAGAATGTATTAGTTTCTATGTTCATCCGAAAACCTCCTTTCCCCATGATCTTCAAGCTCAAGTATGAAAAATTGATGCATATCTTAACCTTGTTCTAGAGTTCTCTTCATGTTGTTATGAGATTAACTACCGATAATTACTTGGATTGAAACATTTTTGTTGAGTTGTATTTTATTTTCTTAGATTGTTGTTCTCTTTTTCATTACGAAAGCCTGGGAACTGGGAATTTGGCTTCCCTCTTGTCAGCTGAATGTTTTGTCATTGAAAGAGAAATGGAAAATAACCATGAAGAAGTTGTTTCTTTATGACGTGTGTGATGGTTGGATTTGAACTAGTCGAGTACAACAGCAACAAAACAAGCCTCTTTCCCACTATGTAGTTGGGGTCGGCTATATAGATCATGTGTCACCATCGTGCTCGATCGGTACATAAATCAGGATTTGAACAAGTACATTAGATATTAGATATTGCCTTCAACTCAGACGTTTGGTGTTCATTATGAGTAATATCTCTTACTTTTCTCTAAATGCATAAGAAGAGAGTATTGTTCTTGAATTTTCCGTCAGTTTAGTTTGAACTTGAACAAGGAAGTGAGTACATGAAATTGAGAAATTCATCTGTTTACAACAAGGTGTTGGATTTTAGTTTCTGAGATAGATCTGCAGTTTGTTCTTTGGGCTGTGTGTAGTAATTGTTGTTTTCTCCTTGTAGGGCTCCGACTGTGTGCAGCCTTTTGTGGCATTGCAGAATTGCATAAAAGCAAACCCAAGCGCTTTCTCAAAGGACATTTTAGCTGACAGCGAAACCAAGAGAGATGATGAAGATATCAACAAAGAGGATGTGGAAATCGAGAGAGAGGAAAAACCAGCTAAACAATACAAAATCCGGCCTCCCCTTTGGTCTGTGGAATCCAAGGGGAAACAAAAACCCAAGTTATAGAGAGAACCCTCCATTCTCAGTTGAAGAATCTAATTTCTCTGTTCTTTTTGTTGGAGAATCTGTAATGCTGGGTTCCTTCTTTTAGTATTAGGATAGCATAAGCAATCCTGGGTTCACTTAGATGGATATATGTAAACAATTCATTGACATGAAAAGACAAGAAACTTAGGACTGACCACACTTATTTAGAATGGAATAAGGAAAATGAAAAATAAATTATCGCCCTTCAAATTGGATCACACTTGTTAGTTTATCTGTTTTTTACACAGTACAATCTTTTTTACAAAACAAAAAGAAATTAAAAATGGATTCTTAAAATTATTTGTTCAACTTAGGAGGAAATTAATTTCTAAAATTAATCCTTAAACTTAACAGAATTTGCTCAAACAACACAAATTTTGTTTCTCCGTATTTTCCACTAGCTCTCCATTAAATCAAATTTCAAAAATATTTTTTTCCTTGGTTTTTTGTTTTTTATAGTTGTATAAAATAAACCTTAGTTTTAGAACAAAATTATTATATATATATATATTTTTTATATAATTATAATCGATTGTTTATAAACAATGCGACGTTGATGCACGGACAACCGCTCGGCTAACACAAGTTACTATTTAAACGAACTGGTTTATTTCCAGTTGACATTGTCGCAATGACATGTTGCTACTTTTATTAATGGTAGCTATTGCTATTAGTAATACTCCCTCCGGTCTTTAATACAAGGTATCTTAATTTTGTCTTCAGTTTCATCTAATATATTTTTTTAATTAAAAAAAAATTTAAATATATTTTCACATTCGTTGTATTCTCTTGATTGTTATGAAATATTTTTAATATTTTTTTGTCAATTAAAAATGCGTACTAGATTAAACCTAGAACAAATTAAAGTGACTTATATTAAGGACCAGAAGGAATACTTCATTACGAAAAAAAAAAGTAATTACCCTCTGACACTAGTCATCATGCATATATATAATTGCATAATGTATATCATTATTTTGGTAGTCCTTCATTAATTTTGCCAAAAGTATTGTTTGTATAAAATGTTTTCTCCACAATGTTTCATTATTAATATATTCATTGTTGTCCTAATCTTAGGATAATAAATTATTCATTATTTGAGTGTTAAATTAGCATTTGAGAGTTCGTTACACATATTTTTGTAGACTATTCACTTTTAATCTCATTCTCATTAATTTTTTTTTTAGTTTCTCATTTAACAGGTAAATTTAATCGGTCAAAAATAGTATTAGTGATTATAACGTCTTTGAATTCCTTAGTATACTTCTTCCTTCTTTTAGTTTAATAGGTTCATCTATTGTTTCATAAATCATTACAATTGTTAGAATATGATCACATTTATCTTTGATTTAGTTTAATAGTTTTATCTTTGATTTGTTTTTCTTTTTAACTATATATATATATATGTATGTATATTTTTTATGATATAAAGACTTGATTGGGTTTTAATGCTCACTTTGCATGTCTATTTTTTGTTTTTCTGTACACAACCGGAGTACGATGCCGATTTTGTTAAAATCAAAAGTGACATTTTAGTAATACAATATTTTTGTAGGTATTGTAATGGATAATTACACTACTCATAATATTCCTATTAATAATAATTTAGTTTTTCCTATTATATCATTTGTACTATGTTTGTATATATATTGTACGCACGAAGCGCGTATAATCCATCTAGTTACTATTTAAATGATGAACAGCTTACTTTCAAATTGTCGTAATTACGTGTTATTACTTTTTATTAGTGCCAATTTTTAGTAATACTGTATTATGATAAAAAGAAGAATAATATTTAGGGCTTAAATTGAATTTGGAAGATTTTGAAGGGTCTTATATGAAGGTGTGGGAAGTACTGCACTTTCTTAAAATTATCCTACAAGGCCAAACAGAACAAGTAATAATAATAATATCATTAGAACCATATAATCCCGATATTCTCCAATAAAATCTCTCCATATAACCCATTTTCACCCAATGGATTCGTGACAACAATTCAAATCCAATTCTTTGATGATCTTCACAGTCATTGTTTACCAGGTGTTTGTATTCTTTCGTGAATCGCATTGCTCAATTGTGCTCCCCAACTCTGCCTTTTCCATTATTTGTTACAACTATGTTTCGTTTCCTGCTTGAGGATCAATTGGAATGTTGAATTACGGGTTTGTTTCTCCCCCCAACAGTTGTGGGTTTGCTCTGAAATTTGTGAAATTCTTTTATGATTCTGTTGAACTGGCTTATGGGCACCCATTTAAATTTGGAAAAAAGATAGCTCCTTGATGTTTTCATCACGGTGAAAATTTTTTTCGTTTTATGCATTGGGTGCTCAACATGTTGACTTGCCAGTTGCCACTGCTCTGAAATCGGAGCTATTGCTTCAGTAAAGATGACAATATTACTCTCTTTCTAGCATCATTTTAGTAGTACTACTATTATTTAGTGTAGTATTGATGGTTGCTTTTAGTGTATCAGTGAAATTTGTGAGTGATTTCTTTTGTATTCATAAGGAATCTCTTGTCTTTTTATTTATTTGGCTTTCGGGTTGCTAGATCATCTAATGCAGAGACCTGTGGTATTCAAAAGTTTAATAATATCAGCTTTTTCTTCTTGCTAGTGATGTACTGCTTGTTATAAGTGCACCAGATGGAAGCTCAAAGGGGACAATTTTGTTGCAGCCTCTTCCGTAATTGGAAGAACTTTTGTTAAAGTGGTAAAGCATTAACAATTTAGCTTTTTTTTGTGTGTTTTTTTTTTTAAAAAACAAAATAACTCTATTTTAAACAAAATAACTTTATTTTATCGGTAGTTATAGCTACAGATTCACAACAACTTTCGTTATCACCTTGTGTGGGATTCATTCGTAGTCTAGAGTTACGAAAAAACATGTATTATCATCAGATCAACAACTAATGAATTAGTCCCACGTGAATGATGATGAAAAGTGCCTAGACATCATGACATCCATTACTAGTAACTTTAATAGCATGGTTAACTATCAAGTTTCTCCAGTTGCTTTCAACTGATATTGCTGTCATTATTCAGGTGATATCATAAATGAAGCCTTTAATGTTCATATCGAACTGAAACTGAGTGAAGTTTTACAAAGCTGATTAGTTGGTCCAGAACCAATCATGTCGTTCTCATTCTTCAAGCCCTCGCGACCCAAAACCCCACAGGAACTTGCGAAGGCTATAAGAGATAGCTTCATTGCTCTTGATACTAAGACCGTAGCTGAAGTGAAAGCGCTTGAAAAGGTTTATCATTCTATTCTGTCACTTATATCCTTTTATGCATGATTTTGGCATCATTGTGGACTAAAAATTCAAATTAGTTGGAAAATGTGAGCCAGAATGGATGACTGAATGATAGTCGCCGTGCCTTCTACATCTCAATCTTGAAGCATATTAGAGTTACTGATAAATGGAAGTTTATTATGTTTTTTGATTCCTGAACTGCGAAAGGTTGCAATATCTCACATATATATTTTGGTTTTGTTTTTTTGACAGGCCATGGAAGAAGTTGAAAAAAATATTATGACCATGAAAATCATGCTTTCAGGAGATGGGGAGGTTGAGCCAAATGCCGATCAAGTGTTGCAGTTGGCAGTTGAAGTTTGTAATGAGGATGTGATAGCTCTCTTTATTCATAAATTACCAATTCTGGGATGGGAAGTAAGTTCTTGGGTTTAATTCAACTTGACATGCATTATGAAAGAGCTATATTTTGAATTTCTTTCCGGTTGGGGGCTTAACAAAAATAAATAATTTTGGCTTTATCTAGGCTAGGAAAAATTTGGTCCAGTGCTGGTCAATATTGCTTAAACAAAAGGTTGATGATAGTTTATTCTGCTGTGTGCAATACATGGAGAACCACTTCGAATTATTAGACTTCCTTGTCGTGTGGTAAGCCCTACTTGGCTTTGTCATTGCACAACTTTATTGTCCAAATTCTTGGCAATTTTACCATCCATTCTTATGCATTTCATTTTTGTACCTGATCGCCTCCTTTCCTTTCTCGCTGTGGCAATCATGGTTAGGAATCAACTAATCATAGATGTCGGTGTAACTTGGCAAGCATTATGTCAGGAAATGAATATCATTTTTTTGGTATATTAATTACTTATCTCCACGATGTTAACTGTATATAAATTGCTTTTATTTTATAAGAGCCTCCGGGTTGCAAATTTAAAAGAAAAACCCCAGTTTGACAGTTTTTCCATTCTCTATGGCGATCTGTTTCTTCCCCTACTGGGTGTTAGTTTCTGTTTACTGTTAATGCTGCTTGTTTTTGTCTTGCTGAGCAGTTACGACAATAAGGAAATTGCATTGCATTGTGGGAGTATGCTGAGGGAGTGCATCAAAGTGCCGTCTCTTGCAAAGTAAGAACTTCAGCTTTTCCTACCTTGGTTATCAAGTTTCATGTTTAATCACGCGTGAAATATAAGGAAAAAGGTTTACCTGCAGTTGAGGATGAGCTGAAACGAATATGCTATGTATCATTCCTTTCTCTTGCCGTCACAGATATACACTTGTTTGGCTTGTGTGTAAATTTCTGGTAACTATTATATACAATGATTGTACTTACAGTTGATTGGAATCCCACTAGATACATACTGGAGTCTCCAAGCTTTGAGTTGTTTTTCAAATTCGTGGAGTTGCCAAACTTCGATATCTCATCTGATGCATTTTCTACTTTTAAGGTTAGAAATCTATACAAATTTCCTCTGAACTTATGAAGTTGTGTCACTTATTAGTTTCAAAATTATGCAATTAGTTTTAAAGTTGGGTCCCTTGCTTATATTAGTTGAGTACATGCAGGATCTACTAACCAAACATGCTTCGGAAGTCTCTGATTTCTTGATGGCTCATTACAATGAGGTTAGATATTCCTTCTATAATGATTGGATTGATACTTTTATTAGAAAGAAAGCTGCATCGACAGATGAGAAAAGAAGAGAGAACGACGTGTAAGATAGGTGTAGCGTGGGTGTTGGAGACCTTCAGATGCCCTAGGTTTTTTTTCTTTTTCTTTTTTTTTTTCCTTGTTTTTGGGGGAAAAGGTAGATGCCCTAGTTAGATTAGTAGGGAAAATAGAACAACAAATCTGTATTAAAAAGGAAGGGGAGACCTAAAATTTTTGGAAAGAAACTACTGAAAACGGCATGGTCTATAAGATTTAGACCATGATAAGTTTTAAAAGGCTTGTTGTTATTGTTATGATATGATTGATGAAAATAGTTTGTTTTGCTCATAACTAGTCAAAATAGTTACTCTCAGAATCAGATTTAGTTTCTTTTTCCACGTTTATTTATGAAAGAAACTTTTCCTCCAGTTCTTTCAGCAATACGAAACACTCTTGACCTCGAAGAATTATGTCACAAGAAGGCAGTCTTTGAAGGTTAGTTCTAGTTATTTCTTGAAATCTTTCCTTGCAATCATTTTCTGGTATTTTCAGTTGCTGAAATTGCATTTTAAACTCAGCTTCTTTCGGACTTCTTATTGGAGGCCCCAAATTCCCACATAATGAAGCGTTACATTACTGAAGTCCACCACTTGAAAGTTATGATGACATTGCTCAAGGTATGAGATACTAATGTTCTTTCGTGGGCTTCCTTTGGGAGACAATTCTACTTGGTGAAAAAAAAGTATATTATTTCATTACCTAAGTTTGGAAAGTTCTGATTTTACATTTCCAGGCTTTTTGATTTAAGAAGAAAGACTTTAGCTCTAGGGCTTCTCAAAAATATTCTGGAAAACCTTATTGACCATATAATGACTGCAAATTCTGTGTTCTAATGTTAGAAATTGCATTGTTATTAGAAGTTACTTCGAAAATGTTTGGAATGTGTTTGTGCAACTATGAAAGCTACTTTCTGTTTCCGGCATCAAGTATGTTCTGCACTGAAATTTGTTGGTAGCATGCAAACATGGTGCAGATGGAAGGTGAACCTTAAATTCTTTGTTTTATCCGGTGGTAAATGTAAATATTATATTGGGGATAACATGGCTTTTAATTCTGTCAAACCAGTCACTATTTCAAAGGTACCTTTCAACTTTGAACAAATGAAATTAACATGTCCTTAAATTCCTTTAGCTGTCTTGGACCGTGCACAATTCCAAGAAACTGACATGTTTCTGCTTGAGCAATATCCATTATTGTTTGGGGAAAAAAAACGGTGATGCTGCTATAGAAGCTCCAGAGGTGTGTTATATGTGTTTTAAGTGTATAAAACGTATGGAAAGATTTGAATTATTTTGTGTCCATCCTATGCAGGATTCAAGCAAAAACATCCAAATCTCAGCTTTTCACATATTTAAGGTGTGCTCTTCTTTGACTCCCTAATTCACTCACAGGCTATGTAGCTCTTTGTTGATTTTCGACGATTTTCTATGCCTGTTTTTACTTTTATGACCAGAATGGCAGCTTAAACCCGAAGTGTTTTTTCCTGTAGGTTTTTGTGGCGAACCCTAACAAGCCAAGAGAAATAAAACTCATACTCTCCAAAAACCACGAAAAGTTATTGGAGTTGCTGCATGATCTTTCTGGAGGAAAAGGCAAATACCAATCTTTACTGTTATTCTTTATCTTCCTGTGAAAGGGAAAAAGAGGGAAAAGTGACTTTTTTCCATCTCATGTGGCTGAAAATAAAATGTGGTTGCAGGAGGCGATGACGAACAATTTGAAGAAGAGAAGGAGATGATCATCAAGGAAATCGAAAGATTGTCTCGCCAACTTCCAAACCTTGAATGATTAGAATAGTTGGAACACTACCTACTCATAGTCCCTGATCATTTTTCCCACAACCATGCCGAACAAAGAGGAAGGCAGTAAATGCAGCGGAGAAGGACGTTATGATCAATGTGTTATCTTTCTTGTAGGACTAATATTATTGTTTCTTCTTGCCTGTGTGTCAATGATGAGTGGGACCGTGTTTGCTAATGTCTGAGTTTTGTTTTCTGAGTTGGGCAATTGCTGATCCAATTCCTGCACTCCCCCCTGAGGTTGGAGATTCCCTTAGCTCGGGGCACAGTATTTGTAAAGCCTAGACCGTTGCGCCACTTTAAAGCCAAGCCCTTGCTTGCTCGTGTTCTATTGTGAGAGTTGTGACTCTGTGTATGCCATCTTGCAAATGAATGAAGGTTTACGCAAATTTTAAGCCTCACTTGTCGATGCTTGCTCCTTCTGTGTTTTTTTTTTTTTTTTGGAGGAAAGTGGTTCATTGAAATATTTCAGTTTGGGCTTTTCTTTTTCTTCTTTAAAGCTTGCTCAAAAGTAAAATCTTCCTGGATAAAAAAGTTTCAAAGGACTAAATTGAGAATAAACATAAACATAAGAGACCAACACGCCTAAGTTTATAGTAGTATCCTCCGCCAGGCAGTCAGGCAGATAACGAAGAAACAGGCGGCTGGCGCTGTGACGGGCAGCAGCGAAAAAACACCTCTACCAAAAAAACTCCTTCCTTCAAGTCAACTAAAGAAAGAAATTTTGGGTCATTTTACCCTTTACCCACAAAATTTCCTCTCTATTCTTCCATTTTCCCCTGCTTCAGTGAGAGGGATAACAATGGCGGCTGCCACCACCTCTGCAGCAGCCGCTGCCGTGAATTACACCTGTTGCTCCTGTCACTCCAGGCTTCCTCCCAAGAACCCAACTTTTCTGCTCTTCTTCCACCACCCAATCCTTAAGCCTAGCAAGTCCTTTTCTCTTCTTTCCTCGAATTCCAGAAGAAATGAAATCCCCATTGTTATTGCCAAAGCATCATCGTCATCTTCGAGTAATACTAATGTGGGAAAGAAGGAAGAGGAAGTGGAAGTTGAAGTCGAGGAGGAGTTGCCTTGGATACAGGAGAAGGCTTTGGATTTGGTGGAGTTCACTGGTTCTGTTACACAAGCCATTCCGGGTCCTCGAGTTGGGCATACCTCATTGCCTTGGTTCCTTGCTGTCCCGTTGGCTTATTTGGGGATTACTTTTGTCTTTGCTGTGGTGAAGACCGTCAAGAAGTTCAATTCTCCAAAAGAGAAACGTCGAAAATTGGTATTCTTCTTTACCTTCCCAACTCCTACATTTTTTTAGTGATTTCATTTTTATGCATGAGTTGCTTGGTACGCGTTCCAACTGTGGTTAATTGGATTCAAGGAACATAATTTGACTGAAAATTGGTGTGGAATCCATGTTTTTTACCTTCCAAGCTCCTGTTTTCTTGAGTTTCAATGATTTACTTATTACTTATGACTTTGGCTTATGTAAATATGGTTATGGGGAGTAGAGGTAGAAAACTGATTGGTGCTTAGTATTTATGCGCCGTTTTCACCTTGAAAGTCCCTGTTGTAGTAATCACGTTTTTCATTTATTATTTGACTGGTCTTTGTTTCCAAGTGTTGATTTTTGGTTTAAGGCATAAAAGCTCACGAAAACTGGCATGCGTGACCTGATTTTACTTGTCTGGGTAACTATCTTTTTGCAGTTGTTGGCGTATTTCGGATGCATGACCTAAGTAGCTTATATTTTGAGTATATTTGTATGCAATTGTATGTGGCATCTGATTGGCTTGCGTGCCATCTGTTCAGTTGTCGCTCATTTATTTGAAGAACTTAAACCCAATTTCTAAATTTTGACTGCTTTGTTGATGATCTCATCAAACTAGTCGGTGTTGCCTGGTTTTCATCTCCCTAACACTGATTTTGCAGGTTAATAAAAATGCTACTCTCTGCAAGTCAATAGATGAGCTCTTTGAGAAAGGAACAGATCAAGTAACACTATCAACTGTGAATGGACTAATGCAAAAGGTGAGGCTCTGCAAAACAAAGGCATTTTTTAAGTGTCTGGCCTTTTGCAGCTATTATTCTCATGTTTTACCTTCTGTTTTGTGGGACTGGTAGTTGTCGCTGTTTCTGGTATCACATCGCCTTTGACAACATCAGTGATGTGTTTTCAGACAGGTTTTACCATGGAGGAGATACTGCGAAAATACATTCGGTATGTGTTGAATGAGAAACCATTCAACCCGGATTTGGTTGCGAAATTAATTCAACTTAGAAAAGCCACTAATTTGGATGACTCTCAAGTGGCTGCAGTTCTGAATGATATATCGACGCGCATTGTGAAGGAGAAAGGTGATGAAAACTTTGTTGTTTCAATATCCGTCTTCATTTTAATTTTAATGTTCTGTTCCTTGAATCAATGAAGCGCAACATCAGAGAAGGATGTCTTGCATTATACAGGTTTAAGAAGAAACCAATAATTTCATTATAACCATTGCTGCAATATGTCTGATTACATATGACTGAATTCGATGGAGCAAAACTTACTAATTGTCACATTTATGTTTGTGTAAATTGGTCAGTGACAGGGATTTATGGACGAATTTAGTATTGGTTCCTTAGATTGTATGTTCTCGGATTGAGACGTACTTTTGACACCAAAATATGTGTAGGGCTTATAAACTTGTCCCCTTTTAACGCCAAAGGGTTCTAGTTTTCTGACATAATTTGGTTATCAAACTACATAAAGTCAGATGTATATGGAGTCAGATGAAGATGATGTGAATATAATTTGATCATGCTTATGCCTCATAATACACGTATGGATTGCTTTTTTCCAGGTCCTGTTGTGATGGATATGTCAGGATATTCGCAAAAGGGTTTCAAGAGAAAACTCGCTGTTCAAGCTCTTTTTGGAAAGATTTTTTATCTGTCTGAGGTAAGTTGGAATATCAATTTAAGAAAGGAAGATTTACTGTAACGATAATTGAACTATCTTCTTCTTCTGACTCTCTCTCCCCCTTCCTTTTTTCCTGGCCCATGCGTAAGGACTTTTACCCAGAAAATCTAAATGAGTGTAGTTCCTTGTCCAAAATCAAGATTAGTGATGAATAATGAGATCCACCATTTTATTCAAAATCTGATATTAAATTTAAGAGTAAATATTTGGCCCAGTCTAAGCAGTGCATTGTAGTTTATTTCGGTTTACTATCTTATGTTTTTTTGTGAATTTTGTTGGAAAACTTGACTATATATATACCTTTGTGAAACAGTTACCAGAATTCTGTTCGAAGGACAGCTCATTAACTGTGAAGGAAATATTTGGAGTTGCAGAGTAAGAAACCAGATTCATCTGAATCTGTGATTAGCCATTGATTCTAATGAGTTTATAATTTTGTGCTTTGTACTGACATCTGTCGTTTAATAATCCTCAGCGAGGATGCAGAAAAGATAAGATTACACACTGTTTCAGAATCTGGGGACTTGGAGTCATTGGAAAAAATGGTTGATGGTGGCAGCTCAGGCTCAGATGCTGAAAGTTCTGGAGACAAATCTTTCAGTTCGTCTTGACTGCTTGGCAGTGTAGTTTTGTGAAGAGTTGATAGAGACGCTTGCACTCCGAAACTGTTATTTTCTGCACTCCTTTGTGCTTTCCGGCTTGTAATCACTATCTCTATCGTAGCATGAAGGGAGATTTTGGTCGAGATATGTGAGGGGTTTTCATGTTTATTTATGGTTGAAACTGTAGGATGGAACTAATTATTATCGGCAATATTTCAGAAGATGAGCGTAATAATGTTGTGAGTTATTTGAACTATCGTGCAGGGTTCATGTTATTCTCATGTTTGCACGTACATTGTCATCTTCAGGAGTGGCTGTTAGTCCTGCTAACAGATAACCCTGCTAGTCCCAACTATGAGATGTAAACTAGGAACCAAAAACTTTAAAAAGAAAAAAAGAAAAATAGAGAGCATAAGGTAAAACTGACTATGCAATTTTGTTTTAGCAGACTAGGTATTTGTGATTCCCACCGTGACTGCTTCCAGCAGACACACACATACCACACACTATTTGATTAATCCCAGAATGCCCCCCAATCTCCTCTGCTGCCTTTTCTTTTACCAGTTTTGCACTGTCAAGAATCCTGCTTTGTCAAACCCTTTCCCGATGCGATCATATGATTCCCTGAGATCTTTATCGGGGGGAGCAGGTGACCCCCCCAGTGAGGTTAAGAATCTTAGGCGGCAAAATCAACTATGAAATCCGTTGGCGGCAAGAGGAGGATCAGATCGGGGATCGTGAATCTGTTTGCCATGGCCGCCGGTCGCTCTACATATTTAACGATAATACCACATATTCCTTAAACCCTGAGCAACACTCCTTCACGAGCTTTTACCTCCAAAATTGATCCCAAAACAATACAGCATTCTTGGGGATTGGTTATGAGAGAACCGCAAAGCGCTAAGTGTGACAGGCGGCGTAGCTTCAAAGGAAGTAGCATTGTTATGAGTTGATTATTCAAAGTTATTCCATTAGTCTAATCCAAATTTAAAAACCAACCCTTTTTCTAACATGCCCAATTTAAAAACTACAAAATACCAAGGACTTCAAAATTGAGATTGATGATCCAACATCAACTTACAAGTTGCAACACAAATTACAAACATATTTGTGTAACCTCGATGCATTTCTTATCTAACTTCCCATTTCCGTCATGCTTCTATTCTTTCAGAATAAAATAACTAAGATGAACTGACCTGAAATCTAATTTGTTAGCTTCCTCGAACTAAAAATAAAAATTGGAGAATCTCGGAGATATGAGCAATGAGCCAATACGAAATGTCAAAATCTTTCTCCAATGACGGTTATGCAATAACACATCTGAGTCTAGCAAATGTCAAGTATCCGGTATGACCTCTCCCTTCACTACAAGGCTTCGCCAACACCGTTGTAGATCCTTCAACTCCATCAATTCCATCTTTGGACCGTTGCTTCCTTTTCCGGGACTTGTGAGAAGAGCCACCTCCGTAGTTTTCCCAACTCTCTATCCTCTCTTCTCTAACTTCATATGACCGGAGAAGCACTTCAAAAGTTCTAATGTCTTTAGAAACGTAAAACATAACATCAGTACCAAATGTGACCAAAAAGGCAACCACATATGACAGCAAACTGTCCAACATACAAGAATATATCAGATAAAGCATCTAGAAGTTAATGAACTTTACCAGTAAAATGTGTTTTTAGTATTTCACATGACCGTTGTACTTGTTCAATGCAAGGTGAGAATGAACACAAGACTCCATCTTGTTTTAACATTTTCCCAGCCGAAGGAATGGCTAGCCAAGGTTGAGGAAGGTCTAGAAACACCGCATCTACTTGCCCAGTAAATTTGTCAGGGAAACCTTCACCCTGTATATCTCGGACTCCAACTGTGACCAGGCTGGTCAATCCAGTCTTCTCAAAATCCTCTCTACAGTAGAAATTATGTAACTACGTTCAATCTCAGCAAAACTTTTGATTACTACCCAGGTAAGAAAAAGAGTCTCCGTTATACAGAAAACTACGAAATTTTTGCTAGGATACACAGACAAAAACAAAATTCAAATTCAGTTGCAGAAGCAGGTCCTCTAGCGATTGAAGACAGAGAGTCAGACAAAGTGATGTGCAACTCATAAAGAACTTTTGAACTTTTGCCTTCGCTACTTACCTAGCCAAAGAAGCCCTTTGTTCATGGAAGTCGAAGGTGTAGACGTGTCCTGTAGGCGCTACAGCTCTTGCAATTGAAGTCGTTAAAGATCCACTACCTGTACCTGACTCAAGAACGATGCAACCGGGAATAATCTCCAGGTACATGATAACAAAGCTAATATCGGCAATGTAAAGAATCTGAGTCCTGTGGCTCAAGACTAGTGTCCATAACTCGGGTGTCGGAGCTAACAAGTAAACAAATCCACCTTTATTGCTGAAAACTTTAGACCCAAATGGTATGCCTATCCAGTTCTCATGCTTGAACACGCCAAAGCGATTTTGAAGAACTCCATTCTCGCATACTTTAACAGCCTTCATGACATCGTGCCTCTCGTATACAATAACCAAATCGCCGACACTAATGAAACGGTTGAAGGATAACTTCTTTTCTAGTTCCATTGGGAGCATTTTCCCAAATTGATAGCGTTAAAATCACTAATCTGCCACCAAAAAGTGATGATCAGCAACAATAAAACTTAAACAGGACAGGCAACTACTAAGGCACAAACAGTTTCCTATCCAGAGGACAGAGGAAAATTGTTATCTTAAGAATTCTGCAAGTGATCAAAAAAGCCAGAGAACAAGATTCCTACTAGAAAAAATACATCAATTTACTCCAAAGCCTCAAACTTCAGCAAGAGATCATTTTGATAAAACAGCAGCAACAATCACACTTCCAAGAACCACTCAATCCATGAGTAAAAATGAATAAATTTTAAAGCTGCAATAAAAGCATAAAGCTAAAGTGATTCAATTACATCAAAGTTCCAACTATTTTCACCCAGCAGGCGAAGGGGTTCTAGATCAAGAGCAGCTTCAATACCGGTAGAACTAATACCCAATCGGCAAACACAGACAACTATTTCTTTCTGCTACAAATGTCAAGGCTGGAAACACATTACACCGATTAAATCAACGGCCCAATCTAAACTGGAAAGTGAGATTCAATAGAAAGCTTAAATACTGAAGCCATAGGCCTGAAGTAACCAATCCAGAACTCATGTTAAAAAGTTTTCAAGAGGCGTTCTTTCTTATTATCGTTTTCCTCGTCTTATTCTCTGATGTCTTCCCCTGGATTTCTTATAAGCTAAACAAAACAACATAAGTACTAAAATAAATAGAAGAAAACCCGGGAGTGAAGGCAGAGATGGAACTGATGCAAGAAACCCCCTCTTCAAAGTAAATCTTCGTCCTGTTTTTCGACGAAGAAGAAAGCGCCCCCGGACTGGTGAGCTTGAGTGGCGGCTGCCGAGATGAGCACCGGAGGGAGACTTGAATGTTTGATAAAATTTTGAAGAATTTTTTCTATTTGGCTCTCATGATAATCGTTTCGGGTGCATCCCTAAACTTCTACCAACCTTTCTTTTTTTCCCCCTGTAAAAGCTTTTACTCTCTTTTTCTCCCCTGAATTGAAAAATACGTAAAAGAAAGGGCTTTTCTTGTCTATGTTGGATTCGACCATAATCCTCATGGACCTCATCATCACTACTTGAATCCTCATCTCCAATTTCGATTAGCCTTTCATTTCTATTCCTCTAATTCTCTGTTTCTCCATCAGCAATCATGGTTTCGTCCTAAACAATTTTTTTTGCTCCGTTAGTTTTTAGGCCTGCCAACATTCCTTCCTCTTTTTCTGCTACAAAGTTTAGGTTTTTATCAAATAGAAGTTGCAATAGAGGGTTTAGTATGATAAGAGGGAAGGCCATTCTGCGAGATGTATCCATCCCAGTCATCCTCTTTCAGGTTCTTTAAGGTACTTACTTGAATGGATTATGATTTTGCATTCCTAGAATTGAATTTAGAGATTCTGGGATAAATTTGGTTGTCTTCTCTTCAATTTTGTATGTTATGGTAGATTGGAGTTTAGGTAAGTTTTAGTTTGATCTTTACCCTTATGTGCAAATTCAAAAGGTAAAACAGACTAATGCGTGCCCTCTTATTTTTCGTTCAGTATGGCATTAGGAAACTGAAAAGGAACAACAGAAAGGGGAGAAAAAGGCTTTAAATATGCACTTTGAACAAAGTGTGGGATTGATGTTAATTAGCTTGATCTTATATGCTATTGTTGGCATTAGGTAAGAAAAAGAAAGAAGTTATGGACAGGCTTTGGGATCGATGTCAAATAGCTTGATCTATTGGTAATTCATTTATCAAGGTGCATTTATGGACCTCATGTTTTTGGTTAGAATGATTTGCGTAGTCTTAACTCTTTAGAGTTGCTGATATAGGAAGTAAATTTGAATTATGCAACCAAACAGGCTGCCTGGAGATTCTTGAGTCATTTTCATGTCTCTTTTGAGAACTAGTTGTCAATATAAGCAAAAAATGCCTAATCTTGTGTTGCAATGTTAATGAACTTGTGTTTTCCGAGATGTTCTGTAATTTGACAAATCGGATCTGTATCTACCTTTGGTGCTGTTTTTCATAAATATTTTGTTCTTCATAATGGCATGTGTTTTGGTGTTTTTTTTTTTTTATTGTAGCCAAGATGAAGATGGTGGTGAGCCTTCATCGAAAGATTGTCCCCCATTGCAGGTTTCTTCTTTGTCTTCTCCGCTTTGTAATTATTCTTCCCTTTGGATTGTACGTGGTTAATATCATTGCAATCAGGAGAAAATTAAATTTACGAGCAACCTCCCTTTTGTACCAATTTAATTTCGTGTAAGGGATGAGGATTGAGGGCATTTGTTGCGCATGTTAGTATGCATCTTCATCTATGATAAGTTTGTATTTTCTTTTTTCCTGTCAAGGTTCCGTGCAAATGTGAGTGTGAATTTTGTGGACCTTTCTATATATCCAGTTACACGTTATTAGGCATCTTTAAGGTCTCTGTTCCTTCTCTTAACTACCTCCAAGATGCTTGGAACTCTTCCACTTGTTGCTGATATCATCCTTGATCAGCCGTTTGCCTGCTTCTTGTTTGGATGTTTACTTAAAGAGGATGCATCTGAAGATTTTAAATTTTTAAGGGTGCCTGATTGGGAGTAGTTGGAGGGAGGAATGGGAATAACTAAGGATTCATTTCCATAAATTGTGCTTGACAAGGGTCAATGATATTAAAAATAAAGAAGTGGAAGATGCATCGGAAGATGCTTGGAACACTATTTCCTTACCATTAAGGCCTTATAGAATGTAGACCATCTTTATTCCTCGCCATCCCTTATTCCATCTTCACTTAATATTCATTCTCGTCAGCTTTTCATAGTCCAGTCATAATCAGATCTCCCCAATCTCATCCGCCGCCGGTCAGTTGCCGATAGCATGCCTCCCATTTTCTCTCAGTCCAACAACCAGGAACTTGATCTGAACCACTTGGCTGACCTTTTAAGGTGGATTTGTTTTTGTTTTTAAACGGATTTGTTCTTCTGATGTCGATGATGATTGCAACTGGGCCGCCTGAGAAACCAATGGTTGGGAAAATTTTGAGTTATAAGGCTTTGTGTGGAGTAAATCTGCCCCCTTTTTTGTTTGTAAATAATTTTTTGGAGCAATGGAATCCTTATTTTTGACGAAATTAATCAAAAGAAAGGGGAGCAATCTTATGCAATCTTGGTTTCTTGTTTTTGAGTTCTGCAAGAATCGAGAATTCTGCTATTGTGAAAATTATTAAGGAAAGAATGTGGAAGAGAAGAAAAGGTTTTCTTATAACAATTTTTTCCCAACAAATTAGCTAATTGGGGTAGAAATTGAATATGAACCTCACTAATATCTATTCCAGAATTTGAACCAAGCATTAGCAATACAGTGGGAACTTCTATTGCCATTGACCCTCATCAATTAAATCCATCGCTTTTGCCAATGAAGAATTTGCACCACGCACCCCCTAACTTTCACATTCTCTGTGTTTGTTTCAGTTCATGCATTTCTATTAGCAATTTCTTAATTAAGTCTTTTAGCCCCTTTATACAGTTAACTAATCTTAACAGAATTTAAACCTCCAGTTGCGTACGTGCTTGGTCTTTATACCCCATTTCATATGAACTCTCATTGAGAAGCATAAGTCTGTCAAACCCATCCTGACTTTGTGAACCTTTCTTTCTGCTGCTCTTTTTTTGTTTTAAAGTAATTGCTTCACAGGGTAGAGCCTTCCTAGTTTGTAATTGTTTCTACATCTTTATTATGCTCGTTGCTGACATTTTTATGTTGATGCTGTTATAAGATGTTGGTCGTGTATCATTCTTTTGGTAACTTCCTTCAAGTTATTTGCCTTTATAGGTGGAGTAGTTGCCTTGGGAAAATTTGATGCCCTTCACATTGGTCATAGAGAACTTGCAATCCAAGCATCCAAAGTTATTTGCCTTTATAGGTGGAGTAGTTGCCTTGGGAAAATTTGATGCCCTTCACATTGGTCATAGAGAACTTGCAATCCAAGCATCAAAAGTTGGGACCGCTTTCCTTCTATCTTTCCTTGGAATGGCGAATTGCTTGGATGGGAACCTAGGTATAGTATGCTGTTTTCTCCAAATTTGAGAAACCTCCTGATTCTGATTAACTCAAGTGCGTGATGTTATTTTGCTGACTGAGTTTTAATGTCCTCTAATATTTTCAAATTGTAATTCATGTTTCCTTACAATCATCAGCAAGGAGCTTCAAAAATTTGAAAAATATAGCGTGTTTCAAATATTTGTGGAGCCATTAAGTTAAGATTCTGTATGAAGGCCTCAAAATAATCATTTGGTAAATTTCATAGATCGTGTAAAATATTTAAGCGACCTTCTCAAATTTTTGGTGATGGCATTTTGCCATTTTACATATTGACCCGACTTCAAAATTATTTCTTAGTAATTCTGTTTGTTGACAACCTTTCCGTAAGAAAGGGAAAGGTTGATTAGGGGCTTCATTCACTTGAATCCCTTTTCTATGCAGGCCACCGATTGTCGCGAAATGTGACCGGAAGAGAGTTCTGAACTCATGGGCTTCATGCTGTGCCGCAGTGGTAATATATAGCGCCCCAGGAATTCCAGATTGACTTCTCGAAAGTTAGGTCTCTCAATCCGCATCAGTTTGTTGAGAAGCTATCTAAGGAGCTTGTAGTACGGGGCGTGGTTGCAGGTAAATCCCACTCTACCCGTCATTTTCATAGTTGTGAATATATTTTTCTTTTTTCCGTCTTCCATGCTTTGCTAAGGTAACAGAAGTCTGCGAATAGCTGAAAAATACAGGTTCGGATACAGGGCTTCTGGCAATGGATCCGACCTAATTAGGTTGTGCGAAGAGTATGGCATGGAAGCTTACATAATCAGATCTCTGATGGACAAGAACCAATGACTATCGAACCCTGATGAGATCAACAGTAGCAATTCAAAAGAGAAAGGTCAGGTCTCATCTACACGTGTACGCCTTGGCCTTTCTAAAGGGCAAATGAAATGTTTCGGAGCTTCTGGGGTTGACACCATCGACATGTGCTCAATATTAACCAGCAGGAAGGTAGCATTAGTGATACTAAGGTTTCAGCACCTAAATCAGTCTTTATTGAATCTCGTACCTGTTGAGGGTTTGAATGGAAACTGCTCAGTTTTTGATCGGTGAGAAAGATGTGGTACCGCGCAGGGTAACCATTGATTCAATTCTTATTCATTTGGAATTGGATAAGTTAGGTACTTGTAGTGCTTTTCCCTAGATAGTCGGTTATTGGGAATTGATTTTGGTGAGTAATCTTGTTAATGCCAAAAGGGAACTTTTACATCTTTTCTGCAGAAGCATTATAGTCTTCAGTGTCTGAATTTGCATGGCCATTTGTATTGGTTGATAAAAAAAAATGAAGGGAAACCAAATAGATATCATCAGAGGCACTGTGGGCGAATATGTTAGTATATATGCTTGTAATAAGAACATCCAGGAGTGGGTATGGCATCTCTCCATCCATATCCCCTCCTCCACACGTATATGAATGTTGAAGTGGATATCTAATCCATCAGAATATTCCATTGCGCCAATCTTGGATGCCTTTTTTTCGCCTTGTTTCCTTTTTCCATCCTATAAAAGTTTTATGATTCATTTAATTTAAATGACTTTTACACGCACAATGTGCATTTACATGAAAATACTTGATCCACATATGGAGATTCCTTATTGAGGAAAAATTTTTAAAAAAAGGGAGGAAATTGCCTGAAAATAACGCTGAATTAACTGCCAAAAATACAAAGGAGAAGGGCCATACCTTCCCAACCAAAAAAGAAAAAAAAAATTAAATGAATTAAATAACCCAAATATTAAAATAAGGTGGGTATACAACAATTTTCCAAATTCGCGTTTCCCAGAATCACGGACCTCCTATAATTTCTAAGCATCGAAATTGCCTTTCCCTTCATTTTCTTACACCCATCTCTGAGGCTCCCGGATTTCCCAAGAGGAAGGAGTTCTCAAAACAAGGTTAGTCTCGTTCCCTTTTCTCCCATCTCGATTTACATTATCTTAGATTTTTTTTTTTTTCCTCTATGTATTGTCGTATGGTTTATTCAAGTCGGTTCCTTTCTCGGATTAAAATTGGAAAACATCATCTGGGCTTCCCCCGCTTCCTTCTCTGTGTATGTGTTTTTCTTGTTCGGAATTCCTTCTTTCCTTCCGTCTGGGCCACCACGGGAACATTTTTCTGGTGTTTTTTTTCCCATTCCGTCGAGTTTGGAGTTGAAGGAGGGTCAAAACAGTCTTTTTAGAGGTTTTACCTAGGCCTAGGGCGGTTCTTTCCTCGGCTCTTCCGATGTTACCCTTTTCCCTCTTAAAATGGTAGCTTGAGGAATCGGGATGATGTGCAGAGAAAAAGGTGGGGTAGAAATACAACTTAGTAAAGGTTGAATTTTTATGTTTGTTTTATGGCCAAGATGGTCTTTTTAATCAGGAGCCCTCAAGCTCCGGCCACCGCCAAAACATCACCATCATACTAGTACCTTTTATGGTTTTTCTGGTCACATGTTTTTTAAGTTGAAATTACTTTCCGTTGAGGAAACTTCCCTGTCACCGTCCCTCCCTAATTACATAGGAAGGCCACGCCACCGTGTATCTGCGTCTTTCTTCTACTTTTTAATTTTCGGAAGTAAGTAACATATTTTATCAAACCACGTGTCGTGATTCAGCTTTGTCCCAAACAGCTTACCTGGCCATTGCAAAGAATTTTTGCCAAAGCAGTAATCTTTTGTCTTCTGCTTCACGTCCTGAAGGGGAAGGAAAAAATTTTTATTTATTCTGATTTTGGTTGTGCAGTAAGGTTTTGAAGAGATTCAACGTTTTGACCCAGTCGGTGGAGGCTGCTGCTGATATAGTTTGAACGCGTTGTAGGAAAGGAGAAGAAAAACTCCATTCCTATTCGGGCTGTCAATAAATAAAAATCTTTTTTATATTGACATCCCGACTTCTTCTTACAGACATCCCACCAGTATTTGAACTGGTAATGAGCTTTGATATTTCATTGACAAAAAAAAAAAAAGGAAAAAAAAAACACATTTTCTCTTGTTTTCTGTTTTTGCTTGTTTTGTCATTTATCTTTCATTCATTTTTATTGCAGGTGGGATTCTAATTTGTTGAACTTTGAAGATTTTGTGATTGAAGTAATGTGTATGAGAGTTAGTTTAGAATTGGTATGAAAGATCGTGATTTTATAGTGAATCACTATGATGGGTTCCTTGTCTGGAATCCTTCAAAGGCCCGTTCTTGCAGCTTCTGCTGTTGCCATAGCTTCTTTGTCATCTGATTTGCGCGAAAAGTTGTGGCCTGAAAAATCATTAGATGTGTCTCTTTTGTGTTTAGAAGAAAAAGGTTCTTTGTTTGAGGAAAATAATTCATCTTGGGTCTCTAAGATATCGGTTTCCAAGCTCGCTAGCTTGTCATTTGTTGCAAGAATTCATGTTCCTCTGCCCACTATTAATCATCAGATACTTGGCTCGAGTTCTTCTAGTTCTGTTCCTAGTTTTAGGTTTAGTTCGGTCTACCCGTCTCCTGGTTTGATCAACTTGCATCAATCTGCTGAGTTGGTGAAAGCTGCAAAGCCAGCTTTATATAAGTATGAGGCATCTTCTTTGCCCTCCGAGGTGTCGTATCGATGGCATTTGCCGGAGCCAAGTTCGGTTGATGTATCTGGTAGTTCAAATTGTGCATCGGTGAAATCTAGGACGGTTGTTGTCTTACTTGGTTGGTTGGGTGCAAAGCAGAAGCATCTCAATAGATATGCAGAGTGGTATACTTCAAGAGGGTTTCATGCTATTACATTTACGTTCCCAATGTCAGAGATTCTTAATTATCAAGTTGGGGGAAAAGCCGAGCAGGATATAGAGTTGCTTGTTAACCATTTAGCTGATTGGTTGGATGAAGAAGATGGAAAGAACTTGGTGTTCCATACATTCAGCAATACAGGATGGCTAACGTAAGTTGCTTTCTTGACAATACCTGTCCCAGAAATGCACCAAGGAATATTGGAAGTGGGATTGTTTTGTTTAATTTATTGTTGTTTATTGCCTCACAGATATGGTGTCATCTTGGAGAATCTTCAGAGAAGTGATCCAAGTTTAATGGGAAGGATAAAGGGTTGTGTTGTGGATTCTGCTCCTGTGGCTGCTCCTGATCCGCAGGTACTTCTCTGAGCAGCTTCTTTCTCTTTTTGTTTGATTTTAGCATGGTTATTGGGATTTGAATCTAACAACATACTTTGTGGCAGAAGATGGATTGTTTGGAATGTTTAGAATGTTTAGATTGATTTTGATTCTCACTGAACAGTGCAGGCATTGAATTGAGCTCTAGTTAGTTTTCCCAAATAAAAGTCTTTCAAGTTTTATGTTTTTGCTGAACAGAAATGTGACTGTATTTGGCTAATCATCCTGGAGTGAGCCTTGATTTAGGGGACTGTTTTTTCCTTATAAATTCTTGCTAGATGTCATCTCTCTGTTTCTGCCTCCATTTTGTAGTTTCTTTAGGAAAAAAGCATTTCCTTTAGGGTTGTTGATTGATCTCTTCTTGACATGCATATCAGGTCTGGGCATCTGGATTCTCTGCCGCTTTTCTTAAAAAACATAGTGTTGCGACAAAAGGCATCGTGAGTGGACAAAGTGTAGGTATTAGGGAAAATGAAACAGCTGCCGAAGTGAAGCCCGAGTTCGCTGAAACTGCACTCTTAGTTATTCTGAGGAAGTTTTTTGAAGTGGTGCTGAATCTTCCAGCAGTAAATAGGTACACCTGGAACTTTACTTAAATTGTTACGAGGATGGAAAGCTAAATTCCTTAGCTGCATGATGCAAAAGAATTGATATTTCCTTACCTTGCGTGTTGAATTAGTCATTATTGGGGTTAATAGATTGACTTTCCTCTAGATTTGTGGAATCTACCAACAGTCTCTAGAGCAATGGGTTGGCATGACCATCAGAATTTGTGAAAAGACTAAGATCTAGCCAAGATCTATCCATGATATTTAAGATTTGGAGTGGGAGGGATAAACTCGCCCCTTAGGTCTTCATATATAATCAAAGGGTTAAAATGTTTTGGTTTGTTCGTTGAGACTAGTGGTAGTTTTCAACAAATTTCAGGGAGGTCAGACCCCAATTTTTGCAACAACGTAATAAGAGCACTTTATCTACGACTTGCTAATTCTGACTGGCATTCTTATTCTTATGAAACCATTGTAGGAGGTTGTCCGATGTGCTGAGTTTGTTAACCTTGGGGCAACCGAGCTGCCCGCAGTTATACATATACAGCTCTGCAGATCGAGTCATCCCTGCAGGATCTGTTGAATCTTTCATAGAAAGACAGCGAAAGAACGGGCGTGAGGTCAGGGCTTGCAACTTCATCTCCACACCCCATGTTGATCATTTCAGGAACGACCCGACATTGTATTCTTCTCAGCTCACGCAGTTTTTGGAAGATTGTGTGCTGAGCAAGTGCGGAAATTCTATGAAATAAGAAGATATAGATAGCTAACCATTCTGTGGACTAACTCATTCTTTGATGTGGGACATTTTCTTCACAGACAGCTCTCATACACATACACAATACAAAATTGAATTGCTTTAGGAAATCTTGATAGTAAGGTTATATTGATTTTTCCATTTTTCTTCACACATGACATCATATTTGTTTGTTATACAGTGTAAATTTATTGGATCATCAATTCGTCGCCTTCAACTTAAATTTATCAAATATATTTTCTTTCGCTTATTGTTCTTGACTTTTTACTTATTCCTACCCGCAATGAATCAAGCTGATCACCCCATCTGCGATTTGCATGTTGACATTGATTTTCCAGAGAAACAAAATTGACATTGTAGTGTGAAGGGCTCACAAAGCGAGCCAAAGGGTGTTTGGTTTGGAGCTCTTTTTTTTTTTTAACAAGAATCAACTTACAAGTGCCTAAATTATTACACGGGTGAGATTTATGTGGAAGGGGATAGTATTACTATGGGAGAGACTCCGCACATGCGTGTCCAGTTCACTTGTCTACCTTTAGAAACGATTACCTTTTACCGTATAAGAAAACATGGCTAACGATAAATTACTGCCCTGGGAGTTTGGGCCACCCTTCATTGGCGTTTGGTTTGGAGCTAACAAGTGGTAATAGTAGTACTAATAATTCACCCACGCACATGTTGGACCAAATGAAGTTTGAACTTGCTTAAACCCCAATATAAAAATTGAAAAAGAAAGAAAAAGGATCCTCTTTGCTTAACAAGCTTGAGCTGCCAATAATTCATGTTCTCATTCAACGTGAAGGTGATACAGCTTTGTCATTTGTGGCCAATAATTCTGTTCGTTAGTTTCTTCAATTAAAAATTATCATTATCAGCATTCAACAACAACAGATTCCATTGCAATTGGCGGCAAAATTCAATGTAATCCTCGCAATGTCGTTCTCTGTTGTCAGTGGAATTAATAATTTAGTACATTGGTTGGCTGGCTGCTTACAAGGGGTGTACTACTATTTATTTTTTACTTCGAAAGTAAAGCAACTTCAAAAGCAATACACCAACAAGCATTTCATCGCTAAAGGTATTGATTTTAACTACGATCCGTGATCAAATTCGGACGTTCAGTAATTAAAATATTTTTTGTCCAAATTAATCGGAGCAATGAGACAACAAATATTAAAATTACTTCTAACATGAGACAACAAAGTAATAACGTGCAGTGGTAAAGGTATTGACCAGTTTAACGATGATATGAGGTTAAAGTTCTGTTTGATACTCACTGAAATCTGAATCTGAACATTTAACACCGAAGTCTGAAGTTTGAAAACTTAATTTACATTGTTTAATAAAAACGACTGAATTTAAAGTTTGAAGTCTGAAGTCTGAAAACTGAATCTGAATACTCAAGTTTGAAAGTTATTTAAATTTTAATACCATTAAAATTAAATTATAAATAAAATTCTTTTAAATAGAAAATAACTAAAATAAAATAATAATTTTAAAATAAGTTTTTAGTATATATAATAAAAGTAGATATTACACTTAAGTAGATAAATTTTTAGTAACGATTATCAAACACACTAAAGTTTTTGGTAATAATCAATATATAATTAAATTACATATATCGATATATATATATGTATGTATACCTTGTGATTAACAAATTTTATGTATTAAAATTAGTTATGTTTGAGTTTGAAAGTTTGAAATTTTTTATATTTATAATATAAATTCAAATTTAAGCACTCTTGATTAATTTATCTTAAAAAAATAAAAACTTTAAAAATAAGCATCGAAATAAAGACGAGTGGAAAAGGAGGGAAAAAAAGAAAAAAAAAAAAAAGAGTCATTACAGAAATTAGTGTTAAGTGATAATTGGTTTGATTATCACTTATTTTTTGGCTCCCAATTGAATTGGTCATTAAAGCGCACTTAATTAATTCAGACAATGAAATTTTAGTTATCAAACGTACTTAATTTATAAGTACTTAATTAGTTAAAGAATTTAATTCATTAAAACTTTTTAGTAGCGATTATTAAAAATACTTAATTTTATTAAGTATTTAAATAAATTAAGTCATTATATTTAATGATTATCAAACAGAGCCTAAATTTAGATATTAGTTTTGCTTTTTAAAATAGACCTATTCAGCTCGAATTTAAATTAGTTGGAGCAACGAGACAACAAACATAATGTTTCTCCTCCTAAAACTACGTTGACGAGTATTTGGTCGATAAAATGTCAGAATCGTTTGGTAGTTTGTTTCCGGACCCAAAAGGTGACTCGCTGCCGCTAGGTTGGCTACAAAAACAAAAACAAAAACAAACACCCATATATCATATGATGAACCCAACCCACCCACCAACTGAACTTAAGTGGTTAGTAGGAAGAGTATATGTAGGTATCCACAACAGGTAACAAGAATGGTCATTTCTGCCATTTCACCCTCCCAACTCCTCTCATCATTAATAAACAAACAGAAGATTCATTTAAAACCTCTCTTATTAATCACAACCCCCCAAAGAAAAAAAGGAGAAAAGAAAAATGTCAACCACCGCCACCGCTGCCGCCGCCACCACCACCACCTCTGGCATCAACGACGCCTTGCGTGACGACGAGCTTCGCGCCGTTTTATCGAAATTGGAAGATGTAAAGGACAAGGAAAACTTCGGGCTGGTTTGTAAGCGCTGGCTTCACTTGCAGAGCACCGCCCGGACCAAGCTTTGTGCCCGGGCTGGACCCCACATGCTCGCTCGTATGGCATCCCGCTTCCCTCGTTTGCTCCACCTCGATCTCTCTCAGTCCTCTTCCCGCTCTTTTTACCCCGGCGTTACTGACTCTGACCTTTGCGTTATCGCCGCCGCTTTCCCCTCCTTGAGAATCCTCTCCCTCCAGAACTGCAAAGGTCTTCCTCCATTTCTCATTTTACATTTGAGGCTCATTTGTTCCTTTTATTTTTTATGTTGAATTTGTTTGGATTTTAGTCAAAGTTTTAATCTTTCTTTGATTTTACAAAGAAACAGTTTTTTATTCTTAGACACTGATTACTCCCCCTGTTTAGCCTATCTTTCCAATTTTGGTTCTCAATTTCTGGTTGGATTTCATTTGATGTGTCAAACTTCGCTTGTTGGCTATGGGTCTAAAGTTCTTTTCATTTGTTGATGATGATAGTGTTAGTATGGATGCGTTCTGTTGGAAGCTAGGTTTAACCTATTCCTCTTCTTCTTCGTCTGCTATCCCCCTTTTTCTAGTTTTCTTTACTTAAAAAGAGACGCGTTTGTAGTGGTCTATATGTTTTGGTATTTTTGTCTTGCAATTTCACCTTTCTACACAAATGTTATAGTATTTTCTTTCAAGGCTTTATAAACACACTGTAATTCTAGGATAAATGTTTCCCATGTTATTTTCTTGTTGTAACTGCTTGCAAATTTGGCTCATTGATTTTGGGTTCTGCAGGTATTACTGATGCGGGACTAAAAGCCATTGCTGCCGGTCTACCCTATTTGCAGTCTTTAGATGTGTCCTACTGCAGGAAGTTAACCGACAAGGGATTGTCTGCCATTGCTCAGGGTTGCCATGATCTGAGAATCTTGCATCTGGCTGGCTGTAGATTTGTTACAGATGTATTGTTAAGAGCTCTTTCTGCAAACTGTAAAAATTTGGAAGAATTGGGTTTGCAAGGATGCTCAAGTATAACTGACTCAGGTCTCGCTGTACTAGTAGAAGGTTGCTGGAGATTGAACAATCTAGACGTCAACAAGTGCAGCAATGTTGGTGATGTGGGAATATCCAGTGTGTCCAAGGCCTGCTCTTCCTCGCTTAAGACATTGAAGTTGTTAGACTGCTACAAAGTTGGTGACGAATCAATATTATCTTTGGCCGAGTATTGCAAAAATCTCGAGACTTTGGTAATAGGTGGTTGCCGGGATGTTTCAGATGAACCCCTCATGCAACTGGCTGCTGCTTGTGGTAATAGTCTTAAAAATCTTCGTATGGATTGGTGTCTCAATGTTTCTGATTCCTCCTTGGATTGTTTACTTCGGCAATGCAAGAAGCTCGAGTTTCTTGATATAGGTTGCTGTGAAGAGGTGACAGACGCTGCGTTCAGTGGACTTGGAAGTGGACTTTTCAATCTTCCGATGAAGATTTTGAAGGTCAGTAACTGTCCCAAGATCACTGTTTTAGGGATTGGGAATTTGTTAAAGTCATGCAACTCGCTTGAGTATCTTGATTTGCGATCTTGCCCTCATGCTACCAAAGCTGCTTGCGACGAGGCTGGATTGCAATTTCCAGCATGTTGCAAAGTTAATTTCACAGGGAGTTTAACTGAACCAGGTGTGTTAATCTAGATTTAATACTCTTCGGTAATTCCGATATATTATTGGTCTTCAGTTTGCAAATATGTGGAGAAGAAAATCAGGTAATTCTGCTGTTATTATTCTTCACCAGAAGTTTCATTTGGTTTCTGGTGACTTTCAAACCCATGGGTTTTGGCGCCCTCATTTTTTTCCTTTTTCTCTGTAATTATCCATCATCCAAGCTGAATGTATATTAGTGTGTAATATGGATTCACTTTATTACTTGTACTGATTTTTTCTGGTTTGTCCATATTCATGATTTCTTCTGAATGTTGAACGTCAAGGCTGACTCATGCAATTTTTGACAAGGTGTTGGTATCTTTAGTAATATGGTAGTCTCTCTGTCCCACAAAACTGAGTTCCCTCCATACTGAGATCTGCTCCCAGAATTTTGAAACACAATGAATGGTTTTGAAAGGTATAAACAGTATTTTGCAGCATAAGAATGAATAGAAACCGAAAGAACATCATGCTGGCAGTTTTGTCTCAGGAAGAGAATTATGCACCATTACTTTAGTCATCTTGGAATTTTAGATTTTGGCAGTTAAGACATAACTCTTTCCAGCGACCCTTTCGCTTGAAGGCAAGAATCCATGGCCTTCGGCAATCGCCAGTGCTACCAGCCCTAGTTGTGTTGAGAGCATTCTCAAGAGTAGAGAACTGGTCATATAAAAGTAGCATGCATCTACTCAGATTTAGTTCTGATCCTATACCCAGCTGAGTTTTAGACCAAAGTTCCTGCAATGAGGAGCCGCCTCCAAACATAGTTACAAGCACAACCCACGATTTGAGAGTCATCCTACTTATGAGTCTTGAGTTACATCCACCATTGGCTTCCACTCATAACAATCTAGAACCTTGCTGCTTGAGTTCAGCCAAGCAATGATGAGAAATGAAGATTCCATGGGAAGAGCGGTTCCCATTTCGATAGTATTTTTCATGCTGTTGGAAGCTTGTTTGTAAATGAGTTTCTGAGAATTCTCTTGCGGGAAGGAGCTGTTGGGTGTGTGGAGTATACTGAAATAGATACGACACTGTTGTTTTCATAAAAGGAAACTAGCGTCATGTCACTTTGGTGCTTTGCTCCAGGAACATTAGTCAACACCAGTCCCGAAGTGCTTTGGCGCATCTACTAATCTAGAGAATACTAACTCTGATTCCCTGTTATTCCGTTTTCACCAATCTTCTACGAAGAAGAACACGAGTTGAATGGACCTAAGAGGGACTTCGTAACAGAGACGAGAAATGTAGCACCATCTATATTGAAGTTGAACCATTTGTCAAAGCAGCTTTGGCATCCGCTTTTGTGTAAACTGGATGTTGTGCTCCACGACCTCGATTGCAGTCTTCAATGGCTCTTGGTATAGCTTACTAGTATCTTTTATAAGAGGCAAAGGAAGTGCTCCTTTTGTTTCATAGTATAATTATTATTTAGTTTAGATTTTTAATTTTAATACAATTTGAGCTAAACTGAAAAATCCAAACTGCATAATCCTATTGGGACGAAAACCGAGAGGGAAGAGGGAGAGAGAGCTTAAAATAATGCCGTTGTTAGTGTTACTCCTCTGGTACAAAACTATGGGCCCAAATTCTTTCTTTATGGATCATTGAAAGCGTAACTTAAAATAATGAATATACTTCTATTCTACCTACTAGTAGAAATGCATTCATTAGGGCTGTTAATTCGGACGGTTCGGCTCGATTCGGTCGAGTTCGGTTCGAAGAATTCAGATTTTTTCCCCTCAGAACATCCGACCGAAACCGAACCGAAAATATTATAAAATAAAACCAAACCGATTGTCGGGTTAATCGATTCGAAGTCGGTTCACCTGCATAACAACCAACAACTCTGGGAACTTTTTTTTTCTCTAAAACAAAACAGACAAAAAAAAACACCTCCGACGGTTTGTTCTCCGTCAACGTCGTTGCGCTAATTTCCCAACGGATTCATCACCCACCTCAATAACCATTGTATCCACACAATTCGTCTCATATCAAAATCCAAAACACAATATTCAAAGCAATCAGAAATAGATCTATTAAATTTGTTAGAAATCAAAAATTAATTAGGCTGCAGAGGAGGAGGCCCTTGATGTTTTAGATGTGAAGAAAACTAGAGGAGGAGGAGATGCGATTCGATTGTGCGGCGTTGGCGTGATTAGAACAGAATTGAGATTGATGAATGGAGGAGGTTGATGGCGCTGCAACTGTTTTGGTGAAGAAACAGGACGACAAATCCGACGGACAAAATGGACGGCCAATTCTTTTGAGATAGTCAGATTGGTGGTGGTGGAATTAGTGGATTGTGGAGGTGGTCAGGACTAAGGTGGGAGGTGTAGCCATGGAGGTGGTGGAGGTGGTAGAGGTGGGAAGTGGGAGGAGAAACGATGGAGGTGGGATTGAGAAGGGTGACAGCTAGGAAAGAGAAAAAAAAAGGCAACCCTAATATATCTATTACACACACATATATATAATATAAATATATTTTAAATAATAAATTAAATATAATTTCGGGTTCTCGGGCGGTGTCCGAACAATTTATTTTCCCCCCGCACCCGAACCGATTAACTATGCGGGTTATTCGGTTGGAACCAAACAACCCGAAATTAACTCGCTTACCCTAACCGTTTGATCCGAAATGGATTCGGGTTGGGCCGAATAACTGTCAGCCCTAGCATTCACCCAGAGATAAGAAGGAAGAACTTTGCAGCGCAACAACAAATGTTGTTTACAAAGAAACTCTTGAAAATGTATGATGCGGTCATCCTTTTTTTTTTTAGTGCTTTCTCTGTTATTGATGTCACAATTTTTTTTGCAATTTAATATAGCTGTTCATTGAAATACTTTCAAAGAATCAAATCTGTCTTAATCGTGCAATGTATGGGTACAATACTAGTATTGATTAATCTCATTTACACAGGCGTAATGAATGGGATTGTTTTGGGGAAAATACTTGACAAACATTAATGTTGATTACTCTCCCCATTAATTATTATTGATTATTTTAGGGTCAGATTGTTTTTTTTTTAAAAAAAAAAAGAAATTGTTTTGTAGTTGACCGGGTAAAATTTTCATATGAATTAATATTCATTACTCACGATCATTAAAGTTGATCGATTCATATTGATTTAATTTTCCTATTTTCTCATTTTGAATTTAAGTTTTAAATGCGGTTGGATAAATATTTAATTACATGAAATTCGAAGAACTGTTAGTATAATTACATAAAATATTTTTAAGGAATGTAATAAAAAAATGACACATAGGATTTTATTCTATAGAAATCTTTTTAACTTTCTCTTTTTCTCTCTTAGTATAGTATATACTATAGAATAGATAGGTGGATAGATAATATTTTGATGAGAAGATTGATATGTGGTAACAAACGACGCATACTTTAAAGTTTAAGCACGTACTCCTATTTAAATTATTATTAGTGGACTGAAAGACGTTTGTTTAATATATGTATTTATATAATGGGTGGAAAGAAAAGTATGAAAAGCAACCAAGTTACCGACAGAGGTGGATAGGGAAGATGATGATGATAATTCTGAGTCATTCTGTGTGTGTCGGTGGCTGAATGGATCTGCTTTCCTTACAAGTACTACTACTAGTACACACTGCCGGGTGGGCGTCGTCTAACTGGATAAATCTTTATTTTAATTTTTTATTTTTTTTAAAAAAAATGAACATCCGTGTAGTGTCAATTGGGCTATCATGAATTGAATTAGATAGTAAATGTGGGGGGAGAAATGAAGGCAGCATCTCGATGGTTGACCTTTTTATTTTTTGGCCGAAATTCAATCTGACACAACTCCAGGTGCGGGGGGGCTGTCAGCTGGCAGTCGGGCACCATTACCACCGCCCATATTTTATTTGTTTCTTTCTTTCCTTCTTTTCCTTCCATTCCACGACACACCACAAATGTACATGCATGCATTGGAGGCACCCATTTATAAACAAACAACTGTCAGTTATTTCATCTTTTACCAATGATGTACTTACTACTACTATATTATTATTATTATTACTAAACCCTCTAAATATTTCAAACAAAGAGAGTATAGATTAGTATTTGCACATCAAAATTTGTACACTACTATAAATATAAATCTGGTGAGGTCTGTTTTGTAGCAGCAAAATAATAGTTAGATGCCAACAAGTACTTCCACCTGGTTCCAGCTGAAGTCGTCATATATAAATAACAACGTTTTCTTAAGAAAAAAGAAAAGAAGAACAGCGTGAGAAAGGAATGAAGGAAACAAATTAAATAGGAGGGAGTTGATGAGATGCCTGGGAGGAGAGAATCGAATTCCATAATGGGGGGTGGTGGGGTTACTCGTACTTTAGTTCCCATCAACGTTTATTTAAAAACCCCCCAAAGTAAGAAAATCAAAACCTCCTTCTACTTTTTCTTCTGTTTGCCGCCGGCGGGGTCCTTGGAAATGATATATGTACTCCAATTAATAATTAATTCAGGGTTGGGCATGTGAAGAAGAAGATTAAAGTTATTATTTTGATGTGCTGCGAATATTTCTCCCACCCAAAACGTACAATATTAATACTAATAATAATCAAAAAGAAAATGGGACAGCAGGAAAATGAAAAAGGATGAATTTATTTTGCCCCTCCGTGGCCTTTGGTGTTTATTATGGCTTTGGCAGCCAAACCCTTAATTCAAACCCCCCCAACTAAAATGGACGTGGAAGATAAAATTCCCATGTAGTAGTAATAAACTAACTAACTATACTATAAGAAGAGGGAAAGACAAGCACGTGCCACGTGGGTGGAATAAATGAGAGTGAGCTGGAGTGACAGCAGGCAGGCATGAGTAACCCCCGTACCGGGGGGTTTGAATTTCAAACGAAAAGGGGAAGCAAATGAAAGCTTAACACGTGTAAAATAGGTTCTCCCAGAGCTTTGCCTAGTCCTATATAAGAATCCCCCCGTAAAGTAGTACTGTAAGAGTCAGTTTTTGTTGTATAATAAATATATTAACGCCAACCCCCTGAAGAAGAGTGAAGAAGAAGACATGGCGGACGGCACAGCAAAATGCATAGACATTCTGTTGGCCATAATCTTGCCTCCCCTTGGTGTTTTCCTCCGATTTGGCTGCAAGGTAACTGCTTCTTTTTTTTTTAGTAGGTTTTCTTGCACACCCTTCTTCAATTCCCTGGTACGGGATCATTCTTCTTCAAATTTCCATGATTGATTGATTGATGGATGGATGGAGATGTTGATGCATAATATGGATTTGCTTTAATTTGCTCTGCCTGCCAGGTGGAGTTCTGGATCTGCTTGCTGCTCACACTCTTCGGTTACCTGCCCGGCATCATTTATGCTGTTTGGGTTATCACCAAGTAGACTCCCCGCCCCCCACCCCCTATCCCTGGTAATTTTTAAAACTCTTCCTTTTTTTCTTCTCGTCATTTTTTTTTTCCTTTGTAAGATTTATGCTAGATTCAATTCAAGTATCTATTTTCTTCTTTTTGGTTTTAACTATGCAGTTGTACATACCCTTTTGTTACTTTTGTTAATTCCAACTCTTTTCAGATAATTTGATTACTTTGTGATGTACAACACCGCATGTGCTGGGTGATGCAGTAGGGTTCTTTTTTTCTTTTTTTTTTTTGGGGTTCCCTTTTTATATTACACTATTTTTCCATAGGGTTCTTCATATATTAGTAATATGCAAAGAATGAAAATCAACTGCTACTAAAATTCCTATATTCATTCAATCAGCAAAGCCAGGTGGTGGTGGTGGGGGTGTACGTGGCTTCTTTCTTCTTTGCCTGTCAATCATACTCATAAGTCATACCCACCACGTTTGTTTAGGCTTTTTGTTTCCCTTTCACTTTCATCACAGCTAATACCACACTTTTCCTCTCTCTCTCTCTCCCATAACCCCAAATTAATTGTCTCACTAATTATGTATATTTTCAATTTTTGTAGTACAATTTATAATCGCAAGTTAAAAAAATTAAAACTATTAGTGTGGGGAGGAGTAGTTATTTATCATCAAATTGTTGCTCTAAATTAGTAATCAATTTAGCCCCTTGTCACATATTTTGGGGGGATACAAAATGGCTTGTGATGAAAGCAGGTCCTTGATGTTTATATAATTATTTGTACTTTAGTAACAAAATTAAATCTTTACGGGGGCCCATATGGATAACATGACGTGGATCTGATCATTAATCTTCCAGAGCTTTGTTTTGAGTGATCATTTAAGCTCCGTTTTTATCTAATTATTATTATTAATATTATTGTTTTGCTTTTTATGTTTGGGACAGGTGGGTGGATGGATGGATGTATGGGAGGAGTGGCCATTTTCAAGCGTCTTTCTTCATCTGATTTGATGATTGCTTCCGCCTTGTTATTTTCCATCATGTGGACTAGTTAGTGGTACTAGTAGTAGCTCGTTTCGATAAGAAAAAAAGTGTGTGTGTGTGTGTGTGTGTGTGTGTGTGTTTGTTTCCTTTGATTCCTTCTAGTTCTCCCTCTCCGTGGTGTAATATTAGTCTGTCATCAATTCATCATGTTACCCTTGCTGTAGATGAGATTGGGGTGATTCATTTGGTGATGATTTATTCTATTCTGTATATCTCCCTATGTTAAAGCCGTAATGACACTATTTGTTTGTGGAATATATTGTTGTGATTTCGTGATCGTTTCTTCACGTTATTATCATATTTACGGGGCCCCTCCGCTTTTTTGTATTCATATCTCCAAACATATTGTTCTCCCTCTGTGTATAACAACAGAATCATGACCTTTCCATCTACGTTAGCAACGGCCGTGCGCGCACTTCTGTCGAAAAAAAATATCTACATCTCATAGTCATGGAAAGTTGCATACTTGTATCTTCTTTCTATTACTTACTATGATGATTATATATAAAGCGTAACACTCGGATTCTAGAGTAAGACGTTCCCTTCGTTCGTCATTGGGTTTGAATTCGATCTTAGGTCCAACTAGCACTCACTCATGAATTAGCTTCACATTTACAAGTTGCTGACAACCCAAGTTTCGGCCTGATCCAATTCAGAATCAGGCTTTTGGCATATATGTACATTGTTTGTATATGCTCAATGCAATAATTGCAAACCCTATGACTATGAGTATCCCGTCAAACAGGACCAAACACTGTTTATTAACAACAACACTCGCTGACTTCAGACCGACCGATAAGTGTATGTAATGTTAAATACAAAGTGATAGCTAAGCTCTTAGCTAACAGGCTAATAGGAGTTCTGGGTACCACTGTCTCTGAAAACCAGAATGGTTTTTTATGGGGAAGATGCATAGGGTAGAATATCGTATTGGCACATGAAGCGATTGAGTACATTCAGAAAATAGAAAACCAGGGAGCATGGATTGGCAGCTGAATATGAGTAAGGCGTACCACATGATCTCTTGGTCATTTTTGCACAATGTGTTACAAAAGCTTGGTTTTCATGAGTCCTTCATTAACCTGATTATGAAATGTGTTTGCACAGTAGAGTATGCCATCAAGTTTAACGGTTGGAAATCAGATTATTTTCAGCCAAAGCGTGGGTTACGGCAAGGCTGCCCTTTATCACCTTATCTCTTTATTATTATCTGTCAGCAGGCTCTATCATTGGCTTTGGAGAATTTGAGTAGAGATCACTAGAATTTTGGCATCAAAATGGGGAGGTCAGTTCCTCGCATTTGATGTACGCGGATGACTGAATTATGTTTATCGAGTGCAGGGAAAGCAATATAAGGGCTTTAGGGGAAGTCATCAGTCTGTACACTATAGCTTCCGGGCAGAGGATCAATTTTTAACAAGTCAGCCTTCATGTCAAGTCCATCTACTAACCGAACGGAGAAAGAATTGTATCCATACTAATGTGAGTACAGCTAGCTAGCTAAACACATGCATCTTAATTTGGTTTAGAATTTCACAACAAGTTCACACATTATCTTTAAAAAAAAAAAAAAAAACAAGTTCAAAACTTTCTTCCCATTTACATTTTCATACATCATCTGTGTTGAGATATAAATATATATATATATATGTAATATTGTGACTGATCAGCTAGCTAGCTAGCTTGATCGAGAAAGCATCACCATCTGCTGAACACACTGTAAAGTTTTCCTATGGTTTAAGAATCCCATAAACCAAAACTCGAAATTGTCTTGGGTAACAACTTGAATGTACTTGTGAGATGGTCGGTCGATGTCATGGCTGGTGTTGGCTCTGGTGATCTTCCTCATTGGGATGGAAACCTTGTAGTAGATTCTCAGCAGTTTCCCTGTGGGAGACACAACTTTGATGCACCTTTCGCTGCAGAAGGCTATCCTATGCGTTGTTATGAAAAGCAGACCCGCGATCGGCCCATTCGTGGTCGATACATAGCATTGCGACGCCTTCACTAGCTTCTCCTGCTCATCCTTTCCCTCTTCTGATGATTTCACAACATTGAACAGTTTCTTGAATACCTTTTCCACCCCGCCCAATTGCAGAATCCTTGCTCCCAAGCTCAACTTCCCTTTCAATGTGTCTGTCAACTTTGGGGCCAATCTAACTGCACTTCCCAAACATCACACAGAGAAACCAGGATCAGATCAGATCCTTTGGATTTGGAAAAATGTGTCTATCTAGGAACTTAATTGGCTATTTATGAAGATGCAATACTTGAAAAAAAAAAAAAAAAAACTTACCATGATGCAGGATTCCTTGAGCCAAACTGTCTACTTTTACACTGATTTTTTTCTTCCTACTGATCACCAACTCTGAAAGCTGAGAGCTTTTATGTAAATGATGACCATCTTGCTGCAATGAATTTTTCGAGCGTTTTTCGAGCAAGTATGCTGCTGTGCTTCTTGTGATTCCGTTGATCACTGGATTGGAAAGTTGTTTGTTCATGGTTGGTTATTTCTTGCTTGAATACTCCAGTACTTTGAATGCCACAGAATCGATTGGCTTCTTCAAGTGAGATTGACGTACTAATATTCTTCTCCTTTGATGTTTTTGGATGTTCATTTTGGGGCACTATATATATAATTGGAGGGCTAGTTAAAGCTAGTAGGTGTTCGGAGAGGGCCTTTCTTTTTCTTTTTGATTGAGTCAGATTCGTGTCATCAAATTTCGAAAAGCAACAAAGGTGAAGACACAAGCATATGCATTGTCACAAAAGATAAGCCTAGCTTTCTTTTTTCCATATCAAATACTATGTAATAAAAGATTTCTTTTAATCATGTGTATCTGAATTTAGTTAAAGGTTTTCCTTTGCATATGCTTGTGTGTGTCTATGTATCTTTTTCCATTTTTCCAAATCAGATAAGTCTAGCTCATCTATCTTTCCATGTTCTATAAGGACTTTTCTGGCAACTGGAATTTGCAGACATGCTTTCTAGATATCTACGGAATATGCACAAAAGAAAGATCATGCATACATCTACAAATAAAGTCACAAACTGACACAGCTTCTTGTACTAATAATTTATTTAATACGGAGTATTTGAGTTCCAATCAATGTGAATGGTGCGTCTGAAAATCAGGCCAGCTGCTCTTCTCTTACCAGTGAATGTTCTTTTCTGCATATGTGTAATCGCATCTTTCTGAGGTGGCAAAGTTCTGCTTTCTGTTCAACCAACTGAAATTATCTAACTTTTCAACTTACCAAATCATCCCATCATCAGACATGATTCAGCCTTCTAAATGGAGTCAAATGGATCATACATATATGTGTGTTAGCTGCTATTCTCACAAAAGCCCAAGAAAATAATAACCTAAAAAAACATATAATGTTTTTATTTAGCTTTTTTTTTTTTTAATGTTGACCACACATATATTTATAATGCATGTTGAAAAATCCCACTCCCTTATGGTGAAAATCGTTTCATGGATTTATAACATATTTATAATGTTTGCTAGCCTTAATGATGGCATATATAGTTTATGGCATTCGAGATTTGTTAAAGGGAGAATAGATTGTTAAACTCAAACATGTATTGAGGTTAATTTTGTAGCACACTATTTGACTTTACTAGTAGCACAATGACCGGATGGATTACATAACCTTCGTAAGTAGCACTACATGGATTTCTAATGTTGCACTCAGAACCTTACAATAACGAGGATTACATTCCCTCACATTCCTACTTCAATCTTCAAATCTTTAAATTGGGATTAGACACATGCATGGGATTTTTCTGATATTGGGGGTATGTATGATGACACACAAATGAGATTATCTTGTTTTGCAAAAATTGGAGCAGCAAACTTTTTTAAGGTAACGTCACCATCCCATGTACAAGAACTGAGTCATGAAGTCACATGTCAAGTAGATTTTGAACAACATCCATGTCAACTTTTCAAAAGAGAGAACCAAGGCACATGCATGGTGGGTTTATTACACGATATATGTTGGTAGCAATGTTGTGTATTCTTAAATTGATTACGCAATAAAGGCATACAAAACTTCCACATGCAAGCCATATATATTAGTAACAACCATCAACCTAACAAACTTCCCTATATAGCTACCTAAACTGATTGATGATCACCTGATGGTGTGTAAAGACATGGAGTTTAGGTCAGCCATGCATATAAAGAGATGCCCAATCTTGACATTCATTTCGGCCTCAAAATCATACTTTTCAGAGTACTTCTTTTCCCGTGGTCTAATCTAATATCTCGGTACCTTTGACTCTAAAATATCAGTACATATAATATTTCATGTCTGCATGGATTACACATCATCGTCATCAGCTGTGGCTTAAAAAGTGGATGGTCAGCTACAAGTATCGCAGCCATGCAGTACTATAACTTTCTGTAATCCAATTGAATAGAAACTTAGAAAAGAAGGAAATGTGGATGTAGCCAATAAGCCAAATGCTTTCATGAAATATACATGCAACATTGTTCGGTTACCACTTCAAAAACAATTGACCAACACCAACCACAGAATCACTTTTTTTTTATTCTAGTATAACAAGCACTTCATTTGATCCAAACCGTAAAAGTATTAAACTAGTTCACTTATTATCTGAATTCAAAAATTGGACATGTGTAAATAATAGTGATTAGAATAGTTGTTTGAGAAAAAAATTGTCCACCCATACGGATAGAGATTTCATACACCGAATACGTAATATAGTATATCATTATAATAAATAACTTCTGTAATAAATTACTTAGAGATAGCTCCTAAACTTAAACAAAACTTAACTTACCCACCAAATTTTTCAAATGAAGATTACCGAGGATAATTCTTTTCTGGTAAAATGAGAGAGTCAAAGTCCAGGCAAACAAAATTATAATGTTACTTGGATATGAAATAGTGATAATATTTTGTTATAAGCAGCGATGATATTATAAAGATTAACCGTTTTGTGATGGGTTAGTATGGATGGCATGGCATCAGAAAGCAAAGAATCCAACTCAGAAAGTTGAAGTGAACACATCATCAGCGGCCACCAAATCTTAATCTTTAGTGGTAATTAAGGAAATTTAAACAGCATCCTGAGAATTCCCGATCTCTCCCCCGGCCCACCATGAACCAACCACACATGATAATGTTAGATATTAGTTGTCCCTTTCTGAAATGCTTATTTAGTTTGGTATTTCACTTTCAGTACAAATTATACTAAAACTCAGACCATCACCATCATTCTGGGTAGGAATACATAGTATAAATGTTCGCTGGTTTTGAAAAGCATACCATACCACCAGCTCTGCTACCCTGTTACAGTAAAATTTCCATTCTTTTTGTTTTCGGTATAATGAAAGGAGGCAGACAACAAGTCAAGAACAAAAATCCTTGAATGGGTATCCCAATTAACTTTTCCCTTTTCTTTGGTTTACTTTTTTCCCCTTCCTGTAAAGAAAGCAGGTATCCTATATTAATGCATTCCTGAATTTGGATGACTCGAAGCTGACTCATGACTGCAAACCCCACAAAAGTATTAATCTGCAAGTCTCTCTCTCTCGGGCGCCATATCAACTTTTGGGTTTATTGAGTACTGTTTAGGGGAATTGAGATATACTCCTATATAGATAAGCAGCTGTCATCCTTCCCTGCCCTCCCCCACAATCATAGTATATAACTGTCTCTCTCTAACACCACCAACAATCCATATATACGTCGTCAGGATTTCAGTTGATAGTAAATTTGAGAAGAATCACACACGACGGTACATTGTTGGGATAGAGAGTGATGAATCTTTCCAGAAAATATCATTAATATTGCTAAACACTTGTAATATTCCTCGGATCATCATCTTTCCAACAGTCTTAAACCTTATTAGTCCCACTACTATTACTACTACTGCAGCTGCGCGCCTCAGATCATTCAAGGGAGCAGCAAGACCAGATTCCGCGCCCCTAACGATGGACTTTCTTGCACGAGGCATCAGTGATCATGGTTAGTTTCATACTTTCATTTTTTCAGGCATCACACCTCATATCACATCATGAACGTTAAGAATTCCATCACCAATAAGAATAAGTAACTAGCTAGCTAAGCTAAGCTACTGCCAAATTTATTTTATATCTAATGCGTTTAAATTCGATCTTGTCAAGCATATAATTCATGCATCCAGTTAAATATATATATATATATATATATACATATATATATTTTCTCCCTCTGATGATCGATGGATGAAATGCAGTGCATGCATGCAGTGAGATTGGCACAGAAAGTGTGAAGGGGGGAAGTTGAGGGTTAGGAGCCTGCAGAATTGTTCAATTAGCTAGCTAGGTGGAGTGGACAACTTTTTTTGGGAGCCAGACCCTGGTTAGTATGCCATGCCATGCAACTTTTTTCACAAATGTTTAACTATAACACAACTTTCAGCTCATCGCAACTTATTGCAACTTTATTCAACATATACATACCTTGCTTTAGATATACGTACATAAAACAAAAAAGGCATCTCATTGTTGTGCAAGTAAACTGATCCTCAAGCATATGTTTCCTAGCTTAGTCTAATATCTTGTTTGAAGATATTTAAGGTCGTCTATGACTCCATCTAATGGTTGGCACTTCACATCAGGGATTACTTTAGGGTAGGGGAATGTGTCGTTTAAATAAATAGTTTAGTGATTCATTGTTAGGAAAAAGGGGTAGGATCGATGGAAGCCACGCTCAACCATCCACATGTTGACAAGTGTGTTGATGGGTTGAGATGGTTTTGGGGACACATCAGATGAGATGGGAATCGACGGATGCCTCTCTCGGAGGACAAAATTTTATTTTATTTTTGTAAATGGTACCTGTATATTAGTTTAAATTGACATATATGTTATTACAATGCATTTTTACAAAAGCTAAATTATGTATTTTATTAACCTCTCATCTGCTCACTTTAATCAGTGAGTATGACTTAAAGGCTAATTTAGTAGATCGAAGCGAGGAGATAACTTCCTGAGCCTTAGTGAGGATAAGAGTAGTTGGGTTATCCAACGTAAGAGTTTTACAATTAGTATAGACTTGAACGCTTGTTAATCTTAAACTCAAAGCGTCTTTCATGGCTAGCAAGCAAGTCATCGCTTCTGTCCGCAGTGGAGATATGACAGTAATATCTACCACCCTGAGCTGCAGTACCATCTCATGTGGAGAAATAATTTTCCAAGCAGCTGCTACTTTCTTTTTTGATGGCTATATATAGGATCCATCAATGATGATCAAAGAACAGAAAACCCTCGCGTTTGGGGAACAGAGGTCTGTGTTGGATAATGGAGGAGTTATGTCGGAGTTGAGTATTAATTACCGCATCAGACTGGATCAATCGCCATGAAACCGCCGGATCATTAGCTTGTTGGCACCAAATCCTGTCATTTCTTTCCATCCAGATTCGCCAGATGATGAGAAGAAAAAGATCCACTTCTGCTTTTGTTGGATGTTGTTGAATCCAATTAACAAACCAGGTATGCATAGAGTCATAGTTTGGGACAAATATTGATACAAACCTAGAGTATGCCAGTGCCCAAATAGCTTAAGAGGATTCACATTGGAAGAATAAATGGAGGGCATTCTCTTCACAGCGTCCACAGCGAGGGCAGATTAGATAAACCAAAACAGCACGTTTAGTGAGCTCTTTCCTGGTAGGCAAAGCATCCAGTAGCACTCTCCAGAGTAAGAACTTATGCTTTGGTTGCACACCTGATTGCCACAGTCGTTTCCATGCCACTTTCTCTTTGAGCAATAACTCTGGATTTTGGGCTAGCTGTGGAAGAAGTGCATTCGTGGCGAGTTGATAGCCTTCTCTCACTGTATAGCTTCCATGTGAAGTAGAAGTCCATTGAATTGCATCAGGGTGATTCCTTCTATCCGGATCAACAAAAATTCCCACAATCTGAGAGATGATGTGGTCTGAAAAAAACCTTCTCAAATGTACTCGCCATTGTCCATTTGGATGGATGAAATGAGCAACCTTAAGATTAGAAGCTGCCAAAACTGACTGAGAACTAATTGGATTTTGCACATCAGGAATCCAGTTTGCAGCTAATGGTATATCTTTTCCTGACACCACTTTCCATTTTGTGTGATCTTGGATGAGTTCTGCTCCCCATAGAATACTTTTAAAACCCCAAGAGGAATTAGATAGTGGTTGCAATGGCGGAAAGATACCATTATTGCAGTACTTAGCACGAAAGAGACGACCCATCAGAGAATTCGGAGCTGACATTAATTTTCATACATGTTTGGCTAAAAGAGCCTTGTTGAACTCCTTTGTAGCCTTAAGTCCTAGACCACCATGAAATGTTGATCTGGCCATTTTTTTCCATGAGCGCCAATGGATTTTCCTACCCTGCAAGTCCCCTTTCCAGATAAAAAAGGCCCCATGATTTGATATGCTTTCTTGAGTGTTTTTGGCAGGCAGTCGACATACTCCTAGTGAGTATACCAGCATAGAAGATAAAGTAGCCTTAGCCAATGATACGCTCCCTGACAGAGACAACATCTTGGTTTTCCAGGAAGCAAATTTACTGACCATTCTGGATGTAAAGTGTGAGAAGATGGTTGTCTTCCTTTCTAAAAAATCCAGATGCCTAAATATTTGCTATGGAATTGTCCCAAGATTGATGATTCCTTACACTCTAGGAAAAAAAGACTGTTATCCGCATACATTAAGTGGCTAATACGAGGTGCAAGACGACATATTTTAATACCCAAACCTGGAAAAGGGAGATTTCAGACATGATGGCCGATGAGAGCACCTGTTGGCACAAGATGAACAAGTATGGCGATAAAGGGTACCCTTGTCTTAATCCCTTATTTGGGGAGAAAGGTTGCAAATTATCTCCATTAAACTGGATTGAGTACGACACTGAGGATACATGGAGCATAATCAATGAGGTGATCCTTGGCGGAAAATTGGCCATAAGTAAAACCGCCTGCAGGAAGGTCCAAGAAACACGATCGTAAGCTTTGCTCATATCCAGCTTTACAGCTGCTAAGCATGTGAGGCCTTTCTTCTTCCTGATACATTCCACAACTTCATGAGCAATGATGATGTTTTCACTGATGTTCCGGCCTGGGATAAAGCCATTCTAGTTTTCATCAATCAAATCATTCATCACCACTTTAAGGTGGTTAGTGAGCATTTTAGTGATAATCTTGTATTTAACATTACAAAGACTAATAGGCCTATAGTCATTCGGATTCACCGGCGATGAGAGCTTTGGGATAAGAGCCAATCTGGTTTGGTTCCACTCTGGTGGAAACGTAAGCAAAGTGAAAACCTCCAGAATAAAATCTTGCACATCCTTTCCAATTATGTCTCTATCAGGCCCTGGAGACTTCCAAGAGGACATTTGCTTAATAGCATACAAGACCTCATTTGCCGTAAAAGGAGCATCCATAGCAGCAGCTTGTTCAACGGTTATAACTTCCTCCACATTACTCAGTAGTCCCTAGAAATGACTAGAGGACTGACCACTCTGAGATGGCAGATCACTAGATTTATAAATGGTGGAAAAGTGATCATGTATCATAGAACGCAGGGAATCGAGATCCTAAATCCAATTGCCCTGGGCATCTTGAAGCTCATTAATCTAAGTGTTGCCTTTACGTCTTATCGCCCACTTGTGAAAGAACTTTGTATTCCAATCTCCAAATTGTTTCTAATTTAACTTTGCCCTCTGGTGCCAATATTCTTGTTGCAAATGCAGGGCTTCCTCCAAAGCTGACCGTCGTTGCTCTAGGTGATTGTTAAGAGTTGCATCATCCTTGTGTGTCTCCCACTGAGTTTGAGTTCGTGCTAGATCCTCAGTAAGTTTGAAAACCAATTGATCTTATTCAATTGGTGTAAGGTCTTATTCAACTTAAAAGAAAGACCCTGTTGTGAATCCTCAAAAGACAAAAAAGGTTGTGACCATGCTTGATTAACTAGATCTTTTGAAGAGGCACAATGTGACCAAAACTTCTCAAACCTGGGACTCTTTTTTCGTAAATTTTATTGCTTAAGTTCTACCAAAATTGGTCCATGGTCCGAGCTCATTATTGGCAAGTTTCTAATGACTGCCTTCTTAAAAGTATCTAACCAAGGTCTGTTCACAAAAGCGTGGTCTAACCTTTCAAAGATCATAGCATGACCTTGACGTTTGTTTGTCCAAGTGTACCAACAGCCAAGATGCTTCAACACTTCAAGATTATTACAGTCCAGTAACTGTCGCATGGCACTAGTATCTTGATGTCTTACTTGTCGGCCTCCATACTTATCTTCTTGATCTAAGACTTGATTAAAATCACCTACTATAATACTGGGATAGCTAAAACCTTGAATTATGCCATGCAACTATTTACCAAAAATCGGTCCTATCATGGAAAGAAGGAGGACCGTATAGAAAGATGGCCAACCATTCAAGGCCTGAAGGTTCACGAATCCTAGCCACTATTACATTAGAATTCTGATAAATGAGACTAAGGTTAACACTATCAGTCCAGAAGAGAGCTAATCCCCCACTGAAACCAACATGATCTATTACAATAGAATGCACAAAAGAAGTAGACTGTTGCCAAGCCAAAAGATGATCCTTACTGTTAGTCTCCATAACAAATAAAATACTAGGTTCTACCTAATACATGTTTAGACAAGACATTATTCATTCCTCGGATGTTCCAACATAGTATATTCATAAAAACAGAGGTGATTGATTTGGTTCAACCACCACAAAACCATTCAGCTGGTTACCTTCTTCAGGAACCTTAGGTGCAACACTGACTGCCTCATCTTGCACAGGGGGCTGCCCTTCCTTCCCAGTTGTCACTTCAAGCATTAACCTTTGAGCTTCAACCTCAGTATAGGCCTCCGTTATCTCAGTCTCAGGCATCACCCACGCAGCTTCCAGCGCCTTGAACAAGTCCTCCACCCTTTTCTCAGCTGCCTTGCTTGTCCTTCTCTTCCCAGGTCTCCTGAGCTCTGCCTGAGAATCCTTAGAGCTTCTTTTCTTGCTGCTGGAAGAGGTATCAGAGGCAGCAGATATATCAGAGAGTTTAAAGTCATGATCAAAATCGGCATCCTCGATTTGCATCCACCATCAAGACTGCAATTTGCTGACAGGAGACATTTCCACAGAAAGCTGAGGAGGCTGAGGAATGTCTGCTTCTGACACAACTCTTCTAGCTCGCATAAAGTAATCCTCTACTTCACTATCAGTTAGCAAGGAATCTTCTTGAACCTAGCATGGGGCTAAAGCTGAAGAGAAGCGTATGCGGGACCCTGTCCTCTTGAAAATACCCCGACCGTGCTTAGAGACAAGGATAACAGAGCTTCGTGAGTGACCAGAGCTTTCAGAAGAATCTGAGCCAGCACCTGCAAAAGCCCTAGTCCTATTGACTACTCTAACAGTTCTTCCAACACTACTACTCTCAGTATCACTAACATCAGAACTAGAAATCAAACCATGAAATACAGTGTTTGGGGAAACATTGTGATTGGTGGGTAATCGGGAACATTAGGAACAACAAAATCATGAATATAAGAAGGATCATCTAACATATCCTCCGCAGGAGGAATATCAGGCATCTCATAAAAGGAAGATGGCATGTAAAAAACAGAATCATCATCGGGAACAGAGGCATCAGAGTTCTCAGAAGAAGCAGACAAATAAGATGGTAGTGAATGGAAACTATCACCTTGATAACTAGCAGTGACTGAAAATGTGCCCATAACAGCAGCAGGAGCAGCCATCCTAGACGAATCAAAGCAAAGTCTGGATTCAGATAGAACTGTCTGGACAGGGGAACAGGGGAGCCATCATCATCAACAAAATCATCTGCATTCATGTCTGCCAAGTACTCCCTATCATCCATGCCATCCTGAACCATCAGAATCGTCATCATCATCTCCATCCCCATCTGACCTATACTAATCCCAAATTATTACGTAGAGTGGACGATTGCATTAATAACTGAAATTTTACTGTTCCCAAAATCATTATAACTAAAGAGTTTGAACCCACTTTGCGCGTATGTAATACTTGATAGATTTTGACCAGAAATCCAATCGTCAGAAGATGAAAAAGTGACTGAATGAGATTAAGAGATTGTGATAATAAAATTAAATTGAAATATTGTGTGGAAAATTGGATAATTACATGAAGGAGAAGTTGTTATAATATAAGTGAAAATAATTTAAATGATATGTGATAATTAAAATGAAGAACTACTAAAACTTCAAAGTTATTCTACAATTATAATATAGGTAGATGATGACTACTACTGCTATAACGATAAAAATAATTTCCTGGCTCTGCAAAAATCCCACACTACCGCCATACTGTTCTGTTGCGCTTTTGTTGTGAAGATGAAAACTGTGCAAGGAAAACCAGTGAGAAGGGTTGCACGGTCACAGATTTTAATCAAAAAAAAAAAAGAGAGAAGAAAATAAATGAAATTCAAAAGGTTACAATTATGTACTGTGCCGGAGTGTCCATATCAATGGAATAGTGTGGTCCTTTCTAGCAATCTCTGCCCGAGAGAGAGAGACAGAGATAGATATGCAAATTCAGAGGGATGATGATATTAATTTTGATGTGTGGGCAAAACCAGAGAGATCTAAGCTCTCCTAATTCAACTTTGGACCACCATCCTCCATAACTACTAACTCTTACGTATTAGTCATATAGTACGATGCTACTGTAATTATCATCAAGGGTTAAAATTATGACTAGCTGTTGCATCTACGTTTGCAAACAAACAATAAACAAATTGAGACAGAACGTTTTGAGATTCATATTAAGTACCCAATCATTTTCTTAGATCCCCCATCTTGATTAGGAATTTAGCACACAACCAACACAAACCTATGCTTATTATTTATTTTTCGAAAGTGTTTTTCCTGTATTCAAATTTAGTTTATTTGGACTAATTAAGTTGGTTTGCTTACATATACTCTAAATTCTGCGAGAAATTTATGTGCACTACTATTGACAAACACTCATTGTATAAATCCTGACACGAACATGATGAGAGAATACAATAAAATTGTACTTGAACTAATTAATTTTATATTATAATCTTTTGGAACAAAAGTTTAATTTTATTCTATATTACAATGAGTTTTCAAACTACAAGTAAGATCACAAACATTTCAGTTGATTCTTAAGATTTTCGATGAGGAAGTACAGTACATGATCTTTCATTGCCGTTTTTCGAGAGAGGTTTAGGGTCTGAAAGTTTAAAAAAGTATTTTGCCTTTTTCGAATTATCAAAGCCTAATGAACTAGGATAGCTCATGAAGTACAAAAGGAAGAGGTTAATCTGTTTTTAAAAAATTAAGATGTTAATTAATAATTGGAAGTCTGTCTTCAAAAAACATATATATATTTTTTAAATGGAGTCTTGATAATTTATTAAAACTCTTAGGATTAAAATAACAGATTTTACAAACATCAGGGGTGGTGAATGTAATTCTTCCTGACCTTACTTTCCGCTGAAATGTCAAAACTGTAAGAAAGAAAAAAGAAAAAAGAAAAAAGAAAAAAGCTTGAGAGCCAAATAGTAAGGAGTAGGAAGGAGTTACATATAATATCCCAATTCTGTGTTGCAGACTGTTCTGCGGAGACCCTAAACCCCCCTCTAATTTCTCCTCTTTCTTATTCACTTGTTGTTAAGCGTTTCATTATATTGTTGTTTACCCCCAAAAACTATTCAACTGTGGCTGTCGGTTGTGCTGAGCAAAAATCTCGCTCACTCTCTTCTTGGACTGCTGTCACGGGGGTTTCAAGGTTGAATCTTTAGGTAATTACTGTTACTGGGTTTTAGATTTATTTCACCTGTCCCTTTTTTTTTTTGCCCTTTCCCGGATGATGTTTGTCGCTTGAATTTTGCTTAATTTGGTGCTGATTTAACTTCAAGTTTCAAGATTTAGGTGAATTTTGATTTTGGCGTTCGTTCGTTGGTTGTTCTTTAAATCATAGACCAAGTTTAACTCTTTGAATTTGCATTTGGTTGTTGATTAGATCTGCGGCACAGCCTTGTTACCCACCTTTTAAAATTTTTATTTTTATTTTTTTGCCGTGATTTAGTAAATAGCGATAGGAAAAAGAGGTGTTGGCTTTGTAGTTTTCAAACTTTCTTTTCATGCCGAGTTCGTTGGCTTTCTGAAAGTTTTTCTTGGGAGAATTTGTCGGTAATGCAACGGCCTTCTTGATATTTGTTTATTGGCATCCTTGAATAAAAAGGGTAGTTTTTATGTGGAATGACTATTACTTATATCAAGCTTATTCCATGTTCTAAATTTCGTCTAGTCTCAATTGTGTTTATATGATTCATAGAAAGTATACACCTCGAAGCTCAAGTATTTCGACAGAAGTTCCATTGCCATATATACTTGGGATGTGCACCTGTTGATCTTGGCAGTGAAATTGCTTACTTTTCCTTCTTCCTCTCCTCAGCCCCCTGGTATTTTCGTAATTAGTTGTAATGTGCCCATTAGTCTGATGCAGCTTTTATTTAACTGTTTTGGTATCGTAATTTTGCTCTTTCTTGGTATATATTTGTTGCTCCTGTCTTACATTGAACATATTCCAGTGAGTAATATATTGTGACTTTCCCTCTTTCTTTTAAGCGATTAACCTCTTTCTACTTGCCTTTTATGCTTGTTGCTGAACCCCTGCCCCCTTTCTTGCGCGTTAGATCTCAATCTCGCATTGTTACTTGTTATCCTTCCTTCAGTTTTCGCTGATAGTAGAATAACTGATTTCGTTTTTTCTTTTCTAGGTGAATATCTGCAAACTGTGTTCGTGATCCATTAGAAGTGGTAAACTTCTGTGACAGCCTACATTTTGCAACTCGGGGTGGGATGCTGGACCTTCATGTGAAGATGGCATCAGTCAGTGTTTAATTAAAATGAAAACCACGCAGGTCGGTGCATTGGGTCTCTTGACACTGTTACTTTTTCTCCCTCTGTAATCTCAGTGAAACTTTTTACCATTCTTTTCCACTTTCCGATGCCTGCTTCAAAGGAGTTTCTTTCTTATGGATTGTTTTTAACAGTTTGTTCCCTGGTAGAGGGGTTATTTCCCCCTTGTTAGAGGGGTACTATGGTTTTGCCCATTCAATATCTCTGTGTCACAAACAAATCTTATTTTTCTAGCTGCAGTAGCTTTTTATAATGTAAGATTCGCTCGAACTACTTGCAGGATTCAGAAAATAACCAAGAACTGCAACCTACAAGCCAGGTTTCCCATGAGTCACAAAGTGACCAACAGAACAATGCGACAGAGGCTCCTATAGCAGATTCAGGTTCAGTTTCGGTATCAAGCAATGATGGAAGGAAAGTTTCACGTGAGGATATTGAACTTGTAAGTTACACCCCTCTGCCTTTCCCTGCAAAGCGCTCATAGCTGATTTATCAAACCTTGAGAGATTAAAGTTTATTGTTTAATGAGAAGTCCCAAATAATTGACCCATTTAAATGGGGGAAAATTCGCAAAAAATAAGGGCCGACTTCTAAGCATTTGACAATTTATTTTGCTTAATTGTTTGTAATTTATTTATATATTTATTAATTTCCAAATGGGATGGATGAGTAAAATCATAAAGATGTGGGATTGTTATTCTCATAAAATTGTGGTTTGCAGCTTCATATTAAAAACTACTGTTTCATAATCCAGTTTGTTCAACACTTAAATAAAATGAAGCAGAAGAATCATCATCTGATCGGTACAATTTCCCTTTGCAGGTCCAGAATTTAATAGAACGCTGTCTGCAGTTGTATATGAATAAAGATGAAGTGGTGAAAACTCTTCTAACTCGTGCAAGAATAGATCCCGGTTTTACTACTTTGGGTAAGTCATGCTAGCCGCTATTGAATGTTATATCCAATTTCTTTCTGTCTGACGTTAGAATTTGGTGGTCGTCCTAAGATCTTCTTTTGGTGTATGGGAGACTGTACCACTTGTTGTTGTTTCTTTTTGTCTATGTTTAGATTTTATAAAGAACCCAATCTGTTTACACGGGTTTTTCATATTGGTTTTGATTTTTCTATAAGTTTCACAGCGACTATTTTAATGCAGTATGGCAGAAGTTGGAAGAAGAAAATGCCGACTTTTTCAGGGCCTATTACATAAGGCTTAAGTTGAAGAAGCAAATAATGCTGTTCAATCACTTGCTTCAGCATCAATGCAATCTCATGAAGTATCCGAAAATGCCATTGGCTCCCATGCAGAATGGGATTCATCCCATGCCAGGTAATTGTATCCTTCATAGCCATCAAAGAGATTCTTTTCTAGTTTTTCTATATAGAGTCGAGTCTTTTACTTTCTCTTAGTTGGAAGTCAAATTCATGATAATTTATCTATGATCATGCATTACTCATTATACTCTTTTCTTTGGCCTTTTCTTTTGCTGATTTTGGATTAGTTTGATTATGAGGTGTGATATTGATTCTAGTTGCTAGTATATATCTGTGAATGTTTAGGAGGGCATCAGCATATTCTGATCTTGGTTATGACATGCAGTTTAATACCAAAAATTTCCTCCCACCAACAAAACCATATTGTTTTATTGACTTGATGAAAAATCACCTCGGAGGTAGTGCATAAAACAACCCCAACACTGCTTTTATTAAGTGGTGCCAATTGCATGTTGGGAAAGGACGGTTACAGTTCGAAATTATGTTGTATATTCCTGTGTTCACTGTGCTTTAGTTTTAACTTTCAGAGACAGTTTAGAGATTGATGAATATCTCTTTAGACCTGTGCTCCAGAGAAATCCTTTTTCCCATTTAGTTTTCGTTGGGTTGAGAGTTGTAAAATCTCTGTCCCTCTATGTGTCAACGGAAGAACGCTAATAGTATCCATGCAATTTTATGATTTAATATTGCTGTCAATGTGTTGAATTCCGCTTGTTCGCAGTGCAGCCAACAACCTACCAATGGGATACCCTGTTGTTCCACAACCCCCAATGGCAGTTACTGGTCAACCTCATATTGATCCCATGGCATGCGGAATGCCTAGCTCCCACGGGGTTAATGGAGTGCCTGCACCAGCAAACTTCCATCCCATGCGGATGAATGCTGTAAACGAGTAAGAATTCATTTAAGTCATCCGCAGTCCCCTCCCAGTGTCCCCTGAGGTTCTATTATCTTTTTGCTACATGCATAAAAAGTGTACTGTTTTGGTTTTCAACTTGTAAAAAATAACCTTTTTTTCTTATTTCCTTTTTTTTTTGGGGGCATAGCTAATTATTTTATTGTGATGTTATATTCATAGACATATTGCGAAGGCACCTCTAATTGTAGTTTATTTTTATTTTTTCCCTCAAAGTATGGTTATTGACAGTGCAACTCCTGATGTACCGCCTGCAATTGCTCCTAATAGTGCCATGTCATCGATGTCGGAGATGCCTGTGAGCCCTACTTCAGTTGCATCCAGTGGCCATTTTCCCTTCACTGCGTCGGAAATCTCTGCTATGGGAGTTGATACTTCAGGGCTTGATTCTGCATTCACTTCTGATGTAGCAAGTTCAGTAGGATTGCAGCTTCCTCCTGATAATGGTAATGGAAATTCAAGGGATCCTCTCCGATCTTGGGCTCAAATCCCCTGGAATTTAAGCCTTTCAGACCTAACGGCTGATTTGTCAAATTTGGGAGGTACGTTTTTCATGAAGATACAAACACTATGCTATAAGCTTGAAAGTGGGTTTTTTAGTGTAGACTGTCATGCTGTTTCCTTTATCAAATCAAGTGCTTCCCCTTTTACTGTTCACGATTTTGTTTTACTGATTAGAAGTGTAACCGTTATGTATGCCAGTTAAAATCCCAAAAGTATCAATGATCTTCCCATAGATGTAATTTGAATTATTTCTTCGAGAAGTTGATAGATATGACTAGACACCGAGGTTTGTTGCAAACTGCTGGTGTAAGATGAAATTATCTTCTATATAACCATGAGGGCTGCTACCTTGTTGGTTAACTTAGCGTTAGGTTTATTTTAAGAAGTGTCAATTACTCGACTGTGTTTTGTGAAAGAAAGACAAATTACCAACCAAACCCTTTAAAGTGAAATAACATAAGGGTAGAATTTTTTTATGTATTGTTCATCCCCTCAGCATTGTTCACTATTTTTCATTGGATTATAAACTGGGGGAATTGTTGAATTTTATTTTTGACTTAGTCCCTTCATCTTTGACTTATCCAGAGTTGGGACCGCTGGGAAACTACCCTGGTTCTCCTTTTCTTCCTTCGGATTCTGATATATTACTCGATTCTCCTGATCAAGAAGACATCGGTAAGCAAGATGATTTGTTTAACTGCCGAATAAAAGTGAGGTGTTTGTGTTCTTTAATACTTGTTTTCCTCTGTAATTTTGGTGTTTACTTTTTTCAGTGGAGGAGTTTTTTGTTGATGTTCAGCCATCCCAATCAGATGAAGAAAGGTCTTAGGGTTAAAAGCATGGTACGTGCCAACTGGTAGAGCTTAGGAACTCAGATTCTGTAATAAGAGGAGAACCCGTGCAGATGGTACTTATAAGGTATTGGAGGCCTAGTTATTTAACTTGTTTTAGAACAGTGTAGGTAGCTTTGAATTCAGGAAGGCAAAAGATGTGAGGTCTCAACTCAGAGCAGTGCCAAAAGGAAAAGAAAGGACAGATATGTTTAGTGAGAAATGACAGCCTTTTACTATATGTGTACTTGTAGGTTACATATTCTTTCTTTATTGGTTTTTTTTTTTTTCTTTGTTGGTGTCAATTATACTTTGATTTGCACTTTTTGCATTGACTTGTTAGAAAGTAGTTCATACATGTAGTATTCTAGCTAATTTAGTTCGTACTACTTCTGATGTAATGACCTTATTATATTCATGATTTAAATTTATAGATGTGCGGTTGCCATGGTCCGTAGCCAATGAGAACAATATTGTATATGTCATCACCTTATTATTGCTAAATGAAACCTAGAAGACCGGAACGATTAATATTGAGGAAGCAAAAGGATAAAATGTTCCAATGGTCCCTTACATTTGGGCTTACTTGAATTCACATCTTTAACATTGACATTTTAATATTGTAATCCCGAGCATTATGTTTTTACATTTTTTTTATCCCATTTCACTGTTTCGATTACTTATCCGTCCAACTTGATGTTGACCGGCAGTTGACATGCTGGGAGTACTTTCGTCTTTTCATATAAACTGAAATTTTATTAAAATTTAAATCATTAAATATAAAAATTCACATTTATTATTGAATTGTTAAAATATTATTTATTAATTTAAATATTATTTTAAATCATTTTCAAAATTACTTTTTTCTTTACCATTTACTTTAATGTTAATTATGTTGCACTTTTACTCCCAGTCTACTGTAATTTTAAAAATTTACCGAATCACAGTAAATAATTCAAAATTGAAATTAAAAAAAAAAAAGCAAAACCAATAAACTCCGAATTATTTCTAAAATTTTACCGTGCTATAGTAATTAATTCAAAATTCAATTTTTTTAAAAAAAAATATGCAAGAAAATGATGGGGTAAAGATCCGAATAAAAAATGGTTTATTTAAATTTTTGGCTTAGTTATTGGTTTGAATTGGAGATATAATTTAAAATGTGGTTTTAGTGAAAATTCAAAAAGTTGTTGGGATAGTATTTCAAATAAAATAATATTATTTTTACACCATCACTTCCACACCTCAATCACCGGCGACCGCCGCCGGGTCGCTGTCGGCCGGTGACCTGCCGGCCGAATCCCGTCGAGATCCAGATGAAAAGTGATCGGAATAGTGAAATGAGACAAAAAAAAATGTGAAAACATAATATTTAGAACTGCAATATTGAAATGTTAATGTTAGAGACGTAAATTCAAGTAAACCTAAATGTAAGGGACCCTTGGACATTTTAGTTTTTTTTTTTTTAATTTTAATGAAAAAGAATTCGCAAATGAGACACTCTATTGTGTAGAGTAAAAGAGAAACAGTATTTCGGAAGCTTAATATTGTGTATACATGAGTGTTTATAGTGATTCTTTTGTGTTTCAACGAATGTTATTTTGGAATCAATTACTAACCTAAATAATTTACACTAGTTATTACAATCATAATTATATTATTATTATTGTTGGGATGTATAGTACCAGTTTGAATATTTGGTTGGCAAGTCAACTAAATTCTTTTTAATATCATCAAAACAGATAGATGATTGCTTCGTATAAATATATTGACAAAATTATAAAGAGAGAAACTTTTTTTGATTTGTTTCTTACAACTATTTTGATATAATATTGTCGAGGGGAAAAATGGTTGATTATTGGGGTTGATTTACTTCATCAAAACTTTACTCCGTTAATCACAGCTGTACTGCAAAATCAAAGTATGTATACACGGAACGTATGTAACATAACAAAATACATACTCTGTATATATGTGAATCATGATGTAAAGTGTACGTGATCTTGCAAAATATTAGGAAGGATATTACTTATAATTAATTATTGCACCCTAATAATTGTGGGCCCAAATTGATAATCTTTTTATCTATATAATCTCCTTTCATAAAAAAATATAATATTATACATAAAAATAGATAAGATAAACTATTCCAACAAGTTGAGTTGGTCCAATCCATTCATTGACGAATCTGAAAAGCGGCACTGCGATTCACAGCACAGTTTCTTATTTTATTTATTATTCCCAAGAAAACTTAAAAATAATTTTTTTTTTTTTTGGGTTAAAAAAGAATAAAATAAAAAGAAAATGATGATTGTAATGTACAGAGCTAGTCTGCTAGCGGCTCCAGAATTGATATAAATTTCTCATCCTGAAATTTTGTTCTTCAATCTTCTTCTACTACTACTACTAGTATTATTATTATTATCATTTATGCACAGCAAAGTTTGTATTACCAAGTGAAAAAATTGGTACTTGAAATCTAAGTAGGTACAACATTTCTACTCAAGCCCCTCAACTTGGTTACAAAAAAATTCGGTTTGAATTACGGTAAGCACAATTTACTTCAAGAGCGCATAATCAATGAACCATCCCAATACTAAAAGCCCCCATTTTGAAGGCTTCTGTTCCAAACTTCCAGCAAATCCACACCTAAATTTGCACCATTTCATTCCACCCTTCTCTACAATGTAGATTCATGTGGGATGATGTTATTAACACACACATTCCCAGCATTCCCTTTTTAATGAGCAACTTGTGGCTAATTGAAACATTGTCCCCTCTTGTTTTTCCCTCCCTTTTTTTTTTTTTTTTTGTTTTTCAGATATTTTTTGAATTTAATTTTTTTTTTCATTTTATCACACACAGCTGTCAAATTCACTTGTTGCAACTTGTTGTTGGATGGGGTAGGGGCTAGCCCCCACATGACCCGCCTCCTCCAAACCCTTTCTCTTCTTCCATGTTGTATAGTAGTAGTTTGTTGTTTGTTTCTGTGGGGTTTTTTCTTTCATTTTTCTTTTGTGTTGGGGTTGCTGCTGGCTGCTGATTTTCTTTGTTTTCTCAGCGTAACAACCCATTACCAGTTAGTTAATCAACATCATCATCATCTGCACAAATCTGTAGTTGTATTCTTTACCAATTTTGTTTTTAAAGAAAAAAAAACCCCAAGCTTACCTTTTGTAATTTCAGTGGCATTTATTGGGTTCTTTTGGTCAAGAAACTTGTTGACTCATCCATTGCATTTGCCCCCATAGTGTTTACTATAAGTTTTTTTTTTTTTTTTTTTACTTTTTACCTTTTGTTGTTGACTTGAGTCTAATTATGGTTACTAAATCCCTTCCATTTTCACTGAGATGCTGCTGATTCCATAGCAATCCCACTCATCCTTTTTCTCTCCTCTTTGTTGGTGGTTTGTTGGGAACAAATCCACACACTTCTTTCTTTTTTGTGTCAGACACCATTCAGGCCAATACAAGATTCTTTTTTTGATCGAGTAAGTTGTCAATTTTCCGACTTAAATTCCTGTATATGGTGATGGTAAAATCAAGGGGGCCAATCATCCCTTCCCCTCTTTTCCTCCTGCTTTTCTACCCTCAGATTGACAAAGAATGCTGTAAAGTTCAGTTCTTTTTTTCCTTCTACATTTGGTGAATGGCGGAAACATCCATTAACAATTTGCAACTTCATGTATTTTTGACGATTTTTTTTTTTTTTTACCACCTAGTTTGTATCTATGTTGCTGTCACTTTCTGATTGCCTAAGAATTAGAAAATTCTCGACCCCAAATGGGCTATTTTGTTTTGGTGCCTTTGCATCTTCTACTGATTACAATTGCTTTTAAAAAAATTAAATAAATTTCACATGTTTTGATATAATTTATTGCTTTTGGGTTCTCCAATATAGGAAAGGGGTTCCTCCTATTTGCCAAGAAGTATGTATTTGTGGGCTCTCCTCTTGTTGTCCAGTCGTGTACAATAGCCACAAACAAGGACTATTATTGTTACCTCTTGTTTTCCAAGTATACTTTGTTGACCAACTTGTTTGTGGATTACTGTTTGGTAATTTGATGCTTATCCTGAGTTAGGTTTGTTTTTACTATTTGCAGACTTCTGCGTTCATCTTCGGTAAAGATTGGAATTTTGTTTACCGTTTAATTAGGCAAACAGTAAAATTGAAGTCTGTCTTTGAAATCAACTGTGAAAAGGAGTGATGAGTAAGGCTGTGAGGAAAAAGAATAACCTATAACAGTATTTCCTGTGGGCCTAACCTAAACCGTGAGAGAGAAACTGTTGTTATCAATATGGCTTTTGCCTATTGGAATTTGTTGGTAGAAGAGCAGAAATGGCAATCTAAAGTTTACTGGTATTTCGTTTATCCTTCCTGAGTTTTTCTTTCTTTGTTTGCTTTCTTTTCCTGTGGTCTCTTTCACAGCTAAATTTTTTTTTTTTTTTGGTCAAGCTCTGTGATATTACCCTTTTGATTGAATTCACCGTCATCTAAAATGGATTAATCTATTTCCCCCTTTATATCTTGTTCCATACTGCTATTTATTGCTTCTTTTTTTGTGTTTTTAATGGTTTTCAGATATTTCTCATGGTCTAACCCAAAGTAGTTGCCTTTTCTTCATCAATTAGGGTCAGCTTTTCTCAAGTGCCTATTTCCTCATTTGTGAAGCCAAAAAAATCACCATTGAATTCGTTCATCAGCATCATCTTCTGCAGCAGTTACTGGTCGTTGGTGTGATATACAATTATTAGTCCTCGTTCTCTGTGAAGATTTAAACTTGGCTATTGTTGGGGGCGTTTTGTCTGTATTCTTCCTCGCATATTAGGTCTCCCACATCTGGGTTTACAGTTCAAATATCAACCAATCGTGCAATCAATCAGCTGTTTCTTATTATACCTCCCCAAAGAATTAACTTGCTTCTTTTTTGAAATACCTTGGGAAATTTGGTATTTTGAAGTAGAATTTTTGAGGGTTTTTTTTTTCTTGAAGAGGAATTTTTTTTTCCGTGCTAGATGACAGCTGAAGAATCAACTAGTTCTGTATGGAGTAAAGAGCAAGATAAGGCATTTGAGAATGCCTTGGCTACTTACCCTGAGGATTGTGCAGATCGGTGGGAGAAAATTGCCGCAGATGTTCCAGGAAAATCCTTGAAAGAGATTCAGCAGCACTATGAGATTTTGATTGATGATGTAAACCGGATCGAGTCGGGTTGTGTACCTGTGCCTAGTTATAGTTCCTCATCTGATGGTGGTCCAAACAGCCAGGCTGCTGATGAAGGAACTGCTGGGAAGAAGAGTGGCAATTCGGGGCAGTTTAGCAGTGAGTCTAATCATGGAGGTGGTGGCAAGGGTTCAAGAGCAGATCAGGAAAGGCGAAAAGGAATTGCTTGGACAGAGGATGAACACAGGTAAATGATGGTTGTCCTTGATCAACTTCCTTTTTACAGATTTCTGTTGTTAAATTTTCTTCGAGGTCCTTTTAAGGTTGGATCAGCTGTGTATGGATAGTGTTAGGTTCTGGTTTTGGTATTGGAAATTTGAAATTTTCATTGGAATGCCATTGAGTGTTGAAAATGTAACCAAAACACAGAACAAGACCACAGTCCAAACAGACCCATACTTTTGAGTGTTAGTTATTAGTTACTGCGATATTTACTTGAACAGTGACTACGTGAAGGTTGTTAATTTAGGAGGAAGATGTTGGCATATATAAGTCACTGTGAGGCTGATAGTTGTCATTTTACAAGGTTCACCATTGTTAGTTCTATACCCTGCCGATTCCTGGACTCCTCAACTTTCCAGACACGGTGATCCCTTTCTTCATGGGGTTGCAGAGGCTATGCATATTTTTTACTCCTAATTTCTGTTGACATTGGTGATAAATCATTCATTGGTAAATTGACGAATTATGTAGATTAGTCTTTGCAAGCTGGGTCAAATATTACAATTGTCGAGTGTGTTACCCTAACCAAGAGAGGTAACTAACTGAAACAACCTGGGTCATGTTCACTTTCAGTCCATAAAGCAGCCTGCTCACTGTTTCTCTGGGTCAAGTATTTATTTTGATAGTATTGTTCGATATCTTGGTACACTGTGTCAAAATCTGGCCTTTATCTACGAGAAGTTTGGCAATACTGTTGCATTAAGAAGCAGTTCACAATTATGTGTTCAAATTTGTAGCTTTGTTCTTCTAGTGCCGTCCTTGGTGAAAAATGCATACAAGCAAAGAATTTTCAGATGTCTGCCTGCAGTTAACCAAGTGCAGGGGAGGGGAGTTTTCTCCTTTTATTTTCACTCTCCTCGATTAGTGAAACCGTTTGCCTCATTTTCTTTTCTGAGTTAGTAGCCCCTCAATTGAACAGTGTTTTATTTATTTATTTTTCATATTCCTTGGTTTCATGATTTTATCAGCTCTTACTAATTGTCAGTAGTTAAGCGAAAACCCACTTTGTATCTTAGTTGTAGAAATCTTGGAATAGAACTGCTCTCTCTCTCTCTCTCTCTCTCTCTCTCTCTCTCTCTCTCTCTCTCTCTCTCTCTCTCTTCCTTTTTCTGTGTGTTGAAGCCAGAGAAATTTGGATGTTTGAGTCTTTGTTTGAAGGTTTTATGTTGCAGATCTATTCAGTGGGACATATGAAGTTGATATGCAGTTAGTTACAGCCATTATATAATATTTGAGCCAAAAAGCATTCTAATCTATTTATCTAAGTGGGTTGAATGAACATCTGTCATAGTAATAATATTTGAGATTTGTTCCTCATTACTTTTAAAGATGCGCAGAGGTTTGGATGCCTGAAACTTTTCTCTTCTGTTGTTGTAATTGTCCACAATTCTGAAATTAGATACGCTCCATTGATTGTCTGCTCTATCATGCTGTGATTTGTTACTTATTTTTTGATATTTGGGGTGCTCCGAAAGAATCGGTTTGGTAAAAGATATGCAAGGTAAATAAAGGATAGCTGAAAACTCTGTCCATTTCTGGTTATCACTCAGTTGGCCTTGTGAATCTGAAATCTTTTGACATGTGTATGATGAATGTTGTTCTTATGCTAAGATTTGTGTGCGTTACCAACTGCAAATTCACCTCACAATTTTGAAATGGACAAACACTTTAATTTCCTTGAATTTTGCATGGACGCAAGGATATTATGAACCAAATGGAGCGTGCAGTTTTTTATTCTGCACTATTGTTTAACAAAATGCTATGCTTGGATGCTTCTCAACTGCAGCCTAAGATATTTTGCTGCCTTGGAGTCAATTTTCACCCCTGAAACACTGGTTCAATTCTGGTATTAACGTTGTTTTTCTTACATTACGTTAACAGGTTGTTCCTCCTTGGTTTGGACAAATACGGGAAAGGTGATTGGCGAAGTATCTCCCGGAACTTTGTTGTTACGCGGACTCCTACGCAAGTGGCTAGTCATGCTCAGAAGTATTTCATTCGTTTGAACTCTATGAATAAAGATAGAAGGCGATCTAGCATTCACGACATCACCAGTGTCAATTCTGGGGATGTTTCTGTGCCCCAGGGTCCAATCACTGGTCAAGCAAACGGATCTGGTTCTACCAGCACCGGAAAGCCCAGTAAACAATCTCCTCAACCAGCTGCTGCAACTCCTGGAGTCGGCATGTATGGTACAACTATTGGGCAGCCGGTAGGAGGACCGCTTGTTTCAGCAGTTGGAACACCAGTGAATCTTCCACCAACGGCACACATGGCGTATGGTGTGCGAGCCCCAGTTCCAGGAACAATGGTTCCGGGAGCGCCAATGAACATGGCTCCTATGGCTTATCCAATGCCTCATACATCTGCACATAGGTGAAGTAGGTGAACTATATTATTAGGTTGCAGAATGTGTAGGCACTTCAGAATGAATTGCCATGTAGTTCATAGACTTGGTTTAGCAAAAGAAGATAATGATTGATTTCATTTTGGAAGAAAGACATGGTGTCTGAATGAGGCAGTTTGTTTTTCTCTTAATAAGGGACACAGGAAGGATAGAAGAACTGGATATGATGCATATGTATAGGAAGCTGTGAATGAAGGGCAGCAAAATTAGAGTTGTAGGTAGACATTCTTTCTTTATAGACAGCTTTAGTTAGTTGTTTCTTTTTTGTTTTATTTTAACCTTGAACCGGGGAGAGCTTGGTTGTGGTTGAATTGCTGTAAAGAACCCTTGGGAATCTCTTCTCCTCATAAACCTAGGTAAGGTTGTTAAAACTTTCTTTTTTCTTTGCAAATACCCCCTAGTAACCCTACTTGGTCAATGTCAACATAGTTGGATTACATGTGGTTTAGTGTCTAGCACCACTAACATGAGTACCGAATGTGTAATTGTCAAGTCGATACGGCTCACGCTAAGGAGTAAAGATAGTGTCCAGAAATAGGAGACATGCTTGTTGAGGAATTTTGTGCAGAAAACTGTGATGCAAATAGAAAAGAAAAGAAAAGAAGCAACAAGTTAAGGAGGAAGAAATGGTTTCAGTAATCTGGAGCAAGGTATATAACGCACGTTTTTGATATGGGGGGAGCGGGGCGGGACCTTATTAGATTATTAGGGGGAACTGGCCCGCAAAAAAGAGAAGAAAACACAAGTCCAGTTCAAAAGCAGGCAATAGTGAATTTACTTTTATCAATCATGTGGAAAAAAAAAGATTAGAGGATTCCAAAATTTCACTTCTGCGTGAAGCTGTCTATGTATGTTGGTTCAAAAAATAAGTAAAGTAGCTTGCGTTTATCATACTGGGAGCATCGATCAATCTATATATCTATCTCTGTCTGCAGATATGTATTTGATCGTCTCCGTCCCCAGAATTGCAGCTTCAAAGAAATTCAATCCCCTCCGGCTTATATAATGATGGGAAAGTCATCATCAGGGGTGATGGAAGTGGAAAAATCATCATGGGTGGTGGAAGTGGATGATGAGGTCCATAAACTGACAGAAATCCTAGAAGCTGAGGAGAAAGATTGGGAAAAGCCTTGCATCTACAAACTTCCGCCCAGCGTGACTGAGCTCAACAAGAACAATGCTTACAAGCCTCGGGTGATTTCTTTCGGGCCTTACCATCATGATGACCCCAAATTGCAGCGTCTGGAGCCCCACAAACATAGAGCCCTCCTTCGTTTTCTCAAAAGCACAGGAAAATCTGCTCGACATTGTGTTGAGATGGTGCGCGCAGTAGCAGAGGATCTGATGGATGCGTACGATAGTCTGGATACAAAATGGAGACAAGACCCGGAAGGATTTGTGAAGATGATGATAAGGGATGGGTGTTTCATGCTGGAAGTACTACTATTGGAATCGTCATTGCCATCATCATCATCAGCAACGCAACCACCAGCACCACCACCACCGGCTAAGGGCGATGTTAGTAGTTACGCGAGGAATGACCCAATCTTTAGCGAGCATGGGAAGCTATTTGTGATGCCTTACATCAAGCGGGACATGCTGATGCTGGAGAATCAGTTGCCCATGCTCATTCTCACTAGGTTGCTTTCTATCAAACGTCCACAACTGGTCCAGGTTTGAGTGTGATCCATGCCGCATTATTATATAATTATTACTATAACTTGTATGTATTTGATCCAATACTAGTATGTAACATGTTCATTTTTTCTGCTTAATTAATACCATGATGAATATTCCATGTATATATAAATTATTGAAACATAATTGGGAGCAGGTGGATGACATGGTGAACCGTCTGATAGTCGGATTCTGCGGCCCAGCCAACGACCACCACCACCATGATGGTAGTCAGCTGGGAAAAAGAAAGCATGTGTTGGATGTATACCGACAAGCATTATTGTCGGTTGAAGGGGATAGGGATACTAGAGTGGTACCAACAACAAGCGTCGGGTTCTGCCCAAAAGGAAAGAGGCGGTGGCCGTGGTCCAAAGATAGTAATAAACTCGACCACAACATCTTGCCATCAGCAACTGAGCTTCACGAAACTGGAATCTCAATACAACAGAGCCACTCAAGAGGCATCATCACGGATATAGATTTCAGGTGCGGAGTTCTGTATCTGCCGCAGATAGTGGTGGACGACCTCACCGAGTTCGTGTTCCTAAACCTAATCGCGTTCGAGAGGTTTCACGTCGGGTTAAAGAACGAGGTGACATCCTATGTTGCGCTCATGGATGACCTGATCGACAATGCCAGTGATGTGAAGCTGCTGAGGTCTCGTAACATTGAGGTGGTGGAGAGTGCGTACGGAAGCGACAAGGCGGTGGCGAAACTGTTCAACTCGCTGGGCAAAGACATCTCGATTGACAACAACAGCAGCCTCATGGATGTCCGAAGGCGAGCCATCCGGTACTCGGAGCGGCCCTGGAATAAATGGCGCGGCAACCTCTTCCAATACTACTTCACCAGTCCCTGGTCCATCATCTCTTTGGTTGCTGCCTCTCTTCTCTTCGGACTCACCATCATCCAGACTCTCTTCACCATCAAACAATACTACCAGCCCCAATCTCCTCCTCCTCTCCCCTCACCATAACTATAATTAAGTCAATCATATATTCCACCCAATAATTAACCACCTCCATCTCTCTCATTTTCATTTCAATATGTCCTTCCTTCTGGTCGGTGACCCTTCATAATGGAAACCAAATCTATATATATGCATCCTGTATAACTTCCTCTTTTTGTCATATCATATGTTTGTCTCTCTCTCTCTCTCTCCCTTCCATACAGTAGGCGCATTACTGGTGCTACATTGCTATCTTACGTGTTTGTATCTTGTCTCCCCCTCTTAGGTGGAGGTGTTAGCTTATTTCTAATGTGTACCCGTGACCACACTTTTTTACCAAATGTAAATTGTTTTGGTCGTATGGATCATTAGATTGTTGTTAATAAAACACAACGTTCTCCTGTTTTATTGGTTTGGATATTCCATTCATTCGTTCCGATATCTCTCTAAATCGCGCTTTGTATATTCTCCACATTCTTTTTGTTCTGTGGTTCCCATATTTGTAAATTGCATTTCAGCAATGCCATATTTTTCATATAGTAACCCAACTTACAATATTTCTATCCACCTTTTTAGCATAATTGTGCATTTAGTTGCTCTTAATATGCCATAGGTAAACAAAGGAGTGAAAGATTGTTGGGAGAATTTCACCTCCCGTAAAAAACCTGTGCAACTACTTTCATATTAGCCAGAGCAATGATTTTGGCACCAAGATGTAATATATCATATAAAAACAAAGTATAAAAAGTTGATAAAACCGCAAACTGTATTTTAACCCCCTCAAATTTTAGTAATACAGTAATATACCCCTTGAGCATGTGTTAAACATTAAATTGACTAAAATGACCATGATACTTTATTTCCTTTGTTTTTTTTTCCCGTTTTCTTGACCATTAAAAATGATAAGTTACCGATGATAAAACAAATCTCATGTGAAAGTAAATCTATAATTAATAATATAAGTTTATTACGCTTGAAAAGAATTAATTAATAACGATTATTTTATTTCAAAAAACATACTATAGTTAATTTCAAAAATTTATTACTTATATTATTAGTATGGGGTATTTTTTAAAATTGATTTATGATATATTTTTAAAAATGTAAGTCATAATAATTTAAAAATTACGGATTGAAGGTTATTTTTTACGCTTTGCACATAATCAATGATGATGTTAGTATGTTAAGAGATAATTTGGTAGGTTAACTATGAGTGAAGGAGGTATATGTTGGTATTGCCAAAAGAGCAATGATAGTGACTAATGAAATGACATTTACACCACACTCACTGTACATGTGTATTTATTAATTAAGGGTAAAAAATAATTTAACGGGAAAGATAAAATTTTGACGGGAGAGTAGCAAAAAAATAAATGGTCATAATTACTTCACACCACTCACTATATTTTGTCACTAATTTTTTTTTCACTATACATATCATCTTCCTTACCAAAATTGGGGAGGTTTATTCTAGATTGAACTAAAACTCGGGGTTAAAATGTAGTTTGCCCTTGAAAAAATTATTGGGGACCCATTTTTTCCTTTTAAAAGAAAAGAAAAAAGAAAAGAAGAAAATGAAAATGAATATGGGCTGGACATCGAATAATACCTATTAAATCAATTTAAATGATCTTTTGGGCCTAAGGTAAAAATATCTGTCCAGAAAGCATTAGGCGAGCCCAAACACCGCAGCTAGGGCTCCCCAATATAATTCCACCTCCAACATTTAAAACCACACTCTCCATTAGGGTTTTAAGAAGCTCTCCGCCTCTTCCTCAAAGAAAACCTCCAGAGCAAAGCGAGAGAGAGAGAGAGAGAGAGAGAGACCAGAAAAACGTAGGCGGCGAAAATGAAGACGATTCTGTCATCGGAGACTATGGACATCCCAGACGGCGTGAAGATCAAAGTTCATGCCAAGCAGATCGAGGTTGAAGGTCCCAGGGGAAAGCTGGTTCGCAATTTCAAGCATTTGAACCTTGATTTCCAGCTTATCACCGATTCTGAGACCGGCAAGAGGAAGCTCCAGGTCGACGCTTGGTTCGGTTCCCGGAAGGCCACCGCCGCCATCCGTACCGCTCTCAGCCACGTCGACAATCTCATCACTGGTGTTACCAAGGGCTACCGTTACAAGATGAGGTTTGTCTACGCCCATTTCCCCATCAACGCTTCCATCACCAACTCCAACCGCTCCATTGAGATCCGTAACTTTCTTGGCGAGAAGAAGGTATACACCCTCCCTGCTTTGTTCTGTTTCCTTAAAACTAAATGATTAGATCATGTATTTTCCGTCGATTGTTATGTTTGATTTGTGATTGGAATGATTTGTACCTGCGAGTTTTGTCTCTGATAATGCTACATTTATTTGTTTATATTTGTTTGATGAATAAAGGTTATATTTTGCATTTATTCTTTTCAATGTGATTACAAGTATGTGTTGCTCATGATGGAAGTTGGTTGTTTTCTGTTAACGTGTTTCTTTGTTTTCTAAATTTATGTTTCACTGGTGTAAAGATGGTTTCCTTTATGCTTATTATTGACCTCTTGTAGATGAATTAAGGACACCTGTTTACAAGTCTCTTTGATTCAGTCAAATTTAATCTGGTCTACATCATTTTGATGCCTTTGTTGCTTAACTTTTTAGCTTTTATTGCGATTGGTTTGCTTCATTTGTCTCGGTCTTGTTTTACTTCAACCGTTAATGGGGATTGGAAAACCTGGTTTACCAAGAAGTGGTAGGCATTAGCTAATGTTTGTGCTTAGTCAAATGACTTGTACTTTTGAAGTCCAAGATTTGTCTTTCTTTTGGGGGAGGACGTATTACTGGCAGATGAAATAGCTGTGCAAAATATTTTACAAGCATGAGCTGTTTGTCATTGTGAATCATTGGGTGTCTTGTTATTTGTATTTGTAAACTATTTGGTTAGGATTTATTTATTCTCTTAGTAGCTTAAGCGAGTTAGAAACAGGTGCGTAATTGCATACTGTGATTGACCATCAGCTCCCTTATTGAAACTGCATCCATGTACAGATAGTATGCAAATGTTACCTTAGTTCTCGAATTGCGTGATTTATTAATATGGTACTTCTGTACTGGCATACGTATGGACTTGTGTATCTATGGAGTTTTCTTTCCCCTTTCTCGGCGCCAGTGCACATGATTGTATATTTCCCACTTTACTTTTTGCTCTTTGAATGTTAATTCTACCTTTTGTCTAATCATACCTGTCTTTTTGGAGTTGTTTCGTTTAGTTTGTAATATTGGATTATATTCAAATTCTTTGTGATCTGCCAGGTAAGGAAGGTTGATATGCTTGACGGAGTGACTGTTGTGCGATCTGAAAAGGTCAAGGATGAACTGGTATTAGATGGGAATGACATTGAGCTTGTCTCCAGATCTGCTGCCCTGATTAACCAGGTGAGCAGTTCTCCATTTAATGTTCAAGCATGCAAGTCGTAAATATAAGCAGTTGTCTAAATTTGCCATCTGTGTTTGCTGAATGCTGTGTTTCTCTTGTGCAGAAATGTCATGTGAAGAACAAAGATATCAGAAAGTTCCTTGATGGTATCTATGTCAGTGAGAAGGGAAGAATAGCAGAGGAGGAATAGAGTATTCAACTCTTGTTGTCCTTATTAAGTTAGACTTGAGACTATCTGGTTTAAAGGGAACTTGAAATTTTGCGCTGTGTTTTCAGATTTTAATGTTGGATTCTGGTGGATAGAGATTTTATTATGTTGTCTTTTGAAAGATGGTATGGTTTTAAGTTTATCTGGAATATTATTTCATTTTCCCTCATGCACGCAATTAGCAATATAGATTTGTTTGACAGCATTCACTGTCCATGCTCTATTTTGGCTCATCTTTCTGCTTCTTTTCTAGTAATCTCGCTTGCAAAACGTCAAGAAATAGATGTAATGGGTCGGCTAGAAATTTAGTCTAATGAAATGCCACTAATCTTCTTAAAAATGTATGTAGCACTACTTTTTCAAAGGTTAAGTCCATTTATGTAACTCTTAAACATTGCAACACAGAAAAACTATTCAATTCCCTCCTCGAACGACTCTTATCAATGTGCTGCTTCTCATTTTTCTGCCTTAAACCTGGTCAGGGCCAAACTTCGTGGGTAAAAAATGTATTTAATCCAAGGCAAATCTTATGGAGATATATGGAAATGGGACGGGCCAAAGAGGCTAAGAACTTGTCTATGGCTTTTGGCAAAGCAGCGCCTTTTGACTAACGTCGAAAGGAGAAGAAGGCATTTGACAGAGGAAGCACTGTGTCCAGCATGTGGGGAGGAGGATGAGGAAGCTTTGCACGAGGTCAGAGATTGTCCGGCGGCGAAGGAGGTCTGGATGGAACTCTTACCCACCTCCCACCAAGGAAGGTTTTTTGAAGGGGACTTACACAGTTGGCTTAGTAGTAAATAGTAATCTCCGATGTGGGGTAAAAACTACTTAAGAATGGCCTATACTATTTGGGATACTAATATGGAAGTTATGGAATTGGCGCAATGTTCTTGTGTTCCAACAGGAAGCCTTCAATATCCATAGGAAAATTGGTGAAATAGTTAACAAATTCAAAGGCATAAGAGAAACAAATCACAAAAGGCGAATGAGGGTACCTTTGGTGGAGAGGGAGCTATGTATGTTGTACTGGAAACCACCTCCTCCTGGGAAACACAAAATCAATTCTGATGGAGCATTGGACTGGGCTACAGGCTTGGCTACGGCGGGCGGAGTCATAAGGGATGCCAATGGTGTGTGGTGCTCTGGCTTTGTAATGAATATAGGGTACTGCTCCGTTACTGGGCCTATTCCAAGACCTCAACTTGGCGTGGAATATGGGATACAGAGATGTGGAAGCCGAAGTGGATAGTCAAGCCGTGGTCCGGTTGATAGCGGATGCTAATAGGTCATCGTGCCTGCACGAAGGCCTAGTTAGAGCAATTAGGGAGCTCTTGATTAGAAGTTGGACTATTAGTTTATCTCATAGGGATTGTAATTTTGTTGCTTTAGCAACACTGGTGACCGAGAATCTAGGTTTTACACGACTGGATTTGCCGCCGTCAGGAGTCTGTCCTTGACTATTTCATGATGCGGTGGGGGTAAGTTACCCACATAGAACTGTTGTAGCGGCTGAGTAGCCTTAGGGCATCTCCAACGCGTCCTCCAAACTGGGCGGACGCGTTGGTTTTAGCGGAGCGGGATCTTCAACGCAGCCCGCTCCGCTCTGGGCCCCTCCGCCATGAGCCCCTCTACTCCTTCAAATATGAAGGGCTCTGTTCACCCGCTATATTGCGGGTGAACCTTTTTTATTTTTTTTTTTGCTTTTTTTAAAACAGAAATTTGGGCCATTTCTTTGGACTTTCTTTGGGCCATTTGTTTTTTTTGCTTTTTTTATGTTGGATTGTAACTACTAACCTTTTTAATACTAGTTTAGATCTTAATTAATTTAATTATTATAATTTAATATATATCTATTTCATTCTTAATTATTATTTAAGTTGTAAAACTCAAAATTAATAATCATAATTATCATTTTAATGAGTGAACTTAAGTCTTAATAGTAAATATATGTATGTGTATTTTAACATGGATTAAGTAACTATTGTTGATTTATTATAAAATCATAAGACACATATTATTATTAATAAAATCACATAAAAAGAAACTACAAACAATCAAAACAAATACATTATTTTGATTATTTATAAACTTAAATTATACAATAAGTACAAATAAAGTACATCATCTAAACTCACAAAACCAAACACCAAAAACACAATAACGATAAATCCTATTGTCATCCTAGATTTCATTATAATATTGGCCGTTGGATTGATTTTTATATTATCTTAGATTTCATTTTAGAACGTGTAGATGTATTATAACATAGATTAAAAATACATAATCTATATGACATAAAGGAAACACTACAAACAATCAAAACAAACACGTTGTTTTGATGACAAACTTAAAATTACATAATAGAAATTAAAAGAAATACATCATTGAAACTCACAAATAAACACACTACGACAATAAAAACAACAATTAGGAAAAAGCATTAATACAAACGACAAGTAGACGGTTTCACAAATTAATTATCATCACTACCATAATAATCATTCAAATTGCCTCCACTATGTCCGATATCATTGAGAAATCCAAATTGTCCATCGTTTGATGGTGTGCCAAACTGTCCCCTGTTAGACGATGATTGTCCTTGAGATTGTTGTTCTTGTAAATCCCTCGCTTGTATAATTTCGAGCTGCTTTCTTTCCCAATATCGACGAACCGATACATTCGGAATAGAGTTCAAGTCCATCATCAGCACTTTGTCCTCTTGTTGTTTTTTTTTGTACTCCAAATTTTGTTTTTGTATTTCAAGTTGCTGGTTTTGGCGTTCATCTTGTGCCTTCATAAAATCAAGCATAGCATCAGTTTTTGCATTGAAAGTACTAAACATCTTACTCAAATGGTCTTCTGTTTTCTTCTTCAGTTTGGCTTTCTTCACTCCCATTGGGCGTCGAGACGATGGTCCACTTCCGCTACCACTATCGTAGCTTTGTTCAGGATTAAGAGATGACAACATTGGAGACTCGGGTGTTGGTTGTTCAGGATTAGGATTTTCGAATTCCGACTAGTCGTTGATTGTAGTACACTCTCGAGAACCATATTTTGGTTGGGGGACATTAAATTTGCCAAAATTTCGTAGCAAATCAAACACATGGCCAAACTTGAACCCAGTTTTAAATTTTGTTGTATGAATAAATAGCTCTTCGGCTTGTTTCATCTACAAAAGAAAAAAAAAAGACTAACATACATAAGAAAAAAACATAATACTAACATAAATTGAAAACTAGAAAAAAATAAAAATTATAAACTCACCCGATCTCCGAGTTGTGTCCCACTAGGGTTGCGATTCTCGATCTGTTGTAAACATCCATTAAACTTCTTACAAATACCTACAATTATACGAATGCGAGATTCGCATGATCTAAAACTTCTTTCTTCCATGTCAATCTTCTTGTTCTCGTTAAATGCGGAACTTACTCTCTCCCAGAATGTTTGTGCTTTCTGCTTGTTTGAGTCAATTGGATTTTCTGAAATATGGATGTAACATTTCACAAGAAGTTCATCTTCTGCCCTAGTATAATTAACCCCCTTTTTGGAAGCCATTTTTGGTTGTTGAGAGTGTTTGAAGGTATAGATTAGAAGGAGAAGTGGATGCAAATTGGAATGAAGTGCTCAGATAGGATTCTTTTTATAGGAAAAAGTGTGTATATTGACCATGTTAGAAAACAAATGCATCGGATTCCTTTTCTTGGGTGAAAACATTGGATTCCTTATGCGACCGACAATAAAATGTGTTTGATCGAATATCTAACGTCAATTCAAAATAAATGAATCAGATTATTTCATTTATTGGAACCAACTATCAAGCCAACTTAGACCATCATTATTCATTATTCAATATTCATCAACTTGGACCATCATTATTCATTATTCAACATTTATCAACTTGGACCATCATTACTCATTATTCATATTGGTGAACATGGATCATTATTTATCAACTTGGACCATTTAATAAAAAAGAAGCATAGGACCAATAGCTACCGTCAATTAAAAGAAAACATTGTTCCTTATTGTACCGACAATAAAATGTGATAGATTGAATAGTCACCATCAAGTCGGAAGAGGATTCAGTATTTGACAACACAGTAATCATCAACTTGGACCATTGTACTGAAAAGGCATAGGATTCCATATAACGACAATTCTCCACCGTCAATTCAAAATAAATGAACCAGATTCTCCTTATTGTACTGACAATACATGTGATGACTTTTGGGACCGACAATAAAATGTGCTTTGTACTAAACTTGGACCATGAAGCCAAAAAGAAGCATAGGATTCTTTTTATTTGAAAAGAAATCAATAAATTAGAATTATTAGTCATGACGTTAAGTCAATACTTTGGAATCAATTCCTCCATTTGTCTATATAAACAAAGAACCAACATGTCATACAATGTAAGTATCTTATATTCATATTTTCTATTCCCGTAGTTTCCCAATAAGCATTGAAATGAGTTATCTTCCACCATTTGATCATGATTCGGATGAGGAGAATTGATTCAAATTTCCTCCATTTGAAAATGATTTCCATCTACCAATTGCTCATTTCATAAACATTTCTAATGTTATGATGTCACACGCTATCTCTGCTGAAAGTAGCCAACCTACTGGGGGTTCGGTCCCGTGCCATAGAGTCGTCCATCGTGATCGAGAAGGTGCGGATCGGACTTTGTACCAAAGATTACTTCAAGAACAATCCCACCTACGATGCGGACACTTTTCGTCGAAGGTTTCGTTTGTCTCTCACTCTTTACGAGCGTATTGCTAATGCAGTAAAAAGTCATGATAGGTATTTCAAAAAGCTCAATGATGCTCTTGGTAGACCTGGACTCTCAACAAATCAAAAGATAACGTCAGCATTGCGCCAATTGGCGTATGGTGTCCCGGCGGATCAGACTGATGAATATCTTCAAATTGCCGAGTCAACAGCAAATGAATGCTTAAAAAAATTTTGTCGGGCAATCGTAGAAATTTTGGCTCTCGATATCGAGGGCACCAAATGCTGCTTGATGTCGCTAGGTCAGCTTCATATTGGTGAACAACGTGGTTTTCCAAGTATGTTGGGTAGCTTGGACTGTATGCACTGGCAATGGGATAAATGTCCTAGCGGATGGGCTGGCCAATATAGTGGACGTTCTGGACATCCAACTATTATTTTGGAAGTCAGCGGATTATGATCTTTGGATATGGCACGCGTATTTCGGTATGCAGTACTAACAATGACATTAATGTGTTAGAAGCATCTCATCTAATGTCTAATCTTGCGAAGGTATTGCTCCTCCGGCTAATTACACTATTCGAGGCAAACAAGATGATATGGGTTATTATTTAGTGATGGTATATACCCCAAATGGGCTACTATAGTACAGTCATTTGCAGCACCAACTAATCCCATGCAACAATATTTTAAAACAAGACAAGAGGCATGTAGAAAAGATGTTGAACGTGCATTCGGAGTTCTGCAAAGGAGATTCGCTAGTATCGCAGGTCCCGTTCGTTTATGGCAAAAAGAAGTGCTTCATGATATAATGACAACATGCATTATTTTGCACAACATGATTATCGAAGATGAACGTGATCTCAGTGCACCAATTAGAGATAATGTGGAATTTCCTACTTCAAATGTTACGCTAATGCCTCGTGAGGGGGACCGCTTTGAACAGTTTCTGGCACGGCACAGAAAAATCAGAAACAGGAAGGCACATTTTGAACTTCGCGATGCTTTGGTTGAGCATATGTGGGAACAATATTCTCATAGTAATAATTAGTGTTGTTATGTTTTTTTTTCTTCACAAAATATGCATTTGTATTTTCATGTGTGTGTTGTTGTTAAATTAATGTTTGCAATATTTTCGACTTGTATTTGTTATGTATTTTTAATGATTTAAATGTAATATTAGCAATGGTGTTTTATTATTATCATTGAGCCAAATATTTTTGTTATTTTACTATTTGTAATTTTATTTATTTAGCATAATATATGGTGAAAAATTTACTATTAATTAATTATATAAAAATTATGTAATTTAAATTTAATAATTAATATTACTAATTATTATTTAAATTAACAATCATATGCGTAAATTATAAAATTTCTTAAATGTAATTTATTTTAGTAATAGAATAGAATAAAATACAAATAATAAAATTTAGTTTTACAAAAAAAAAATAAATAATAGAATATACTGAGAATATTCCTTTTAGAGGGATTTTATAGAAGGAATGGGTTGGAGATGCTGACACTGTTTAAACTGTAAAAGTAGTGGGATTTCACTGTTTCAACTCTAAATATAGAGTTTAGAGGAGCTTTGGATTGGAGATGCCCTTATGTACCTCCCCATTATTTATCAAAAAAAAAAAAAACTAAATAAATATATGATTTTTTTTAAACTCCGGAAACCCAACTAATAGTCCATATTGCATAAACAGTAAATTGTACTTAAACAATACTCCCTCCGTCCTATAATTATTGTCCAATTTGAAGATTCATTTCTAATTCAAATTGTACTAAAAGTAACATCTCAAACTGAACAATAATTTTAAGACAGAGGGAGTACAATTCATAAATTGTATTATGTGAACTCTTCTGCTGAGATAGAAAGAATATTACTTTAAAAGAATTTGTTTTTCCTTTTCAATTAAATGTCACGTCAAGTGAATTGCAAAAGTGAGAATGTCATGAGTGAATTGTTAGAAACTTCATCTAATAACAAGAGATGTGAATTGTTACACTTTCAACTGTTCCTCCAAACCTAATTTTTGCAACTTGCAAGAACGCATATATATATATATATATGTATATTGCCATTTATTTATTTACTAGCAGTAGTCAATATTTATGCAGCAATTGAAAAAGGATAGTTAATTAGAAAAGTACAACCCACATGGTGACCCGGACATGCAATTTTTGAAACTTCAAAAGATAACCAAGATTCACTAACCACAACCATATAGTTTTATCACATTCATTCTGAGCAAACATGAACCGTATCAATCAATTGCACCACAAAGGTCGCCAGCTAAACAAGCATAGGAATAATACTAGTAGTGGACTAAAGCTTCCATTATACGAAGTCCGGATTTCAAAGCTCAACAACAAAGCAACTCCATCATCCAGAAGAACGTTTCAGATAGAAGGCAAATAGCAAATGCATTAGACTAATCCAAGCAGTCCAGCCAGATGCTGGACATCTTCTAGTTGACAGCTAAGACAATTCTACAACATTTTACTTTTATAGCAATCCTAATATAACACAAGGTAATAACGATGTCAATTTAGGGTGATCGAAAAGTAAGTTTAAGCTAAACCCGACCATCCCACAAACACTCGGCTTCAGCCTTGCCAGATTTCAAGAGATCCTCCACATCCTCGGGAGGGTTCAAACCTAAGGATTTCGCACGTTCCCAACGCGCAAGCCTGGTCATCCCAATGCAAGGTCCATACATCATGTTCATGTCAAATTGCCTAAGCACTTCCTCTTTGGAATCATGATCATCTGTAGGCAACATAAACACTCATATATCATCAACTATTTGTTTCCCAAATCAACTGGGAAAAACTGGTAAAAAGAAGTTAACAAACTCCATAAAAGCTTATGGTGCACCTACAAAATTAAAAGAAACAACAGGTGGCGGTGATGAAGGACAAAAGCCATTACCTTTTAGATCAGGGGAACCGTGTGCAATAAGAGCAGGAGGTTGGGTAATATCAGATCCATAAGTGGCCGTGTTCTTCGGGGTCAAGGACGATTTCTTAGTTGAGGAAACAGAAGATTTAGGATTTGACTTTGTAACTCCACCAGAATTCTTCCTTTGCTTATAGTAGCCTTTCATGTCTGATTTTGACGACATCCTCACAATGCTTCCTAAAGGCAAAATTTAGAGTTTCACAACCTTAGGTCTCCAGTCATGAACAAGATAATCAAGTGTGCCACTAACGATAGATTGTTTTTCTCTTTCTCTACTTTTTCACCACAATACTCTTCTTGACAGTCTAGAATACCAAAAATGGTCATTGAATTTACAAACAAAAACAGTTCTTTCAAGTTGCAACAGACACAATCAAGTTCAAACCATAACAAAAACTTTTCAAAGGAATTCAACCAACTAAATAACTAATTCTGCATTAATTCACCAATGGAGACCATCCAAAATTGACGGAAACATGAAAGGAAATCAACAGCGAAGCCCAACATCATTGAGTAATCAACAAAATTTGTGATTGCAGTACAAAATAAAGGACTTTAGAGAAAAGGCATTGTTTACACATGAGCCGGAAGTTCCCAAATGGGCGTTCCTCCTAGGTATCAACGTCACTCAAACGAAGAAGAAAGCACAAATCTTTACACCTAATCTTTTATAACCAAGATCTTAGACATTATTTGAAAATTCCGGTCATCCGCTCCCAAGAAAACACTTCATTGATTAATTCAACCACACACACAAAGGCCTAAATCACAACAATGAACGATTTTGAACTTTCCAAACTCGCAACCACAAAAGGGGAAAAAAAAAAAAAAAAAAAAGAAAATGAAGGAAAGTCCAAATACCAAGAATCCACAATATCCCTTTAACAACAAAACAAAAACAAAAACAAAAAAAAGCTCAAGATTTTGGATGATTAACATCTGGGTTTTACCGGATTCCCCCTCTTTTTCCCCGTAATCGAGCACGATGCCCAGAAACGAATAATTAACAACAAAGGAACAATCTTCACAAAAGGAAAAACATAAATTGCTGGGAGAAATGAACAAGAAAGAGTTTACCTTCAGGCGGAAGTGAGTGAAGTCAATTCGAGAGAGAAATTCAACCGGAAAATTGAAATTGGTATTGGTGGAGAAATGGAGATTGGGGTTTCTATTATTTTGAAATTTGAATTCTCGGGTTGAGTTATATGGACCGATTAGGAGGTAATGGATTATTTAATCTACAAGGCTTTGTTTTGGGTTGGTTTAAATTTAAGCCCCGCAGATCCACAGAAGAAGGGTCCATTGAAAATACAGATTTAGCCCTTTATTGAAGGCCACTTAAACTCAAAGAAAATGTCGGGTTGTTTCTCAAACTCAAATATCAGAAATAAAATTAAAAAAAAAAAATAGTCGTCATCATCATATATCATACAGCGTCATGTGCTAATTTAATTGATGCTAATTTAGTAATGCACATATACCCTGTGAGTGAGAGAAGGGTCAAAGTCCAAATTAGACAATAAGAATGGCGTTATGCTGTTATTCAAATGTAACTCTCCTTCTCTTAAAAAATGAAAAAATTAAATGTAATTTGTTGTGTATTTGAAAGCTAGCCAAAAATGAGCATTGACATTTGTAAGCATACAATTGATGTGGTGTACTTAATGTAACTGGATTCTCATAATACAAATTTCAGGCAATATCAATTAATTTTTGTGTAAAGGATTACGAATCCACACACATTAATGAGTACGTAATCAAAATAATATTACCATAATCTATAAGGACCAGTTAGGAAACAAAAAGTCAACAAAAATGAAGCGTAATCTCTTACTAGAATGCACAACAGTTACAATATAAGGAGGAGAGGAGCGTTAAGAGGACTTACTGAGTTTGCCATTATAAATAGTTGTAACTGCGCACCACAAAAATACATCAGTTTTAGAGTACTAAACTACTACTACTCCTCCTACTTAGTGCTTGATGATGATGGCTACAACTCAGTCGTTGTTTTGGTGTTGGTTTGTCCTTTTTTCACTTTGTGTTTCTATTTTCAGGGGATCTTCTTTTACCATTGCTAATGAAGACCGAAAGGTAATTAACGCCTACCTCCTATTCTTCTAATTCATGCGACGTTCACATGTTTTTGCCCCTAAATACCTGGATTTTCTATGCTCTTAATTTGGTTTGGCCTCCAAATTATTTTTATTTTTCATTCACCACATTTTATTCACAAATTAATTTGTAGTGGATTAAGTGGATCGTATAACTAACCAAAAATATTGGTGCAATAATAATTCCTAAAACAAAATTGACCCTCCGCCTATATGAGACATGATTTTAGACGAATTGAACGATCTAATTTCAACCAGAAAAATAAGTTTATAACTTCTAAATTGGCATAATTAATTTTTTTTACAATGTTTGTAGTAATGAATGAAATGATGACAGGAGTATATAGTGTATATGGGATCCCTTCCTTCCAATCCGAATTATTCACCCAAGTCGCACCACTTGATGATGCTTCGACAGGTGGTCAGCTCCAGGTATATCTATACACGTATTCCATTTAGTTTAGTAATTGAAACTGGACATACCATGCTGCACATACACCTTATGTTATAAACACCTTCTTTTATACACTTTATGTTATATACACCATATCTTATGTGCACACACCATAAATGTGATTTGAACTTATAATAACATACATATTTTGTGTTTAATATGAAGCTATACGGGACAATCACTGATCAGAAGCTACACAAGGAGTTTTAATGGATTTGCTGCTCATCTCACAGATAATGAAGCAACAAAATTATCCCGTCAGTATTCATTATCTATTATTACTCTTATAAAAATAATCATTCAAATGTGATGAGATGAGACGAGATGAAGGAGAGTTTTTGAAATAAATTAATTACCTTGTTGTGGTGAATCAAATGCACACACACACATATCCACTTTTCTCATTGAGTGATTAATCAAGCAGGTGACGAGAGCGTGGTGACAGTCTTTCCAAGTGAAACTTTGCAACTTCACACCACCGAGTCATGGGATTTCATGGGGTTCCCGCAAAATGTAGAGCGCAACCTAACTGGGGAAGGGGACGTCATCCTCGGGGTGTTGGACACCGGGATTTGGCCAGAGTCCCCCAGTTTTGATGATCATGGCTTTGGGCCTGTCCCTGAGAAATGGAAGGGTGAATGTCAAGGTGGCCCTGATTTCAAATGTAACAAGTGAGCTTTTACATCACATGATTTAATTAATCATCTCATCGGTTTATGTATGTATATAGTCACGGCTTGATTAACACACATGCACTCATACACTATTGATAGGAAGATCATTGGAGCCCGGTTCTACGATAATGGAGATGCAAAGCCATCTTGTAGAGATACGATAGGTCATGGATCACACACTGCCTCCATAGCAGCTGGAAGACCCGTAAACAATGCAAGCTTTTACGGGATCGCGGGAGGCTTAGCCAGGGGAGGGGCACCTTCAGCCAGAATCGCGGTGTACCAAGTGTGCTCTAGTCTAGGATGTACTGAGGCTGGGATATTGGGTGCATTTGACGATGCTGCTGCCGACGGGGTGGATATCCTATCTGTGTCTCTGGGAAGACCGTATCCTGTAAGCATTTCGAAAGATGCAGTTGCGATTGGAGCTTTTCACGCGACGGAAAAAGGTATACTAGTGGTTCAGTCTGCTGGAAATAGTGGCCCTGCAGCTCGCATTACCGCCAGTATCGCCCCTTGGTTGTTTAGTGTGGCTGCCAGTACCAGCGGTCGCAAGATTATGACCAAAGTTGTACTCGGCAATTCCAAAGTTCTCGAGGTAGCTGGCTCCCCGTCTTTTTCAATTCATCTTATATCTTCATTATACATCTTTATTAATTCCCCATGCATTCATATACTACTAATACTACGTAGTTATGGTATTAATTATGGTATATGTGCTTGCAGGGTTATGCCGTCAATTCGTTTAAGTTGAAAGGTTCTCAATTTCCAGTTGTATATGCTGCTGAGACCACATCTCACTGTGTTCCTGATTTAGCCAAGTAATATTCATTATATATTAATTAAGTTGCTACCTTATATAAATATCAATGATACGATCAGTGACTGACAAATGGTTTTTCTTTATGTGGGGGTTAATATTAAATTAAATATTAATTAAGGTTATGCGGGAGTGATTGTTTAGATAAGGAGAAGATAAAGGGGAAGATTCTAATGTGTATATCACCAGATAATCTGGTTGAAGCTTATGTAGCTGGAGTCATTGGAGTTGTTGCTATGAAATCTCCAACTGCGCCTAATATTTCTAGCATTGTTCCCTTTGCTGTTTCCTTCCTCCCTTCTCACCAGTTCCATTTGGCGGCCAATTATTACAACTCTTTCAAGTAAGCAATTAACCTCTACTCCTCAATTTTTTTCTTTTTTCTGCTTTTTAAGAAAACTTTATGTCACATATATGGCATGGAACAAAAACAAATCTCCTTTTTTGTGTATCTTAATTCCAATTTCAATCAACAGGAAACCTACAATGACTATATTGACCAGTAATGCTGAAAAAAATGGGGATGCTCCTACAGTGGCTGAATTTTCTTCACGAGGGCCTAATGCCATAATTCCAGACATTTTGAAGGTACACTAACTAAATTTGTATAAACATAACTCCTTATATCTAAAAGTTCTTAAAAAGTATTATGTCCAATTTATTTCTTTTTTATAGCCAGATATAATTGCATCTGGAGCAGAAATTTTAGCAGCATTTTCGCCAAAAAGTCCTCCTTCAGATTTCAGTTTCGACAAAAGATCTGTATCCTACAATATATTATCTGGAACCTCTATGTCTTGCCCTCATGTCACTGGTGCAGCTGCTTACGTCAAATCATTGCATCCTGATTGGTCTGCTTCTGCAATTAAATCTGCTTTGATGACCACCGGTAACAATTTTATTAGAAACATTAATTCTTACCCCCTAGCTCCTCATATATTAACCAAAAAAAATAAACCAACATGCAATGTTAATCAGAGTGCTTCCATATGTATATATATATATATATATATGATAATTTATTTTCTTGATTGCCATAAATTGATCTAAATTAATCGATCTAATGATGTATAGCTACTGTGGGACTCATGAATACTTCCAAATCAAAGCATGGAGATAATGAGTTTGGTTATGGTGCTGGGCATCTTGATCCAGTCAAGGCTGCAAATCCAGGGATTGTGTATCAAACAACCCACCAAGACTACATCAACTTGTTGTGCAGCATGAACATCACTTCATCCATAGCAACCAAGATGTCTGGACTTGACATTGATTGTGATGATAAGAAAGTCCAACCATTGAATGCAAAAGATTTGAATTACCCCTCTATGGCTGCTCAGGTCGAAGAATTACCTAACTTACATAATAATGGTGTAGAATTCAAGGTTCAGTTCACTAGAAAGGTCACAAATGTGGGTTTACCAAACTCGACGTATAAGGCCAAAACTGCATGCTATCATTCTCCATGCAAAGTTACCGTCGTGCCTGACCAACTCTCCTTCAAGGCACTAAATGAAGAGAAGTCATTTGTGGTTACAGTTGTTGGGAAAAAATTGAAAGACATGATATCCGCTTCTCTAGAATGGGACGATAAAACTCATATTGCTAGAAGTCCAATAGTTATATATACTTAAACGAGGATGTTGTAATATTAGACATTAATTATTTATCCATAGCCATTATCTATTACTAATTTGTCATATGAAATTTTGAGATTAATGGAATTCATGATTGGTTTAAGAGACGTTTTTGAATTATATATATCAATTTTCTGAATCTAATTATTTATAATTTATCAACAATCAATAAACCGTTTAACATTCATAGTTTTAATCATAATCTTAAATTTAACTTTCAGATAAGGCGGCGCAACTTAATACTGCCATTATCCCATATATGCAACACCATTAGTCTAGCTATATATCATCAAGCGAGTTGAAAATTAGACAATAAAAGTGAAAATAAATAGAGAAGGTGTTCGTGTGCGTACATCCAATTGCATAAATACATGAACTATCCAATTTCTCGTTTAATAAGACCAAAGGATCTGGATTATCCATCAATGGTAGCTCTTGGTTGACCCAAAAGGAGGAAGTCTTGGATTCGAGATTAAATTTAAAGTACCGTTACGAATGTTGGATCTCTTATGGTTCAACTTATAAAAGCCAAAAATTAGCACTAGTGAGGATGATGGTGTAATGTCCTAAGCTAAGCTTCAATGTGGTGCCTCAACTTCTCATACTGCTAGTAGTACATTTGTTATTTATAAATCAATTCATTGATTGTTCACATCAATCATCATACTATATTATAATTGCTGAATAATTTTTAGAGTTTGGTAGTCCTTCCCACTCATTTATTTAGTTAATTATTTTTGCATGCAAGTTATCAAATTTATAACCCTTCATTTAATTTAGTCAAAAGTATTTTTGAATAAACATTTTCGCCTATTTATTTCATTATTATTTCACTTATTACTCATTATCTTAATGATAATAAATTACTCACTTATATCTAATTTTATAATAATAAATGGTCCTATATTATCAAACAATACAATGACATTTGATCTCCCTTCTATTAATTTTATTTTTAATATTATAAAGAAATTATTTCTCATTATTAGGTGAATTTGATCGGTCTAAAAATGATTTTGATGATTCTAACCATTAATTTTTATTTTTAACAATGCAAAAATAATTTCCTATTATTAGGTAAATTTGATTGCCTTTAAACGGTTTCGGTGATTCTAATCCCTTTAAATTCCTAATGCATTTTCTTCTTCTCTTTTTCTTCTTTTTTTTTTTTTTAATATAATAGGTTTCTCAATGGTAGTTTAGATTTTTCCATAACTCAAAAGAATATTAAAAGTCGCGTAACGTAAATTTATATAATTCAAAAGAGTGTAAGATTTAGTCACTTTTTTTTCTTTAAAATGTTTACTTTTACCTCTCAATCTCGAGTTTATAAGAGGTTATCATCTTTCGTTACTCATCTCCCTCTTTTTCTTTGCAAATTTAGGTTTTGTTTTTGAATTTTTTTTTCTTCTTTTTTAAAGTTGTTCTCTCTCTCTTTTTTTTTTTGGCGATACAAAAACTTCATTTTATTTTATTTCTCACTGGTCTTGCCCCTTTTTTTCACAATCAGAATACTATATATCACTTTTGTTGAAATAAGAAATGACACGTTTTAGTGATATCATTTTGTTCTCACAATGTAAAACTATAAACTTTTTACTACTAATAAATTTTTTTTACATATTTTGTAGATAATATATGAGACGTAATGTACTTTACCATTTTAATTATTAAAATAAATTTTTTAATATAATTTACACTAAGTCATTATACATAGCGTACGCACGTAGCACGTCTAATCCATCTAGTTTATATAAATGATGATATATGTATACGACGTACTCTATATATTTGGTTTTGGTTAAATGTCTTTTGTTCATCATTATTTTTTATAGTACCACATGAGTAAAAACTTGTTTGGATTTAGATTTGGATTGACAAACACACACACATAGAATGGGAAAAGAGAGATAAGAATCATGTAAATATAGTAACAATAAAGGTTTACAATGATGGGTAAGGATAAATGTGAGGAGCATAATATTGGATTGTTTGGTCTGGCCAAATTATCATCAATCAGGGATTTTTATTATTTTCATAAGCATTCGAAAATCTAATAATGGAATTTTTCCTCTCATTTAAAAGTTTGTTGTATTGAATTATTTGTAAAGTTATCAGTATTAATGTAAAAATCATAAAATATCACTTCTTTTTTTTTTTTTTTGCGAAAAATGTTAGCATAATTTTTTTTTTTTAATTTTCTAAGCAAAGTCAAATAGAAAGTTGATGAAGGCCAAAATAATTTTTAAAAATTAATTTCACTATTTTTTATGATTTTTTAATTAATAAATTTAATTTTTGCCATTACAAATTTACTTTCAGATGAAAATAAAAATTATTGCATGCATTCACGCTACTAATCAAATTGAACTATTGAATTCTCTAATGCATTTTTAAAAATTTGTATTGAAATATTCATTGTTTTATTGGTATTAATGTAAAATTCTTGATACACTTAATTTTTATTAAAAGAGTGGGCGTCAATCTTTCTATCAACATAACAAAATTCCCTCAGGTAAAAAACCAACGAATGCTAAATTATTTTATTTTATATTCCCTTTGTCTCAAAATTCAAGTTAGAGAATCATGTGAGACAAGATAATATCATTTTTTTGTTACATGTTTTTTTTATAGTAACAAGTTCATAAATTATGGGCAACAAACAGTACGAGCTGCAAGGTATATTTGGTCAAGGTTTCATGATTTTCTTATTTCATACGAAGCATTTATCTATAACTATACAATATCCCAACGAAAAGCTGATAACACCTGAGCGTTTCCAAGATCGAATCAACTTTGAATTTGATAAATGCATTGCGCGTGAATTATGTGTTCATGTATGTCTTATAAATCTACCGGTCAGGAAAAGAAAGTATATATATATATATATATATATATATTACTTTCATAATAAATCTCACAAGAGGAATGTTATAAATAGCCTATTTTTACATACGTGATAGTCTATTCAACTTTGCATATTATTATTATTGTTAATTTAATTTGACAGCATCCAACAATGAAAACTAATTTAGGCGTAATTATTGGAATTTCAAGATGTAAATAAATCCATTCCCTTTTCCAAAAAGAAAACTAATCCAAGTCTCTCGTCCCGTCACATGCGGAGTGCGCGCCTTCTTATTACAGATCCAATGTGTAGATTCTCCAATCCATTCACCTTAATAATAAAATTTCTGAAGACGGCCCTCTGTTTCTCTCCCAAAACCCACCTCTTCTTCTTTTAGATTCGTCCGACTGTGTGTGTGCGTGTTCTTTTTTTCGCAGAATATTTTATTTTTGGGCAGGAGAAGGTGGGTGTGTGTGTGTGTGTCTGTGTGTGTGTGTGTCTGTTTATAAATTATTAGTAGTATAAGTTGAGTTTCTCCGGGGTTGGAGTGATCGATGAGACAATGGGCAAAGTCTCGGTGATAATCTACATTACTTTAGCTGTTCTTTTGCTCCTCCTAATCTCCAAATCCCCACAAAACCCGACCCACCACCACCATCGCCACCGCCACCGCCGCCTCAAGCTCCGCTCCAACTTCACTTTCAACCCGCCTGCCTTGAACCATCAGGAACACCACGTGGCGTTCGACCCTTTAGTCGCCGAGATCGAGAGGAAGCGGGAGGATAGGGAATGGGAGAAGAAGTACTTCGAAGAGCACGACATCCAGTGGCGGAATCGTCCGGGTCAGCCCGCCCATGATGATGCTATGCCCGCTGAGTCCCAACCCGAGTGGGAGGATTTCATGGACGCCGAGGATTACTTGAACGATGAGGACAAGTTCAATGTCACCAACCGCCTCTTGCTCTTGTTTCCCAAGGTTGATGTTTCCCCCATGGATGGATATGTGACCGAGCCCGAATTGACCCGGTGGAACTTGGAGCAGAGTCAGAAAGAGGTTTTGCATCGCTCCCAGAGGGAATTTGAGGTCCATGACAAGAACAAAGATGGGTTTGTTTCCTTTTCTGAGTACGAGCCTCCCAGTTGGGTCAAAAACTCTGGTACTTTTCTCATTCACAATGCTTTTTTCTAACATTGTAGTTCTTCTGCTTTTTCTGTTTTTTGTTATTTCACTTTCGCCATTGCATACATTTGTTTCTCTTATGATTTATTTTCTCTTTGTTTAGCTTGGTTGGAAGTTAGAAGGGCTTTTTTTTGTTAGCTTAGTTGACCTAATCTTAATATTTGGGTGATTCACTTTGTTTAGCTGTGCACATTGTATTGATTTTTCGGTGAAGTTATTAGAACTCATAGGGAGTGAAGCGAATCATATTAAACAAGTGTGCTACAACATCGCTTGGTATTAAGGCAATGAGGTGCAGACTTAAGGATCATTAGCACCTCCATAGATTGGAACCTTGAGTCAATGTAATCTTCGATTGCAGAGAAAGCTATGTAAACTCTTTAAGGGACCAAAGGACCCTCTTTTACTCTATGTAATCAATGCACAGGCATATAAGATTTGATTCACTTAGCTGGAAGCCTGGAGTTATATTATGTGTCGCATGACCACGGCAAAGCAGGAAAAAGATTTTTCCTTTTTGATAACCAGTTGAGCATTTTCTAGAGTTCTTTTTGGAGAGAGTCAACCTCATGGCAGAGAAGCAAATCATCATTCATTATAAAGAAGATTGCTTTCTTGGAATTTATTATCTATGCTCTTAACACTGATGCTTGAAAAGGTTTCCTGAAGAACCACAGAGAACAAATCCTATACCTTAATCAACTTAATTTGAGCTGCCAAGACAGTTTCTTTTTGTTTCAATTTTATATTCTTTGTTGACTGGTATGGTTGGTGAGTTTTTTATGTTCCCCTCAGAACCTTTTCTGGTGCAAATTGTATCATTTATAATAAAGTGGTTCTCTTCTGATAACAAATGATATTATTTGACCTTTTTGGTCCTTCACTTCCCTGGACCTGCAAAATGATAGAGTTTTTTACTGTGAATCTTTGGTTGCTGCTCAATAATCATTTATCGGTTAAGTGCTTTGTAATTTTAGCTTTTTTGTTTCAATTAAAAAGCTTTCTTTCACATCCCATGATCTATTGGCGAAATAATTTTTTTAAAGTTAAAGAAGAATGTTGTGACTGGAAGAACGTGAACTGGAAAAGAGTTGTAGTTGTTGTCAAGTAAACATTAATGTAGATGTTTTGTAGCTGGTGCTTTGTGAGTAGAGGTTGCTGGGAATTGTATAGGAAAAGGGGAAGAAGAAAGCTGAAGGCTCAGGAGTGTTCTGTTTATGTTAGGCATACTATAGCATTTTCGTGCATCATATAGTAGATACCGTGAAACAACTATATTGGTGATTTCACTGTTCCTTTCCTGCTTGCTCAGCAACTCCCTACATTTCAAAAACTTTACTTTTTTGCTATAATTCCTCGACTGTTGATGATTTGATCATCCAATACTTGTAGCTGTTCCCATTGCCTTGTATGTTGTGGCATCTCTGGATTAATTTCCCACACTCAGGCAAGCTGTTGTACATCACCAACATTTTGATTTAGTCAAACAAAAATGCTGGCCCCTTCTTTTTTTTCCCAATTTTTTTGCATTTGTTATTCTTTTAAGCTCAGCACAATATTATCATTGGTGATAGGTAATGATTCGTTTGGATATGATATTGGTTGGTGGAAAGAAGACCATTTCAATGCGTCAGATGCAGATGGTGATGGCCGGTTGAATATTACCGAGTTTAATGAGTAAGTCTAATTTCGAATACAACAAAACCATGAATATTTGATTTTTTTTTTTTGTTTTTATTTTTTTCTTGCATCATGAGTTGATATATTAACGTCTTGAGTATTGTTTGTGATATTGTAGCTTTTTGCATCCAGCAGATACTAGAAATCCTAGGCTGCTTGATTGGTTATGCCAGGAAGAAGTCAGGTATATATCATATTCCTTTCTTTGCATAAGAGTGCGAAGATTACATCTGAAGCACTGTGAATTGGCTATGTTTGTTTCTTTTCGTAGGAATACATCATTTGCTACTTATATGCTGTTTCGATTCCTCGACAATTTTCCTTTCTGTTTTACCTTTTAAGGATTTGTGCGTGGAAATGTTTGTGGTAATCAGGACTTCAATTTTCAAATCTTTTCCCGCACTTCCATTTTTGGACCTGTTATATGTGCATAAATGAGGAAGCTCTCATTTATTTGAACAATTTTTGCAGCATAGAAGAATTCAGTGTCGGTTTAACTGGTCTTATCTGTTTCTTGCTTTAGTCAGGGCGCTAACTTGTGCCTTATACTATTTGTATTATCGCTTATTTCTAGATTTCTGACTATGTTATGGTATATGCTGGTTTTACTGAAACAAACTTTTACTTTTTCAGAGAAAGAGATACTGATAAAGATGGTAAGGTCAGCTTCAAAGAGTTCTTCCATGGTCTTTTTGACCTAGTAAGGAATTATGATGAGGAGGATCATCATCATAGTTCTGAGCATGGCTCCAATGATTCACAAGAAGCCCCAGCTAAGAAATTGTTTGCCCAGCTTGACAAGGATGGTGATGGGTAATGAGCTGTCTCAAAAGTGTTTTTTCCATTCATTGTGCTTTTAGTTTTCTGTAACCTTGATGATATACTGTAGGTTCTTGTCTGCTGCGGAATTGCTACATATAATTGGAAAACTGCATCCGTCGGAGCATTATTATGCTAACCAACAAGCAGAATACATAATACAACAGGTAGGCGTTTGGATGATATTTGGATGTTTGATATTTTGAATCCTGGATGCTTCCTTGTTTACATTTTAAGAACATAAGTAGTTGTAACGCCTAGCTTGTAGGCTTGCCCATGAGTGTTTTGACCTTTGCCCTCGGTGTACAATAATCTAACCAAGTTACTGGCATCCCAGCCCACAAGTCTGACACTTTTGAACTACTAACGACACTAGTTTTTTGTGCCAAGGAGAACAAGCCCCTAAAAAGTTAATAGGATAGCCTAACGGTGAAAATGTGCTATTGGGTGCTGAACTCTGCAATAATTTCTTTTGCAGGCTGATACTGACAAAGATGGACGGTTGACACTGAGTGAAATGATTGAAAATCCTTATGTATTCTACAGCGCCATATTCAACGACGATGAAGATGACTTTGAATACCACGATGAGTTCCGTTAGTATAGACAAGAAAATGTAGTGTAAAGTATATTGGGAGTTGGTTCATTCGACTAATGCAGTATGCACCAGAATGTTGTTGATTCTCAAGAACCTTAAAACGGTAGGAGGACTTGCATCCAATTTTCCGTGGTAGAATACAGAATGATGGTCACTGTGTTTAGGGGAGAAACTTTAAAACGCGAGTTTTTATGTTTTCATCATTGATATTTCCACGATTTTCTCTCTCTCTCTCTCTCTCTCTCTCTCTCTCTTTTTTGGTAGAAATATTTCCACGATTTTCAATTCCAGGAAAATCTTGTCATTGAGATTGACAGTAGAAATTCGAAATTTGTTGTAATTTATTAGTAGTAGTGGAGAGTGGAGAGTGCCTCACCCAATTGGGTAAAGTGACTGTATGTCCATTAAGATGGCCTAATTTGGTAATAAATGAGTAATATCGTGTGTCATTTCCAAGGAAGAGGAAATGGAAATCTTAAAGTAAAACCAATATAAAGTTATTACTAAGTGCAGTATAGTAGATGATGAGAGAATAATTAAAACATAGAGCAAACACATATAGTATAACAGTAGGGAACCAAATACATTGATATATATAGAGAGAGAGATGAATGCATGCAGCAAACACATTACAGTGAGAAGAAAGCCGTCTCAAACAAGAAAGCCCCACTCCTTTTAATTCTGTCTTCTTCACTCAAGGAAAATTGCGCACAAGGCGGAATTTATTGATCCAAAACGTACATGAAAGAAAAGGAAGAAACTGAAATCAAGTATGATGATATCCATGCATTATGCATGGTGATGGAAGGAAGGAGATGGAGTTGAATTAGTTGTAGGCATCAGGATTAGCGAGCAAGTAGTCGCCGATGCTCTTGATCATGAAGGTGATCCTCTCGTTCCCGCGGATTTGTTCCTCAGTGACGCCGGTAGCACCCGCGGTGTTGTAAGTGGAGGTTGCTTTCACAAGGGATCCTGCACCATCAGCGGAGGGAGCAATCTTGATGACATCCGTGACGGTTTGAATATCGTCCTCGGCTGGACCGCTGTGGAGTTCCACCTCAAGGATGGTGTAAGTGTATGTCAGGTTATCCTTGTCGATTCCATCCACTCTGTGTTTAGCATTCTTCAACAAATGGAATCCTAACAAAAAAAACAAACAAACAAAAGAAATACTAATTGATAAGATGATAATACAGGGAGATCCAGGAGGGTTCGTAGTTTGAAGGAGATCATGTAATTATATATACTATATAGTTAGCGTATTTTTGTCCTAGAATCTCTCCTCTCCGCTTGTTGCTAGCTAGCTAGTCGTTGAAAAACATTACAACTTGTAGAAATCATGACTAGGTACTCCCTATATATCCGTCATTCTAGCTAAAATATAAGTCGAAAAATCAAAATTTTTGCAAAATATATATCGAGAGGTGGTGACCAAAATTACCTGGGGTGTAAGTGATTAAGAAGATGCTGCCAACAGCGCCATCCCCTTGAATGAGATCAATGTTCTGAACACCCTGTGGGAAGGTCTTAGGAATGAAGCTTTGATCGAAACTCAGAGCCTTGAACAACCTTCCTGCTGGGATTGCGGAGCTCACCTCGTACTCGAATGTCGTGGCCACCATTTTTTCTTGTTATAATATGCCTAATTGTTGGGGGGGTTTTTTTTTTTTGTTTACTAGCTTAGCTTAGCTTAGCTACAACTGAAAATTCTTCAAAAATGACTGAATGTATACTAATGTATGATGCAATATGATGGATTCGTGAAGCGTATTTATAGATGAACATTAGCACCTTTACCCAATGTGAAAACCAAACCACTTTATTACCTGATTTACTCTCTCTTACTGGGGTATGTTGGATGGGATAGTCTCTATTGCTACTTTCAATTTAGTCTTCTTTTCTTTCTTTCTCTTTCTTTGTGTGTGTGTGTGGGGTGTTGGGTCAAAACATTAATTCATTTAATCTTTTAGTCAATCTTGGGTGGTGCTAAGCTCCTTTAATTCTGTTTGATTTTGATTCGTAGTGATTTTCTACATTTTTTAGAAGGTTCCTCCCTTAAAAAGAAGGACAACCAGCCGACGACTTCAAATATAGCGTCTCATTCTCATATATAAATTTCTTTAAATTTAATTTTAGGTTATCTTTCTCGATACAGCTTCCATGATACTATCTCTATCCCAAAATAATTGTCCACCTTAACTTTTCATATTTGTACGTGTAAATTTCAAAACTCAATATGAATATTTTATCTGGAACATGTGTATTTATTTCTTTCTTTCTTTTCTTCTTTTTCATTAATTACTCCAACAATTTATTAATTTAATACTCCTAAGGGTTGTAGACTTGACAAAATATGCAATGACCAACTGACTGTTGACTGGGTTACCCGTAATAATGTCCTACACTATTTTGTATGTATGCTGTACTTCAAATATAGCGTCTCATTCATCATCATAAAAATTTAAATTAGACTATCATTCCATAATAGAGAAAAAAACTAATACGATTTTGAAATGAAAGGATTGTCGCCACGGTTAATTATATAATTCCTCCTGGTTATTCTTAAATTTAATTTTGTAAAGATCCGTTGCGATGAATTTACGATCACATCATAAACTAGTTTGGTGCTTTTTGGTTCCTCTGTTCTCTCTTTTGAAAATATCTGTACTGTGGAAAATTCGTAAAATTGACAGTAAAGTGTAAACTCCACACTGCCAAGACCCGACGATACACACCATATGCATATGGTGCGATTGGGATAGCTGCGCCCTTTGACCACCTCAATTTTTTATAATCTTATTAGCATCTTCATGGGTTGGCTTTGATTGGCTGCTCTCTTTGACATTAATGTTTCAAATATTACTACTTTTTTCTTATTTTTATATTTCTTTGAAAAGAAAAATATTACTGGCTACTACTATAATTATAAAACCTGGAAAACTTATATTTATTCAGCTATTCTAGCTGTCACTATACCAACGAATTCAAATGTACAGTTCCTAGTAACATTGTATTAGAAAGAATCAACACGCATGCTTATTTAACATGTAAACTCTCAACCCTTAAAAAATGAACAACAATCTGTGTTTGCCTCCATTTCGCTCCTCACCACTGATACCAACTCTGTGTTTTTGCCTCTACTTTCCTCTGTGTTTGTGCTCTAATTTGTAATCTAATAAATAAATCTTAACAACTTCTACATATATAAATTGATGATCAAAGTTTAAAATGTCACCTTTTAATGTCTCAATCTAGCTATAACTGTAGTGTAACAAGTAACAACATTTTCTAGTCAAGGTTAAATAAGTTATTATAATATTGAAACGGATAGAATGTAAACTAACAGAACAGAGTAATAAATTCATAAAAAGGGAGATTTAGAACACTTTAGAGATTTACAAGCCCCAAAAGTTATTTGGTCACACTCACAACATATATAAAAATTGTACAACAAAACCACTCCATTTTCTCTCTTAATTATCTCCTTTCTTCTTCTTTCTTTATTTTCTCCTAAAAGGAGAGATCACACGTACAACGGTACAAGCCAAGTAGAAGAAGCACAGGCATTAGGCTTACATAATTTATTGACCAAACAGGATGATTACAGAAGAAAAAACAATTGAAACAAAAATCAAAGGGTATAAGGTATACTTTGGATGGATCCACTTGATTTGCCAACATTATATGTATGTATTAGTTAATTACGTAGGCATCTGGATTAGCCATCAAGAATTCCTGGACATTCTTGACCATGAACTCAATCCTTTCTTTGCCCCTAACTTGTTCCTCAGACACCCCAACATCGCCCTTGGTGTTGTAAGTGCAGCTGGCTTTAACAACTGATCCTCCATCACCAGAAGGGCTCAGAGCAATTACATCCGATACCGATTCAACTCCATCATCTGCTGGGCCGCTTGCAAGTTCCACTTCCAATATGGTATGGCTGTAAATCAAGTTTTCTTTGTCAACTTTGTCAATCCTGTGCTTAGCACTCTTCAATACGTGGCTCCCTGAATAATAAACCAACCAAACCATATTATTATTATATATATAATATAAGAGGGCTGATCAGAGTATTAATACTATATATCATCGCATTAACCTAGCCATACGTAGGTAAAATTAAATGTGTTACACATGCATGAGTACGTAGTTCTAATACTGTACGAAATGGTTATCTTTAAATTGAAATGTTGGGAGATCATATGTATATGCAGTATCATTGTAGAAATTAAACAAGTTAAACTTAATTGTGAACTTATATATAGTATAGTAGTACTCCCTCCGTCCCCCAAAATTATTATTCAGTTTGAGTTTTCATTTTTATTTCAAATTGTATTAAAAGAAAAAAAAAAAATCCAAATTGGACAAGAATTTTGAGACACAGAGTATTAGATTAACGACCGACTGACCTTCGGCATAAGTGATCAAGAAAATGCTGCCAACGCCACCATCACCTTCAAGGAGATCAATACTCCTAACCCCCTGCGGGAAAACCTTTGGAACATAACTCTTGTCGAAGCTCAGAGCCTTTATCAACCTTTCTGGTGGGATTGTGGATGTTACCTCGTACTCAAACGTTGATGCCACCATTGTTAATTAAGCTGTGTCGACTAAAAACTTAAAAAGAGAGGGAGCTCAAAGGCTTATACTACGCAGTTATAGTTATTAAAGAGCTGCTTTACTATTGGGGTGCATTATATGGTTCAAGGGATAACCCTATTTATAGATTGAGCATCACTAGCTCACAGCAATGGATATGAACAGATGAATACTTCCTCCTAAAAATAACTTCTTCTTTTTTTCCTTAAAAAAGATTAAGGTCATTTCGGGTTCTAATTAAATTAAGGACGATGATTGAATTAATGGTTATCTTTAAATTGAAATGTTGACTTAGATAATTATGTGATGACTGACTGACAGTGTTGCCAGTACGTAATAACCACATTATTTAGTTGCAAGATGTCTTCTGACTGTGTTGAACATTTCACTTTTTCCACGGGAAAAAGAATTTTAAAATTCCAAAAATTAAGGTCAGGAAAAGCTGTCTAGATATGAATTTCTTTTCCTCTTTTAAGGGCGGCGGGTTTTTTTTTTTTTTTTGGGTAAGCAAAATAAGCAGAGGAAGATGCCTCAGCTTGTACAACCATAAGATGTGCTACCATCCTGATCTAATAGCATAGCTATACAATTTGGGGGAACATCAAAAAAATATAACCCCCCATCCACGTCTAATAGCATATATAGGTTGTTGTTTTTTTCATTTTTATTAGGAGAAGAGCCTCTTGGAGCTTAGAAATTTTTACCGATTGTTGGAGATAAAACTCCTTTTCAAATGAAATCCTCATTTCTCTCGTAGAAAAGATAAATGAAAACTTTTGACCAGATCTTTCGATTTATCAGAGGCTTAATTTACACAACACGAAAACTATGCAAATGAACATAAAGTCCTGGTCAATTCAAGTTGATAACATTAGTTATTATTTTTATTAAAAAAAACTAACAATCAAGTGATGAAATTAAATTGAGAAACTGCCCAAATTCAAGTTGGAAAACTAGAAGGTTTGAACCTTTAACCTTTAAATAAACACTCTAGACTGCCATGAAGCATGTCGACTTTGACTTGATCAGGCCAAGATGAGATAATCCGATGATGTTCAGAAGAATGAGTCATTTTTTTTCCAGTTTGGTAGCCTGGATGCCTTTTGTCTTTTTCAAATAAGATCGTCTAGCAATATCACTGTTTCACCAACTACCACCTCCATGTGAAATACAAGTAATTTTGCCTATGCCCTTAATTAAGACTTTCTTTGTATACACACTCAACGGAATATATGAGACAACCAGAGCAGTGGCCAAATGCATAAAGAAAATCACAATAACATAGATTGAAGTAATCAAGTTATAAACACGAGGCTGTGCATCTTGTTTCCTACAGATGGTTAGTTACTGAGGAAGAGATTTGATGCAAGTACACCAACGTCGTCTGTCCCCATTAATCAAGCTGTTTCTATCTCTTTTTTTTTTTTTTTCCTAGGGTTTTAAGTTTCCAAATCACCCGGTTATATCCTCACAGGGCGACTAACCTACCTCACCACTCCAATAGCATGAAACCGTATACTTCTTGTTTTGATTTGACAGCATTACTCAGCATCAAATCCTAGTGAACAAATCAAAACCACCACATACATATATATTCAGTTCTCTCTATATCTAACTTTGGTCATGAAATGTGGTGATAACTAATCTCTTTTACCCTATTAAAGCAGAAGACATGAAACTTATGCGGCAACTACGTATGCATCTGTTTTGGCTTCAATGCACCATATTTCAGATTTCAGGAGTATTTTTGGCACGTGTAAGTCTCTTTTAATTAGAAGCTATATAATTTTTTTTAAAAAAAAAAACACATGTTTTACTACAAATAAGGATCAGTTACATTTCAAACGAATGGATATATTAATTCAAATTCAAATGTCCAATCGTATAGTTTTGCAGGCTTAATATAAACAAAAAATAAAAATATCTAAATCCAGCAATTAAGAATAATGCCTTATAAACTAATTATTTATTATTCCCTTATAACCTCAGATTTATAGGTATATTTTTTTAAGCCCCAAACCATAGCATAAATGATATATACGCCAAATTAATTCCTCAAAAAATAGTAATTCAATTAAATTTTAATAAAATAATAATTTAGAAGGGGCACCCGGGCATCTGCCCTGAGCCAAACATCTAGTTAAAACTACAGCACTAAAACCTCAAATGAGGATACCAAACACACTGCACAAAAAAGCATCAATAAGTCTCCCAACAAAACATTCCCAGAAATACATTCCGCTACTAACAAAATTGGCTAGGAATCAAAGTTTGCTTCAGTATTACCACAGCAAGAAATATGTGATCCAGGTGGGTTCCACAGCCGCCCAGTCACCACTCAGATGCTCACAACCCTCTCCATCCCACCACTAATACGAGTAGTAACCAAAAGAAAAGGCACCAACAGTTGGTCCTATTGTCCAGACAATTGAGAAGTGTTTCAAAGAATTAGAAGAGTACACTTTCCCTTGGAATTGTTTTCTCGACTTTACCAATCCTTTGGGGTGGCCAAACAATGTGAGTAACCCTCCCACGAACCAAACCCAGAGGAATAGGTCCGACAGATCTTGAGTCCATACTAGACAACGGGTTGTCACCCTCAACCCAGCAATGCCCTTCTGGGATCAAAATAGCATCATTAGAATGTGAAATGCTAACCCAGTCACCTGGCAGGCCTGTAATTCTCTTCACATGTTTTTCTCTATGATTACTAGGATTGCTGCATAAAGTCAGGAGACAAACATACTCAAATCATAAGTTACAACACCGGATCAGAATAACTGTAAATCTTTAACTCGAGGTAGACTCCAAAATGCAATCTGAATTTGAAGTCTCAATGAAGCTAGATAAATCTTTAATTCTGAGCAACAACCAATGCTACAGCTCAGTGGTTGATCTAAGATCTTCAATCACAATCTATTCAGGTTCATCCAAAAACCAAAAACTCTGACGTAATCAAACACAATCAAGGTTGTTACACATGACTGGCTTTGTCTAAGTATCTCAGAGATCTGTAGACAAACATAAAAACAACTAAGCCTTTATCCGACTATGTGGAATTGGCCGTGCAAGTCATATCTCAGTGTAATGTCCTCTTTTTAAGGTAAATAAGAACAGACATGTAATTACTTAGACATGAATGTATAAAGTTGATTCAGGCCTTTTCCTTCTCCTCGTTATTCGAGATAATGTCTCTCTAATTTCTACTCAACATCGTGTTGCACATCAAAAGGTTTCAAGACACTATAAGCTTGCAACATTCGGGAACGTCAAGAACATAATCATGCTCTTAAAATCAGTTATTAATAAGAACTACTGTATAAAGACTACACCTTTGAAGTTTCAACACCAAGTAACATCATATTGTGAAGATATGACATAGATGCTAAAACATAAGTATGGCGTTGGAATTTTACCTAAACACGACGATGTCACCACAAGAAAACCTGTACTTTTCGAGGCAAAATTTCTCCACCAATACACGGTCATCTACAGGGGAAAAAAATAACAAAAATTAGACCAAAGATGAAGTGCAGGGTTTGGTGAAATATTCTACAAAAAGAAATCGAAAAAAGATAAAGCAAGCTACCAGCCAATGAACCCAAAGATGGGTTGATATGAGGATTGAAAGTGGGAGACATGGAGAGACCTCGAACAGGGACAACACTCAAATATCGATCCGATATTGTCAGGGATATAAGCCCGATGGTTGCAAATCTCTTGGTCAAGTTCCATAGAAAATTTTGAGTTCCCATATCAACACAGTTGTTTCAGTTATAGCTAAAAGCAAGACCCTGAATCCATCTACGCAGAAACAATGCCAACAAATACTAATCAATAGAGCTATTAAAAGAAAAGGAACAAAACAATAGAATTAAAAGACACTTCATTTATAAACTTGCAGTTGACTATATATGTTGATAGAGGCTCATACGGTGCATAGTGGTGACAGTAAACGCATCCAAAAAGCAAAAGAGAAACAGAGGGACACTCAAAGGTGAAGGGATTAGAAAAGAAAGATACAAAACTGAACTTGGCAACTATCACAAATTATAACAAGCAGAAGACCTTGAAATTTTACCCCGGAAAAGAAGAAAAATAAAATAAAAATGAGAAATTCAATAACGAGACATACCCAAGGAATAAAATTATAAAACAATTGAATTCGTGATAGCCACGGCGGCGATGGTGGTGTTGAGCCGGCCAGCGAGGCGGAGGAACTGAAACTGTGAAAAACTGTCTTGAAAAGTTGCAAGTCCCCTTTTCCTTTTTCCTTTTCTTTTTCCTTTTGCCTGAAATGACCATCTTGTCCTTTTCCAATACTACAGCACCCAGGCCCATCCAAAACAGGCCCAAAATTTTGAATCTGGGTGAAATGACGAAAAGCCCAAAATCATATCGGCCTTCTGATTTTTTACCTTTCAATTTTCCGGCGCCAACTCCAGTCCCGCCATAGAGCCACATTTCTGATGCTGCTTGCGGATTCCGTCATCATCAACCAAATCCGCCACAATCTGAAACCCACTTCCAGAAATCCCTTTTCATCTCTTTTCTTTTCTGTTCATACTCGTTCTGCATTGCCTCGTTACCTAGAAGACCCCAACAAGCCCAATCACAAATGGAACACTAGCCATTCTTTTGTCCTCTCCAACCCCATCCTTTCACTGCTGGAAACAAGTTGCAAATCCATTGCTCATCTCAAGCAAATTCAATCTCAAATGATCGTTACGGGCTTAATCTCAGATGGTTTGGCTTCAAGTCGGTTAGTTGCGTTCTCTGCTTTGTCAGACGTGGCTGATCTTTCCTATTGTAAGAGGTTGTTGTGTGATTTGCCTTCCCCGAATGCTTTTTCTTACAATGTAGCCATTAGGGCTTGTTCCGATAGCGAAAACCCAGTTGAAGCTTTGCTTTTATACAAGCAACTGCTGGGTTTGGTAAATAGTTACAGGGATTGTTTGAGGCCGGACCATTTTACTTTTCCTTTGTTGTTCAAGACTTGTGCTAGATTGGGGTTTTATTATATGGGATTTCAGATTCTTGTTCATGTGATGAAAATGGGGTACGAAATTGATGTCTTTGTTCGCAATGGTTTGATCCATTTCTTGTTTTCTGTTGGGGAGGTGGAGGCTGCACGTCAAGTGTTTGATGAAAGTAGTGTTAGAGATTTGGTTTCGTGGAATTCTTTGATTCATGGGTTTGTTAAGGTTGGAGAAGCTCCGGAAGCGTTCCGGGTATATGTGGAAATGGAGAGTGAGGGTGTCAAGCCTGATGAGGTCACTATGATTGGTTTAGTTTCGTCATGTGCGCAGTTGGAGGATCTGGAACTAGGGAGGGAGGCTCATAGAAGTATCGAGAGGTACGGGTTGAATTTAACTGTACCTCTAAGTAATGCCCTTATAGATATGTATGTGAAGTGCGGGGATCTTCAAAAAGCAAAAGCGTTGTTTGATAAGATGGAGAAGAAGACCACGGTTACTTGGACAACCATGGTTTTGGCTTATGCAAAGTTCGGACTTTTGGACACGGCTAAGAAATTTTTGGATGAGATGCCCGACAAAGATGTTGGTCCTTGGAATGCACTAATTGGTGGTTATGTCCAAGTCAAGCGTTGTGAGGAGGCATTAACACTATTTAATGAGATGCAAGCCGCAAAAGTTAAGCCCAATGAGGTGACCATGGTTAGTTGTTTATCTGCTTGCACACATCTAGGAGCACTTGATGTCGGAATTTGGATCCATCATTACATTGAAAAGAATAAGCTGTCGGTAAATGTTGCCATGGGGACAGCTCTCATAGACATGTATGCCAAATGTGGTAACATCAGTAAGGCACTCCAGATTTTCAACGGGATGCCATCACGCAACTCGCTAACTTGGACAGCTATAATTAGTGGTTTGGCTTTACATGGGCATGCTCATGATGCTTTGTCCCATTTCTTGGAGATGATTGAAAGTGGGTTAATCCCAGATGAAATTACATTTCTTGGTGTCTTGTCAGCATGTTGTCATGGAGGTCTAGTTAAAGAAGGTCGCTTTATCTTTTCACAGATGAATTCCAAGTTTAATATTTCTCCTAAACTGAAGCACTATTCTTGCATGATAGACCTCTTAGGCAGGGCAGGTCTTCTCGAAGAGGCTGAAAATCTTATCAGAAGTATGCCAATGGAGGCAGATGCAGTGGTATGGGGAGCATTGTTTTTCGCTTGTCGAACTCATAAAAATATCGAGTTGGGGGAGAGAGCTGCTCTTAAGCTTCTTGAACTGGACCCTAGTGACAGTGGAATTTATGTAATGCTTGCGAGCATGTATGTTGAAGCAAATATGCCATGCAAGGCTAGGGATGTCAGGAAGATGATGAGGGAAAGAGGCATAGACAAGACACCTGGGTGCAGTTCAATTGAGGTAGATGGCGATATTTGGGAATTTGTTGTTAGAGACAAGTCGCATCCTCAATGTGATCAGATATACGAATGCTTAACAAAATTAGCGAAACACATGGAGCTTCTTGAAACGTCAATCAGTGTGCCACTCTGTGGAGATGGCCTCTTATTTGGCTTAGATATCATTTGAAAAACCTTGATTTGGAATACTTTTTAAGCCAAGTGATGCCTTTATCGGTCCTTAAGCGACACATTACGTAGAAGTTAGCTGGCCGCGTCATGAGAAGCCCATGCTGCTCTCGTGTCTTCTAGAACCTGGACTTCAATTGCGCAAGCAGAAGGGGGCATCAGATGTTTGAAATGGTAATGCTTGCTATATCTCATAGAGATTGTGATGACGTCAAAGATAATTGTCGCGATTGTTATGTCTAAGATCTTTGTCCACAGTTAACTTGTACCAGCCTCTCTTCATCATGTGTATCTTCTGCTCCTCCTGTTCGCATCTTTTTCAGAGTTATGTCCAAGTTGCATTTTCTTCTTCCTTACCATGGTCAATTCCGGACTCAGAAGTAATTGGTTGGGCAATAGCAAGAAGATACTTATTCTCATTTTTCATCATTTGGTGCAGAATTCGGGCTGAAAACAAAATGTGGGTATTAGATATTTGGGTATTCGATGGAAACTAAGCATTATGCTTCCCCAATATATACATATATATATATATATATATAAAAGAGACTAGGGTATTGATGGAAACATGGAATCCGTTAGGTAAACGAGCTGGTAATCAAGCTAGCAATGTCACTTCAACCTCTTTCCCTCCATATCCCTCCAGAACAGATTTCAAGATCAAGGTGGAGTTACAAGTGTAGCCTGCGGCTGCTGAAAATTGTCAGCATTCTCGTCTTTTTTTTTTTTTTGGCTCGATATTTTCTGTTTATTTGATACTGAAAGCAAATGGTTTACTGATATCTGTAGTTCTTTTCTGAAAAGAGATAGATTTACTAGAGAATAGAGATGTCCATGCTGTGTAATTTAATGAGCATATATACCAGGAGATGTTTAATCAGAAGAAGAAGGTAAGGTTTCAAATGAACCTTGTAAACCGTTTAGCTCATTATTCTACGATTTAAAAAAGGCATATTTGTATGCTTATTAATACGAAACTCATAAAGATTGCAATTGAAAGAACCATTATAAACTAGTTTAAGGCTTTCAGCAAGCGAAAAGGGAACTTCCAGTGGGGGTAGATGGATAACATCCATTTTGCAACTGAATAATTTATTGGAAAACTTCCTAAACACACACTTCTTAACTACCTTACAGGACACTGGTTGCTTCACTTTTGAGTGCTCTACTTCCTCGACACATAAACGACGAGCCCTAAAACTAGAGGTCTTTGATACAAACTTATAAAGGTTTGATACAACAAACCTTATAATGGCAAACTTATAAAGGTCTTTGATACAACAAACCCCCTCCCCATGGTACTTCCCATCCTATGAGTCTCACTGGTGTAATCTACTTATGCATTTCAATAACTCCAATGATACCCACATGACAAATTTTTATAATGCCTCAAAATCCAGCAGCAACGGCTAATGCCTCAAATTCCTGATCGCTTTCTCTCCAGCAAGCATCACCATGGTATCAAACTGGTAAATGGTTCCTGAAACACGTCATAACTTTGTGGCAGTTCACTCTCCATTCGTAAAGCATGGTATATATGCTAGTCTACCACACTTGTCTTGACGGAGGATGTCTCGTGGTGCCAAGTTTCAAGATAATTCTCATGAACCCAAACTTCCAGGCAGTAAATACCCTAGAATTCAGCAGGATGGCCGAGCCTATGCTAACGTTTGTCCCCTTTATCTCAAACAAAACCCTGGAAGCCGCATCCAGGTATGTGGTTCAGTTCAGGAGGCTCAGTCTGTATTGACCTTGAATCAGTACGTGCACATATTTATGCAGAGCTCACCAATACCTATTAACCAAACTATCATTGCGGAGTGATTGCAAGGAAATTAATAAACTAAGACCACAAAAACCACGAATATACAACTAAGTGATGAGGGTTAGGGTTAACTCATCTTACTAAACTGGAATACTCACAGTCCATCAGATCACGAATACACAGCATGCTTGATTTGAAAATCCATCCTGCCGAAACAAAAGAAAATTCAGCAAGAGAATGGTATGCGCAAGAAGGAATTGCTACATCAAAAAGGAAAATGGAAAAGGCAAAGTTAACAAAAATAAACCTGTTCACTGGTCAAAGAACTGAAAAGATCCTCCACGAAACCATCATCACCAAACACGAGACAGCTTGAGAAGAAAAGGTCACAAATGCACACAAAAAAAACAAAAAAGGAAAATGAATATTACGGTAGTCAAAAAGGAGGGAATTCAGAAGTATGAAAGTAATACAATACAATTACTGTTTAACGGCCAATCAATCTCCAGATAAGATCAACTGCTGCACTAACTCCCACCAGAGTATGGTCTGATCTTCATGCAGATGGATTCCACTTGATATAACGGTCCAAAAAAAGCAATTTCCTAGCAAATAATCTGCCATCACTGGTTCCCATATCAGCAGCAGTATCAGCTGACCCTTTCTGGCTATTTACCCTCAATACACTATTAAAGCATGACATTATAAAACCATTCAAGTGGGAATTAATCATAAATAACAAAGATAATACTCAAGTCTGAATAACATACTGGTGAGGAAACTCAGCTTGTCTTTTGATGTTGAAACTGAAGCTTTTTGGCCTTTAAGATTCCTTGGTGATGTAAGGTATAAATGGGGTTGTGATTTCTTTCTTTTCCCTTGAAGGTCAACCCATTGATCGTTATAGCTCCCTTGACATCTCGGCTCTTGCAATAGCCATTCAATAGAGCATTATAAGTCACATTATCAGGGACTAGAGGAAGATCTATCATTTCCTCGAAAAGATGAATAGCCTCCTCCAGATTGCCCAACTTACAGTGACTGTCGATCAAGACAGTGTAGCAAATAACATCAGCTTTTAAACCCATTTCTGACATTTTGGCCAAAAAAGACGAAGTACTAATCCTTTCTTCTATGTTTCCCAGAATCTTCTGCCTGCTAAAATTACTTTTGGAGTGTCCATCAAGCAAAACAGTGTACGTGATAATATCAGGAGCTATACCCCTATTCTTCATATCATCAAAAAGAGCATAAGCTTCATTCAACTGATTCACCCTACAATACCCATTCAACATTACTGTATAAATGATTACATCTGGCGTGAAACCCTGATCAATAAGATAATCAAACACCATCCGTGCCCTCTTCATCTCTCTCAAGTTGCAGAGAGCTGCAATGATTTTAGCATACATTTTCAGGCAAGGCTCATAAGCTGAACTTAGCAGATCATTACATAACTTCAGAACTTTGGAACATTCACCTTCCATGACAAGGCTGTCCAAAAGTTTTAGACAGGAACTTCTTCTTACCGTAACTCCTTGATTCCTAAGCTGACAGAAAAGTTCATAGCCCTCCTCTGTGTTGTTTGATTCACAGTAACCATCAATCATGGCTGCATAATTTTCTTCACATTTCCCCTTCAATTCATTAAAAAACTTTTTAGCTTCCTTCACCCTTCCACAGACAAAAAGACCTTCAATGATCATATTGAATGTTATGTAGCTAGGTTCTATGCCTTGTTTTCTCATGAATTTCAGAACTTTACATGCGTCATCTACGCAACCATTTCTAGAAAAACCACCGGCAAGAACATTATAGGCAACCTCATCTGGTTTCAGTCCATTTTGCTTCATCTCTTTAAACAAGGCTTGGGCATCAGAGAGTTTCCCATTAAGAAAACATCCATTAATCAAGGTAGTATAGTTTACAACATCGGGAATGATCCCCTTACCCTTCATCTCATTTAGCATTCTCAGAGCGTCCTCGACTTTTCCGAGTTTGCATTGAGCATCAAGTACAACATTATACACAACTTCATCAAGGTAAATTCCTTGTTCTTTAAAGTCCACGAAGAGGTCTTCAACGTCATTAAACAAGTGTTCTTGAGAAAAGCATTGAAGAATTGAGCTCACAATCACACAATCTGTTTTTATATTCTTGGCTGTCATTTCATGATAAAAGGCCAAAGCTTTGACTACATCCCCAGCTTGACAATAACCTTGAATTATGGCGCCATAACAGTGTTCATCGGGCACTAGTCCATGCATATTCATGTTGAGCAACAAAACTTCCACTTCTTTTAGCTTCTTTTCCTTAAAGAAACCACGCAGCACCACGGTGTATGCATATAGATCAATAGGTAAATTTTCTTTAATACATGCAAGCAAAAGCTCATAACCCAATGACGATTTTCCTTGTGAGCAAAGCCCTTCGAGAAAAATAGTATAAGTAAATTTATTAGGGGCCACACCAGCTTCAACCATTCTGCTAAACACACTCAGGGCTTCCTCAAAATCACCTTCCTTGCAAAAGGCTTTAATCAAAATCCCATATGTGTAAACGTTTGGAGTTAATCCTAGCCTGTCTAACTGCTTATAAATAAAAATTGCTTTATCCACCGCTCCACACTCAACCAACCGATTCATCAGGTAATTACATGATAATAAAGATATTCCAAAACCACGCCTTTTAGTCTTGTAAAGCATATCAATTGCCTCTTCAAACATACACACAGCAACAAAGGCTTTAACCATGCCTTCAAGAGCCCGAGACAGCAAATTTGACCCTTCAACATCAAGTCCTTCCACCAATGCGTCAAACAAATCCCCGGAATCAAATCCCAAATCCTCCCTCTTTGACTTGATCACCTCCAATAGTACAGTGTCTAGCCTCCTATCAATTCCCCAATAACAAAGGATCCTAATCAAAGCCACATAAGCTCCAAGATCATGTCTAACCCCAAGTTCCTTCAGTCGTGTAAAAAACTGAATTGCGGATATGGGTTCTTTTTTCAAATTATTAAGAATCTCTACAACCCTAGACGAATTTAGCTCCAGAACTTGATCAACAATATCAGGACCCTTATCAAAGTTTGGAATTTGTTCATCGGAACTAGAGCACAAGTCATATGAACCCAACTGAGCTACTGAGGAAATTGTTTCTATTCGAACAAATTGACCAGACCTGAAGACTTTTCTTAGGTCAGTTAACTTGATTTTAGAGACACACCACATGGAAATCTAGCAAGAGAGAATGTTTGAAGTGTTATTCAAGCTGCAATACTTTCTCCGTTCACTTTACCCGACGAAACATAACGGTACCAAGCACCTGAGAGCAGTTAAGAAATTTGGATGGTTATGTCTGTTTAATCAACATCAACATCAACATACCCAGTACAGTCCCAAACAAGTTGGGGTCTGGGGGTCAGTTGTACGCAGCCTTACCCTTGTAATTACACAAAGAGGCTGTTTCCGTTGTGACCCAAGGTACATTGTGTCACCTGATATATTTATTTCCAGCAACTTCACTAATAGAAGAAGCACTGGAATTTATCATGGCCATTTTGATCTAGTCCATTATTGGCACCTAAAAGAATGGTTATGTCTGTTGTATGGCTTTATTTTAAAAAGCCTAAGAGTTCAACTGCTTCATACTACAGATCTTTATGCTTCATTTCAAAGAAGAATCCTGATTACATGTTACTACAACTAACACATCTGGCACTTCCTTTGTTTTCAGTAGAAATGATACAGACTAAGCCAGGCACATGAAGCTTATGAAATGAAACCAAACAAAAATCGGGTTGTAATCATATCATGGGCAGGGAAAAAAGAATGAATGGGGACTCAATGGGGATGAGAACGTTTCTGAATTCGTTCTTACTAACTATGAATCCCAACGAAAATCAATTGAATAGAGAATCATGATTCCCCTTTTTATATGCGTGCTTACACCGGTTACATTCAATAAAAGATAATATACAAAAATATAAGCACTCACACTAAAATGTACTGATTGATGCTTCCGTCATATATATGCCATAGGTTGTTGGTGCACAACTCTGGAGAGCATGGCTATTCTGCAATTATTGTTTTCCACTACTGCAAGAAAAATAGCACATCAGCCAAGAGCAATACATCACGAAAAGCTGAATACATCAAAGAGACAATGAAACTTATATACATGTCCATCACACAAGTAGGTCTTCCCATGTATGCTATAATACTGTATCTAAAGCAAGACGAAGTGCGGCTAACTTGCCAGGACATACACTTTAACAAAGGAACCAAGATGGAGCGATGCATAAAAATTTCAATCCACCATTCTCAAGAAAAGGAGAGGATACAACAACATCCATTCTCGAGATGGTACCAGACACTAACAAGCAGTGAGCAAGGGTCAACAATTATTTTTAAGAAATAAGGAGGATTTAGTTTCCGCGTATTCCTTAAATTTCGATATGTGTAGATTAGGCATATTTCTTTAGGAACTGCAGTTGTGATATTACTGGTTCTCAAGAACTTCCAAACATCATCAGAAATGTTTCCTGCCCCTGTTTAATTCGGATACTCCTAAAACATAAGAAAATTCGGTGTATCAACTCCACCATTGAAAACTCCTCTAACGGAAGGTAGCAAACACAGCAATAACTTTATTTCTGCTGAGAGCCATTTTCCCAATGTCATCCCAGAAGATGGGCTCAGTCAAGATAGTGTCTTCTGGTTTAAAATTTAGGCCAATTCATAAAGAGGAGAAAAAAGATGAATGGAGTGAAGCAAGATAATATAGTTCCTGGACTAACTACTACAATCCAAAAAAGACGAAGAATAGAGATACCCAGTCAAAAGATTGAATCTCTACCTCAAAGTTGCATAGAGGACGGAGACTTCAACGAAAACAAACGCCGAACCGAACCTATCGAATTCCTCGCGGTGGAAGCTGCGGCGGTTGCAGGGTAGGAAGAGGCGGAAACTAGTAGAAGGTGTAATATGCACAACTTTAAAAACAGCATAATGGTACTTTACGTTTGGTTAATTTCAAATCTTGGTCTCAAGTACTAACATTTAAGTAGAATGGCCTCAATCAATTTTCTTTGATTTAAGATTAAAAAAAATAGTATTTCTTTAAACTTTTATAAAATTCTTCTAACATAGTAATGGATGGCAACAACGACAGAATCAAGCTATATTATTGCTATAAGATGGAGGCGAGATTTGGAAATTTATGTTGTTTTCAGTGAAAAATCAAAAATCGATGTAAATCATTTTTTTTTTTGAAGAGAAAGAGTACATTACTAATTAATTGAACGATTTGAATTATTTTTTTTAATTGAAAGTCTACTACATCTCAAACCCAATGAAACAATAACAACTTCTTTTAGTACAAAGCAAAGAGCTTATGATTGAAAGAGATCATCAGTCTTTGATCATTAATAAAACTGACCGCAATGGTATACACTGATTCCAAGTGATTTTAGTAATCCTACGTGAGTTCTAAAAAAGAAAGCTAACTACAGTAAAACATCTATAAAGTATTAAAACTGTTAGGATCTCAATAATTATTAATTTGTAGATGTATTAATTTATCGATAAATTAATAATTATTATTTATCAATGAATTAATAATTAGTTAATAAAATCTTTGGAGGCTTTGTAGTTACTGGTACTAAAACTTTGACTTAATTTGAAAATGATGATTCAGTATTTTCGAAATGAATTACATGAAATGAAGCACTTAATGGACAAAAACTTTCAAAATTTTTTGCAACATGAAAAACCAGAGGTTTTGAAAACAATGGAAAAGAATCAAAGATAAGATCTCTTTAGATTTAAATTTTAAGAAAAAAATATTCATTACTAGATTCATATTTTTCAGATCCTAATTATTAATTTTATATTTCAAGCCATTATTAATTTATGATATTGACGGAGTCTATATTTATATAGGAGTTTTTTGAAAAATTATTATATTATTATATCATTGATTGCCTTTATTTTTGGTACTGGTCCGTCTTGGGACCAGAAAAAATTATTAATTTATATATGTTATTAATTTATCGATTATTGATTTATAGACGTTATACTATTTTTTATTTTTCTTGGTAACGCTGGGAAACCCACCAAAGATGGTTTAAAACCACGCCCACTGCAATAGCCTGCAAACTACAGTGAGGGGTAAATCACCCTATGCAAATCCGAGATGTTATTTTTTTTACATATATTATTATACAAACACGTAATCTATTACATGTGGGTGGGAAAGGGAAATAATATTACTAGAGGAGAATTCACACGCGTATGTCTTTATCTTGTATTTGGAAGACCTCCTAGCGGATGTAACCTGAAAATCTGTACAATTAAACACTTAAATGTTGTTAGTGGGAGTTGAACTTTGGTCTCCCAGGATTGACGTTCTATTGTAGCTATGAAAAAAAATCTATAGATCCCTCCAAATGTATAGGCCTAGGGTCGTGATTGTTCATGGGTATTAATTTAAGTGAAAATCCAAAGGTCTAAACTGAACTAAACATAGGAGTAACACATAGGGACTAGATTTGCTAATCCCCAAACTTGGAGGACAAAATTCCGCACGACTATAGTAACAAAATCCGACACCTTTCGTTGCATTTTCTTGCAATTCCGAACAACCAAATTGAGTCAGATAGAAAATGAACACCAATAATAACAGTGGGAAGAAGAACAGGAACAAGACAGCATTCAGCAAAGCCATCGATGTTGATGATGATGAAGTAAATGAGCTGTTAAGAGCTGCACAAGACGACCTACTTCTCAACCTCACCCTCAATTCCCACATAGCAAAATCGACTTCCTCGAATTCTTCCCGAGCCCAACTTGACCCTGATCTTGATTCCCGATTTGAAGCCCTAAAATCAAAATCAAAATCCAATCTTTATGCATCCACTGGGAGAATTGCTACCGAGAAGAAAACCCCAGATGGGGATTTCAGTGAAGTTCATCAAAGTGACGATCTTTTTGCAAGATTTGCTGCTCTCAAAGGCTCTTCTTCATCAGTTCCTTCTTTACATTCCGATGAAGTGACGAAGCATCAGCCGTCAGTTATTATTGAAGATGACGGTGACGATGACGATGAAGTAGAGAAGTTGATTAAGTGGGCTATTGATGCTGCTAGGCTTGACCCTTCTCCTCCTTCTGATTCGGATAATGGTGAAGAAAAAGATGATGATGATGACGACGACGACGATGATGGTGATGCTGAGACAAAGAATAAAATGAAATGATCTGTCTTCGATTTCTATTGAAGCTGTCTAAGAATTTACCATATTAATTCATATTGAAAGAAGTCCACTTTCTATTCACTTCCAGAGTCTGATGTCTTCTTGTTCTTTTATCTATTTGTTGGGTTTTCTTTTTGATCCCCAAAATTTAATTTTTTGCAGTTACTTTGCTTTTTTTTTTCTTAGAATGTTTCTGTTGTGCAAATGTCTGATGAATGTTGATGTTTATCTGAGGAGTTTGTACGTTTATCTTCCCTGGCTCAGTCATTCAAAGCACTGTCATTTATTTGAAAAAAGGAATAAGAAGTTGGCTTCTGTGTAAAATCTAATCTTTACTCAATTGTTAGTTACCTTCTCTAAGCGTATTTGCTTGCTTCTTGCCTTAATATATTTCCATGAGATTCCTTTTTTTATTTTGCTTCTAGTTATTTCATAGGCTATAATCCGAGAAGAATAGGTATTGCTCCATAAAGTTATACCCATAGAATGAGTGTAAATTGTCCATGGCTCTAATGTGCTCTGGTGCTTGTGCTTCTTCTTAAACTCTGGAAGTCCTACTCCTTTCCTACATGTGATTTTGCCAAACAAGATTTTGCAAGTTGTGCACGAACTATCCTCTTCAGATTCATCAACCTTTTGTCTGCTTATTTGAAATGTACCCTTATGCATATACACAACCGGGAGCTTAAGTGGAGCTATGACTCTATGGTTATCCTCGCAGACAAGTAGGTGCTTGTGTCTCGAATTATCTCGAGGCTGGCCCAACTCTTCCCTGGCCCTGCATTACTGCATACTGGGGAGCTTTGATGTACACGACTGATTTTTCTAATCCAACGGAGTTTGTCTTTGTGACTTGGTCGTTGCTCTCCTTCTTAATGATGATCTTTCAAAAGCATATACATTCTTTGAACTCTTGAGAGTGTTCCAAAAAGAAAAGGGAGAACAGTATGTCGTGTTCAAACAATATATTCTGAAAATTTTCAGTGTCCTCCTCGTGTTTCCAAGGAAAGAGTTTAGGAACATGAGAAGTAGGTTTCGTCCATTTAACATATTCAGGTGCTTAGATGGTTATCATAATATTGATCTATTCGCCTTGTAAGAAGGCCATAAAATTGCAATTTACTCTAGTTTCCATTTTTCTTTGCTGCTGTAGCAGGTAAACATCTGCAGAGCAGTGTTGACAGAAAGAAAGATTGAAAGATGTCAGGGACGTACTGATGTTTGGTTAAAATCTAGCGTTATTATTATTTGAATTTTCTATCCCTTAAAGAATATGTCTTTTTTATTGGATTCGGCGTTTGATATTTCAGTTTTGAGTTCGTCTGAAGCATTTGGGAGCTGGATGCCAAGAACAGGAGAGAAAACTGGCCTCAGGTGCTAGATTTAGGAAAGTGGCTTCCTTGTGTTTCCTTTGTTGCTTATCTCATAATCACTTTCTATATGTGTTAAAGTTTTTCAGGTACATGCAATGTGGGTGATTTGTCTGCTCTACATAAATCCAGAACAATTGGAATTGCTGTCTCCCTCTCCCAAGGATGCAACCTGAAGTTTTTGAACACAAATATGGACTTTGAATGACAAATTTTTGCCATATCATCTGTGACTGGTGACCGTTGTATTGGTATCATAGCGATGAAATGTACTGTGATCCTGGTGTTTGCTGATACCAATCACAAATTGTCGTGCTTTTTTTTTTGGGGGAGCTCTTTTCTATGGAGTTAATGTTGGAACTCTTTTCATGCTTGATTAAATTCCCACTCTTTTAAGTGGTCTTCTCTAGACTTTACCGCTAATATAGTATCTTTTTTTTTGGTACAATGAAGGAGACAATACTAAGCTATTACAACACGTTAATAAAAAATACCAACGATATCATGTTGAATCCAATGTTTAACAGCATTAGGGAGTCGGCAGCAAAGTTCAACTCACGGTATATGTGTTGTAATTTCACCACCCATGTCCTCTTCAAAAGATCACGAACAGCCATAACCAGGGTTCTATTCATCCCACAAACATCCATATTAACAACACTCAAATTGTCCACCTCTACAAGCAACTTCCGATACCCCAACTCCCATGCTAGATACAAGCCCTGGAACATGCTAATATATTAGTATTTCAATTCTCTTGAAGTGTTTGTTACCAAAACATTGTGTGTCTTAACAATTTTGATTATTAAGCCATTTTTGTTTGATTCATACTAGTTTTACCAACAAATACAATATTTTTGTCATGGCCAATGTTGACTGGTTAAAGCGGTGTATGTTTACAATTACTCCACTATTACGCCCTCCCCTTTTAAACTACAGTTATGAAAAGAAAAAGTGCAAAATATATATAATTATTAAAAAAATATCAGGGGAAAGAGAAAAAAAGGAAAAAGAAAGCGTCTTCTCTCTTTGAAAGAAGAGAAGAGAGTCATTCAACAGTCCCAATACCGTAAGTGCAAATGTACCAACCGGCGAGCGGCGGGGATTACGCCGGCAACGGCTTCCACAGCCCCCACCAAATTGGTGACGGTGGCGTAGGTGGAGGAGTGGCGCGTGGTACCCGTCGACGGCGGGGCGGCCGGGGAAGACCCCGACTTAGAGACGGTGGTATTAGTACCGGTAGCGGTGGCCACAGTAACAACAATTATAATAGTAGTAGAAGTAGGGTTTCTAATTCCTACGGGGCCCACCACACGCAGGACAATGACGACGGCAGCGGCCCGGACTCTCCCCCACCGCCTCCTCCCTGTACGGACTTCGATATGGCTTACTTCAACTCTTATGCTCATGTTGGCATTCACGAGGAAATGATCAAGGTAATTGAATCCTTTTTTTTTTCTTTCTTCTTGCTGATAATTCTTGTCTAATTTGTTACTTCCCCACTCCCCCTTTTCCCATGACATTTGGTAAGTAATTATTACAGTTGAAGGAAATAAGGTTTTTTTTTTGTTTGTTTAAATTAAATTTATTTTCTTTGTCTTCTTTTTCTTTTTTGAGGGGGAGGGGGGATTCAACTTGCTGTGTGCTGATTGTCAGCGAACCTTTTCAAGGTATAGGAGTTGATAGATCATTCTGGATATAAGATTCAGCTTGAAGGACTGATAAGAACGGGATGCAACATGAAAATCTTCATTTAGGATTTTGGGGTTTGAATAGGCTAGAATAAGTATTTGAATGTTAAAAATGACATGACCTGTGTATCTACTTTTGGACTGTAACTTTGTAAAGTTGAAATCTTTTGTTCTTTTTTTTTTAATCTGTCGAATAGCTGTGGAGTTGTTTAGGAAGGGAGAATTTATAGTTACCCTCTTCTGAAGGGTATAATAGTGATAATGAACTACCCAGTGTAATGGATTATCGACCTATAGAAGTGGGCTGTAGCATGAAAATCATGTCAATGGGTAGACCAGAGTATATAATTGTGCTCTTCTATCTTTTACAGTATTTTTACCTCTATTAATTTTGTATATGTTATCTGCCTCAACTCACAGGATCGTGCTCGCACTGAAACTTATCGCAATGCAATTATGCAGCATCAGAGTCAAATTGCTGGCAAAGTGAGTTGCCATGCTCTAAATGTTTAATTTCTGCAATCAGTTTATGTGGCTTTGCAACCTGAGCCTGCATTGTCTAATTTGATTTCTTAGTACTTACGTTGACTACATTGTCAGAGGATTCTCAAACGTCAAGTCAGAAGTCATTAGGTCACAATATATTATAGTCATCATTGCCGAACACTTTTTATTCTTTTTTGTTTGTGCTTCTTATTTGATTTTTCTCCCAATCTCTGCTGTGGAAGAATCACCACAGTTTACCTTTATGTTCCTAATCCTTGTATATATATATATATATATATATATTTTCAAGTATCAAGTTCGAATTTTTTGTTTGACATGTTGTGGTTGTATTTCCAGGTTGTGGTTGATGTTGGTTGCGGCACAGGAATTCTTTCAATATTTTGTGCACAGGCAGGTGCTAAAAGAGTAAGATATCTTGCCAGATCCTTGTCGTATTCTTACATCAAAATAATAAATTTCTGCTCGATGACTGAGAAAGCTATTTGCGTTTAAATTGTCACTGTGGTTTTTATTAATTTTTGTTTTTTAAGCAAATTAAATAAACCAGGATCATCAAGATGTATCTTTTTTTTTTTTTTTTAAAAAAAAAGGATGAATTGTATGGACTCTTTCATTCTTTTTTACTATCGTAAAAAAAATAAATAAATTGTACGGACTCTTTCATTCTTTTTTACTATAGTTGAATTTGAAAATAAAAAACAACATTGAGTTTAATATTGTTGGAGCTCCCTCTGTATTTGTTATAATTCATATTGCTGAACTCTCTTTTCCTCTTCGTCCTTTTTTTTTTTTTGCCTCCAGGTATATGCCGTCGATGCCAGTTACATTGCTGTGCAGGTTTCCTTTTACATTGACCATGACTTTTGAATATATCATTTATATAGATAGGCTTTTCATTACTCTTGGAGTTCACTTACCAGTATGTGTGTGACTGGGTGCTGGATCTTGAAGTATAATACTTACGGATAATAAACTAAGTATTAAGCATGGATGGGAGGGGGATTTGTAACTGCAGCATCCTGGTTCGAACCTATGTGGGTGCAATCCATAAAAAAGAAAGAAGAAAAAACGACTTAAGAACTAAGCATATTTTAACTTGAAAAGCTTAAACGACATGCATTGTTGGGAAACTGATTTCAACGCTTACGAATTTCTGTACCAGGCAAATGAAGTCATAAAGGCTAACAACCTATCGGACACAATCATTGTTCTGCACGGGCGTGTTGAGGTACATTACTGGCAAACAAAGCATTTGCACTGCTATTTCTCAGAAAAATTTAGTTCTTGTATGCTGTTTATATCTGGCATTCAAATTGTTGATCTCCATTTGATTATTATTTACTTCGATGATGGCAGATTTTTCCGTTTAGGTTACTACGTCAAAATTGTCTTTATAGATCAAATTCGTAATTGAGGCATTTTTTACCTTGCATCCGGAATTAAAATTAATGTTGCACATTCAAACTTCATAAAGAGAATCTATCTGACTTGTTAATGGAGAATCTATCCTAGAGATTTCCTTACAGTTTGAGATGAAACTTGTTTTGTGTAGGATGTCGAAATTGATGAAGAAGTTGATGTTATAATTTCGGAGTGGATGGGATACATGCTACTCTATGAGGTAACTTACATATACAGACTATGTTATCTGAATTATACAGGCACGCAGATCTAACACAACTGCGGCTTTGGTACGTGTATTTTGTGATATTCCACTTTGGATATTTTAGAGCATGCTGGGAAGTGTGATTAGAGCTAGGGATCGCTGGCTAAGACCTGGAGGTCTTATTCTTCCATCAAATGCCACGGTGCGAATGCTTCTCCTTGAAACTGATTTTTTATATGTTCCCTGTGTAAAAACCGTTCTTGCTTCATTTTTGTATGATCCTGTTATATGATTTATGTAATTTTGGGCTTTGAATTTGATGACCTGGTTGTTCTCGTTGTTCCACCTTTTATTTCTGCAGTTGTACATGGCACCTGTGACACATCCAGACAGATATGCAGAAAGCATTGACTTCTGGCGCAATGTCTATGGAATTGATAGTGAGTAGTTTCACGTTATCCTATTTACTTTATTTATAAAGAGCAATATGTTTGGCATCTTCATTGGTATGAGAATTTGGAGGTTGCTAAGATAATGCCCTTGGCCATTGAGGGCAAACATTTGGAACATTTGGCCTTTCAGAGTTAAAAAATCGGAAAATGCTTCAGACAAGGGGGCAACAACTAGATTGTTGAGTGACTACTTCCTACATCTGGAACTTGACAGGGGGAAAATTAACCAAAATCTTTGTCATAGATTGTGAGGGAAAAAATATTTGTCTAGAAGAAAATAAACAGAAGAATTTTTTTTTAAAAAAAAACAGCTCTCTCAGTATTGAAGAAGGGATAAAGTTAAACTGGGACATCTGACGTGCTGTTTCAATCTCTTACTGATGAGTGTCAACTATCTGAAGATTTACTTAGTTTTTGAAATCTAAGGTCCAGATTGTGCTGTGAACCCTTGAACTTAACAAAGTTTCATAAAATTACTTCGTCCCAGTTACATTATTATCATTAAACTCTATCTTCGAATGTACCTCTTTTCTTGGGCTATACCAAACAGATGTTAATTACTTTATAACCTTATACAATGAAATTATTTAGCCTTATATTTGGGCCTTTTACTGTATTAGATTTTGTGGTTTTAGCCCTAGCAAAGCATTGGATTTCGTAGTATATTGCTGACTTTTTCTAGCATTTATGTTTGTTGCCGCATTTTTTCTTCTCGGTACCATTACTCTGCAGAGGTGCAATGAGTAATGGTGTGGGCTTACAATTGATTTCTTGTTTTATTATATTTTTTTTGTTTCTCGCAGTGTCTGCAATTATGCCATTAGCAAAGCAGTGTGCCTTTGAAGAGCCTTCGGTGGAAACAATCACTGGTGAAAATGTTTTGACTTGGCCCCATGTGGTGAGCAATTCGTTGATGTTATTTCTCTCTTTTCATTAATCTATTCATGTTCACAGTTGAAATAGAAATTATTATGAATAGCACAATGCAAATTGGCTATGAAACAGAACTATTCTTCGAATTTCGGACCTTTTTATAATTGACTATTGAATTAAAAGCATTAGGATCAAAATGCTGCTTGACATGAAATGATGGAAATGGAGTGAATCACTTATTCGCTGGCTTAATGGCTAGCATTTGAAAGTATGTTGGTTTTCCATTGTTTTAAAATGACATCATTACGCTGGCATATCGTTCTTGTTAGTGTTAGGTACTTTTACCATCAGGTTTCATAGTGCTAGATTTGTAGCATGATCTTTATCAGTTGTTATCTTCAGATGTTTTTTCTATTATGTAGGAGGCGTCCTTTTTGTTGCTGCTTCTTGTGGCTTTGGTTATGTCCCGTCCAAGCCATCTTCTTTTTAATCTGACAAAGTTAGTGTTACCTTCATCTTTTTTCTGATGCCTATATTGATCCTTGTTTGTGTAGGTAAAGCATGTGGACTGCCATACAGTTACGATTCAGGAGCTAGAGTCCATTTCAACAAGATTTAAGTTTCAATCAATGATGCGAGGTAAGTTAGAGACCTTTTTGGTTTCTGTTTTCTACACTGTTGACGTCATTTACCCTACTATTAACTGTTCTCTGTCTCTCTTTTTTACAGCTCCACTCCATGGTTTTGCATTCTGGTTTGATGTGGAGTTCAATGGACCTGCACCATTCCCCTCCCAGAGCGACATGTCATCCTCACTTATGGCATCCTCCAACGGTCATGCTACTGATTCTTCTCAGCGAAAGAAACGGCCAAATCCTAATGAAGCCCTTGTGCTGTCAACTGCGCCTGAGGACCCTCCAACTCATTGGCAACAGGTATGAGCCATTTTGGTTGTGATGGAGTGCTTGTGTGTTTGTGGAGGAAGCAAGGGGCAAGCATTGATCTTGTATATATGTAACTGCTGGGGAGCATATTTTAGTTGGATTTAAGCAATCTCTTACATTGAACGAACTTTTTCTTTTCAGCTAATCACATTTATTCACGATACGACAATGCTCTTCAACTATTCTTTTTGTTCTTTTCAGACATTGATCTACTTTTACGATCCAATAGACGTGGTACAGGATCAGCTTATTGAAGGCTCATTAGTTTTGTCACAAAGCAAGGAAAATGCTCGATTCATGAACATTCATCTTGAATATTCGTAAGTTAAAAAGCAAATACTAATTCTGGGTTATGGATAGAACAAATAATAACCCATTTCTGCATAGGGTTTGGTGTCACACTTCATACTTGATTGATCATAGTGGTTTTGTTGCTGCAGATCCGGTGGTAGATCGTTTGTGAAAGAGTCAGTCATGCGGTAGTTATGTACTCTTCCCTTCCCAGTTTAATTGGTTGGGCTCATCATGATCGGGTACTTGCCTCTGTGCCGGTGTAAGCAGTTCCAGATGATTGGTTTTGTATGATTTCCATTGCCATTTCGTCATTATTGGTTTGGCAGATATTGGATATCATTGAGAACCAGAACATGGATAGAGATTGTGCCCGTTTTACATCATGAAGAATAGTTATAGATGCTTTAGGAGTTGAAACAAGCCCTCCTGCCCTCGGAATGTGAGTTGTTTCATTTGGCCGGTTTTTGTGTTTGTATCTGTAGTCTGTAGGAAGTTTCCATTGCATTTGATGGATGGGAAGAACGGATAAATGAGGCAGAAATGTGTGATTTGTTAGGATTAAGGCTAGGAGTGAAGGACTTGACATTTAGCAGGTAGTTTGTGTCAGGTGTCAAATAATCCAGGTTGAAATTTACATATAGGGAGTTGATTAGTGTAGTACTTTGTGTATGCAGACCTCATCACAAAATTTTTTTTTATTTTTTTATTTTTTCCTTTCTCCAGAGATTGTATTATTATTATTAATACATCGCATTTTTAACATTGCTATAATTGTGAGTGGTCAAAATAACTGAGATGAAATTTGGATCTGTTGTATTTGATTGTCTTCTCTTGGGTGGGTGGGGGAGCTCTATAAGTTTGTATGTATAGACTTTCTTTGTGACAGTTTTATAGGTAGATCATTAATTTATTTTATTTTATTTACGAATCAGTGGTTATTATCAATTCATTACTGACGATAAACGATGTCATTCCAGATAGAACGATACTAACAAACTTTAGGTTAATTAATAATAACTGTGATTCGAATCTTGATCAAGTCCAATTAAACCCTAAAAAAAATAAAAAAAACAGAGAGCGAGAAGGACCAGCAAACGAATGTGTGGTGGCTTTTGATAGGGATTAAGGGGCGATAAGAAGGTATCCAATTATGTTGACTGGGGAACCCTAATTTATTTGATTAGAGTTAACATTATTGATGGATGGGTTTTAAACATTTCTCACGTGAGAAGGGAATGCCCAAGTTGGGGTGTTCATTTATATTAGTTTATTTAATTTACAGTGTCATTGGCTGAACAGCTTGATTTAGTAATTACATCACTACTACTATTTGACTAATGATCCCTTACAAATTTATTTTGTCCTACATGTCAACTTCCACATCGTTATACTTTATTTACGCCACTCTACTTAGTTACATCAGTATTGATTCGAAGTGTTATGATCATCAGATATATAAATCAAGAAAAAAGAATTTTTTTTTTTTTTTTGGGGGCAAATTCTCAAATTTGCAGCTCCTAGTAGCATTTAGTTTTGTAGTAATAATGCGTAATGTAGTTGACACTTGACAGTGAAAGTAAAACAAATGGAAATAAAGTAAATGAATATTCGTTGCACGAGAAAATAAAATACTACTGCAGTACCTTAACGTGTAATATTATTCAATTCGTTGTGGTCAGCCAAATTTTGTTGGAGGGTATTATCATTCTACTGCTGTGTACAGAGACAGTGGATATATAGAGCCGTGAATTATTGAGTCTTGATAACTCATCCTTTATTCTATATATACTAGTGATGTCTGGTCGCGCAATGCGCGACCCTGGCCCATTATATCTGTAGATCTTAGAAATATTTGTATCTGGAAAAAAAATATTTTGTATTTGGCCCGATATATTTTAAAAATATTTGAAGAATTTAGAAATGTTTTATAAGTGTGATGTTTGTATTTGGCATAAAAATAAATTGTATTTGGCCCGGTACGTTTTAGAAATGTTTGAAGATTTTAAAAATGTTTTATAAGTGTTACTTCTTAAATATAAATAAACTTGATCAAATATATGTCTTGAAATAAAGTCTAGACAAAATATAAAAATATCCTAATAAGTTTAAATATTAGTAAGGTAATTTATTGATGTTCTCCATTGGTTGTGCCAAATCTATACTTAGTTTTGGAGATTTACAATAGATTTGTAGTTAGCTTCCTCCAACGGGTATACGCTTAATTGTTGGAACTATTTCTTCCAAAAATTTATAGGTAGTAAAATATCAAAAATATGATTTTGAAACTGGTTACTTGTTGAAACTGGTTGGTCACAAATATGAGAATGAAAATAATGTAAATTTGCATATGTTTCAAGATATAGCAAAAAAGAACTCACATCACCATGGCAAATAAAAAAAAAAAGAAGTAAAAGATAGCCCATTAAAATTTGAGATTTTTTTTTCATGTAGGTAAAAATGATGCATAAAAACATAAATAAACGTAGAAACATCATTCCTTCCCTCTCCACCTCAAATTCATAAAAGGTTTTCCCATAAATTAGTTAGAAGAAGCGACCTGAACTATTTATATAATGAGAAACTAAAAAAAAGTCCAGAAACCAAATCCAAAAAAGTATATTCTTGAAATCCCGAACACAAAAAAAAAACGCGCTTTATTTGCAAATAAAATAATAATAATAATAATAATAATAACAATTGGTCAATTGGGAGTATGAAACAAAATCAAAAGCAATTAAGCAAAGAAAAAACACACTTCATAACTGGCCATATACGAAAAAAAACCTAAGACTCCATAATTAAAAAAAGAAAACCACTCTAATTGAATAAAACATAAAAAAAAAATTTAAAAAACCACACTTTGTAATAAAAACCCAATTAATCAATTCAATCCAAACATAACTAAAATCATACAAAAATTCTAAGCTAACTAACCAAATAAGAAATCACATTATATTACCTGACAACGGCTACGGTAGCTGTAACGGATGGACGCATAAAAATAATAGTAATAACACTATTCCTGAACGAAAAAAATAAAAAATAATAAAAGTCAAACCAATGATCTGTGGAAATAAAATCATTTAAATTTTAATACCTGTAATGCCACCATCACAACGGCCGAAGCAAGATCAATGAGAATATTTTTTTTTTCCTTTGTCTTTATATAGAGAGGTAAAAAGAATATTTTTTGAAGTTGAAATTTTATCCGATTAGGATGTAGTTGATCATCACTAATGAAAATATTGAACATGCTAATAGGAAATGAGTATATTTCACCACATACTCTCAATTGATGATTGATGAGGAATTTATTTATTTTTAATTGTGGAGAACGGATTGATTAGGGAGTCGATTGTCGTGGAGATGGGGATGAGGATTTAGATTTGGATTTTTTATGAACCCGTGGTTTTTTTTTTGGGCGAAAATAGGAGGTGGAGGTGAATTTGGACTGCATTTACCTTTTAAGTCTAGGAGATGTGGAAATAAAAATTTATTTTAAAAAGTATGATGTGGAAATACCACATGGTAAATAGTGGTATTTTCTAATATAGTATGGTTTTTGTTTCTAATATAGTAAGATATACACCCAAGTAATTCATTATTGATTTTTACACATTTTCTTTGACCAAATCTATCACATACAACTATAAACGAGTATTTATCACCTTGCTTTGCTCATGACTTAATAAATTGCTACCAATATTGGACCAAATACCCAAGGGAGAAATTGAAATGATTGGTCCTCTAGTTCTAACTACTTATCCTTTCGGACGTGGGCGAAACTTGGATTGCCCGAAAGAATCTCTATGGTTAAAAATATAAAACCTAGACTAGTAATCTGATAACTCCAATCATTTAATTGGTAAATCAATTGACGCCCGTAATTATTCTTAGTAGAAAAAAAAAAAGTATTTGGCAAAAGATTTGTTCTTTGATTCATGTATTTGATTTCACCCCCTAAAAAAATGATTGGTCATCTTGTTGTTAAGGTTTTTTTGAAAGAAAAAAAATCTCTAACAATAGGATTTCGTGTTGGTTCATCAAATCAAATCAAATCACGGGATACGTGAATTGATAGGGAACTCTATAACTAGTAACGTAACACAAACCACCATCTAGGAGAAATCATAAGCGTGCCAATGGCCATTTAAAATTTATCATATTTTTTATCTTAAAAACCTTGTGATATATATGTCTATCTATATAAATTTTCTACAATTTTACAAAATAATAATGGGGAAAGAAAAAATACGGTTTGTTTTTCTTTTTGGTCTGATGACAAAGATTAGAACCAACATCATCCCAGCCATCTGTATTAAAATCTCAAGGTTACTGGTGTGTCTCACAAATAACAAATGTACGTATGTTAGGATTAAACAAACAAGATTAATTACAATGTTAGGACAAGGAATATATATATATATATATATATATATATATATATATATGATCAATTATTTACATGTGTTGAGTCGTTTATAATTTGATATTACTCGGGGGGGAGATATATTAATTGAATTCTGAATGGCTACTAGTACTTACTTTAAAAAATAAATAAAATGAATGTGCAGTAGGCGGGCGCAGGCAGGCACAATAATTGAATGATAGCAGGTCAAATTTTGGAGGGGATCACCGTGAGGAGTAACTACACCTCCCCTCCTAATTAATTAAGACGTAGAATCATCATGTTCAGTGTGCACCAATTACTATATTTGTTGGTTCCGGTGGGAGTAACGAAAACTTAAACACAAGAAACATTAACTTATTACACACTATCATGTACAAGAAATCTGCAGACACTCTCTTCTGTATATAAATAGAACACATCCCATCCATGTAATTCCAGCCATTGCATTAACCCAAATCAATTAAACCCCTTTCAAACCATATCATCAAAGTCACACACATACATACATTCTTCCTGATATTCTTGTGCACTTGAAGCCTTTTCATCAATGGGTGATGCAGCTAAGAATGCTGATGGCGCCTCAGCCAAAAAGCATCCCGGTTCGGGTGATCAGATTCAGAGCAGCCTGATCAAGACTCTTTCTCAGAAGCAGTTGATGAGGACGCTGTCCCAGAGACACATGATGAGGACCATTTCCCAACGGAATATGATGATGCCGCCGACCACCATGCGGACTCTTTCCAAGAAGCTCTTGAATCCCATGAAGATTTCCACCGGCCTCCTTCATGACCTCGACGAGGACCACCACGACGACGACGACGACTTCCTTTGGGATCCCCTCGCTTCTTTGTCCAATGCCAGGCACGAGTTCGGCGGCCACGGCGGCGTTAACATGTCCATCGAGGCCTCCGCCACCTTCACCGTCGCGGAGCCCGAGACCATGTCCCGCATGTTCACCGGCGAGCTCGGCCCCGACACTGGCGACTTCTTCATCTACAGCCGCCACTTCAACCCCACCGTCCTCAACCTCGGCCTCCACATCGCCGCCATGGAGGGCACCGAGTCCGGCTACTGCACCTCTTCCGGGATGTCCGCCATCTCCTCGGTGCTCCTCCAGCTGTGCAGCTCCGGCGGACACGTGGTGGCCTCCAGGACGCTGTACGGCGGGACCTACGCCCTGCTGGCGCATTTCTTGCCGCGGACGAGCAACATCACCACCACCTTCGTGGACATCAAGGATATTCAGTCGGTGAAGGAAGCCATGGTGGAAGGCAAGACCAGCGTCCTCTACTTTGAGTCCGTTTCCAACCCCACCCTCGCCGTCGCTGACGTGCCGGAGCTCTGTCGCTTGGCCCACGAAAAGGGAGTCAAGGTGGTGGTGGACAATACGTTTGCCCCCATGGTCTTGTCGCCCGCCAGGTTGGGCGCTGACGTCGTCGTTCACAGCATCTCCAAGTATATCAGCGGCGGCGCTGACATCATTGCCGGTAAATTTAGAAATCCATTATCCATGCACTTCATTTTTTTGGTCGTTATACATCAGCGTGCATCCCTCTGTTCTGAAATGATTGTTCTGTTTAGATTTTTACTGTCAGTTCAATTTGTACAAAAAATAAAAACCGAAACTTGGACAATCATTATGGACGGAGGAAGTATATGTATAGCTTAATTTCGTTTGTTTCTCTTTTTTTATTATACTACTAGTATAATAACGAGGGATATGTTGGATATTGATGAATGATTAAAAGGTGCGGTGTGTGGTCCGGCTAGCCTGGTGAACTCGCTGATGGACCTGCATCAAGGTTCCTTCATGCTGTTGGGTCCAACCATGAATCCTGAGATTGCCTTTCAGCTTTCGCAGCGGCTACCTCACTTGGGTATCCGGATGAAGGAACACTGCCATCGCGCTTTGACCTACGCCACCCGGTTGAAGCAGCTGGGCGTCAAAGTCATATACCCCGGCCTGGAAGACCACCCGGATCATGCCCTCTTCCACTCCCTGGCCAACAAGGATTACGGTTACGGCGGCATCATCTGCGTTGACATGGAAACCCAAGACAGGGCCAACCGTCTCATGGAGCTGCTCCAAAACTACACTCACTTTGGGTTCATGGCGGTTAGCTTGGGGTATTACGAAACCCTAATGTCTTGCTCCGGCAGCAGCACCAGCAGCGAGTTGAATGAACAAGAGAAAACCTTGGCCGGGATTTCACCTGGATTGATTCGCATGTCCATTGGATACAGCGGCGCACTGGAGCAAAAATGGACTCAGCTAGAGAAGGCTCTCTCAAAACTCCAACTGCATTAAGTATTTCTTCAACAAAAATGATTAACATGTTGTGTTCTTGGGGGATATTGTTCTTTACCATTTGTCACATACTTACACGTGTGTGTTCATGCGTGCGTGTTTTTCGTTTTTCCTTTTTTCGTTATTGAATAAGGTCGACTTTGTGCCGGAAAATTAAAACTTGTTGATGTTATATCCACTTCATTGTGGCCTCCTTTGTACGTATAGTATATGTGTTTGGAAATTCTACTATAAAAGTTTGTGTGCTGTTCAATATTATTTCATAAGTATGAGTTTCAGGACATGATCTATGTTAACTTTTGGTAAGCAATGCATGATTAATTTTGGATATGTGCAACAACCAAAGTAATCTGTTTGAACTGAAAAATGTAGTACCTACTATCAAACCAAACACGACTGGTCTATTCACGCACGCAACTCATAACTTGCGCGAGAACGAAGGGGGTATATGTAGCCCAACCCCATAATTTTTATCCTTGGGGTTGGATTTGATCAACTCGTAAATGAATCTTTACAATTGTTTCAAACTTATTTTAAATTTCTCTAATTCTTCAACCTACATATGTTAGCCCTGTATCATATGTTGGCAAGCTTCCTCTCGGCCTTTTGTAATTTGGGCATTTTAAATTAGTACTTGTCACCTTTCTGTGCCCATGAAAGTAAGGTAACATGGATGAAGTCTGACGGAGAGATTGGTCTACTCCTCTCAGAATGTTGTTGTTGTTTTTTTTTAATGGCAAATTTGGACTCAAAGCCCAATGAACATTGTCAACCTAGGTCCAAACTCCTGAGGTTTGCCCAACAAAGTTTGCATGAAGTTCTGCAGTTTTGGAATTTGATCAACTAGATCTAAAATTTGATCCCATATACTCTCTCTCTCCCAAAATTATTATATAGCGATTTCACTTTTAGTCAATTTGAATTAAAAATGAAAATTTAAACTGAACAATAATTATGGGACGGAGGGAGTAGAAGTTAGAGCTAATTTATTAACAAAACATTACTTAATTAATAGGTTAAGGATAATTTAGCTACCCCCATCAACTTTGAAATTACACTAGTGTTTCTTAATCTCTATAGCCTATCTCATCAGTAGCATAATGTTTGCAGACTAACTAGTATTGTTATTATTATCACGAAATGATCAAATACTAGTAACTATCAAAATCCGGTGATGATACAAAATATCATAATTTTTAAATATGAGTAGTGTGCGTAGATGAACCATGCCTGAAATAAAATAATCACTTCGGATTGAAGGAATTATATAAGTATGTGTCGGTTCTAAAATATTGAGCTAGTTTTTGATTATTCAAACGTCAGAAGTAACAATTTTGAGCTCATATGTTATAAGCGACTCCTTGAGCACTTCATCAGCTAGCACCCTCTGCACACAGAATGTGTACATCCTTGGCATTGCATGCGAAAGCTAAAACGACGACACAGACACAGATGAGCTGGGGAAGATAGATAGAATCCTTTTTTCCCATAATTAATAATATAGTTTACTTTTTTTTAAGTTTGTTAGGGTATTAGTTTAATCAAATTCTCTTTAACTTTTAGGTGTCATGATGGCTCAATTATTAGGCAAAAAAGTGTGGGCAGACTCTCAAAAGTACTACTGTACTTCTGGAATTAAATCAATCAGAATCAGTGTCCACAATGGATTTCCAAATTAAATTTGTTTGTTTGATTATATCCCTTTTCTTTTGTAATCAGTTTGTGGCACTCCCACTTTGATATTTTCTTTTCTTATTTAATCCCCACTAATTTTGGTTGAATTTGTCGCGTCTAAGAGCACAAACTAAGTTCAAAGATGATGATTGGGTCTTTAATCAAATCGTTATTATTTGATTATCATATTAGTGCAGCAATTAAATCAACTAGTAGTATCAATTTTTCATATTTACGGATTAATTAGTGCAACGTTGTGTCTTCTAGCAATATAAATAAGGAGAGTAACTAGGACAAATGGTAGTGGAAACATGTATGCTGCAATGCATTATTTTGTGTATATATATATATTTGTCAATTGATTACTGGTAGAATATCTTTTATCTCTAGCTTCTTCAGGCACAGATTTATGTTATTGGGTGAATTTTTTAAATTATAAATGCTTTTAAAATTAAATGGTCCTCCTGCCACCAATAATTGTAATATTTTCTTCATCTTTTTTTTTTCTTTCTTTTTTAAAATTAAAAAATCGCCATTAAGAAAAACAAACATCAATTTAAAGTTTATGTTCAACTAAATCAGCCATGTGTATAAGTCTTGAATGATCGAGTTCCCCAACTCTCACAGCATATAAAATGAAATAAGTAGTTGAACACAAAAGCTTGTAAACGTATTATCAAACTAGGAGTTCCTCTCCAAGATTGATCCACGTATAATATAATTCAGTGGAATCCCATGGCCCAAAATTGGGAAAAGAAAAAAAGAAAAAAAAAATTCTGCCGATGCACATTTATTGATTTATTCTATGTCTAATCTTTAATTAATGCTTATACTTTGCAGCATGATATCAAATATATTCATAATTTGATACTAAACTAAGTAATCAAACTCAACTGGGATGAATTCTGGTATGAGAATTTGACATTGTTTGCATGAAAACAAAGGAGATGATCTAAGCCGCCATTAGGGGATGGAAAAAGTAAAGATTTTATGAATCTTTACTTTTAAACTAACCTTCCTCACTGATTAAGAGAAACAACTTAATTAAAGTGGGCATTAATTTAATTCAATTAACGTCTAATTTTGGCGGTAAAGACGACTAATATCGTGAATATAATAATAAAAAAAATTAATAAATATTCCAGGTACGCAACGTCAAAAGTGGTGCTTCCACATAATGCTTTGATGAGGTGATCACATCATCCTCCACATAAGAACATCCACAAAAAGAGACCTAACTTTCCAAAGGGGAGATAAACTCGTGTGCGCGCGAGCCATCAATAAAGTAGTATATAAATTAGGTTTAGCTATATCACAATTATTGAACATTGTTTAATCCACATATAAGGCTTAATTCAGTTGAAATTCAAAGCAAATGCAGTCCAAATTAATTTAGAACACGGACTAGCTAGTATGGATCCGATGATTCCAATCAATTAAGTAGTTGTTTGATTAATGCTGTTTGAAATGAAGAACTAAATGACAAGAACTTAAAGGCCTACGTACTCGAGCTGGTACTATCCAGCTAGCTTTTTTGGTTGTAGCTACTCACGGTTGAGTAACAAGATTGAGATCTGATTGAGGTTTATTGGCATAAGTGATCAATTAATAACCAGAATATGAATATCTGTCTCTTGTTCTTCGATTCTACTGCCCTATTCTTCATGATGATCACAAGCAGAGGACCCTTTGAACTCATTTTTTTTAATTATTATTATTATTTACGAAAAAAATACGTTCTTAGAAGAGTTAAAAAAAAAAAAACAATAGTAATAATAACACACAGAACTAGAGCATATTCATGGCTGGACCAGGCACGGTTACCAGTATGAGAGACTCACCGCTGCCATCTCTAGCTAGCCGGTGATCCACTGACTGGATATCAAGCAGCTGGGTTGCGGTGAGTAGTGGGGAGATGATGTTTCATAAATTTGCCAAGTAAAAAAATGTTCTTGTCAACACAACCAAACCAAAATGTACAATATATATGTATGTGTTCTTTCACATAAAAATGCAACACAAAAACCTACTAAATCCAAACTGCTGGGAGTGGCACTATTATCATGTTGCATCCAAAGGAAGGATACTCAAAACAGTAGTATCCAGAATTTCAGGGAAGATGCTAAACCAAGGAAGCCAAAATATTAAAGACAAATCCTACGAAAGAAGGATGTATGGGGTATGTTAGAGGTTTTAAAGTTATATTTCTTTTCCGTCGACTTTGTCATCGTATTTTGTAGCTTGTATTAAACTTTTTTTTTTTTTGTGACGGATGGAAACAGGCTAATGGATTCATATGCATGTTGTGTCATGATGAGGCGTCTCATGCCTGGAGAGGAAACTCCACCAGTATGACCAGCCCTGCTTTTGCTTTGCGCTTCATGGACCTTTAATCTGCATACTACCGCTAGGTACCATATATATCTTCCGTCCCACAATCTTTAGCACCAAAAAATGAAGCACGCTTTTGCAGCTTCAATCATATCTTCCCCCCAAAAAATGGCCTTCCCACACACTCATTTTCACATCAGTCACTATAGTTTTCTTCATCTCTTCCTCTTTTTTTTGAAGTTGGTTGTGACACTGGTGTTGCAGTCTCAAAAAGCATAACTAAAACTTGGGTAATTAACATATGTGCACGTGGTGGACGCCATAAGGGACCGAAAAAGACGAACGACTGTCGAATGACGCAATTAATTTTGTGAAATTCATTACATTCAAATTTACACACTTTGAATTAATTAACCAAATCAAGTTGGGTTTGTTTTTTTTTTTCCCTTCTTTTATTTTTGCGTTAAGTAGTAGCTTTTTTATACGGGGAAGGGAATAAGGCTGAATCACGCAATTATTTGAGATATAAAAAGTCCACCTAGCTAGGCCAGAAGTTGTTCATCCATATATACCCTACAGACAAATTATGAAGACAAGGTTGGCTTGTCACTTTATATTTAAATTAACTTCTTAATTTTGACCTTTTTGATATATAAATCTCAGTACTTCCGTATATGTACTATCTAAGCTAGCAGATGATGGTTTTGTTTCATTCCAAAGCAAATACTATCAAAGGACAGACAAAAAAAGTGGGGATGATCACTCTCCGCCTCTGTTAGAACCGGTGAAAAAATATATGTTCATATACTTACTTACTTCTACTCCAAAATGATTATCATGTGTGTGTGTGCGCGCGCGCGTGTTCTTGGGATTGCAAACCCCAAAAGTTTAAATGGAGTACAAGAATAAAAATTTGAGTTTGATCTTGGTTTGTTGTTGCACATAAACTATTGAAACTAGGTAGCTAGAGCACTAACTAAAGGAAATGAATTAGGACATATATGCCAAGTTCTAACAAACTTAAAAGTGTCTCCAATAGATGAGAAAAAGAATCAAGTGTACACCAAAAGTTGAAGGAAACTTAAGTATTAAAAGTAGTTAATTGGAGAAAGTATGCTAGTTAACATATAACTACACAAGGCATGCATGCTTGCTTCCCCTTAATTAAGTATACATATAGATGATCAAAAGTAGAGGACGGACCACTTATACCGCACTTTTCATCAAATATATATATACATTTTTTTTATCAAGAAAAGGCTACTCTGCTACCCTATTCTTCCTGTATTGATTATATGTGTGTGTACGTAGTATTCCTTAATTTCATCAGTTGGCCAAAACGGTAATGAGCAAATTATTCAGTGAGGATTTTCAGCGCAGATAATTACATGAAATGCATGGTTGGTACTCACACACACTAGCCACCACATCATTTGAACTTTTGATTATTAAAAGAATGAAGAAATGATAAAAACACTAACCATAGAGTAGAGAGAATAAGAAGGTACAGATAGATATGATAATATAAAGGAATTGGTAGTATATTGTACGTTCAATGAGTGTACTCTCCTTACGTTTGGTATACCAAATTATCCGTACCTGAGTTGAAAAGAACTGGAATACACTAACCCAAAAAAATTGTTGGATAAAAGGTGAATGAATTAATGCCTTATTAATATTTTATTCATCTTATTAGCTACTGTTGATATTTTCTCATCATAATAATAATAATTTTTTTAAAAAAAACATCAGGGGTCAAAGCTACAGAGAGAAATGAAAAAAAGTGGCGAAATGCCAATGCCCTAATTTAAACTCGATATCTAGATCTTTTGGATGGCTAGGGAGCCGGAAATTATGTAAAGGAAGGAATTTGTCTAATTAATAAGGAACAAACTTAATTAATTAATTTACTCTCTTTGTTATTAAATGATTATCTAATTAATTTTTACTTTTAATATAATTTAAATTAGAAATAAAAATTCAAATTGTACAATATTTTAAAGACGCAGAAAATAATTAGTAACCAAGGAAATCCATGAAATGTGAATATCACAAGGCAATCTAATCCTTGCGTGTTGACTATATTTTGAGGAAGAAGAAGAGACAGACATACACACGGAGACGGTGGAAGAGATCCCGATCCGACATAATGATGATGATGATTGTGAAAACCGGGGGATTACTTTAGGTCCAACATATATCAATCACAATTTGAACATACCTATACAACGTTAACATTAAACTCTTACTGCTTCGTGTCCGTATTATAAGACATTTTGATTTTATTCTAGATTTTTTATTTAAAAATGTATTTTCACATTCGTCGTGTTCTCTTAATTATTAAGAAATATTTTTAAGGTTTTTATATCCTAAGTGAAACTCATGACAAAATCAAAATACCTTATAATATGGAGTGGAGCGAGTAGAATATTACTGGAGTTAATATGATGAAATACATTCTTATGAAAGCTGCAGTTTTGTGGTACTTTTTGAGGCTAAATGAAAAGTGATAGAAAGCGCCTAAGTCTCTACTATAGCAGCAGCTAAACAATATAATAGAACACACCCATGGAACATTTTTATTTTATAATTTCATTCGGGCTTTGGCCACTTTTTTCTTGTACAAAAAAAAAATAAAAAAAAATTGAACCTTCCTGACTCAAAGTCTCAAACAGTGGTTGATGATTCTTGTTTGTGTATTTTGGATAACTACTCATCTCAAAAAACATACAGTTTATGGGTTTTTTTTTCCCCCTTACTACAAAAATGAAAAGTATAATAAACACACCAACATACACTTTTTACATATGGTTATGTATGTAACTAGTAAATTTACATCATGCACATATTTTCTTCTTCTTCTTCCCACAATATGCATAAAATTATGTATATGTGAGAAGAGGACAAGAAGTAGGAAATTTACCACTTCCGGTTTGAAACCACCACCAAAAGAACAAAAACCAAAACAGCAGAAGGCAGAGAATAGAGACATACATATAAAGACAGACAACAGTGGGAGGAGGAAGAAGAAGAAGAAGAAGCAAGCAAAGAGAGGGAGAGAGAGACAATAGCCCACCACAGAGCACTCAAAAAACCCCTCAATTATTTTGGGCCCAACCCCACTCCACTGGTTTGCCTTCATCTCCCTAAACCCCCATAAAAGCCATACATAATCATCATTCTTCCTCCCCCCAAAAGCTCCTCCTTACTTCTTCTTCCCTCCCTTCTTCTCCTTCTCTTTCTCTTCTCAAGTCAACCCATCTACATTCATTTTGACCCCCTCACAACATAACCAATTCATTTTTCTTCTTCTTCTTTTTCCTCTTTCTTTTTTTTCTTTTTTAAAAAAGAATGAAAAGAAGAATGCCTCTCCCTTTCGGACATCCGCCGTACCTTTTGCTTCTATTGCTGGCGGCGGTGGTGCCGCAGCTGCTTTCAGCAGCTGCGGTCACCCCCGGGAAAACCACCTCCTCCGGCCATGCATTTCCTTACCCACCTTACGAGCACTTCCCCGTGCGAGACACCATTTTAGCCACCAAAATCACCAAGCTCCATCAACTACACCCCGACGACCACCATCAATTAGATTCTCTTTCCGATGAATCATCATCATTGTCGTCATCCCCACCTCACGATCTTCATCAAGCCCGTGGTAAAAATAAAAATGGGACCACCGCATTGATCAAGTCCAAGCTCAAAATTTTCCACAGGGATAAGCTTGGATATTCCCATTTCATTGATCACAAAGACCGATTCCTCGCCCGCATGAAACGCGACGCCGCCCGGGTCGCTGCCATCATCAAACAGGTATCCGGCGGCGGCGTCCACAAAAATGGGGGGGTCTACGAAGAGGAGAAATTCGGGACGGAGGTGATTTCCGGGATGGAGCAGGGCAGCGGTGAGTATTTTGTCCGAATCGGCGTCGGGAGCCCGGCCAGGAACCAATACATGGTGATTGATTCCGGCAGTGATATCGTGTGGGTACAGTGCCAGCCTTGTAACCTCTGTTATCATCAGTCGGACCCGGTGTTCGACCCGTCTCTTTCGGCTTCCTTTTCTGGGGTGTCCTGCGGGTCATTCTTATGTGATAAGGTCGAGAACTCGGGTTGCAATTCGGGAAGGTGCAAGTATGAGGTCCAGTATGGAGATGGGTCGTACACCAAGGGCACCATGGCCTTGGAGACTCTGTCTTTCGGAGGGACCGTGGTCCGGAATGTGGCGATCGGGTGCGGGCATAGAAACCGGGGCATGTTTGTTGGGGCTGCTGGGTTGTTGGGTCTTGGAGGGGGATCCATGTCACTGGTGGGTCAACTGGGTGGCCAAACTGGTGGAGCCTTTAGTTACTGTCTCGTGAGCCGGGGAACCAGCTCGACGGGTTCCTTAGAGTTCGGGCTCGGAGCTTTGCCCGTTGGAGCTGCTTGGGTGCCTTTACTCAGGAACCCACGGGCCCCGAGTTTCTATTACATCGGACTATCCGGGCTTGGGGTTGGAGGCATGCAGCTTCCCATACCCGAACAAGTCTTCCAGTTATCCGAGTTGGGGGACGGCGGGGTTGTCATGGACACCGGAACCGCCGTCACGAGGCTTCCCGGGGAGGCCTACGTCACGTTCCGGGATGCATTCATCGCGGAGACCGCCAACTTGCCTCGCGCAGCCGGTGTCTCCATATTCGATACCTGCTATAACTTGAACGAGTTTGTAACGGTTCGGGTACCGACTGTTTCGTTCTTCCTGTCGGGCGGGCCGATCCTGACCCTTCCGGCTAGGAACTTCCTAATCCCGGTTGATGAAAGGGGTACCTTCTGTTTTGCATTTGCCCCTTCTTCAACCAAACTTTCCATAATAGGCAACATCCAGCAAGAAGGCATTCAAATTTCCTTCGACGGAGCCAATGAATTCGTGGGATTCGGTCCAAACGTTTGCTGATAATCACACCTTAAAAAGAAAAAAAAAAAAAAAAAACTTTGTAAAAAAGTGAATTTTGGGTAGCATAAAAGTCTTCCATATCAAAGTAGAATTAATAGCTACTATTAATTAATTAATATAATATTTATTTAATAATCGCTAATAGAGAAGAAGGGTGATATAACCTATATGGTTTAATTCCTCAAGTTATGTAATGATTATTATGGGGGCTAATAAAGGGGTGGCTTTTTTTCTTTTTTTTTTTTCACTCTGCAGGCAGGAGAAAAGGGGGAGTGTAATATAAATAGAATCTACTTTTTATGGCAATCCTGGTGTTGGTTTTTTTTTGGTGGCATGAAATGAAAGGGTGCTGTAATTAGTTCACACTCGCAATGTAAAAACATACACATGTTGATGAAAAAGTGTAAGCGGAGATTAGTGATGAGATAGAAAAAGAGAGTGAATGTTGGTGCTAAGGCATCTGATTAAAATTGTACTCTCTCCGTTCCATAATTATTATCCAGTTTGAGTTTTCATTGTTAGTTCAAATTGTACTAAAAATAAGATCTCAAACTGGACAATAATTTTGGGACAGAGGAGTACAATACAACAAGAGGCAAAAGCAAAACCTTAAACTCAAGTCAAAATGAGGCCATTAATTGGACAGTTGGATTCAGTCAAAAGTATCCCCAAAACAGCACAAGGAAGAAAAAAAGAAAAAGGAAGAAGTCATTTTGATTGATTGTTGGAGAGTCCCAGACAGGAGAGGAGGAGGATCCAAGAGCACACTTTTGCACTCCCCCTTTCCTTTAATTTGTACTACGCGACTGAAAGAGTGCGAGAGCTGGAAACGGTTCAAAGTTATTTTGGATACTGTTGGAATGGACTTGACCCCTGACAAAATACCCCTCTAGGCCCAGCTTTGCCAAGATTCCTCCTTTTTCTTTAAATTGCAATTTTCATTCTAAAATTGATTGCTTCATTTAAATTGTACTACTTCTCGTCTCTCTTTACATAACTGTTTAATTTAAATTTCTTTTTTTTTTCTTTTTCTTTTTGTTTTGGTTGGACAATTATAAGAGTATCACATTCATATTATTATCCTTTTTATGTTGGACACTCATGTGAATTGTGAGCTGTTGCTCCCAAATCTAGACTACTTCTTTGCAGCTAACTCCCATTGTGTCAATTAAGTTGATTATGATTTCCACTGCATTAATTAGTTGGGGATACTTGAATCTGACTAACTGTACACACACGAATACTCCGACGTATCCTTACTTTGTCCAGCAAAGGAAAGAATTGAGGAAGATGGGAAAAACAAGATAGTTAAAATGATGAAGGGAGAGGGAGCCACCACTGCGGTGGACATGTGAAGCCATCAGTAGTAGTATAGGCTAAGGCCGCTAGGTCTGACCTTTTGTTGCGTCCTAAAATGCAAAGGTGTTTCCTCGCTTTAATTTTGCACTATAAAATCGGTCGGTTTTCACATTCTAACAAACAAATCTGAATTACTGCATGAGGATTTGAACTGCTCTCGGAGCTACCTAATTAATTTATATACATATTATAATTGTGACAAGATTAACCACACCACGTTTGAATGTCGCCCCCAAAAGGGTAGAAATTTCAATCTGAGTTTTGGTTTAAAGTAGAAGGACCATGTGGTTAATGTGACAACTTTAATTTCGTAATTAATACTCCCTTTGTCTCAAAATGAATGAGTACCTTATTTATATTTTATTTTTAATACAAGTTAAACTTGAAATGAAAACCTAAACTAGATAATCTCGCCACCAACACGCCTCAAAAACCTATATGTACGCAAGACTTCCGAATTTAACGAGTCGAGCATTAATTCTGCGTAATAGTTATGTGCTTGCACTTGTGAGGGTTAGTTCCATTAATATTATTTCTTCCTTTCCACAAAGGAAAAAAAAAAATCTATAAATCACAAACAATTTAGAGTTTTATACTAGAAGTATAAAGCAATCACAAAACATAATTTGTTTTTTTTTTTAGATATGACCAAAGAGAATATTTTCTCATAATTATTGTCCAGTTTGAGTTTTTATTTTTAGTTCAAATTATACTAAAATTGAAATTTTAAATTGGACAATAATTTTGAAACATAAGGAGTATAACAAACATGATGCATGCATGCCACATTTTCAGATCTCGTATGCGTCGTCGGGACTTGGGAGTTTATCTCCTTCTGATTATTTACCAAAACATTTTTCCGTGTGTGTCAAATGTGTAGACCTTGGATTTGAAGCTTGGAATGGACTATGGCTTAAAAGAAAAGGCCCGTCCAAAGAATTTCAGTATCTAAATTAATTTGGGCCTCCCTTTAATAATTTGATAGTTCATCTTGTTTGTTGAATAGAGAAATAATTCCCTACCTTAATAATTATAAAGTTCTAGTCGAATTGTAGAATGAATCATTGTAACTTTTCTTCAACTTGATTGGTGGCACTTTTTTTTAACTCTACGATTTCAATTGGTCATTACATATAGGATTTAACATTGTGTGTTTTGTTTAGATATGGCTGCCCGCAGATAGCGCTGGCAATCCGTGTCAGGTTCGGATTGGCGTGTCGAATCGAAACCGAACTCAAAAATTTTACGATTTGTTTTACACCCAATCCGAATCCGAAAATTATACAGGTCGGGATTGCCAATCTTAATCCGAACTCTTAAAACCTAGGTCAACCCGGATCGACTTGTTTAACCCGAAAAAACAAAAGCTAATCACAAAAGAATATAGAAATTGATACGTCAGGTCAGTTACAATCCATCAAAACATCGAAACAAAACCATCCAAATAGTCTATTCTGTACTTGGAAGAAAAAGACCACAAAAATTTCTGGCCAAATTATAATTTACATAATATTTTCATCGCATGATATTTCTAGATCCCTTCCCCACACATAACCACCTCCTCTGACTGGATTTTCTTTTTCTTTTGTTAGCACAGATCTGTTGCAACCAAACAAGAAAGTTTCGCAGAGTGAAAAAAATTAAAACCCCAATCAACCCACATTAAAAACTAATTAAGAAATTCACAAGCAGTGATTTAAAAACTAGCAATGAAATTAAAGAGAATGTAGTGTGGCAGCAGAAAGGATTAAAAAAAAAGTTTGATGATAATGGAGGAGAAGCTGCCGAAAGTAAGAAGATTTTGGGTCTGACGCCAAGAAGAACGGAAGAAGAGAGTGAGGCGAAGAAGAGAGAGAGAGGGGCTGAAGTAATGAGTTAAAAATGATATTTATGGTCTAAGATTAGGGTAACTTTGTTCTCAAATTTCCAAACTACCTACAGACATTACATAAATTACAAGGGTGTTGATATTGCCAAAACATAAATTAGCATCCAAAACATATTATTATCTTTATGACAAAAATAACCCTCTTCCAAATCAAATGGTTATTCTCTTTCTCCACATTTCCACACTTTGCTCTTTTTCCAACCCCTTTCTCCCTTCCAACAAAGTGAGGAGCTACTTTCTCATATTCTTTTTAGCAAATTATAAAATTTCAAACACTCTTACTGCAATATATGAACTCTCAATAAAAAATAACAGAAGAACGCTTTCATAATAACACGACGTAATTCATAATTTTTAATTTCTATATGCTCCTACCATATTTCAAGGCAAGAAAAACTAATCTTATTGCACAAAAGATTGCCGCAAGTGCCAATTTAAATATGTTTGCACTTTGCAACTTTTCTGATTTTTTTTTATTGATGATTTTATCTTCAACAAAACTCTCAAGTATAATTTCACACGATTATGTCATTGATTTAGGACAAATAATCCAAATATTTTTTCATTAGATGTCTATAACCTTTTTTGAAAACTAAAGCATAAAGTAACAATTAAAATGATCATCCTAATAATATAATGTTGCTTATGGGAGTGAAGACAACACGAAATAACTTTTTTTTAAGTCAAAATATTAATTTACTTGAGCTCTTTGCTTTTCGTATTAGATTCTGGCGAGGGAGAAAAAAATTGGTACTCAAACTTTAATTTCGTGTGATAGGAATTCGCAAAAAAAAAAAAAAAAAAAAGGCATGTAGACAAAAGGTTATTGAGTTGCATACATAAGGATAATTTTGTCAAAAAGATAATAATTTGTTTTGGATGCTAATTTATGTTTTGGCAATAACACTACCCAAATTACAATTAATAAGGGTGATCCGAGTAATCCGACGGGTTGACCCGAACCCGACATGTAAAAAAAACGGGTTGACCCTAATCCGACTTGTTTATTATACGGGTTCAAATTCCCAACCATAACCTGTTTATTTCATGTCGGGTTGGTGTCGAAATTCCGAATAGTGTCGGAGATTGCCAGCCCTACCCCCAGACGGAGTTTCAGTGGTTGTGTCGAATGGATTTTTTGACTCTCTCTTTGTCCTGAAATTCATTGTTGTCTGATTCAAAAAAGTAATTCAATGATTTTGTTTGATCCAAAGAAGTGAGAAACAAGTTTGTCAAAGTAACTTGTTTGAATAACTCAAAATGAATGAATGAATGAGTATACAATATCAAAATGTTAGGCTGCAATATTGGCAAAGACCGAAAGTCCCAGTGTTAGAGGACCATGTACAAAAATAAATGTCGTGTTGAGTTTAAGATGCATGGCGATAGTAGTGATACATCTAGCCACGAATTCACGGAGATAAGACTGATTAGATGAGATGGATATACTGTTTAAGCATGGCTTGGTAATGTTGTCACGACCATTTTTCGTTTCTCAGTAAGGCAGTTCCTTCTCACAGTTGTGGGGTTTGCTGCACAAACGGGCCACTTCCTTAACCGGAATAAGGGACGGAACGTTCTAGAGAACGCTGGAATTCTCGGGATAATTCCACATGGATTTGGAATTCTCTAGAAGTGACCAAACTTTACTGGAAATGTAGGGAAGCTTCCCGAGTTTTGCTACGTCGGTCAAGAACGGGCTGGAGGATTCTAGAATTATATGAAATTCTACACTTAGAATATTTTAATCATAGAATATTTATGC